ACCCACCAACTTGCAAGATTGAATTTATACTGGTTTTTGAAGCACCAAACTCTGTCTTCTGCTCTTCTGTGTACCAGGCTGGAAGCTGAAAGTAGTTCCCATGAAATAATCATCAGGACCATTCAGTGTCTATAATGAACAATCTATCCCTGTAATGGAGGTCAGTAAGCGATTCACTTTTCATACCCAGCTCCCGTGGCCACATTTTCAGGGAGAAGACCTAGGGGTACCAACAGTAAGTATTTAAAAAATAAACCACGCTTTGCCAGATAACCAATACAGTGAAGTAACATACACAGAGAGGCACACCAAATTTTGCCAGTCCCAGGGCTTTACCCTTGAATCACTAGGTGCAACCCTAATTCCACACCCAAACCATCAATCTTCCCTAAGTTCATATCTGATTCACTAGGTTTTGTCCTGTTCCCACCTGCCCTGGATCTATCCCTGGCACAGCCCAGTAAGTCCATATTTGATTTGTTTTAAACAACAACAGGCACGGCAATATTTCCAGCTACTTCTATTGTACCAGGACATAACACAAGACATAACACAAGCAAGCTGATATATGTCAGTAGGGCAGAATCCAGCCCTCAATGATGGTATTAACATCAATTCAACCCCCACCCCCAACCCATCCCACCCTTTTTATTATGTTTGTTACAACATAAATCCAATCTTAACCAAATTTACTCAGAGATAGTAAATTGACTTCAGTAATACTGTACTTATTTCCAGGTCTTTCAGACTGCAGATCATGCTTGTTAATGTCTATTGATTCTCTCCCCCATGAAGCTGTGTAGTGCACTTAGCAATAGTTACATGCAAGCAGGAATTTATTTATTTATTAACCCCTCTCTCATCCTTTTTCTTTCGAAAATGCAAAACAGTTAAATGGGATTTCCAGCAGCCCAGAATATAATAAACTCCACAAATACTTAGCTTCAACAATACTATAGATTCCAAGACATTTGATGAACCAAGATTTCTTCATGGCGACTCTGTAGGTAAAATTGCACACAAGATATAGAGCTACCATTAAAAACAACCTTATGTGTTGATGAGCTCTCCTTCCCTGCAGCATCAAATTAACCTGTGGTGTGATGATATCATGTGGTACCGTTCCCCATTCCTACTCCTCTACTGGTGGAGTAAGACGCGGTGCAATGACAGCATGCAACATACAGAGTGTATTGATACTACAGAAAATTTAGCATATCCTTCATAGTTCCACCTATAACTACCAAGCTAAAAACACATTGTTAGAACACTTAAACCCCTCCACACAAACGGTATTATGCAACATGCCATTGATGCAATAATAGTGCAGATTTATCTACACATCATCCCACTTTATTAGTTGTTCTGAGATGCTTCCCCATTGTTAGCCCCTCCAGACAGCAAAAATGTGGCTCCTTGTGCTATAGCACTACAAAAGCGGTACCAATTTTTATTTTTTATTTTTTTTAAATCCACCCAGAAGAAACATTTGTGGTACAAAAAGTGCCTGAGATACAGCCAAAAGCTGCAGGGCTTGCACCAATTAGATAGTCAACTTGATACCATCATAAGCACAAATCATCATACATGCACAATAAAGAGAATATTGAGGGGCCATTAATGCTGATAGTATATTTAGATATATTTTAGCAAAGAGCCATTGGGATCCAGGATTCAAAATGCAAGTTGTTAGGCAAAGCTTAAGCAAGAAAGTTATAGTCAATAGTTTCTCTTAACAAAACTGAATAAGATGCAGTAAGCAAAATGCTATGATTCACCCTCACCCATTAGTGATATATCCCTACATCTATATATAGATGTAACACAGACACACACAAATCTTGTATAGAACAGTATAAGAGGCGCTGCTTCTTTGTAGCCTTTCCTTTCCACCTGAACCATTCCTTACATGCTCCTAGAATCAAGTCTATTTGTACCCCCAAAACCACCTCTGATATCGGGGAAAGGATTGTGTGAGAGCAATATTCTCCTGAAAACATTTCTCAGCCTGGATATGCTTCTGCCTCCCAGCCAATTTCTATTATGTAGTTTCTAACATCAAGTACCGGAATATATTCCCAGGCGCCTGAGCAAATTACCATTCTCTTCATTAAACCAACTTTGTTTGCATTCCCTTGGCAGTTGCAAATGCAAACATGCTTGCTCCCTAGACTCTTTCTTTTGGTTTGCTATTGTCCAGGATTCTTCCTGCAGGCTCTGCAAAGTCCAAGTCCATACCTGCTCACAGGTGGATAGATAGATGGATAGGGGTGTGTGTGTGTATACATTTATAATATATATCTATGTGTAGACTAATATTATATATATATATATATATGTATTATAATAAATATAGGCAAAAGCAATTCGTGCTCCAGGACTGACACCACTGCACTCGAAATTAAAGTAACTAAATAAATCATGGAGCCTCACTCGTCCTGTCCTCGCGCGCACATGCCATCAAATCGCGCATGCGCTCTCGGGCCAAAGGCTCGTCCCTTTAAACAGCGAGTTGGCGGGAAATGTTTTCGGCGCCGCTAAGCGACTTGCCAACAAAGGTCCGTATAGTTAAAGCTATGGTTTTCCCAGTAGTGATGTATGGAAGTGAGAGCTGGACCATAAAGAAGGCTGATGACCGAAGAATTGATGCTTTTGAATTATGGTGCTGGAGGAGACTCTTGAGAGTCCCATGGACTGCAAGAAGATCAAGCCTATCCATTCTGAAGGAAATCAGCCCTGAGTGCTCACTGGAAGGACAGATCGTGAAGCTGAGGCTCCAATACTTTGGCCACCTCATGAGAAGAGAAGACTCCCTGGAAAAGACCCTGATGTTGGGAAAGATGGAGGGCCCAAGGAGAAGGGGACGACAGAGGACGAGATGGTTGGACAGTGTTCTCGAAGCTACCAGCATGAGTTTGACCAAACTGTGGGAGGCAGTGGAAGACAGGAGTGCCTGGCGTGCTCTGTTGGACAAAATGGATTGCTTCAAGAAGTGGCAGAGAGATATTTCTAGATTTGTCTGGCAGGGCAAGAAGCCTAGAATAAAATTTAAAATACTAATGGATGCAAAGGAAAGAGGTGGATTTGCCCTGCCAGACCTTAAACTTTATTATGAATCAGCAGCTTTTGCTGGCTGAAAGAATGGCTGCTTCTTGAAAACACAGACATTTTGGACTTAGAAGGTTTTGACAATGTATTTGGATGGCATGCATATTTGTGGTATGATAAGGTCAAAGCACATAAAGCATTTAAAAATCATATTGTCAGGAAAGCATTGTTTAATGTCTGGATAAGATATAAAGACCTACTGGAAAATAAAACCCCAAGGTGGCTGTCACCGATGGAAGCGAAAGCTCTGAAAAAGCTCAATATGGAGGCCAAATGGCCGAAATACTGGGAAATTCTGGAACAAGAGGGAGACAGATTGAAACTGCAGAGTTTTGAAAAACTAAAAAATAAAGTGCGAGATTGGCTTCATTATTATCAGATAATGGAGGCATATAATTTGGACAAGAAAATTGGCTTCCAGGTGGAAAAATCAAAATTAGAAACAGAACTGTTAGAACCCAAAACGAAGATTTTGTCAAAGATGTATAACTTGCTGTTGAAATGGAATACTCAGGATGAAACGGTTAAATCTGCTATGATTAAATGGGCACAAGATGTTGGACATAACATAATGATGGCTGATTGGGAACAGTTATGGACCACAGGTATGAAGTTTACGGCATGTAATGCCTTAAGAGAGAATATTATGAAAATGATATATAGGTGGTACATGACCCCAGTCAAGGTTGCAAAAATCTATGATTTGCCCGATAATAAATGTTGGAAATGTAAAGAAACTGAAGGTACATTCTTTCACCTTTGGTGGACGTGCCCAAGGATTAAGGCTTTCTGGGAGATGATCTATAATGAAATGAAAAAGGTATTTAAATATACCTTCCTGAAGAAACCAGAGGCCTTTCTCCTGGGCATAGTCGGCCAATTGGTGCCAAAGAAGGACAGAACTTTCTTTATGTATGCTACAACAGCAGCAAGAATACTTATTGCAAAGTATTGGAAGACACAAGATTTACCCACTCTGGAAGAATGGCAGATGAAGGTGATGGACTATATGGAACTGGCGGATATGACTGGCAGAATCCGAGACCAGGGAGAAGAGTCGGTGGAAGAAGATTGGAAGAAATTTAAAGATTATCTACAGAAATACTGCAAAATTAATGAATGTTAGAATGATGTCAGAATGAAAATAAGTGGTCTTAGCAGCAATGTTATAAAGGTGTATGCACAAATGGATTGTTAACAGATGAGAATCTAAAGTTATAATATGTTAAGTTAAAGGACTAAGATAAAAACAAAGAGGGAAAGGAATTGCTGAATTAACTAATAGAACTGAAATACAAAAAAGTGAGGTGTGAGGAAGCCAGGGAAGTAAGGAAATGAAATGTAAGTTATGGAAAGATCGATGTGTTTTTCTTTTAAGTGTTTTTTATCTTTTTTCTGTATTTTGTATTTTGTAATTTTTTCTTTTTTTCCTTTTTCTTTTCTGTTTACCTATGTAATTTTTTCTTTGAAACTTTAATAAATATCATTTTTTTAAAAAAAAGGGAGTGCCTGGCGTGCTCTGGACCATGGGGTCACGAAGAGTCGGACATGATTACATGACTATACAACAACAATATATATAAAGTATATATATAAAGTAAATATATATATATTAGGATATACGCAAAAGCAATTCGTGCTCCAGGACTGACCCCACCGCACTCGAAATTATAGTAACTAAATAAATAAATCATGGAGCCTCACTCGCCCCGTCCTCGCGCACACATGCCACCAAATCGCGCATGCGCTCTCGGGCCAAAGGCTCGTCCCTTTAAACAGCCAGTTGGCGGGAAATGTTTTCGGCGCCGCTAAGCTACGCCTTTCCCGACTTCCCCGCTGCGCACGCGCGCCCTCTCTCCTCCCGGCGCCGCCTCCTCCCGGCCGAGCGGGTCGCCATGGTGACGGGACGCGGAGCTGCGCTCCAGGCGGCCTTGAGCCCAGTCGGGCGAGGAGCCGGGACCGCTCGCAGCCATGACGGACATCCTGTGCGATTGGCTGAACAGAGAAGTGAAGCTCTCGCGGGCAGTGAGTGAGTGCGGGAGCCTCCTTGCAGGGCTAAGGCGGGCGGGGAAGCCCCGGGAGGTGCGGGGCTCCGGCTTCCCGTGACCCTCTCAGGCGGGCAGGCGCTTCATTTCGGCTCGCCTGAGGGAACCTCGCCCCCCTCCATAAACCAGATCCCCCCCCCAACCCTAGACGCGTGGAGACTTTTCTTCTTGTTCTTGTTGTTTAGTCCCTCGTGAGAGAAATGGCGCTTTGCGCATGCTCAGGAGCACGGTTTTGCTGCTGATTCATTTGCTTCCCCCACAGACATTTCATAGAAGGGGAGCCATGCGGGTCATCTAGTCCGACCTGCTGCAATGCAGGAGTTTACATCTAGGCATGACATTAACGCCTTGCCTCCCTAATGTAATGCCCAATGTGGGGCTCGAACCCACAAACCTGAAATGGGAGTCTCATGCGCTACCGGCTGAGCTACCCCTGGTTATTGCAGATTCTACATATTTCTCTGTTTCATGAAATCTGCTAACCGCTTGATTGTATGGGGTGGGTGGGTGGAAACCTCAAAGTGGTTTGCAAGAGAGATAAAACAATAAAATTGCCAATAAAAAAATTACCAATTAGCAATAAAAGGGGGGGGGGATTACTGGCGCAATTAAAAAAAACATGCATAGGTTAGACTAAAATGAATTAAAACTCACACCAGCTTTCTAAACATCTGGGTAGACGTGTATAAATAAAAATATTTTTGGCAGGCAGCAAAAAGCATACAGTACAGGGAAGGTGCCTGTTTGGTGTCTATAGGCAGGGAGTTACAAAGTTTCAGCACTGTCGCACTAAACCATTGCATTCTTACAGATGCGGTGTGGGTATTTATATATCCAGGGCAGGTAGCAGAGTAGTAAGAAACAAACAAACAAACAAACAAACAAACAAAAGTACTTCAGCAACAACAACAAAAGACTAATGCAGCATACAAACAAGCAAATTTAAACAGCATGAGCCCATTCAAAACAGACAGTATGATCAAACTGCTTTAAGTTTAAAGTGCTTGCATTAGTAGTTCTCATTTTTCCTTCACTGAAAAATAGGTACCAGGAGGACTCACCTTTCTGACTGCCTTTGCATGACAGAATTGCACAAGGAGCAGCTATTCTGTTGGTGGAAATAGCTTTCACCCAAGTAACCAAAAAGTTATTACTGATGTTAATAACTGTGCTAGAGTACTAATATGCCCAAGCAGGGTTGGTGGGAGTGGGATGGGTTTAGCCAGGGGAGGCAGTAATATTAAGTGTCAATAGTAATAACTAATAGTAGCAAATAACCTGTATGGCACTTGGAGGGATTCCATCCAGCTTGGTTGTCTTCCTTGATTTTGAAACAGGGGTCTTGAAACACTGGGGATTTTGAAATGTTTTGTGAGCATTTGTATCAATTCTGGGAGTCTAGAATGATCAGAGGGATTTGTTTTTAGATATGGTACATTTGGGAAAAATGCAATGAAATCAAGGGAGACCAGGCTTTGGTTAAAAATGAAATGACAGTAATACTTTATGGAGAGCAGTAAGAGTTGTAATATGTCAACAAGCAGCTTCTCCTAATTTGAACTTGTAACGCCAGACAAGACATATAGAAGTTCCCTTGTTTCCATGTAACTATGATGCAGCCCAGGAAAGCCCCACTCCTGAATTATTATTTTTTTGTGTCTGTGATTTCCTCTGCCTCCCCATTTCTTTTTTTTTTACCCTTTTTTTTATTAAGGATTTTCTTGTTTTACAGAAGTAAGTGTAACCAACCCCAACCTCTCTCACCACCAAAGGAACACAAGTAACGCCCCACTCCTGAATTGTACATTGGGTTGCATGAACAGAATGGCTGGTGTTTTCCACACTGTAATGATCGTTTGCTCATCCAGTATGTGCAAAAAGACATATCATGCCCTCAGTGTGGTTTTGTTAAAAGAACTAGAGACCCTATATAGCACCGTATTTGAGGGAGGGACTGTTTTCTAACCTAGGAATGGGTGGACCTGCAGCCCTCCAGATGTTGCTAGACTGCAATTCCCATCATCCCTGACCCTTGGCTGGGGTTGATGGGAATTGGACTCCAATAAATCTGGAGCGCTATGGGTTTCCCATCACTGCAAATCATACTATTAACAGGTCCATAGAAGGTTGTAACTGCTTTGGCTCATCTATCTCCCACTGCTCCCCCTCTTTGTCATCCATCCTCCTGCTTCCATGGCAAGTTGGGAAAGGCAGAGCAGTAGGATGGGACGGGGAGCAGGGGCTATTTCTTTTCTTGTTTCCTTGGAACTTTTCTCTAGGTTGGCAATCCTACAATCCTGAGCGCTCTGTTCAAAATAAAGAAGGCTGCCAACTCAAGTTATTTGGCTCAAGAACCTTTTGACTGACTTATTGGGCAGAAGATAGCTGGAAAAATATTATTTAGTTATTTTAGTGCAGCCTTACAAAAACTGTGGGTAGCAGGTGTGATCTTCTCTTTGCTCATACACAAAGGAATGCCTCGCCCCCTGAGAGCACCTGCTGTGACGCATGCAAGCATTATCAAAAAAGAAGTTGCAAATGTGTTTTCTTCTTCAGTTTGTTCATGTGCAAATCAATGCACTTCTGATGGATTGAATCAGTTCTAATTGATTCAAACTCATTATATATATATTTTTAAAAAAATAGGTAGCAGCTTCCCAAATAACCTTGTGTTTTGTGACCTGTCTACTTTACATTACTACCTCCACATTTTTTTGGCAGTCCTAGGAAAGCAGTGGATGGTGTTCATTCTGAGTTACACAACACACCTCTAAAGCTCCCATGTGGCAATGATTTTCATCACCAGAGACTCCTCTGCAGTTTCAAGGGACACAAATCTGTCGAATTTCCTCAATTAATAAGGACTCTGGAGTACAGACAGTCCTTGTAGATATATGTTTATCCCGTTGTTCCTACTATTTGATCTACAAATGGCTTTCCTCCAGAGAAGAATATCATCCACACAGAGAGATGAAATGCCCCTAATGAGAGGCTGAACTACCAGATTTCTAGAGCTCTTTAGGTTGTGGGAAAGGCGATTATAAACTCTCAAATTACTATTGTATCTCAAGGCTTCTTCATATTGCAAATTGGGGTTGTCTTACTCTTCCCAGAAGAAGAAGCATCTTGAAACACAGAGAATTTAAGAAATTATTACAGCTTACTTTTAAGTTAGGACTTAAAAGAGGCAATAGAGAACTGCTGCTATTTTAATAATTTACTGTAGGTTGAAGCCAACTAAATAATACTCAAAGTAGACCCATTGAAATAATTGGATGTGACTTAAGTCAATTGGCTTGAATATTTTATTTATTATTATTTATTAAATTTGTATACCACCCTATCATCTGAAGATCACAGGGTGGTTTACAACATAAAAAAACAAAATGAGAACACAAAATACATAATAAAACAAAAACAAACCAATGAACCCCTTCCACAAACACATGCTGAATATTACTTAGTTGGGTGCAACTCTTCATTTTTAAAATTTGTTTCATTAGGGCCAGTTCATGCATTAATGCTTCTAGAGCAGACCTGCACAAGTGTCAGTAATCCCCAGCACATATCTGTGCAATATGTGGTACACCAAGTCAGTGACCCATCAGGGGTTGATAACCACCCTATCCTTTATGCTGCCTGCCTGGGCCTGGAAAAAAAAGGGGGTGTCATTGAGTGCTTCACAGGCCACAATCTGTGGTTAATAGACTTGTGGGTCATGCAGGTACAGGCCTGATTTAGATGGAGGAAGCACCTTGGTGAGGTGGATCATGTGGTTTCATCTCCTGCTAGCTGAAACCTGGCCTGAGAAAAGGCAATGTTGACTTCTCTGTGTAGATCAGAGGTGGGAAACCTGTGGCCTTCCAGGTGTTGTTGGACTCCAACTCTGATATGTCCCCTTCCAGCATGGTCAATGGTCGGGGAAGATGGTAGTTGTAGCTCAGCAACATATTGAGGGCCACCGGTTAGCCACTTCTGATCTGGATGTTACTGCAACTGCATGGGAGGAAGTTGCAGGAAAGTTACTTGCACTTCCCGGTGGTAACATATGAATCAGCCCTTAGGTCTGAACAAATGGAGGGGAAAAAACCTTTCCTTTTTCTCTTTAAAAATAAACCAGAAATGGAGTCTTTTGCCCAGGAGTTTTCTTCAGGATACCTCATCGGAGAACTTCTCAACAAGTTTGAACTCCAGGATGACTTTGCTCAGTTTTCGCAAAGCAGGTTAGTAGATGGTATATATACAACATCAGATGGTTAACATAGTAGGCTAAGTGGTGGCTCCGAGTCCTGGGATAGGGAGCTTAAGCAAGATGCCCTCAGTAGGGGAATCCTACCTCCTTGCCTGTTGCCACTAATGATGCATTAGCTTTCTCCCTCTGGGACCAATCTGCATCACTGCTCAATACAAGAGGGAGAGCCAGGGTTGTTGCTCCTCCATGTTCCTGCCTCTGCTTGCGTACTTGAAGATAGCTAGAGAGCAGGCAGTGGCAGATAGGAGAAGGACCAGAAAGGCCAAGGGACCATGGATGTTTGACATAAGACTTAGACATCTGCCTGACAACCCTGATTGCCAGTGCCAGTCCAAATAGATTAAGATGACAGCTGGTGTAAAATGCAGTTGTCGTCCCCCCAACTCAGCTTAGGAATACTGAAGGCATATGGGGGTCTGCAGGTATGCATGGGTTAGCCCCTCCCCCTTGATGACAGCATGTGCCTCCTAGCTGACACGTGATTGACTCAATCTCAAGGCCATCTATTCACATAGAGTTTCCAATTCTGGAGATGGGAAGGTATGTTGCTGCCATACACTTTAGTGTAGAGGTGGTGGGGCCAGCATATTTCTGCAGGCCCCTTCATGCATTCAGAAATGAATGCCTGAAGAGGGATATTGTTTATTGCTAAAAGGTGACTAATGATGTTTGGCCAACAGTCCTAGGCAACATTTCCCACTTGGAAAAGGAGAGGAAGGATGTAGCCATGTTTACATATTTCATCCAGCACTTCCCTGTGTGGCTGCTATATATACTTGTTGAATGATGATTTCCATGCTCCCAAGAAAGCTTAACAAAACCCATATAGATACGATAAGGGACTGGGATTGGTTCCATAGCTCAGTGAGTGCATGCTTTCCATGTAGAAGGTCCTGGGGTCCAACTCAGGTTTCTCTAGTTTAAAAACCTATTTAATGTATCAGGGTTAGGCCACATCTCTGCCTTAGACCTTGGAGAATGGTGGCCAGAATAATTAATGTTGGGGTAAGGCTGCAACCCTAATCCCACTTACCTGGGAGCAAGCCTCATTTGATTCAGTAGGACTTACTTCTGAGTAGACAAAATTGGATTATCCTGTGAATGGACCAATAGTTTGATTCAGTACAAGGCAGTTTCATATGCTCAAAATCTTTAGGTTTCAAAATGTGGTCACCCAAACGTTTTGATCTCTTCCTAATGATAATTTTGTTTAGCTCTATCTCTCTATAAATGAACATGCTTATTGAAGAATGCTGGGCTTTGGGATCAGTTTTTGGGAAGATTTTCACATTTCAAAGGAAACAGAACCTTATATAACTGCAGAGTCTGTTTACGTTTTCAGGCTTGCCAGTGCGAAACTTAACAACTTTTCTCGCATGGAGCCCACCCTTCAACTCCTGGGCGTGCAGTTTGACCAGAATGTGGCCCGAAACATCATGACAGAGCAGCATGGAGCTGCCACCAAACTGATCTACCAATTGTATGTGGCGCTAGAGAAAAAGAAAAAAGCAGGACTCACTGGAGTTGCCATGGATGCAATGAGACCCTCAGCTCCCGCAAAGCTCAAGAGCGTGGGAACTGAAATGTATCGAGAGGTGAGCTTGTTGAGCTAAGAACACCTTTCCCAATAGAGAAGCAGAACATCACATGTGACTATACCTCTTAGATATATACCTATGACAGGAGAGATCAAAATAGAATTCCTGTAAACTAAATTTCTGTTTCGTCTACTGAATCTCTGTGTAAAGGATGCAGTGACTTAATTGATGGGAGTTCTAGTCCAGCACCACTTGCAAGACACATATTGGCTACCTCTGCTCTAGAGGTTACTCTAAATTCGCTTTCACTGAACTAATATCCACTTTAAGAATTCTCTCATCTCTTTGCTTCGCAGTGTCCCATCAGGTATCTGCATAGTTCCTTGCATTTTCAGTCTTACAAGAAATAGCTTTGGCCATTCGTTCCTGGTTTCTATCTTGGCAAGCTGAAACTGGGCAAAAGGCCCAGAAGGCTAAATAAGGAGATCAGAGCTGTAAATCTTTCAGAACATATGTTCCATCCTCACACATACATCCTCACTCTGTATAAGCTGGCTGTACTACCATAAGGGCAAGAATAACTTTAAATTAGCTACATATTTCAGGCCAAAGCTACACTGAGGTGGCTGGCATTCCTTTTCACTTGCAAACCTTCTCTTTGATTTAGTTTTGCTCAGGGTGGATTTGATTTAAATCACGATTTAAACCACTAGTCAGTAAAACTTTATTTAAATCTTTTCTTTCTTTTTTTAACAGAAAGGCATTCTTGCTGGTATAATCTTAATATTTACAACCAGATGAAGGTTTCATTTTTGGAATAATAAATTTTCAGAGTTGTTTTTACAGTTATGTCAAAAATTACTGATTTGGTTATACTATTAGAAATACATAGACAGATAATTATGAAATTATTGTGAGGTTTGGTAAGTTAACTGTTTATATTTGGACAACGTTTCTGCTGTACTTTATTGGAAGGAGAAAAACAATCATTTCCTTAATAACAATTTAAACAATTTTTTTAAACTAAAACAGTAACATTATAGCATATGTCTCCATGTTTGTTAACTGATGTGGTTAAACATTTAAAAAAACTTAGACTGATTTCCAGCACACATGAAAAACAAAACAAATCCTTATTTCCTGATGGCCTTTGGACTATAATGTAACTTAAATCGAAAACTATCTTTAGAAAGATTTTTTCCTCCAAAAGCATTTTATTTTAAAAATCCAATTTAAATTTTAAAAAATCAATTTAAATAAAAAAATCCAATTTAAATAATAAAAAATGATTTTTTAATTTATTTTTTAAAAAATAATTGGCTTTTATGTACCCTGGTTTTGCTTCATGAGGTATTTCATTTACGTTGAGCTGGGCTGCTTCATTAAACAATAATTTAACAGATTCTTTCCTCAGATTGATGGATAGTTGACAATGCTTTCTGAAAGAATGTAGCCTTGAACCAGCAAGGGAGAATTCATGTGTAGAAGCAGGCATTCATGCATGTGCCCCTCTCTGGAGCCATGTCCACAAATAGCTGTAGTGCTCAGGGTTTCTAATCTGATCCATCAGCTTTAGGTGTGGGTAGGTTTGGCTCAGTGGGTAGCAGAAGCACTGATCAGCAATCAGTGCTTACTTAACCACCCATTCCTGGTCAATGCACCAACATTAATTGAATGTTCTAATCATTTGCTCAATAGCATCCCAGGGAAACAGATAAAAACCAGGACTGTAACTGAAACAAATCAGTCTGTTTGTTGGTGTACAGTGCTTCATTGGAGGAATATTGTAATCTTCATATAGCAAATGGTGATATGAGGAAATAGGAATAAAATAAATCAATGTAATGCAATATAGCAATGTAATACTTTTAGAAAAAATAGCTTTAAAATGTCCTAAGGATTTGGCCACCTTCTAACTTCCTCTAGCCCAACTAGTTGTGAAATGGAATTTCCAAATTCTCTCACATATTCACATTTTGGAAGAGCTACTCATCCAGGCCTGCAGCTGTGCAAAAGCATGCAAAGCAGAGTTGAACAGGGAGCAAGCAGAGAGTGAAAATGATTCTGTGAAGCACCTTTTATATTGAACAGGAACTGTATCTGGAAGATGGAATTTCCCATCTTTTATATCAATTTAATTACTTATGTAGGTGAGCTTACATAAAATGTCAATTGCGGATTGCAATAATCTAAGCGTAACTGGAACCCTTACTTCTTCACCTAGAGTATGTGCGCCCTGATGCATTCCAGTGCTTGCTTTCCAAAACAGCTCGGTAATGCCATGATTCCATGTATGTTTAGGCATCAAAGCTGTCATCTTCTTCACATTCCTTAACGGCACATTATGCTGATGGCATGAAATTTCCTTCTAATCATATTGTCATCCAAGATGTCAAAATCTCACACGACTGTCACTGAGAAGCAGCAAATATTTCCAAGCACAGTTAATTTTTTCCATTCTTGTCATCACCATGGCTTCCAGTTTAAAAAGAGTATGACTTAGCGGATTCGCTGATTTAGCAGAAATCAAAGGCGCTTGCCATCACCTTTAGTTCTGCAGATTACAAACCACAGTGCTTCGACCATATTGGCTGGCAGTGGATGCTGTTAATCTGGACATTGCTAGCTCTGCAAAACTATGAAGTACAGCAAATGGTATTAGGGATGGGGGAGAAATTTGACTCGATTCACATTTAAAGGTAAAACTCCCCAGTTCACACTTTCTTAAACAATGTGGAAATTCAGCCATCCTTTAAAAATTGCACTCCCCTGAATTTTTGCAGTATAGTTCTTAGGCAAAGTAATGTGTAAAAAAATGCAGATTTTAGGGTAGACTGTGTATTAAAAATGCATATATTAACTGCACATACTAAAAGGTGTTATATAATGGAAAATGTGTACGTTTGGGAAAATTGCATACAAACAGGCATATATATGGAGAAATTCACACAATGATGCTGGTGAATTTTCACAATCCCCTCCCTTTTTTATTTAAAAAAAATGCAAACTGATGTGGAAATGTGGAGAACTGAGGTTTGGAAAAAGGAGAAACTGAAATCAATGGATTCACTCATCCCTATAGCTGTGAGTTAAGGGACGTGGGTGGCGCTGTGGGTTAAACCACAGAGCCTAGGATTTGCTGATCAAAAGGTCAGCGGTTCGAATCCCCGCGACGGGGTGAGCTCCCATTGCTCGGTCCCTGCTCCTGCCCACCTAGCAGTTTGAAAGCACGTCAAAGTGCAAGTAGATAAATAGGTACGGCAGGAAGGTAAACGTGCGCTGCTCTGGTTCACCAGAAGCAGCTTAGTCATGCTGGCCAATAAAGCGAGATGAGCGCCGCAACCCCAGAGTCAGCCACGACTGGACCTAATGGTCAGGGGTCCCTTTACCTTTTATCCAAAACTAGGCCAAGATAAACTATGTTTCAGACATGTAAAAACTGTCCTAATTTGACCAGGGCTTAGAGGTAGAGCATTTGCCTTGCATGTAATTCAGGCCCTGGTATCTCTAGTTAAAAGAAGCTGGCAGGAGGGGATGTGAAGAACTTTTCTTTGCCTGAGAACTTGGAGATCTGCTGCCAGTCAGAGTAGGCAATGCTTGGTTAGATGGAGAAAAAGTTACGTCTAAGTATAAGGAGTTTACTATGACTCAATGCGGTATATAAAGATTTCTTCAAATCTTTTGGAAAATCTTCTCATTTCAGCGCCTTAAATGTCTAGTGCCGCGTCAGGTAGACTTGACACTGCAGCAGATTTCAGACAACTTTCACAGCAAAGCCAAGGACCTCGAAAGTCAGATAGCCCGGATGCAGTTTGTGGAGCAACAGCAAGCAAAGAAAATTCAGGCGGAAAAAATCGTTGAACAATTTGAAAATGTGAGAAGCCTTTTTATAAAAACCTCAAAGCTGCAGGAAATGTTTGTGCATTGTTTTATGCTTAAGCCTATGAATTTTCCCGCCAGCCGCATCAAACACAATGGGAATTATTTCTAAGTAAATGAGGATTGTGTTGTATATATAATAGAAAGCTAATGGAATTAAATTGTAGTGTTTTCATTTAATTCAGCTAGAACTGGTTCCGTTTGCCCCACAAAGCCTGTAGTATAGCGCTGAATCGGAGCGGAAAGCAATTGGGTTTTCGGAGAATTGCAGTTTGTTCTGATTTAGCACTAAAGAGTGTGTTTTCTAGGGGAAAGTAGTGGGTTAAAGGCAAAACCAATGGGGCTCGTACCTAGAAAGCACGGGACAAGCATAAAACCTCTTGGACCCATGCTTTCCAGGCACAGGACAAGTAAAAGTGTGGACGATCCCTTAGTTTCATTTGTATATCGCTGAAGGTGATGCTGGAGTGTCATTCCAGTGCTTGGGGGTAGGATTCAGGTTGCTTTTGAAGTATATGAATCCTAGACTGCAGGGGGCTTTAATTGCAAGCACCAGTGCCTTGCATTTAGCCTGGCAGCAAATTGGCAACTAATGCAGTTCTTGCAAAGCTGACTGAATAGGTTCCCAATAGCAGGGATACAAGCTGCAGCTTGCAACACTGTTAACTTCCATTTTGCGTGCAGAACACATTAAAGCAACTGACTCCAGAGCAGGGGTGGGCAAACCTTTTTCCACCCAAGGCCAGCATTTCCTGGATAAATTTGCACTAAATCTTGTCGGCAATCACGTTGGCAGTAGGGAGACTTCAGTGGGAGGCCAAGAATGTAGTCTGTTGCCATTTTTGCAAAAGAAGCAAAATGTTATGCTGAATTCCATTGCGTTGCATTTTTGTTTTGAAATCCAGTTATGTCCCTCAGCAAATGATCATATGGAACAACTGATTGCCCTGAGTGGGGATATGCATCTCTTTGGACGTCAAAAGACACATTCAGTCAGTTTAATGGGGCACAAATGACCAGTGGGGTGGAAATACATATCTGCAGTGGTTGCGAGTATGGAAATTCTTCTTCCTGAATTTGGGTGTTTTTTTAATCAAATACCATTTTGCCCCCACTTTTCAAGCTTTGCACATCCATGCAAAAACCCTTTACTCATTCACATTTTATTTGAATCATTTACTTAACAATATGCCTCAATAACAGTTTGATCTAGGGCGTCAACATTTGGAATAAGACACCAGTCCAAAGCAATTGGGTTTAGGCTTACAGTCGCTCCACCCCCACCCCTGCTACTTTGAACACTGGGAGGGGAGGTTATTTCCAATGCAACACTTCACGATTCCTGAAATAGGTTTTAGCCTGAACATTAGACTCTGAACATTAGAAAATGAATCCTGCTGTGCTAAATCATGTTATTTAGCTGCAGTTTCTATGGGAAATTTAAAAAGGCGTTTTTATAAATAACAATTTTTAAACTTACGCTGAGTCACACTTCCAGTGCGCTTGCATGAGATGGCAGACTACTTTTCAATTACATCTTCATTATAGCTGTTCAGCTTGTTACTCTGTGATTATTAAAGTAAATAGGACCGGCACCAGGTTTTGAGGGGGCACGTGCCAAAGTGCTAGCTTGTGGGGCCTCCTGTGTAGGTATAGCTGCCATTATTATGGGCAGCTTAGAGCCACCGTTTTCAGTTTTCTCCAAGCTGCCTCACCCGAGGAGTACAGAGTAGCTGTCAGCTAGCGGTGGGCCCTGTGTTAGGAATAGGAACCCACTGGGGCACTCAGTCCCTGGTGATTGCCTGAGGATGTTGCATACTGCCACCAAGTGTGAAAATCATGTAGGTTGTGAGGAATGTGTCATCCCACATCCAGCAGCAAGTTCCTCCTGTGTGACATGGTAGGATGTCTTATCGCAGTCTGGGTAGCACTTGACAGACAGGAGGCAGGGCTCTGTGTGACTTGCACTACCCTGCAGCCCATCATTTGCTTGCAGAGAAGCCACCCCTGGGCATGCTCATAGGTAGAACGTCTGCTTTGCATTCAGAAGGTCCAAGGTTCCATTCCCAGCATCTCCAGGTAGGGCTGGGAGAGACTCCTGGCCGAAACCCTAGAGAGCCACTGCCAGTCAGTGCAGATGGTACTGAGCTAGATAGACCAGTGGTCTGATTCCGTATAAAGGAGTTTCCTATGTTCTTATGTAACAAATAGGGACGCGGGTGGCGCTGTGGTCTAAAACACTGAGCCTCTTGGGCTTGCCGATCAGAAGGGCAGCAGTTTGAATCCCCATGATGGGGTCAGCTCCCATTGCTCTGTCCCAGCTCCTGCCAACCTAGCAGTTTGAAAGCACACCAGTGCAAGCAGATAAATAGATACTGCTGTGGTGGGAAGGTAAACGGTGTTTCCGTGCGCTCTGGTTTCCGTCATGTTGTTCCGTTGCACCAGAAGTGGTTAAGTCATGCTGGCCATGACCCGGAAAGCTGTCGGCAGACAAACACCAGCTCCCTCGGCCTGAAAGTGAGATGAACATCACAACCACATAGTCGTCTTTGGCTGGACTTAACGGTCCAGGGTCCAACATGTAACAAATGCCAAACGGTAAGAAATGGTGAACTTATTTGAGATGCTGTTTATAGTGATTACAAGCCCTTTAACTTCTCATAATATCTCATTTTCTTTTTGCTTTTTTTTAAAAACAAAAAAGCTCCCATTATTTACTCCTCCCAATTTTGTAATACGTTTGCGACCTTTGTGTGGGCAGAAAGTGACTCTAAAATTATAGCGCTTTGTGGGTAATTAATACTTAACAGTCAGTAGCCAGTTTTAAATAGCTCATTACCTTCTCATTGGATATTTAGAAAATGGTAGAAAATCGAAGGCAGCATGAAATAATGGCTAAAATTCAAGCAGCAATTATCCAGATTCCCAAACCAGTACTGCAGCGCCCCGTCAAGGCAATTGAAGACCAAAAGATTATGAGAAGGAGGAAGGAAGCAGAGGTAAGTTCTGAAATTTTAGAACTGGAAATTTAAAAATCATAGGCAATGGAATGCACTAAGTATTCATTGCTCTGGCACTACATCCCAAATGCCTCCACTTGGAAGCAAAGTCTCCTCAATGTGTTTCAGGGGGGAAAATGTGTTTGTAGAATTATCAGTTATCTATCTATGGAATTAATCATCCATTGTGTATCATGATGTTTGAAGAATGTGTGCATGTCTTTGTAAGTGGAATTCTGGTAGAATAGCTCTTGGGAAGGGGCTTGGGGACCCTGGCAGATTATCTGTGAGGGTGTGTGGCCTTTGAGCTGAAGAAGATGCCTCCCCTGTGTTGCAGGGTATTGAACAAAAGGAAGGAGATTCAGATGTGCCTGCTTGTTTTTCAGATCACCTATGCAGAAATTAAGAAGTTTGAAAAGCAGATGAAGAAAGAGAGTGGTATGCCTACCAGGCTCACTGAGAGGTAATGTTTGGAACAAGTGATTTCTGGGTAGACTTGCTGTTCCACGTGGAAACTGAAGCAAGTGAGGGTCTCCCAGTCTTGAAGCTGCCAGTCACCTGGTTAATAAGCATTCTTTCTAGGCAAATAGCTTGTCATGCAGATGGGCAGATAAAATGTGTTGGTGCACTGCACTGACATTAAATTCTGCTTGCTGGAAACATTGCCTTCATTTTAATTTTTTGTTGGAAGTACTTTATATTGACTTGTGGTTTATTATACAAATGCTTTTTCACATGCTATTGGAGTGATATATACAGTTTAAGACTCTTGGTATATATTTCCACTCCAGAGTATCTTGGGGTTCCTAAAGCAATTGTAGGACTTCAAATGAAAACCTTTCTGTCTACTTTCTACACCCCAGATATCCTGCTATACCCCTCTACCATGTTCCCCCCTACTTGCCTTTTTTTGTAAACTAAAATTCCCAGTTCCTTTCTTTCTCATAGGGGAGTTGTTCTAGCTTCATAATAATTTTGGTTGCCATTTTCTGAACCTTTTCCAGCTCAACAATATTCTTTTTTGAGGTGTGTTGACCAGAACTGTATTCCAAGTGCACTAACTATAATTGCCAATTTATTTATTTTTTTAAAATCATCATCATCAACCTTTATTACGGTCCAGAATTGCCAATATTATTTAATTATTATTTTATTTTAATTGCCAATATTATTAATTGCCAATATTATTTTCAGTTCCTTTCCTAATGATCACCGATGTGGAATTTGCATCTTTCACAGCTGCCACACGCTGGTTTACCATTTTCAATTACCATTTTCACCATGATCCCAATATTTCCTTCATGGCCAGTCTCTCACCAGTTCAGACCCCATTAGGATATATGTGAAGTTAGGACCATTTGTCCCAATGTACATCACTTGCCTACAGTGCCTACATTACACTTGCCTACAGTGAATTGCATTTGGCATTTTACTGACCATTCACCCAGTTTGGAGAGAACCTTCTCGAGCTCTCTGCAATCCTTTTCTGTTCTTGTCACCCTGAGCAATTTATTATTATGAACAAAGTTAGTTGCTTAATTGCTCACCCCTTACTCTAGAGACCAATACTGAACACTGAGAGACCTCAGGTGTTACATCCTTCCACTGAGAGAACCTGCTCTCTAATTCCTGTTATTTAAGCATTTACTGATCCATAAGATGACCTGTTCTTTTATCCCATGACTATTAAACTTACTCAGGAGTCTTCGGCCAGCAATTTTATCAAAAGCTCTCTGAAAGTCTTATTATACCATGTGTACTCCGTTGGATCACTCCATCCACTTTCATTGCCTAATCCTAACCCTCTCTTCCATTTGGAAGTCTGAACCATTTTCAGTATCATCCCTTAGTGATGATTTATCCTGAACTTCAACAGTAAATGCCTTTCCCCCGAAGATACAGTGGTGCCTCGCAAGACGAAATTAATCCGTTCCGCGAGTCTCTTCGTCTTGCGGTTTTTTCGTCTTGCAAAGCACGGCTATTAGCGGCTTAGCGGCTATTAGCGGCTTAGCGGCTATTAACGGCTTAGTGGCTTAGCGGCTATTAGCGGCTTAGCGGCTTTAAGAAAAAGGAAACAAACTCGCAAGAACTCGCAAGACGTTTCGTCTTGCGAAGCAAGCCCATAGGGAAATTCGTCTTGCGGAACGACTCAAAAAACGGAAAACTCTTTCATCTAGCGAGTTTTTCGTCTTGCGAGGCATTTGTCTTGCGGGGCACCACTGTACTTTTTTAAAAGCTGTTCTGCCAATAGATTTTATGCACCAGCAGTTCAGGTTCTATACAGGTTCAAGTGCAGCAAATGGATGATAGGGAAGCTATGCCGATCTTCTTTTTTATATACTGTCCGGTCATATTCCCAAGAGAATTTCCAAAAAGAATTAAACAATTGAAATTTAAATTAAAAAAAACCCTGAATCATCTATAAGAGCCACAAACTGTATGAAATACCTTCTCTTCCCTCCATCACCTACCCACCCACTTCATGGTTGTTCCAATCTGGATTGTGTGCCCTCACCCCTAGCACCCAGCACATCCCCTACATAGTAAACATAAAAACCAAGCATGTAAAGGCCAGACACATGATTAGCATCACATCTAGTTTCACGCTTGAGCACCATGGGACAGCAGCTGCCTCCTTTTTGTTGAATGTTCTCCTTTTAGCACTTTTGAAAGGGTGATAGATAAGTAAAATGGAGAGAGCCCAGGCTCCCAGTGTTGGGATACTGCGGAGGAGACGGGGGCATCAGGCAGGCCCCCAGCTGGCTCCAGCCCCCGGCCGGCAGCTGGGCGATCACCGGTTCCCGGAACAGCATCAATCAATCAGTGACTCGAGCCTCAGCAGCCTTCTGAAGCTACCAAGCACGCTAATTAGCAATACAAAAGCAATATACAAAATGGAAGTTCCCAGCAGACTGTGCTGGAAGTAAACAGGCATGTGACACACAACAGTCATGCCTTTACCTTTTAAGGTGGAATGGAACTATGTCCTAACACCCAGAACTTTAAAGTCCTAAAGACTTTGGAGGAAGATAGAAGCATGTAAGTAAAAAGCAGATGCTTCTCCTTTCTTTAAACAGTTTCTGCCACCATCGCAAAGTGGTTGTGGCATTCCTATAGGTCTCCTGGGTCTTCTCACCTCAAAGTATCTCCCCTCTGAAGAAGGGTGCCACATCTGTGACATAGAACCCTTCCTCAGAGCAAGGCATCATGGGGGCAAGATGGCCCTGGAGAGCCATAGGAGGCTGAAGCTGCAAAAGTGGAGAGGTGCTTCCTGAAATGCTCTGATTCCACACAAAAACACTATGTAACTCTATAAAGCGCTGTGCAAGGATTGACAGCACTGTGAAAATCATTGACAATAGTCACAACATTTGATGAGACAGATTGGTGGCAGTTCCTTTGTGCCTTATATAGATATTTATATAACACTTGATGCCCCCAATTATTATTTTAGCATGGTGCATTCGGCAGTGCCTTCACAGGAACTGGATACAACTCCAGCCATCACTGACCTGTTGAACACCTACTCAGATGATGAATATATCAGGAAAATTCAGAAACGTCTTGAGGAGGATACCTTTGCCCGCGAACAACGGGAGAAAAGACGACGGAAGATGTTAAGGGAGCAACTGATAGCCCATGAAGCACAAGAAGTGAGTTAGATGTACTGCTTTCTCATATTTTTGGGTTACACACTGACAAAGTGGCAGCGAGTTATCAGTTTGTGCTAAGATACACAACTATCATAGTGAGGCCCATTAGTGGAGGAAAATTTGTAGTTGGGCATTTTCAGGGGCTGGCAGGACACTGACAAGTTTGCACCGGGAAAGGGGGCTGGAGTCTGACTTGGGAGTGGGGGTCAGTGATTTGCGGGGAACTGTACCAGCCAAGAGGCAAGAGTTGGAAGGAGGGGAAGCCTCAGAGCTGCAGGATGGAGCACAGGATGCATCAGAAGAGGAGGGAGAGGCAGGCCAGGCAAGTGAAGGGCCAGGTGCTTCCCCACCCTCTCCTGCTCCACTGTCTCCCAAAACCAGGAGGGGATTGAAAAGGGATGAACAGAGGAAGTTTGCATGCAGGCATAGTCTCTGGCTGCTTGTGCGCAGCCGGTCGGGGGAAGATACGTAAGCTGGTGGATGGGGACTAGCCCCCTGTTGCTGCAACTGCTCCATAGAGCGCAAACCTGGGAACAGTGTGTGTAAGCATCCAGAGCTGTAGAAGCAACGCTATATTTGACAATAAAGAGTTAACTACCTGCTGTGTGTATTCCTTTGGCTGGGAAGCACCCTTGACAGCCATAGTTTTTATGGAGTCCAACCAAAACTGCAAACAAGCCTTCTTGTTCTTCAGAGCTCCTCATCAGGCTTGATGTTAAGCAAAATGGTAGCAAGAAAAAGCTGACATGACGCTGAAACTTCAAAGGGCAGCAGTTGCAGCAGTTTTCAGACTACATGCAGGGGCTCCTGCTTAGCACTTAGCAGGGGGTAATCTAATGTGCAATGCATGATTACTTGGAAGCAGGTCCCACTCAGTTCAACTGAGTTTACTCGCAAGTAAGTGAATTTAGGCCCTACCATGGATTTTCAGTTTGTTCTTTTGCTTTTTTCATACATAGCAAGGGGTGGAAGTAGTTAAGCATACTATCGCAGGTTGTCTTTTAATTTTATTTCAGGAGGCATATAGAGAAGAGCAGCTCATCAACCGGCTAATGAGACAATCCCAGCAAGAGCGGAGGATCGCTGTGCAACTGCTGCACGTGCGGCACGAGAAAGAAGTGATGTGGCAGAACAGGATTTACAGAGAAAAGCAGTTTGAAGAGAGACGGCTCAAAGAATTCCAAGAAGCTCTTGACAGAGAGGAGGTAAACATTCATTATTTTCTCCTCCATCGTCGTCATCTTTTTTTAAAAAAAGAAACCTCTTGGTCTGCCTTGTCTCTTACATTCACAATTGCATTTATTCTGACTTGAATTTGCCTTCAAGATGCTTTGGAGGTATATGGTTGAAGGGCTCCAACTTGTTGCCAAAGAAACCCACGTAATCAGCAGAATAGAAGGACACAGAAAATGGTTGACACTTCGTGCTTGGTGGAAGCAGAAGGTTATCAACTCCTCCAATATACCAGTTTCCCTTAGGCTGGGAAGCAACTTTGTAAGCCTGGCCAGAACATTATTTTCTTAGCCTACTGCCAGAATTAGAGGATGCAAGGCCAGAACAAAATAATAATAATAATAATAATAATAATAATACAGCAAAGCCTTTTATTTATCTTTTTGGTGAGCATGAGCTGTTGTAGCATATATGCATACTAAGTGTTAGGTTTGGTTGCATTCTAATGCAGCTTGAAAGTGCTGAGAATGGTGTGCACTGTGGATGTGAATGCATTCATCTTGTGCTGCCAGGTGGAGATTTGTCCCATGTAGGGGTTACGGCTAATTTACAGAGTGCACAGAGCAGTGCCAGGTTTGTATGTGTTGGCTTCTAATCATCACTGTGCAGGCAAACAAATAGCCCAGGCTTCTCCCTGAGCTCCCTATTGGCTTGCCCCTCCCCTTTCCCCTAACAGTAATTAGCAGCAATGTGCAGTGTTGGGAAAACTGGTCAGCAATCCGGCCCCGCTGTGCTAGTCACCACACCACTCTTGGCCATCTCACAGTGATAAAGTAAGCTCAAACCCACAGCCACTGAAATTCTGCAGCACTCCTCAAATTAGGCATTAAGAGAGAAACATTTGCAGTGGAAGGAAGTCATGTGAGATCACATGGATTTTGGACTGTGGCCAGGGATCATGAAATTTGGGTGACATTCTGCTTACTTTTTTTGTCCAACTCCTTTTAGGCTCTTGCGAAGCAAGAGAAAATTGAGCAGGAGGAACAGGCCCTGAAAGAAAAACAGCTGCATGCAATGCTTGCTGCCAAAAGAGCTGAAGATCGCTATAAGAAGCACTATTCAATTTGTTGGGAAGTGGTTGAGCAAATCATTGACTTATCAACTAAAATAGGAGAATATCGAACGTTGACAAACAAGTAAGTTGTTTTATTCTGGTGGGACTTGGCTTGGTTTACCCCCACTGAACTGGGGAAAGTAAATGTTTTACACTCATTCCAAAGCTGCAGAAATAGATCGTTCTTCATTAGGAGCCCCAAGAGTTTGGACAGTAAAGCAGCCAAGAAGCCACAGGCAGAACAATCTGCAACCAAGTCAAAACATTTACTAATTCAGGCTGGGTAACCAGTGGCCCTCCAGATCCTTTTGGACTTCATCTCCCACCATCCCTCACCATTTGGCCAAGCTGACTGGGGCAGATGGGAATTGGAGTCCAGCAACATCTGGAGGGCTACAGATTCGCCATCATTGACCTAGGTGATATCATTAGTTATTTAATTTTTTAAAAAGAAAAAAATATCCTGTACATTTAATTATGTAAGAAAGCAGTATATTTGTAACTTTGTGATTTGCTCTTTCTTTGTTATGCAGTTCATGTTTCTCATAATAGTTTGGATGTAAAGACAAAGCCATTTTCTCCTATTAATTTATTTATTTAAAAAATGTACATATCACAGAGGTTTACCACAGACATACATTGAACCATACAATAAAAACCATATACACATTTTAAAATCTGCTCTTGCAGAAGGATAGTATGTTTACTGTCAGTGTAAAGGAAAGTTTTCAACAGGTGCTTTAAAGTTCAAACAGAAGGTTCCTGCTGAAACTTTATTGGCAGAGTCTTCCAGAAGACTAGGCCAATGATACTAGAGGCTCAGTTTCTTGTTGCTGTCAAATGAGTCTCGCCAATTTGGGGGACAGTGAATGACGCTCCTACAGATGATCTCAGTGATCAGGGTGGGATATAATGGTTCATGCAGTCTGTAAGAGACCCTAAGTTGTTCAGGGCTTAAATTAATTAAAAGTCCTTAAGGCAAGTCGTTGAATCTTGCTTGGCTGCAGTTGGGCCAGTGCAGATGTTTTCTACAATGGTGTCTCATGTTCAGCCATGTTCCCCCATCAGCACTTTTGCTTCTGCATTCTGCACCAACCAGAGCTTCCAAACCAGGACCAAGGGCAGCCCCACATAGAGCCTTTTTGTAGTAATCCAGCCTCTAGGTTATCAACACATGAGCTACTCCTTTCTAGGAACTGGCAAACCAGACAGAACTGGTAAGAAGCATTCCTAGCCACAGAGAACACTTGGGTTTAGTTTAGCATTACATCTGAACCTGGGCTTGTGGTTTGTCTTGCTCCAGACAAACCATGAGCTATAGTCAAGGTTTGTTCTTGGCTTGCTGCCACTCATCGTTTGTCTGTGAAAGGCAGACCATGAGCCTAGATTCACATGTACTGCTAAGCCAAAGCATGGCTCAGCTCCAGGAAGCATTGGCAGCAGGAAAACTAAAGGAGGAGTGAAGTGTGTCAATGCATGCCTGTGCGTACTCACTTTGGCTTGGTAATAAATGGGAACCATGTTGAATTCTGTTCTCTTCAGAGTACAGTGGTATCTCGGGTTACATACACTTCAGGTTACATACGCTTGAGGTTACAGACTCCGCTAACCCAGAAATAGTACCTCGGGTTAAGAACTTTGCTTCAGGATGAGAACAGAAATTGCGCGGTGGCGGCAGCGGGAGGCCTTATTAGCTAAAGTGGTGCTTCAGGTTAAGAACAGTTTCAGGTTAAGAACGGACCTCTGGAACGAATTAAGTACTTAACCCGAGGTACCACTGTAGTTCATGTTTTAATTTATTCTTTCTTTGTGTTGCCTATTTGATGTTGCTATTGATCCATGTAATTCTTAGAAAGCATGCTTTAATCGATCTGACCTCAGATTTATTAATATATATATGTTTGCTTGATTTCCTCAGCTTAATCCCAATAAAGCTGATGCGTGACTGGAAAGAGCTATTCTTAAAAGGAAAACCGATTTATGAGCAAGCTGAGATTGAAATGCCTTTGCCAGATGAACCAACTCCAGGACAATTAGTAGAACTGGACAAAATGAATTTACTAGATGAAAAAGATTATGATGAATATAAGGTACTCCCAACTGACATGGCCTAGTGGAAGAAAATGCAGCTCGTTAAAATCATTGCTCATGACTGCCACCTTTTGTCCATGATGCTGCATAGATTTCATATAATAGTTTATATTAGTTTAGCCCACGTAGTGAAATGTACTAAATAATCTGTCTTTCTGGGACTAGGCGATACTTTGTTGCCATTTTGGAAGGCTGTGCTGTCATCAACTGTTTTGCTGTTTGACACACAAATGCAGTAACCTCAATATGCAGGATCACCACACATTTGTGAGAAGTGAGTTACATAGCTGTTATTTCAGCAGAAGTTAAACTGTAGTACATTCCACTGTGCTAGAAAATGTAACATAAAGGAGTCCACAAAATCTAATGTGAAATAAACGCCACGTCTGTCACAGAATGAGTAGTCTTATTTCATACAACAGAATTGGTATCTGATAAGAAGGTGGATTAGTTTTTTCTAGTCAGATTCCTGGTATTTTGAGATCAGCTTATTTCAATATCATTACTTTTTATATAAGGCAATTCTGAGAAAGAGCTTTTATCATTATCATCTCCATGCAGGAATCTTAAGAAGAGAAATTATAGCTAAGTACATAATGTTTCTTTCTCTCCTTAGTTTCAAAAACGGACTATGATTATATAATTGAACTCTGAATATATGTATCTTATGATACATTTTTTTCAAAATGCAGTCACTCTCCAAATGCCATTGTTATCAATTTGGCTGCATTGAGGGAGAAAATAACCTTTTTTTCTGGGTTTGGCTCTACTAGCTTATTTGAGTCTATGCAGTACCATCTTTGCAAATAGTCTCTGTGTGTAATAGAGGTTTTTTTTAAATCTTGTTTGGGAAACTAATACCACATTTATATGTTCTCTTTGTGCCCACATCCTGAACCAATTTATTTTGGTACATTTTATTTTCTACTAAGTAGTAAGTCTTCATTAGGAGTTTGTGTGGTGGCTGCCTCAACAACACAAAGCATGTTAGTTCTTTCTTTTAGGTTTTAACACCTGTAAGTGAAAGTTGTTGTTCATAATAGGTTGTATATTTGAACAGGGATTTCCTTTGAAGAACAAAGACTGTTTTCGTCACTTAACATCAACACCACAGTAGTGTTGGCTATCATTAAATTGCCCCACAGAAATCAAGTGGTACATTCCCTTTATTTTCAGTGTGTTTGGCTTGTAGATTTAAGCTCAATCCTTATGATACCAGTACACTATGGTCATAGAATCATAAGGTGGCAATTGAGCTAAGTTTTACTCATAGCAGACCCATTGAAATTACTGAACACAACTAAATTCAGCCTAATCAGTCTACTTTGAGTAAAACTTAGTTGAATACTACCCATAGAGTTGTGCTAGACCAAGCCCCTTATTGGTGTAAGAAACCCCAGGGTTTGAACATCCTCAACAATCTCTGCTTAAAGATCTCCAGTGGGGGAGAGCCAACCACCCCTCTAGATAGCTGGCTCCACTGTGAAACCTCTCTTGTAGTCAAAGATGTTTCTCCAAATGCCTATTGAGGGAGGGATGGGGAACCTGTGGCCCTCTTGATGTTGTTTGACTACAACTACCATCATCCCTGGGTGGCGCTGTGGGCTAAACCACAGAGCCTAGGACTTGCCGATCAGAAGGTTGGTGGTTCAAATCCCCGTGACGGGGTGAGCTCCCATTGCTCGGTCCCTGCTCCTGCCAACCTAGCAGTTCGAAAGCACGTCAAAGTGCAAGTAGATCAATAGGTACCGCTCCGGTGGGAAGGGAAACGGCATTTCCATGTGCTGCTCTGGTTCGCCAGAAGTGGCCTGGTCATGCTGGCCACATGACCCGGAAGCTGTATGCCGGCTCCCTTGGCCAATAAAGCGAGATGAGCGCCGCAACCCCAGAGTCGGTCACGACTGGACCTAATGGTCAGGCGTCCCTTTACCTTTACCTTTACCATCATCCCTGGCTATTGGCCAAACCGTCTGGGGCTGATGGAAGTTGAAGTCCAACAACTCTTCCTATAAGTGGAGAAGGACTGTAGCTCATTGGAAGACCTCAGGCTTTGCATGGCAAAGGTTCTAGATTCCATCTCTGGCATCTCCGGGTGGGGAAGACTCCAGTCTGAAGTCACAGAGAGCTGCTGCTCCTTAGCACAGAAAATTCTAAGTTACACTGGGTCAATAACCTAACTCTATGTTTTTGTCTTGTTGTACAGCTGTGCTGTACATCACAGAATGTGTTTATAGCCCTTATCAAATAGAGTGTTCTGCTGAAATAAAAGTGTGGTTTTGTGCCATGTGTAATCTTGATACCACAGACTCTATGCTTAAAAATTGAGTTGTGGAGCCAAATTTTAGTGACCAAATCTGAAGAAGAAAGGCTGCAAGAGGCACTCAGACCTGGTGCCTAATTAATCTGCAGTTTTTAAAGAAAAAAATTATGGTCTTAAATTGCTATTTAAACTTGATATTTTTTTAGTGCTGCTATTTTAGTTTTTGCTGTGCTTTAAAGTTTGTATTCAGTTACATCTTTATATCCAAAAGCAGTTTCATAATGTAACGTAAGAGGAGCCCTGCTGGATGGATCAAACCAAAGGCCCATTTAGCATTCCATTTCCATAGTGGACAACCAGAATTTCTGCAGGAAGCACACACTGGATATGCCTGCAAGAGCAATCTCCTATTTATGTTCCCCAGCAACTAATTTATACAAGCCTACTGCCCTGATTCGTTATTTTGCTTAAGCTCCTAAACTGCAGGATGACCCTGATGGCTGTGTTGTTTTCTGCTGTTTTATGCAGAGTTATTTCACTAAGATGTATATAAATCTCGTTTTACATAGTCAGGCCAGTGGTCCATTGAGTCTACAGTTAAGGGTAGCATATTGGACACAGTCCAGCTGTCACCTCAAACACAGCTCTTGACTTTTTCTCTCCACCTCATCACCCTAGAACTTGGAATGCTGTAAATCAGGGATGGGAAACCTTGGCCCTCCAAATGTTGGTGGGTCTACAACTACTATCTCTGTCCATTGGCCATGCTTTCTGGGACTGATGAGAGATGGAGTCCAACAACATCTGGAAGCTCACACTTTTCCCCATCCCTGATGTAGTTCAGTCTTGGAGCTCTTATGCACTTTATGGCAGCTCTGCTATCCTTTTTATTGATTCTTTGTTTCCAAGGTAGATGTGCTTGTTCCATTCTTTCAGCTTGGGCAGCTGCTCTGAATGGAAATGCCTCCTTTTTTTAGAATTTTGGGGGAGTTCCATTCAATGCCCTTGAGACATGCAAACTCCACAGTGACAGGGCACAGTCAACAATGTCTCATTGCTTCTTTGTATGACAGATGCAAGTAGGTATGGATTGCTCACCAGTTGCCAGTTGTAGAGTTTCATGAAAGCGTGTGATCTGGACATGGGGAGAACCCATTCCACATTATAGCATATTTCACCTCTGAAGTACTGGTTCCCATGCTTCCAGTTGTGTACTTAGGCACAAACTGGGAGCAGAGGAGATGTCCTATGAAAACACACCCTTGTCTGCCTCCCCCAAATGCTCCTTTCCATCATCCTCGGTCTCCAATAGCTCTTCTTCCCCAGTCTGAGCGGTGAGTTCACTTATCTAAAACCTTGCCTTGAATTGCTTTGAGAAAGTAAGTGGCTTTCTCAGGTTATGATAAGGCAAGCTACAACTCTGATGTGTGCAGAGGAAGAAACCACAGAGTTGTACAATATGGACAAGATAATGGCCCAGTGTGGAAGATCTCCATGTCATCTCAACCAGGAAACAGTGACTCAGTGCTGGTTGATATGCTTCTCCACACACTCTTCCTCCTTTTCCAGCTGTTGTACACCAGCTTTGCCGCAAAGATCCTGGCTTGTATTCAGCCAAAGTTCCAGTTTCACCCAAACCTGGGATTATGGCATAACGTAGGCTAACAGCCAAGAAAATAGGGTGTTACTTTGATTTGTTAACTGACATCAAGGTATAGTTTCCTAGTTGAGATGCATTCTGGCTTAATACAAGTCAGGTTTTTAGACCAACGTCAGCACACAGTGAGGGGAAGCAGGCTATGAAGAGGACTCCCTTTCATCATACTCCCCCCTCTTCTTTCCATATACTCAAAGTCAAATAGTTACTCCTGTTTTGGGTAAAATACAGTTTGCCTTTTTTTTAGAACCAGCAAACTATGGTTTTAAATTTGCCTATCAAATCACTATTAGAAACTACAGTTTGAAGCTGGTTTCCAATCCTGGCTTGAAGGGAAAGCACAACATTATAGTTTGTTGTTTTAGGCAAACAATGGTTTGGAGAATCAGAAATGTTATGGGTGAACTGGTCGGGCATGGAAACTGAAAGTGGGGCCTTTTAACCTGTGTATACAGTTTAGTAAAATAACCCTTCTAAGGGAATTGAAAAGCAAGATACTGTCAACATGTGTCTTGAAGTTATGGTAGAGAGCTCACCCTCCGTGTCTCCCTCCCATTTCCAGAGGGGTGGCCATGTTAGTCTGTTCGGGGGGGGGGGGGAGTAACAATTATTATAGCATAAGCTATCATGGTTGAGATGGCCAACATGGTGCTCTCCAGATATTATTAAAGCCAACTTTAATGTGCTTAGCTATTGTGGCCAATGGTCAGGGATGATGGGATATGTACTCCAAAAACATCAGTAGAGCACCACATTGACTACCCTTGGATTAGAGTCTGCTTCAATAAATGCATGAACTAGTATCTTAAGTTGTTAGCTATGTAGATGTGTGTATGGATGCAGAAAGAAAAAAAAAGTAAATTCAGAGGGGAAAGGAAAATTATTAATATTTTTAGTTCATTTCTACTGACTTCACTGCTTGCATTTCCCTCTACCACACGCATGTGAATATATGCCTGCCAGCTTAGGACAACACTTTATACATTTGATGAAGTAGGCTTTTTACTTTATTTCATGTTCACCCCCTGAAATGTGGCCTTGGATTGTAAAGTCATTTGCTTTCCAATGTTTGTTGAAATCAAAAATTGTATTCGTATTTACACAAGTTGAATCTTCATCAGTTTAGATGTAGGAAACAGTAACTTCATATTCACTATCTAGTATGTCTGAGTACATGTAGTTCATCCTTCAAAAGGAAGTTACAATTAAAATAGATTGTTAGACAATCATATGTCAGAGGCATCACTTGGGTTTTAGAGACCAAAGCATAGAACTATTTAGCTGTTGCCTGTATTGTGTGTGTGTGTGTGTGCTGGTGACTCTAACAGGAAGAGAATCAGGCACATGATTTCAATATATAGTTGCAGGACCACATTTTTAATAGCCTGAGGGTCAAGAACACATGAGGCAGGCAGAAATTCTGTGACTGTATCTCCAAATTTTTCTTTGCAGGCTTATTCAAAGAACCATGTTTCTGTCGAGGTTTGTGCTAATATGATTAAGGAGGGAACAATGGGGAGTGAAGGGTTAAATCCTCCATTCCCAATTTTTCTATAATCTGTGTTACCTACCTGCACACCACAAAGTTGCTATCAGTCCCACTGGAGGAGGCTACAAGTTAGCCATGCATTCCTGTAAACCATCATCATGATTTGCATATAGAGAGACCTCTAAAACTTTATCAGCCCCAGCTTGTATATATTTACTCAGATGGAAGTTATCTCTGGTTCAGTGGGTCTCATTTCCACATAGGTGTGTCTAGAATTGCAATCTTAATTGGTACCCCACTTTTTTCTTTTACTGCAGCACTGGATGGAAAATGTGCAGAGTTTTATTTTGTAATTTGTCTTGTTACAGAAAATGATTGAGGAGTGGTACCCACCTGAAGATATCAGAGCAAATAAACCTCCACCGGGTAACCCAATACTGGGCTATATCATTCATAGACTGTTGGGACTCTTCTATCCTCCGGAGCCGGAACCACCTCCACCTGTATTGTCCCCATTTCCTATCAAGGGGTGCATTTTGGGAAAACACTTCAGTGGGAAAAGCACCTGCTTAAAGTTCTTGGAAGAAGGTAGGGCTGTTGCTTCCTCCACATCCTTCTTCCTACTTACTGGCTTGATTCATTTTTGTGTTCATGCTTTCTTTGTGGCCAACTGAACTCCCAGCAAAAATTAATGAGATACAGTAAAGCATAATTTGACTTGGTAAGCACAGTCCAATGAAAGTTAACTGCACTTAAAGGTAAAGGGACCCCTGATCATTAGGTCCAGTCATGGCCGACTCTGGGGTTGCGGCGCTCATCTCGCTTTATTGGCTGAGGGAGCCGGCGTACAGCTTCCGGGTCATGTGGCCAGCATGACTAAGCTGCTTCTGGCGAACCAGAGCAGCGCACGGAAACGCCGTTTACCTTCCCGCTGGAGTGGTACCTATTTATCTACTTGCACTTTGACATGCTTTCGAACTGCTAGGTTGGCAGGAGCAGGGACCAAGCAACGGGAGCTCACCCCATTGCGGGGATTCGAACCGCTGACCTTCTGATCGGCAAGTCCTAGGCTCTGTGGTTTAACCCACAGCGCCACCTGCGTCCCTTTAGGAGCCACTAAAAAGAGCAGAATTAAGTCATTGATGAGACAAATGAAACTACTATTACTCCCAAATCCAGTTTGCATATGAAAGGGCTGGGCTGTTTTGCTCCTCCCTGCTCACTTTGGGGAGAAGCAAACCATAATCTGTGGCTTAGCATGATGTCCAAACCAGGGCTCATGGTTGGTTTTGTTCTAATGAAGCATAATCAGTAAGTCAAAAACAAATCTTGACTGTATACCACAGTTCCTTAGGAGGAAAGCAAACAATTATTCCTAGTTTGTGGTTTGTTTTCACTAGGGATATGGGAGAAATGGTATCCAGTTTGCATTTAGAGGCAAACCTACGCAATTTGTACTTTCTGAAACAATGTGCATATTGAAACACAGCCATCCTTTGAAATTTGCACTTCTCCAGATTTTGCTTGGCTTCGCCAGCCAAGAAATGAATATATACGTACAAGATTTAGTGAAATTAACATACAAAAATGCATTTGATTAGGAGGCACTGCTTCGCAAAAATGTGTATAGTAGGCAAAAGCTCATACAAAAAATGGGTGTATTAAGAGAAATTCACAGTAAAATAGTGGTGAATTTTCATGAGGACTTCAGCAAAAAAGAAAATCACACACTAATGTTGAGAACTGAATTTAAGATGGGGGAAATAGGAAATGGGAAGAAACCAAAGCTGCCAGATTTGTCTCTCCCTAGTTTCCACCCAGCATGAGCCAGGAGGAGCAGGGCAGCTCAGAGTGGAAGTAATTTGTTCATGCATGGTAAGCCACGATTTGTGACTTATTATCATGACATGCAGATGTGCTTCGAATTTCCTAATAGTGCATTATCCCAACAGTCGCTTATGAACTGAAGATCTATGTTCTGGGTCTCCACAGCTGCCTTATACTGAACCAGACCTCTGGTTTATCTTTTTCTTGTTTCATCTGTACTGGCAGTAGCTCTCTAAGGAAGGGGTTTTGTATTTCCCCAGCACCCTGACATTAAAATGGCAAGAGAGGCCAAGGTTTATATCTGAGACCTTGGTCATTCAAAGCATGTGCTCTACAACTCCCCATGGTATGTTTATAGGTTCAGGTCCATCAATGGAGAATAACTTAGAACACAGTGGTCAAGAATGTCTTCATCAGGATCAAGTGAGGATTCCTTAAGAGAATCTCTGTGCTGCTTTTGATAAAACCACACAGAATTCATGTGATACTGTTGAATAGTATGGATGTAAGAAAGCAGCAGTTTCTATTCTGGCCTGTATTCATCACAACCTGCACTGTTTCCATTCTTTCCACCAAATGCTATGTTATCTGTCTTGTTGTCCGCTATCTAAAATGAGTCACCTAACTTATGTAACTATTTATGTAGCTTACATTCATTTCAGTGTAAAGGAAATGTCAAAACTGTGTTTAAAAGGGTTCATTGATTGCATATCCTTCGATGAAAAATCCTGATTGTATTTGCTTGACTGATTTCCATACCTGACCACAGACTGCTTCCATCTCTGTCTGCATCAGAATTCTCTGGTGTCCTTATTCACTAGTATTCTCTTCTGGTGTTCTAAAATCTAAGCCTATATCAGCTGGGTTCTCTCTGTGTCAGTTTGCAATATCCAGGTGATGTCAATTGATAAATTGATCACAGAGGCAATCCGGGCCTCCAATGAGAATGAGCCAGGAAATGATTTTAGTCCTCTTCAAGCCGAATTGGAAGTGCCTACTAGGAATCAGATTGAAGTAAGTCTTTATTTGTTGTGGAGCAATAAACTGCTGTCTAATTGAATCTGCTTCTTCCAAAAGGGTGTTTGCTATATCAGTCTGTAGTGGCACCATTCAATTCTCAGGAGGAGGTGGGAAGTTAGCATATGGCTCTCTAAGGCAGGGATAAGGAATTTCTGACCCTTCAGATGTTTTTGCACTCCTACTCCTATCAGCCTTAGCCAGTATCACCAATGGTCAGGGATGATAGCAGGGCACATGGGTTCAGGTGACTTTAATGCATGGTGGCAGTATTTATTATTTATTTGCTTCTTAAATTTATTACTCCCCCTCATAAACTAATTTTTCTGGGTGATTCACTGAGCAATAAAAATATAAAAACCCACCCACCCATGTGTGCTCACACACCAATACTTTACAATCAAATACAACACCAGAATTCAGTAAAACAAAATAGCTATAATCAGACACAGAATAAATTTAATGGCAACCGCTATTAAGTAACTTAATCATGCAGAGAAGCAAACAACTTCCTGGAATTAAAGCACATTTCTAACAACCATACAGATCTTTGGTCCCTTCTTGTTCACATATGTCACTAAACCAAGGGATGTTGTAGAAAAGGATCCAGTAGTTCTGTCTGACCAGCAACCTCTGCAATATGACTAATGGTCAGCTTCCATCTATATAATGGGAGCATGATAGGCGGGAACTGCCTGGTTTCTCTGGGGATATAGAGAGGGATTCTCATTCACTTGCTTCTGCAAAATTATTTGTAATTCCTTTCCTTCCGAGGCTAAATGGCCTTTTGCAATAGAAATGTATCATGTGGTCCTGTTTTGAATCCTCTGTACAATAATTCTGTATGTAGTTCTCAACGCAAGAAAGTTATTCATAGAATCATATGATTGTAGAACTGGAAGAGACCCCAAGGGTCATCCAGTCCAACCCTCTGCAATGCAGGAATTGCTGCTTAAGAATCTCTGACGGATGAGCATCTAAATGGCCAAGTCCACCACCTTCTGAAGTATTCCGTTCCACCGTTGAACAGCTCTTACCACCCGAGAGCTTGAAATGTAGAAATAAAGGGCAGAAACTCCAACAGAAAAGGACAACCAAAACTAAGATGGAGTTTGCAGTACCTTCAATATGCAGCAAAGCTGAAGATTATCAGACAAGCAAAGCAGGACACGGTGGAGATTTATAGAATTAAAAACAGCACCTAGAAACATTTGTCTCCTTATCCCGGGACTGATGGTCACCCTGTGATACTGATAAATAGAAGCTTCAGGATATCCAAAACGAAGTGGTTTTTCACACAACACATAATGTATGGAATGGAACAGAACAGTGCTTGTTGCTGGTCACCAATTTAGGATTGAAGCCTAACTCCACTTAGGTGGGAGTGAGCCCCGTTTGGTTTCAACAGGACTGATACTTCTGAGCACATATAGTTAGGATTGTGCTGCTTTGTAACGGAATGAGGCAAATTCTTGGAAGTCAGTTCTATAGGCAGCTCTTAGTCATGGCAATTATGCCCAGAGACAACATGTTTGATGCTCAGGACAAATAACAGGGGAGGTCTGCTTCCTTTGTGCCCTGCTTGTGAGCTTCGTCTCTCTGGCCTGTGTGAAGCCAATTGCTGCACAAGATGGAATTTTGATCTGATCTGGCAGGTCTCTTGTTGTGTTTGTGGAATCAGTGGTGTTGTCGGGGCAGGGCTTTGGGACAGAGGCCACATTTTGAAGTAAGTGAAATAATGTATGCGGTAATCTAAAGAGGGGCTCCCCGTAAGTTTTTGAAGTGTGGTGCTTTCAGTTATCTGTTTGTGCCTCCTGTTTAGAGCAGCCTTTCTCAACATTGGGTCCCCAGATGTTGTTGGACTACAACTCCCATCATCCCTGACTGCTGGCCCTTCTCACTAGGGATGATGGGAGTTCTAGTTCAACAACATCTGGGGACCCATGGTTGAGAAAGTCTGGTTTAGAGTATTATATTAAATTTATTTATTTATTCCTTTTAATCACCCCCCCAAAAAATACCTACTCCTGTGTCACAATAAGAAAATAAAAAGCTAATGGAGAGTTTGCTTGTTTTATCAAAAAGGTCCTGAAGGCAGCTTCCAGGGCTTCAATAACATTAGCGTATGACTTACTACAGGATGTGAAAGTCGATGAGACACCTGAGGTCGATGAAGGTAAAGGTAAAAATAAAAATCTCCATTAAGATTTAAATCATTGTTAAATCTCACTGAAAGTCAGATGGCAAAAAAACACACAAGCTTGCCTTATACTTTGCTCTGTACTTAACATTACAGTGCTTTGCAAGGTTTCATATTTTTGTCTTATTTCTGGTTTGTTGATCACAAAAAAATAATGTCCTTGCCTTTCGAACTGTTTCCTTGCCTCTAGCAGTTGCTGCAACTCCTGACAAGAGATTTTGGAACAATTCCTGTTCCTTTCTCCTTAGAGTTCTGCCTTTGCAACAGCCCTTTTGGTCAGAGCTGTTGCATGTATTATTATTATTATTATTATTAGCATGCATTTTTACAACTTATATATGCATCATACAGTATTATTATCCTGCATCCCCGGACTTCCCAATCCATTTCTCCATGACATTCTAGGTAGTCTTTTTATTAAATTTATTTACAACATAAACACATAACAAAGAACAGTTAACTGTAGTAAATAATCAATGCCAGTTTACAGTGGAAATAACATGCAACATGGGTGGGGAAAAAACTACCTAGAATGCCACCATTCTGAGTGGACAAAAGACTACCTAGAATGGTAGCGAGATGACTCCGTTTAGGTCTCCCATTATTATAACTTTTTCATTACGATAATTTAATAATTTATCTTCCAATTTTTGATAGAAGTCTGCCTTTTTATCATTTGGTGCGTATATTCCCACCATCAATATCTTTTCTTGTTGATTATATACCACTGTTAATTATTTCTGACGGCTTCCCAGTAAGAATTCTAGTAATGTGGTTTGAAAGGTGCTGAGAAATGCTCTCAGTTTGAGAGTTATAGCATCAGCTCTTCAAGGAACTGCAAATCCCAGGCTCCCTGGGAAGAGACAATAACTGTCAACTGACTGAGCCTGCAGGGTGGCAGGCAGGCACCCCCAGGACCCACTACCCTTTCTCTAGCATCTGGGGCACAGGGCAGAACGAAGAAAAAGAGTAGAACTGGGAACTCCCTAGAGTACATCTGAGTGGGCATAGTTTATGATGAATTACAGGTGCCAGACCCATTGCAATGGGCATGCTGACAGGGGTTGTTTGTCAGTACCTGGCAAAAAGGGAACAGCAAAACGTACAAGCAGGGGCAAAAATAGCAGCTATGTGGCTTAGATTCCCTGCTTTTCTTCTGAGTTTGTGGAGCTGTCCAGCAGCATGGCAAAACAGCAGGGAGCTGTCCAGCCATTAACTGGAACTGCTAGGCAGCAAGTCGCCGTTTTTGTAGCTTACTTGGCTATGTTTGTGGATCTTCCTTCTGCGACCCATAGATGCAATGTCCCATGCTGCCAGACTTACATTGTACCTTCGGGTTTGGGCTTCAACTGGCAGTGATTGTGGAGGGTCTTGAGCAGGAATGTGTGAGCTTTCCTGATGCAACTGGGCACCCAGTTCTTCAGGCTTCCAAAGTGGGTTATCTTCCAGTGTGGTTGTCGCAGGACCAACCAAAACATTCTGCTGCCCGAGGGAAGGAAAGAGGCTGTACCAATGATGCAGTAACTCAGTAATGCAGTACCCCAGGCGTAAAAGTAAAATGAAAGAAAGATTGTAAAATAGTTAGGGTAGCTTATAATGAGTCATCACATAAGGACAGACTTGTGAGGTGAAGAGGAAAAGTGTACCATTTACACCAGCAGCCATATTACAAAACACCTCACTCAGGACAATGGAGTAGGTTGGAGAGGATTCTCACTCCAGAACATCACACTTCCACAAAAAGCAAAATATTTGTGGGGCTCGGAATTTTAGCTGCTTTATTCAAATGATTTATTAATTTCCTTTTTACCAAAGTATCAAAGATGATTATGAGGGACTCCCCCAAACTGCAAATAGGCGTCAATTCCACATTAATTGCTGGAAGATAAGGTCATGCAGAAGAAGGCTTTGGTTTTATAGCATACTTTGGAGAAATGGATTGATTTTGTTGGCAAAATTATTGAAAGGACCTTTTCCCATGGCTATTGTAAGGTTCTAGCGCAGTGAATGCTTGTTTGATCGACTATTGCTAATACTATAAATGTCATCTAAAAATTGTACTCATTTTGCTGTTCCTAGAACCTGTGGAACAATCACCTTCCGTTCAAATGATTGAACAAGAGAAGATGAGTGATGTTGAGGATGACCTATCCAAAGTATGCACTTGATTTTTTTTAATTAAAAAATTCCTTTCTATATAGATAACAAGGTTGAGCCTGACAAATCCATGACTTTATATTTTTGCTGGCTGACTTCTGTGTTACATTTGTGCTGCTGGAATTTGTTGAATGATCGGGTGTTGTTTATTTACAGTATTCATTTGAATCTGGAGTGGGGCTTTTTTGGAGTAGTATGTTTGTTTTATGCTGTGTTTTATTACAGCATTAACTACTTCAATCTTGTTGGAGAAATGGGGAGCAAAGAAATTGCCTGTGGTGTACACACAATTTGTTTTGGCTCATTCATTTGTCCCCTTGCAGGTTTTTGAGGTACTACAAATCCCTGCAAATTCTGTTTACTCAGTTGTGGGATTGAGTGTGAACACCTCAGGAGGCAATACCTCTGGAAAAAGCACTCTCTAATAAAACTACTGTATTTTTTGCTCTATAAGACTCACTTTTTCTCTCCTAAAAAGTAAGGGGAAATGTGTGTGCGTCTTATGGAGCGAATGCAGGCTGCACAGCTATCCCAGAAGCCAAACAGGCAGAGGGATTGCTGCTTTCACTGCGCAGCGATCCCTCTTGCTGTTCTGGCTTCTGAGATTCAGAATATTTTTTTCTTGTTTTCCTCCTCCAAAAACTAGGTGCGTCTTGTGGTGTGGTGTGTCTTATAGAGCGTATAATACGGTAGTTTTTTTAGTCTTGACAAGTGTTTCATTTACAAAACAAAAACCACCCAACAATTTACTACTACCCTTCTTGGTTTTGCTGACTATGCTGGGGACTGTAGCTCAGCAATAGGTAAAGGTAAAGGTAAAGGTACCCCTGCCCGTACGGGCCAGTCTTGACAGACTCTAGGGTTGTGCGCTCATCTCAGTCTATAGGCCGGGAGCCAGCGCTGTCCGCAGACACTTCTGGGTCACATAGCCAGCGTGACAAGCTGCATCTGGCGAGCCAGCGCAGCACACGGAACACCGTTTACCTTCCCGCTGGTAAGCGGTCCCTATTTATCTACTTGCACCCGGGGGTGCTTTCGAACTGCTAGGTTGGCAGGCGCTGGGACCGAACGACGGGAGCGCACCCCACCACGGGGATTCAAACCGCCGACCATGCGATCGGCAAGTCCTAGGCGCTGAGGTTTTACCCACAGCGCCACCCGCGTCCCCCTAGCTCAGCAATAGTGCACATAAATTTGTTTTCAAAAGCCTTTTCTAAAGTGCCCTGCATTTTGAAAGGGGCTTTACCTGTCCCACACATATATGACATCAGGTGCAGGATAGGAGGGTGTGGCCTGGAAGAAATGGCCTCATAGGCCAAATGGGGATGCCCACAGGTTCGCTACCTCTGTGCCAAGTTCTCACGTTGCATCCCTGGTAGAGCAAATTAACCCAGAATCTTTCCCAGAGTTTTCTGAATATCTGAACTCACCCGTATCTCATCCTTTAATTGTCCATTTCTCCAGGTCAGGGCTGGGCAACTTTTCTGGCTCATGGGCAAGATCTTTATCTGGTCCTACCCCCTTGGGCTAACATGACTACCCACCTGTCAATCACATGGTGTCATTCTGTGACATGTGCTTGGCAGATGGGTTGTCCCACCCACTTACATTTCAAAATCCCTCATGCACTGTTTTCCTGCTCAAATATGAAAAACAAATATATTTTGCTATTGCAAGCCATTTCAGCCTAAGTAGCACTTTTGATCCCAGCCTTAATCATATGTTTCCATTGACAGTTTCATTGATGCTAATGGGAGCTTCTCCCCAGGTAAATAGTGGGCATGGGGAGATTTGGATTTGAACTGCAGTGAGGGGCAAAAGGTAGAAGCCTGTCTACCCTCCTCCTCAGCCAGGGTTCCAGTGCAGGCCATTAGTAAAAGAAAAGTCCTGCACTCAGGGGCAAAGCATGTGATTGACCTCACATGTAGCTTGGCCCTTGGTTTTCATATAATTTTTGTTTTCAGGTGAGCTGGAGATGGTCATTGAATGGGTGCCAGAAGTTGAGCTAAGGGTAGGAACCAAACCAGGGGTGCTGAGCTAATGGTTTGGGACCAGGAAACAAGCAGAGAGCAATGAAAGACCTATCATTTCCTAGGCAAAGTTCCAGCCTTAACATGAAGTCTTTATAGCCTTTCTTGTAGAGGATAGTCAGTGGCTGGCCTGGGAGAACATGGAGTTATACCAGGGGTAGGCAACCTAAGGCCTGGGGGCCAGATGCAGCCCAATCGCTTTCTCAATCTGGCCCACGGTCAGTCCAGGAATCAGCGTGTTTTTACATGAGTAGAATGCGTCCTTTTATTTAAAATGCATCTCTGGGTTATTTGTGGGCCATAGGAATTCGTTCATTCCCCCCCCCCCAAATATAGTCCGGCCCCCCACAAGGTCTGAGGGACAGTGGACCGGCCCACGGCTGAAAAAGATTGCTGACCCATGATTTATACAGTCAGTGGGGACATTTTTTTCCGACTGGGAATAGAAAGAGCAGGGCAGAAACAATTCTGACTAGGAATCAAAACCGAGTCAAAGGGTCTAAGCTCTTCCCCATGCCATTTTCCTGCTTTGGCTCCCCCACCCCACCTCACAAGCTATTTTCAAAAGGAAAACCAGTCATGCAAGTGCAAACCATAGGAATAGATATAATTTGGCCTTAAGTTGTTTAGAAATAACCTCAGTGACATCAGGCTGGTCGGTCTTGGCCAAATGTCTTGCTCTCTATTGAAGTTAGAGAACTTCAGTTACAAATAGGTGTGTTTCTATTCCTCTAACCAAATTAATGTACAATTGCCAAGGTTTCCTCTCCTTGTTTAAATTTCTCCCATAAAATTCCACAGCTTTCGATTCGCGCTCAGCTTGGTGCAGCAGCAGAGAGCTTATTAAAGAAAGGAAAAAGCATTCCAGATGAATTGCTAGTTGGCATCATGGTGGAGGCTATTAGGTATGGAATAGATGACTCTGCATGACTCTATTTGAATGTGGTTAAATGTGTCTGTTGTTAGGGTCAGGCTTTGCCATCATTACGATAAAGAGTAAATTGCTCTGGTAATAACCACTCATTAAAATAATTTGAGCCTATTTCTAGAGGGAGATGCTATTCATCGCCCCAGGAAGAGCAACCTTATTTGCCATGCACATATAGATCAGAAAGCATTACAGTTAATGCTCACTGAATAGCTTTCATCTTTCCCCATTCCCCTTAAAAGAAAAGGTAGGAGCATGTATCCATGAAAAATTCTACATGATTTTAAGCAGACCTGAAATACTTGGTGTAAATACCAGGGAAGGGTCCATTGTATTATAATCCATGCAGTTTATAATTTTTTCTTGATTTTCTCTGGGGGTTTCTCTTGTCTATTTAGACGGGGGGGTGGGTTCTGTGAAGAGGCGTCAGGGCATTGCAGACACCACAGCCAGTGATTTTGGGAGAAGCTAGATTTATTAGACTTTTATTCCTATGTTATTTTTATTTTCTGATAGGCAAAAGCTGTAGTCGAGCCTATCTTGTGGAGTCTTTTTAGCACAGAGATGCACAATTTGTCACCCACAAAGACAAATGCAATCCTTCAGCCCAATATTGCAGCCTTCTAGGTGCCTGACAACACCCCTAGGTGCTTGCCATCCCTGGTAAGCAACCAGAGCAGAAGGTTTACTGAGTACCTAGAGGGATCCGTTCACCTTTGCAGATCACAAGTTGTACAGGTACAAGACCTTTAAATACCCCCTTTCAGTTTCTTGTACCTGTACAATGAAGCCAATGTGCTTTATATACGTTCAGTGGTTAATTATTAGTGCTCTTGGAGAAGCTATGTCATGGAATCATAGAGCTTGAAAGAACCATGCTAGCCGGAGTATGTAATGGGTTAAAAAGGCATTCTGAAAAGCAGTCATGAGAGGTTGCTAGTGGGTGTTGGTGGTAAGAGGCTGCTTAACCACCACCCCTGCCTCCAGCTTCTAGTCTACCTGCAAGGTGTGCAATGTCCATATGGGGATGGTCTATTTGTAACCCTAGTAACACCCCTTTTCAGGGAACAGGCTATAGCGTAGCCTTACTTCATTTGGGTTTAATGGTCATGTTTCTAAGGAATACGAAGTATAAAATGTTATAGCCAATGGACTACAGTAAAAATAGCCTTTGCCACCTTCTCATGTTCAATTCCCTCACTTGGTGTGAGACACAAGAATATGTTTTCATCATCTTGTGAATGTAACTGAAGTGTATAGTTGATTGTACTCTTCAGTTATCTTGGCCTGGTGAAGAAACACCTGCTGACCATGCTGTGCATGGGGAGCACAAGCCATGGGCAGGCACCCTCGTTTGGGCTAGTTGGGCCAAGAATCGGACCTGAAAGAAGGCAGTTTTCTATGCACGAGATTGCGGAATCAGTTTAATCTCCTCTGCCTTTGTATGTATACCAGCCATTCAAAAGACTTTGCTAGATTAGATTTCTTCTAATCTATTAGACTCCCAGAAAGAGAAATTTGGACTAGCACTACAAATGTGGCAATGCTGAGTCGACAAAGAAGTTGATTTGGGTGTGTGGCATCTGTGTTCATGGAATGAAATTCAGTTCAGGAGACCACCCAGCAGAAAACAGTAGTCTTTCCATGTGGTTTGTTTTTAGCCTTGGCTCAGCTGAAATGTTCTTTCTCCTCCCCCCACTTTTTCTTTTCAGACATCTTTATTTCAGTCTATATTCTTCTAGAACTCTTTTGAAATATTTAAATCTGCCTCTTTTAGGATCTAATAGAGTTTGAAAGAACCATGCTAGCCGGAGTATGTAATGGCAGAGGAAAATTATTTGAGTGCTGGAACAATGGTTAAAATCTTCCGAATGTGCTTAAGGTTGGTTCTGCTTTTCCTTTAGCCGACTGCCACCAGAAAGCGGCTGGATCTTGGATGGATTTCCGATGACACTGAACCAGGCCAAACTGCTTGAAAAGGCACTGACAAGGCGAGATCCTGACCAGACAGAAGCAATGGCTAAAAACTTTAAACCTGTGTTGGTTCCAGATCCATCAGCTCTAAAAGAGCCACCTGTGCACCCACCTGCTCTTGACTTTGCTATGTTGCTTGAAGTTTCAGACGACACTGTGCTGAACCGGGTGGCATTTGTCAAGCGTAAGTTTAAAGTTCAATGCATGCGATTAAGGCACAAACCCGTACTGACAGATTCACATAACTGTGTTAATTGCTACTATTGCACAATGGCCTATTGCCTGTGGATTTGTGGTTACGGCTTTGTCTGTAGATTTGTGGCTGAAGACAGGAGATGGCACATCCATGGCATTAGATATTCATATGGATCAACCAAGACCCTCACCAATTTTCAAGTCATCTGTGTGCACTGGCGGAGGAAGGGGGGTGCGGTAAGTGCAGCCCGCATCAGGTGTCACCCGGGGGGGTGACATCACTGTGTCACCCCCCTGGAATGCTTGCCTCAGGCAGCACCCCCCTGGGACGCTAGCTCCGCCCCCGGGTGCACAACATCTGCGCCGCTCCAGGTGCTGCAGCAGCTAGCTCCTCCTCTATCTGTGGGGTGTGCACGGGAAGTTTGTGAACCACTGGAACAGACAGCAAATGCACTCCAAAAATCTTACCTCCCAGTGGGACCTGTAACAAATGTTGCAGTATATCCTCATATCTCAAAAAGAGTGTCCTGTTCATTGTGCCAGCCAGCCATGCATTCTTTCAATACACTCAATTTTACCCCACCTAGGCTCTCCCCCCGCATTACACAGCTGGAACATAATCCAGGGGACAGCAAGGTTTACCTTGCCTGGGCCAGATCGGTTCTGCGGAGATCCTTCGCGCCCACGATTTTCGGTGTCTGCGCAGATGCGATTTCCGGCACCGTGGAAGCAAGTCCCTGCACCGGTTTAGCACAGTGTGCCGGGACTTGCTGAACGGGCAGCTAAGTTCTGGGACAGCTTGTGGGCCGGTTAAATGGCCTCTGTGGGCTGACCCCTGACATAATCCATTCTAACAGTCACATCTGTTGCACCCACTTTTGTCTCTGGCCTCACCCACCACTGCTTGTGGGATGTTGCTTACAAGGGAATGTTGCCCTTGAGGTGAATAAGGTTCCTCGTTCCTGCCTTAGGCTTTCTTTCTTTCTTTCTTTCTCTCTCTCTCTCTCTCTCTCTCTCTGCTCTTTTGTGAACACTGGTGTGTGTGTCCCCGTCCCCCCCCCGCGCAGCATGCCAATACTTTGCTCATCAACATTCCTCAGTGGGCTAGTTTTGTCTGAAAAAGTTTCCCCACTCTTGACTTAAACCATGTACTATCAATGCATTCTCCCTGGAAATTTCCTTCACAAAATTGTTATTTTTTATATATTTTGCTGAACAGCTGACTCCCATCAGGGCAGGCTAGGAGAAGGTGATCAAGTTTCAGAAGTTCAATTCCATGACGCAGAAAAAGATGATTCTGTGAGGAGCCAGATGCAGCACAGGTGAGTCAGTTACAGTCAATATGAGAGTCCTGTCAGATTTAGACTAAAGGTCCATGTAGTGTAACATCCTGTTCTCACAGCTGCCAACTAGAGACCTGTGGGAAGCCTGCAAGCAGGACCTAAGTGCTGTAGGATCTCCTCAGTTATGAGTCTCCTCAACTGGTATACTGAGGCATATTTCCTTAGACTCTAGTGGTGGAGCATAGCCCTATCCTCCACAAATTTATACAGTCTTTTAAAGCCACCTAAGATAATGGCCATCACCATGGGAGTGGATCCTATAGTTCAGAGGTAGTCAACATGGTGCCCTTCATATGTTGTTGGACCACAGCTCCCATCAATGCTAGTCAGCTCTTGTCCTTATGGCCAGTAGCCACAAATTATGGGAATTCTAGTCTGAAAACTTCTATAAGGCACCACAGTGACTCTCCCTGCCATTATTTAACTGTGTTGTGTTGAAGTAGTACTTACGTTTGCCTGTCCCAAATTGTCCAGTATTCAGCTTCATTGCATGGTCCTAGGTTCTACTTTCTCCACGGAATACGTAATCCACCCTCGCCACCTGGCCCTTCTCCCAAACTTGCCCGGCTGCTTAAATTGTGTGTTATTTTGGCTTGACACTTTGCCTCCTCTCTTGCCCATGGAACAAAATGAGTAAACAGCCCCTGTGTGGTATAGTGAGCAAAGTATCAGACTAGGACTAGAGAGAACCAGCTTGAAGTCCACTCTCAGCCATGAAGCTCCCAGACTTTAGGCAGAGAAATTGTACTTGGCCCAACTTCCTGGATGAACATCAGAATCCACAGAACTAGTAGATAAATGCCAAATGAGGAATCTGATAATATGCCATTCCACCAGTGTTTTAGGGACATTCTGCTGGAACTATCAATAGGCATTAAGTCATTATTATTTTTTTATTTATTTTGGGATTTTGAAAGCTTCTCTAATACCTGATTTGTGTGTGATTCTGATTTCACAGAATTATAGGTTTCCTGGAGACATGGCCCAAGCTAGAAAACTGGTATTCTGAGCAGCAAAATATATTGATAAAGGTCAATGCAGAGACAGAGGAGAATCTTATGTGTCAAAGGGTAAAAGAAATTATAACGGAAGAAATTGTTAAAATCCAAAATAAAAGTAAGTAATGCTATTCCCGCGCTTATATGAATGTTTACAAATACAAATATGTACATATTTAAAGGGCTTTCAATAATCTGACTGAATTTTTTCATGTAATGGGATAAAGAAATAGTCCACAGTGTGGCAATGAATACCCTTCCCTCATATCTTTACTTCCCCAGACCTTTGGGCTGTAACTAGCTGGGGGCAAAGAAGAAATTCAAATCAGTTTTCATTTAAAGGCAAGCCCACCTAATTTGCTGTTTCTGAAACAACAAGTGAACTGAAACACAGCCATTTTTCTCTGAATTTTGCACCACAGTTTGCCAAGCAATATACACAAAAATGCATATACTAGGATGGATTGCTTTGCCAAAATTATTAAGCAAAATTGCGTACAAAAATGTATACATTAGGAGAAATTCACTTACAGAATTTCATGAGGACTTTAAAAAAAATGCAAATTGATGCAGAAATTTGGAGAATTTAACTTAAGATTAGAAGAATGAGAAGTTAAGAAGAACTGAAATTGAAAGATTCATCCATCCCTATAAATAGTTCATAATTTGATTTAAGCAAGGTGTACCAAGATGATTGATTGATTGATTGATTGATTGATTAAAAAGTGTTAAATACACAATACCCATGCAGCAGGGAAAATCAGCTGGCTATTCACACACCATTTCCCCCTCACCAAAGGCATGAATAAACAAGGGTGCTTTTAAATGTTGGTGGAAGGATGTCAGTGCTGCAGACAAGCACAACTCCATCAAGAGGGAGTTCCATGAAGCCACCACAAAGAAGGCCGCGTCTTCTGTTACCACTGCAAATGGAGCAATGCTCCCCATCCCCCGTATCTTAAAACTCAAGCCATCGGGTATTAGGGGAGGGGCTCTTGCAGGTAACTGTACCTCAAGCCACTCAGGGCTTTTAGTATTAACCCCCAAAACTTGAATTGCCAGAGATCTCACAATGCATTCGGATTCAGTGTGACGCGATCCCACTCTGTTGCCCTGCTTAATGAATGGGCGGCTGCATTCCAGACCATCTTCAAGGGCAGCCCTGTGGTGGAGTGCATTGCAGTAATCCAGCAGTGAGCAAATCCTTGGAGTTTATGCATTGTATCCATTGTCTGGGACATCCTGGGGAGTAACTTTCTCAAGTTGCGTACCAGCAATGTGGCAGAGAGATAATGATGTACGGGTTTGTTGTTGATTTGTATGTGTTTTGCTGCTGAAGGAAAAGAAGAGGAAAAGAGAGAAGCTGAAAGACTGCAAGCACTAGAAGCTGCCAAGCCTTTGCCACAAGAAGAGGTTCCAGCAGTCTCGGTAGAAAAGGTGGAGGAACCTGCCCCTGCTCCCTCTCCAGAAGTGCTGGAGCCGCCACCTGCGGCACCTAAAGGTTGGTGGTGAATCATATAAATACACTGTAAATCAATCATGAATTCAGGAACCGTAAAATGAGCTGAGAACTCTTTTTTTTTTTTTAAAGTGACAAACTGCAACTTCTCTCTTTATTTGCACACATGCAAAAGAAATTCTGCTGGTCTTTTCTGCAAATTCCTCAGCTATTTAGCCTACAGAATAACTTCCTTTCAGTTTGAATTTCACTCCAGGGGCAACATAGGGGTGTGGAAACCCTTTCTGAGGTATTTCACCCCTCGTTTTGAAACTATTTGCCTCTGAAATTCTGCCTGCTGCTAAATTTGAAGCTCATCTGGGAGCTCCTTCTTAAGCAAAAGACTGTGAAGGATTTCATGGCTGATGAAAGTTTAGTGACTTCTACGTGAACTGATGTAATATTTTACCTGTACCTTATAGATCATGTGACTGGTCTGTTAATATATTCTTGTAAGTGCAACAAACAGGCTCTAAATGTCACAGATATAACAAGCACAGGTACAAAATCTTAAGTCATACTTGGAGTAGAAATCAATGAATTTTCGGGAAAACCAAAAGAGATTCTGTAAGTCTAGTGACGTTTATTCTGCAAGTGTTTTACATCGATTTCAGCAGGTTTACTCTCAGCATAAGTTAGTTGGGTATCTCTTTCTATAATTAAGGTGAGGAAAAACAAGCAGTTCACATGTAAGTAGCCATTGGACCAAATCCATTTAAATGACTTTCCCTGCTGTACCCAAGTGTATGATATGCTTGAGTATGGACAATGTTTTTTGTGGCCTGTTATGGCTGACACTTTCCTGGTCTCTTACTGTGACTAAGAGGTTTGGAGTGAGCTGCCAAGACATTTTCTCCTCCCCCCTCAACCCCTGCCTTCTCTTGTGCCTCTTCCCACTGGCCTTCCCTACCCCCGCCCCCACCCCAACAGCCTTAGGGGAAGGTGTGATTTTGTGGGAAATGCCTTCTCCATTATCAAGGGCGAAGGTTCTCCTGAGAACCTTTGGCTCAGCTCTAGGGCTACATCTGCACCAGCCCTGACAAGATTACCTCCTAACCAGGGTTTCCAAATTAGCATCATGCTCTGCTTTCAGAACCCGGTTATTGTTAACCCTTGTGAAAGTTGGGGCAGATGTAACCCATAGTTAAGTCATTGTGGGAAGTTTCGGAGCAGATGATTGTGAAAGAGGCAAAGGTGCCCTTAATCTCACAACCTGCTCCTGATCTCATAACCATGTTTAGAGATCTGGAGCGCTAAATGTGAGCCAGAGCTGTGTGTTGAAACAGCTTCATATACACACACTTTCTCAAACACATCAAATTTCTGAAGTAGTGGCGGGGTAGGAGGAGAAATGGTCTTATAGAAGACTTGCAAAAGCCTTCTGAGCATGCACAGACATTCCATTCTCAAAAGAAACTTTGGGGAGTGGAGTTTCAAAATAAAGACCTGCAATTTCCCAAGTTACCAATGCATGCTCTGAACATGCTCAGAAGTCTTCACTTCAGAGTGAGGAACTCCTTAGGACTGGAGGAAGTTGGGGACACCTGTGGTCCTATGGAAAAGGCCATAACCCAGTGGTAGAGCATCTCCTTTGTATGCAGGAGATCCCAGATTGAATCCCTGACATCTGTAGCTAGGGTTGGGCATGTCCCATGCCAGAACCCCAGGAGTCAGTGTAGACAATAATGAGCTGGATGGACTAGTTAGGAAGCTTCTTTTATTCCTATGTTCCTCCATATGCTGTTGGACTACAGCTCCCACCATCCCTGGTCATTTACCATGTTGGCAGGGGCTGATGGGAATTGAGAGTTCAATAGCAGCTGGCAAGCCACATGTCCCTCCCCCCCCCACAGGTTTAGGATTAACAGCCATTGGGTTAACCTGGGGTGGGGACTATAGCTTTCTATTCCTCTTGCTCAATGAGGAATAGGGGGAGGAGAGAGAAAGCCACACTTTTTAGAGTTCACATGTGCTGAAGTAGCTTAGAAGCAGCCTTCAACCTTAGCTTCAGTGGCTGCTGTCCCTCCGCCGCCGCCGCCACCACCCTCCTGCAGTTTGTAAAAGTGTGAAAAGCAGACAGTGGGAGGGAAGCAGGCAGGTGAGAGAAGCTGAGCATCACAAGCGAAGGTGAAATTTGAAGTTGGTCTTGGCTCATAATGGCTAGCATCGTGTTTTCAAAGCCAGAGCATGGGGGTTTCCACATCCAAACAAACCCCTCTCCCATCCCTCTCCACCCCTGCATAGAAGTGTGGTTCTGCACTGACGTGGCTCAGTTACCATGTGCCAGAATGTTTGTCTGATACATATGGAATTTCTCTACAGAGTCCCCCCCAGGAGAGTCACCTAAGAAGGGTAAAAAAGGAAAGAAAGATAAAGGAGACAAAGGAAAAGAAGGTAAACCAGGTAAAGTATGGGTTTATTTAATTTTTACAGCACTGTTTTGCTGACAGCCACAAAAGACGGCTGCTTTCACTTTCACTTTCTCCTCTTCCTCCAAAAGCATCTTGGCAAGTTTTGATTAGGCAGGGGAAACATTTTGGTTGGCAAAGGGAAGAGGAAGACATTCTCAAGCCTGAAGCCTGACCTGAATGATAAATAATATACTCATAAAATGTCCGTCAATCAAAGGCATTCAGGGAAATCAACCAACGTTTGTTACTCACAACTTATTAAAGTATTCCTAGGTAAAATACTTTCCCACATGTTAACGGTGCGTTTATATTTAAGGCACTCCACGAGGGAAAGAGAAAGGGAAGACCGCTCCAGCTTCAGCTGAAGATGTACCGCCTCCCCCTCCTGTAGAGCTACCTCGAATTAAACCAGGATCAGATGAATGGGTTTACGTTGATGAACCACTTCCTCAAGTACGGCAGTCCAAAATCAGCATTACATTATGGTGGTCTTCCTTCCTTCCTTCCCCACCCTCACCTTTGCCTTGATGTTTTGAATGGCTTCCAATGCCATGGTAAACATAAAATGGAAAAGGTGTTTGTTTTTTTTGCAAAACTGGTTGGCCAATTCTTGAGATAGGGAGAGTCGTATGCATTGCAGCCTCCCCATAGGTCGCTGTAGAAGGCAAGAAAAGTCTTAAAGCGAAGTTATTGGGTTGGATTTAATGTCATGCTACAACAGATATTCTGTCAGCATAAACATTTCAGCTTGTCAGATGGAACGATTCTCCTTTCCTCCCCCTGTGTGCTTTTCTGGGGTTTCTCCTGGCTCCCCCTGGGCCAATTTGGGGAGGGGCAGATAAAGCCCCATTGCACAAGATGAGGCTTGTTAGATGAATCCCATCCATGGTGGTTAAGGATTTGAGTTAGGAGGAGGAATTTTAAAAGTGCAAAATAAGTAAAAGGATTGTTATTAGTATCCTCCTGCCCAATTTCCAAGGCGTTTAGTCATATATCCTCCATAACACCATTTGAGATAGTTTACTGAAAGACAGAAATTGGCTCAAGGCCACCCAGTGAGCTTGGAGATTTGAAATGAGGGCGTTCCCTTTCCATTCGTAATAATTTGCCTATAGCATGACACTGGCTCTTGCCAAGAAGGTGGCTGTGTCAAGCATAGTATCAGCAATGACATGGCAAGAAGGCATGGAAGTTGAGGTAAGAGAAGAAAATAAAATAAAAAGGTAGAATTATTATTATTATTATTATTATTATTATTATTATTATTTATTTGTACCCCGCCCATCTGGCTGGGTTTCCCCAGCCACTCTGGGTGGCTTCCATGGAAACCAAAATACACTAAAATATCACAGATTAAAAACTTCCCTGAACAGGGCTGCCTTAAGATGTCTTCTGAATGTCAGGTAGTTATTTATCGCTTTCACATCTGATGGGAGGGCGTTCCACAGGGCGGGCGCCACTACCGAGAAGGCCCTCTGCCTGGTTCCCTGTAGCTTTGCTTCTCGCAATGAGGGAACCGCCAGAAGGCCCTCGGTGTTGGACCTCAGCGTCCGGGCAGAACGATGGGGGTGGAGACGCTCCTTCAATAACTTATGGTGCAATAACTTAATATACCCCCTTCCTGACAGCATTTTAGTTAGGCAGCCCATTGGTCGGCACATAAAACCAATGTCTTTTAAAACTTAACAGGAGGTGCCTGAATTTTTAGTTCCTTATTGGGAAACGGTGGAGAAAACCTATAAGAATAACATCAAAGCCACACTTCGATGCCTCAGAGGTGAACAGCATGTCATCATTCATTATCTGTCACATGCTAGGTAAGCCAAGGGGATTTTATGACTCAATGATATGCACTGTTCCTGCCACCATCTTTCATTTGTTGAACCTTTGGCTTCTTCTCATTTTGTTGTGCACAGAAATCATTTCAGGGAATTCTTAACACGCCCCGACCACAAACAGGAGTTTGTGACTCAGTGGCAAGCCGATTATAACTCAGTGGCTGATGACCTGTGGGAAGACGATGAAACGAAAGAAGAGCTGCATCAAAGGGTTACTGTAAGTGGCATCTGAAAGTGTTGGAAAGTGTTGGAGAGCCAGTTTGGTGTAGTGGGTAAGAGCGGTAGTCTCGTAATCTGGTGAACCGGGTTCGCGTCTCCGCTCCTCCACATGCAGCTGCTGGGTGACCTTGGGCTAGTCACACTTCTTTGAAGTCTCTCAGCCCCACTCATCTCACAGAGTGTTTGTTGTGGGGGAGGAAGGGAAAGGAGAGTGTTAGCCGCTTTGAGACTCCTTCGGGTAGTGATAAAGCGGGATATCAAATCCAAACTCTTCTTCTTCTTCTTCTTCTTCTTCTTGGATCATTTGCTGAGCTTTGTCGATCTGGATCTTGCCCTGGAGTAAACAAGAATGCAAAGAAAATAGACTGCAATTCTCAAGGGCCTAACTCTTGAAGTCTCTAGTGTTTTATCGGATAGAGAGCAGGCAAATCTGTCAATTTTGATTTTGCTCAGTTTCTCACCTTCCCAATCTGAATTTCAATCAGACACATTTCTGCATCAGTTTCTTTTTTTGAGGATTGTAAAAACCAGTTAGCAAGCATTTTAGTGTGTATTTCCTCTAATGCATCCATTTTCGTATGCAATTTTGCCGAATACTGTAATGCATTAATATTATAATTATTATAATGCACTGTACATTAACTTTATTAATATATGCATTTTTATGTATACTTTCCCCACAATATACACATTTTTGGAGGCTTCTTTTTGCCTGGAAAACTGCATGTGAATATCAAAGAATAGCTGCTTTTGGGTTCACATACTGCTTTAGATGCCTGGGAAAGGTGTCCTGCAGTCAGAGGAGCACTGCGGCTCTCCAGTAGGAAGAGGAAATATTTGAGCCTCGTCTCCTGACTTTGGTGTGATATATCTGGTATGCCTGTACACTGGGATGGAGAACCTGTTGGGCTCCAGCTCCCATCAGCCCCAGCCAGCATGGAGAATGGTCAGAGATGATGGGAGTTGTAGTCCAATATCTGGAGGGTCACAGGTTTCCCACTCTTGCTGTGCACCTTTTGCCAAAGACCTACAGAGTCTGCATGCATAGATGCAAAAGTTCTTGTGGCACAAGAGCAAATGCCATTTTCAGTATACTTTTTGAAATTTTACTTGGCTGTGTCATTTCCATCAGTGCATTTTTGCTGTTTCCAAGACAGGCATGAAATCGTCACGTCAGATGATTAGACGTTAGATGCATGAGATCTTACATTGCAATACTGAGGAAGTGTGAGACTTTAACTTGAAATTAAGTAGCAAGAGAATCGGGACTAGAAATCCATCCCTACCACATGACATACCCAAAGCTTATCTCCAAAGGCACATAGCTAATGTGGCTGCTGACCACAACACCTGTTTAAGTTACTGGGAAGAGAAATTTATGGTATCCTCTTCTATGGCAGCTTAGTGACTCAGGCAATAGAGTAATGGAAAACTGAGTGGCTTAAAAGGAGTAAAACCTGAAGCTTGGTTTGGTTCAGGGGGATATTTTTGCTTATTGTGGTAGAAGGCACCTGCTTTTTCTTAAGAAAAAAAAAATTCTCAGCCCTCATTCATAAACCACTGAGATGAAAGCCATTAAGATAAAAGTCACATCCATCAATATCTGAATGGGAAACTAAGTTATACAAATGTGCAGTGATATGAAAATTTACAGGCTACATGTTTATGAAAGGAGACAACAGTATAATAATCTTATTCCAAACTGGCATAGCTTTATTATTTACTGAGAAAGTTCCTGTTTTAAGACACGTTTCCTATACTTCGCAACAAACTGCCATAGTAATGTCACTATTTATGGCAAGTGTGGGAAGCCTTTGGCCCTCCAGATGTTGCTAAACTACAACTCCCACCACCCCTGACCATTGGCCATGCTTGCTGGGGCTGATGGGAGTTGTAGTTCAGCAACATCTGGAAGGCCAAAGACTCCCCACGACAACACCTGGAGGAGGAGGAGGAGGAGAAGAAGAGTTTGGATTTGATATCCCGCTTTATCACTACCCAAAGGAGTCTCAAAGCGGCTAACATTCTCCTTTCCCTTCCTCCCCCACAACAAACACTCTGTGAGGTGAGTGGGGCGGAGAGACTTCAAAGAAGTGTGACTAGCGCAGGGTCACCCAGCAGCTGCATGTGGAGGAGCGGAGACACGAACCCAGTTCACCAGATTACGAGTCTACCGCTCCTAACCACTACACCACACTGGCTCTCACTGGGCTATTGGCTAACCCTGGTGTGGGGCCTCATTTAGAGACTGATGTGTGAACTGGAACTAAATATCAAACATGCACTTAACTGTCGTTTTTATTTCTGTTGTGTTTTGGCAAAGCATTTTTGATGTTTTGGTACTTTTCACTTTTCATCTTTTCAGGACCTAAGAGATCGTCTGTGGGATATCTGTGAAAACAGGAGGGATGAAGCTGAGCAAGAGCGCAATGATATCATGAGCGATGGCTGGCTGCCAGACCGATTGGCACTTCTGATGAACCACATCTTTTCACTTATGCAGGTCTAGCAATATTATGTTGTTGGTGTATTTTTTTTAATAGTCTAAATGGGGGAGGGGCTGGCTTTTACACTGATGTGTGTTTTGAGCCCTTGACTGAAGCTATAACCTAACTAGGCCATTAGCAAAACATATTTAGCTACTCTATGGCTACAAGCAGCATCCTCTGCTGTGCAAATTGAAAAGTTAAGGTCTGGTAAGCTGCTCATTGCTTGTATTCTCATTGTGCTGTTGGATCCAGATGTAGCTGCACACATAGGGATGTAAGAAGGCATCTTCTCCCATTCTGCCTGTGTTTGTCACATGCAGCATCGTTTCCATTCATCTGCAGTTTGTCTTCCTCCAAAACCTATGTTATTTGTCTCACTGTCCACTGTAGCAAAACATTACTACCTTCTTCCACCCCATTCATTTTAGTGCAAAAGTGGGGCAAATGCAATCAGTTAGGTATTGTTTGGGGACTGAAAGCAACAACAGTGGCAAATACCAATTGCATTCACTGGATTGGTTTCCTTTCTGGACATGGGATGCGAACACCAGCAATTTCCAATCCTGTTTCTGCTTTCATCAGAATTCCCCAGCATTTGTATTCATGCATCAGTGTTTATGCAGCTTGAGACTGGTTTGTTTGTTTAACAAAATTTGTGTTGCACTTATAAGTTTATAAGTCTCCGAGCAGTTTACAAAAAAAAAAAAAGGTTGGGAAATGAAATTCAGATCATCATTGCTGTGCAAATCAGCATGCATTCCAGAATTCATTCTATGTAGTGCAAGGCCAAACTGGTTGCTGGTTCGTAGCTTTTGGCTCAGTTCTTTCTCATTTTGCTTCTGCCTTCCTTTGCTCTGCCCTTGTCTTGCTTTTGCTTCACTTTGTCTAGCCTAGCCTTGATCCCAGGACTTGACCCTCTGCCTTGGCAGTAGACGGATCTGACATAGAGCTAAAGAGCACGAGGCCTAAACCTTTGACCTGGTGTGCTTTTCTTCACAATTGGATAGCAACACTCATGTTGATTGGTTTGGGGTTCCCCCCTCCCGACACACACACCTTTGAGACTGTGGCTTTGTGAATTTTCCCATGAAAACACAGCACCGTTTTTGCTTTTCAGTTATATATTTAGAGGCTTCTGTTCTAATAATAAATCAAAAGTATGACAGGTGCATAATGCTTCTTGCCTGCACTTTGAAGGAAGAGATGCTCTGAACTTGCCAAAATCCGCCTGGCACTACTGCTCATTTAAGCATATTTATAGACTGAAAGTAAGGAGTTTGCATAAATGTGACGTAGGGCCAAAGCAGACATTACATGGCCACCATTCACATGTGAGACCCATTTGCATAAAAAGCAGGAAAAATAACATATTGGGAAAGGGAGCTGAACCCACTCGCTGTGCTTTATCTCAACGGCTCTACGTCCTCCTCCATTTCCAGCTGTGTATCAGAAATAAACAAGGAAGGGAGAAAAAGTGGAGCAACAGGGAACATAAAACATAGGAGGAAGAAGGGTTCAGCACCTCCCATTTGCCCTGCTTTTACAAGCAGATCCACCTCCTGCTTTATATGTGAATGGGACAGACACATATGTGAATGGGCCAGTATCACATTTATATGTGGGGAAGATCATAGCTCAGTGGTAGAGCGTCTGCTTTGCATGCAGAAGGTCCTAGGTTCAATCCCCAGCATCTCCAGTTAAGACTGGGAGGGAACCCTGCCTGAATTCCTGGAGAGCCACTGTTAGTGTAGACAGTACTGAGATAGATGGACCAATGGTCAACTCAGCATAAGGCAGCTTCCTATATTCCTCTGTGTGAATGGGCCAGCATGGCACATCGTTTGGCCCTCTTTTTTCTGAGCAGAAGAGTGACTTCTAGGGACATCCTTTGCTACCTGTCCCTTAACCTGAGGTAAGAGAATGGGAGCAGGCCAACGGATTGCACATGCTCTCCCCTTTCGCATTCAGATTTGCCTCCCCACCCTCTGCTAAGTTCCAATCATGGCTAGTCATTAGGTTTCCCCCATGCCAAACTTGATTAGCACAAACTAGGGTTCGTTCCTCACCAGGGTTTGAAGGTGGCTGCAAGTGGGGTTAGTAGCAAACCCTGGTTAGCAGTAACCCTGGTTAAAGTCAGTGCACAACAAGGCATGTTTTAGATTGATGGTGGGGAGAATTAACATGGGAGATGAGAAGCAAAGGGATAGGGATAGGAGAGTACAGTCTTTTGGAGAAACCCTCAACCACAGTTTCCAAAAGTTCCTCAAGTTTCTGGAGGAAGGAATGCAACAGTTACAACTGTATAGTTCTGGTATGGGTAGCATAATGAAGGACTTTCTTGGTTGTTGTTAAAGAGAACATTAGGATTATTTGGTTCAAGATAGAGAAGGAAAAGCAATACCCCCATATCTCTTCCTCAAATTTTCCCCATAAAATCCAGTTCTGAAAAAACATATAATGGGATATCATTGCATCACATAACACTTTGAAGTTACAAGTGAAAGGGTGGAAATATGTGGCTGCTGCACAGTCATGGTTTGTCCTCAGTTGTGTCTTTAGTATGCTTGGTCCTAAAATTGTTTAAATATTGGGTCCCTTTTTAAAGTCTATTCCCCCTCCCCCCGCTATAGCATTTTGATGTTTTGGGAACTGCTTTGTGAATTATCCATGGAGATAAGGTGTCAGGAAATACTTGAATAATTTCTTGTTTTGTTTTCCTGGCATATCATGAAGAATGAACTGGACCGTTTCCAGGATACCAAGAGGCTTTTGCATGACTACTATAGAGGGATGGAAGGCAAAATCCCAACGGAGACCAGCAATGAGTTCGCCAGAATACCTTTGATAGATCTAACTGATAAAGAACAACCCATGGAAGAGGCCAAGACTAGAATGTACATTTAAAATTGTGGTATTGTAATAATCACTGGATGTGGGGGGAGGAGAGAGGAAGGGAGAATATAACTGATTTGGGAATAGAGTAAGCTATGCGCATGAATGGGGAAGTGTAAATAGTCAACAGTAGTCAACCCCACACCTCGCATTCAAAAGATTCCAGGTTTAATCTCTGGCATTTCCAGTTGCAAAAAGGGATCTTAGATAGCAGATATTGGTAAATACTTCTGGTCAAGACCTTGGAACTCTGTTGCTACTGGTCAGAGCAAGCAACAGTGGGCTAGATGGACCATTGGTCTGATCTTGTGTAAAGTGGCTTCTTATGTTCCGATAGTACACCTGTGAGAAGAATTCAAGGTGACAGCTTTAGGTATTATGGTTGCAGTGAAGTAAATAGTTACACTCTTCGTGTAATCAACATAACTGTGAATTCATGAGAATTAAAAGTCTAGAGAGAGGGCAGGCGCATGCATCCTATACTTACCCTCTCCACCTATCATGGATTATATGCACACTACACACTCATGCACAATGCAGTGAGGTGTGTGCACATTCACAAACACACAAAATACCTATGCTTTGCTCCTGGACACTCACCGGGTTGCTAAAGTGCAAATTCAAACCCGGATTAGATCACCAAATGAACACAGGTACTTGTGAAAATGCTTGCATAAAGACAGAATACCAAGCAGACACCTTTTCCCTAAGCTCAGATCTCTGTCCTTGCAAGGCAAGGGTCATCACCCTCTTGCTGCCCTCTCTTTCCCCCAGTGGCTTGAGTTCCCTGGAAGGAGGGATTAATTATTATGCCACTCTGGGAACTGTAGCTTTGTGAGGGGCATAGGGAGTCTCCTAATACCTCTCAGCACCCTTACAGTTTCCAGGATTCTTTGAGGGAAGCCATGACTGTTTAACATGGTATAAAACTTCTTTAAATGTAAGGTGCAGATATGGCCTAGGTTTTACAAGTGCCATCAGGGAACGAGAGTAAGATTTGGGTTCCTTCCCACCTCACCTTCAACAGTACAGGCAGGATGTTGAGTGTAAACCTTACATAGATGAGTATGGGTCATAAGAAGAAAGGGATAGATAATTTGGCAGGGACTTCACCCATCTATGTGCCTTGGTTTGTACTAAATGTCCTACATGCAGTGGGAGAATGTTGAAACTTGAGGTTTGTCCCATGCACCATTTCTATGCAGAACATAAACAAGAGGCCTGCATGGGAACCAGCTTGTATTTTTTTATATGAGACCTTTATAATGAACAGAAATATTCTCTTGCAGAGCAAATATACAAGTTTAAGTTTTGAGAAATGCAGAAGTAAATCTGTTGCCTCTCTCTCTCTCTCTCTCTCTCTCTCTCTCTCTCTCTCTCTCTCTCTCTCTCATTCTCTCTCTTTCTGTTTTAAGAATTCCTCTGAGTGTTCACAGAGCTGCTTCTCCAGAACCAAAGGACAAGATGAAAGCAATTCCAGTCAAGATCAAGGATGATGTGTTTTCTGAAAGCATAATCTTTAATTTTGCCCCAGAAGAAAAACAGATTACTGAGATGTGGCACAATATTGTAGCCACAATATCCAACATGGTAAGAAAAGCCACAAGTATTAAAAGAGTTCAAACAGAGATCTGGATACAGCCATTAAGAATGTAAAAAGAGCTTGCTGGATCAGGCCTGTAGGAAACCTGCACTCAGGAAATTCTGCAATTTCCAACATTGGGCATCCTGCCTCCGACCATGGAGGCAATTTGGAAGCATCCCGATAAATGTTTTGCTGGCTCCAGTGCAAGATTACTGCAGTGTTCTCTCTTTAAGGATTCCCCTGAAGACAGAAACTCTGATTTGTGCAAATTTTCACAGTTTTAATTGGGCATTCTTACCTATTATATAAATGTGCTAGCACTATTCAGAGAATCCCTTCAATATCTCAAAAAAGCGTCTCTATAGAGAATTTGGTGATAAAAAAATTCTTTGAAATTTGATCAGTTACTTACATGATGAAACAGTGTGAAAGTCAAATTCATCACGGAACAGCTGTAGTTATTCCCCCCTCCCTAAATCATACATAAATGATTTTTTACTTGGCTGCAGAGATCCCATGAGTGGAATGCTGCTGAGAGGATACTCTCACTGGCAGAAGGGGAAGGGGAGGCAATTTTCACTGATTCCCCTTGAAGCCCCATGCACCTCTTCGAAAATATGCAGAAGGTTGGTGAGCCTTTCAAAGCAGCGCAAGTATAAACAGCAAAAACCGGTCTTCTCTCCCCACTCTCACCATCAGCAGGAGCCCCCACGGGATTGAAGACGCTTCCATTCATGGAAGAGCAAGTCTGTATCCATGCCCTGTACTGTATGTTTCTCTGTCTCTTATTTAGGTAAGGGATAGCCAGTGTGGTGTTCTCCAAATATTTATTGGACTCCGGCTCCCATCAGCCTCAGCCAACCCCGCCAAAGGGCAGAGATTATGGGAGTTGGAGTCCACAAAGCCTGCAGATTATCCGTAATCTAGATAATGTGCATTTGTGACGGATGGTCTGTCTTACTTATTTTATTTATTAGGTTCATATCCCACCCTTCATCAAAATATCTCAGGGTGATTCACAAGACAAAAATACAAGATAAAACCACAAATGTGTCGTTAAAACAAAAACAACAAAACAATAGCCCCCTCTCCCACAAACACATTGAAAAGACTGTAGAATATTAATCAGCCAAAGGCCTGATTGAAGAGGAATGTTGTTGCCTAGCACTTAAACATATATAATGAAGGCACCAGATGAACCTCCCTGAGGAGAGCATTACACAACGGGGAGCCACTGCAGAAAAGGCCCCATTCTCGTGTTGCCACCCTCCGAACCTCACATGGAGGAGGCACATGTAGAAGGACCTCAGATTATGAACACAGAGTTTGAGTTGGTTTATATGGGGAAAGGCAGTTCTTATATAAGCCCTATGGGTCTCATCCAAAGAGTCCCTTACATGAGCAGAAGGGTCTTCTCTTATTTCAAGGGAGTGTCTCCAGTATCTGCCCATTCATTCTGTGGTTGAAGGCCCCATGCTACAGCCTGTGTGTTTCCAGAATGTTGTAAGAGCAGAAGAAGAGTATGGGAGCAGTTATATTAGATTCCCACCAACCACCTGGAGCAACTTGGGGACTGGAAGGAGAAAGTTCAGAAGCCACCGCATGATCTCTGGATCCCAACCTATAGAGAAGTAATAGTTTATAATGTTAAGTGGTCTGTTTCATAACTACATGCTGGTTATTGACAATCATGAAACAACAGTCGTTTTGTTCAAAATGCTCTTGCTGCTTTTTTACTTAAGTGTGACCCTTTAAAATTAAGGTTACAGCTGAAATACAAGCAAAAGAGGCGGAGGAAGAAAAAGAACGGCTTCAGCAAGAAATGAAAGAAAAAGAGCGCCAAAAATCTTCCCAAGCAGAAAAGAAGGGGAAAGAAGGGAAAGGGAAAAAAGGGAAAGGAGGAAAGGAAGCCAAAGGTGGAAAGGATGCCAAAGGAGGGAAAGGAGGGAAAGATGCCAAAGGAAAGGAAGGCAAAGATGCCAAAGGCAAAAAAGGAAAAAAGAAAGGTAAATGAGATGCAAGGTAAAAGAAAGGGAGAATTCTGGATTAATACAATTGTGTTTGATCATTTAAAAAAAACAAAAACTTTGCATGCCCAGCAAAACAGAGGAGGGGAGTTAAGGTATAACCCTTACTGGAGCCTGTACACACGTCGGTCCCCCTTTTCAGGAGTTAGTTCAGGGACAGGGAGCCTGTGGCTGCTCACATGTTGCTGGACTACAACTCCCACAATCCCAGGGGTGTAGGAAAGGGGGTGCGGCTGGTGCGGTCCGCCCTGGGTGTCATCCTTGAGGGGGATGACAAAATGGCACACCACGGGGAGCAGCACTCACCGTGGGGCCTGGCAAGCAGTGTGCTCGAGCCACGCACCTCTCCTGAGAGTGATGTGGTGGCTTGGGGCCCCGCGCTGCCCGAAATGGCAGTGTGGGGCTTGCGTCTGCCAGGCGGCCTCTGTGGGCAGCACGCAGTTCCCCCATGCACGGATCACCGCAGTGCCCCATGCACGGATCACCGCAGCGCCCCTGTGCACGGATTGCCCTGCCCCCGTGGGTGGATCACCCCACCCCCGCCACTCCGGGTGCCAGAGCAGCTAGCTGCGCCCCTGCACAATCCCCAACCATTTGCCATGCTGACAGGGACAGATGGGAGTTGGAGTCCAACAACTAAAGCAGTCAGGTTCTGGTCTAGAAATGACATCTAAAATTAAGGTAATCTACAAGCTCTAACTCTGCTTCACTACTGTATTGGAATACAGTATACAAAGGAGATGTATTGCTTAATGCATGGTTTTATTATGGCTGTCAATTTTCCCTGTGTATTATTAACGATTGGTTGCAAGCTCACTGTGGCTGAAAAACAGCATACAAATGTAATAAACAGTAACTTCTAGAGGGTTGTAGGTTCCCCACTCCTAAATTAGACTGTACCCAAAGATCTTTATTGGTCTGTTGTCAGAGAGAAGTCTTACAGTTCAAAAAGCAAAGCCAAAAAGGCAGCATTTGACACTTGATGTTATAAATGAACGTTGTTTGGTATTTTGTATCTTGTCATATTATGGGACGTGGGTGGTGCTGTGGGTTAAACCACAGAGCCTAAGACTTGCCGATCAGAAGGTCGGCGGTTCGAATCCCCGTGATGGGGTGAGCTCCCATTGCTCGGTCCCTGCTCCTGCCAACCTAGCAGTTTGAAAGCACATCAAAGTGCAAGTAGATAAATAGGTACTGCTCCGGCGGGAAGGTAAACGGTGTTTCCGTGTGCTGCTCTGGTTCGCCAGAAGCGGCTTAGTCATGCTGGCCACATGACCCGGAAGCTGTACGCCGGCTCCCTCAGCCAGTAAAGCGAGATGAGCACCGCAACCCCAGAGTCGGCCACGACTGGACCTAATGGTCAGGGGTCCCTTTACCTTTACCTTATCTTGTCATGTTACACTGTTGTGGTATACAGAGTCAAACCATTTGTCCATCTAGCTCTTTACGATGTCAGACAGGGCCTATCTGGAGATGCCAGGGTTTGACCCTGGAACCTTTGGCATGGAAACCATTGAGCTGTGCTGCTTCCCAAATGGGCATCCATGCCATCTGACCGAAGCAGCAGCAGTAAGGGCAGCAGAAACACCTGGGGAATCAGGGAGAGAGGTTTGTCAAGGACCATTTCAAGGAAGAAGGAAAGCCCAGGACCAATGCAGACCAGGTCTGCATTGATGAAAAGGTCATAAGCCCAGCGCTCTATTTCAGAGATGGGTGTTATTCCCCTTAGGACCAGTGCTGCAAATCTAGAGAGGCAGCAGCGCCACTGCAAGGGAGCTGATGTCCCCCCCCTCCCAAGTGGTGCCAACAGCCACTGATCCTGAGAGTTCTGAGTCCTGGGATCCGTTGATTCCATCTGGCCAGAATAGCCAAGCCAGCAGGTAGACTGGAAGAGGACTCTGAAAAGCATCTGAAATCCCACAGTAGCTCCCTTTTGCTGCCTTAGTTAGCCCTTCTGAAGAGACACAGCTGCTGGATATTAGACCAGGTTTGTTCTGAAGAGAGGCAGCTTCAAAAATAAGGCAACGTCACCTTCCTTGATATCTGATTTGTTGGGTTGTATTCAATCAAGTTTTAGTCAGGACAGACCTATTGGAATGAATGGACCTCAGTCATGTTCACTAATTTCAGTGCGTCTGCTCTGAGTAAAACGTACTTGAATGCCACTCACTGCTGTTATGGCATACTTTGAGAACTGTCATAGTTGAATAGCGGTTATGCTATTGTAAAATGAAGAAATAAGTTTCGTTCTAGGAATATCCAAATCGCTAGGCTTTTATTTTATTTCTTTATTAGATTTCTTTCCCACTTTTCACCCAAGGAGCTCAAAGTGGTGGCATGCATGGTCCGTTCCCCCCCATTTTATCCTCACGACAACCCTTTGAGGTAGGCTGGGCTAAAAGGTCACCCAGTCAGCTTCATGACTGAGTGGGGATCTGAACCCTGGTTTCCCAGACCTTAGTCCAACACTCTTAATTGCTACCCCACATTGTCTTCTAGAGACCGGGACCACAAATATTCCCAGAGAAGGCTTTCCCCAAGTTTATACACCCTTCTCATTCACAACCCGTTAGACCTCTTATTCAGATTTGGCAATTAATTGCTCAGATCTACTTCCTAGTATAAAAATTACTCTGATCTATACCCTAGTATAACCACAGTTCAGCTGTCCTTACTGTTAGAATCATAGAATTGTTGAGTTGGAAGGGACCTCAAGGGTCATCTAGTTCAACTCCCTGCAATGCTGAAATCTTTTGTCCAACATGGGGCTCAAACACATGACCCTAAGATCAGCATAAGGGGGTAAAGGGACCCCTGACCATTAGGTACAGTCGTGACCGACTCTGGGGTTGCAGCGCTCATCTCGCTTTATTGGCTGAGGGAGCCAGCGTACAGCTTCCAGGTCATGTGCCCAGCATGACTAAGCCGCTCCTGGCGAACCAGAGCAGTTCACGGAAACGCCGTTTACCTTCCCGCCGGAGCAGTACCTATTTATCTACTTGCACTTTGAAGTGCTTTTGAACTGCTAGGTTGGCAGGAGCAGGGACCGAGCAACAGGAGCTCACCCCGTCACGGGGATTCAAACCGCCAATCTTCTGATCAGCAAGTCCTAGGCTCTGTGGTTTAACCCACAGCGCCACCCGCGTCCCACCTCTTATTTCTGTGAATATTTCTGCCTTGCTGAGAAGTGGCCTTACATGTATCCAAAGCCAGACAGATTTTTTTTTTTTTTGGCAAGGTTGAGGTTGCAGTAAAAAAACAAGATTTTCTTAATTGGCTTCCATTGTGATATAGTGGTTAGAAGTACTGGACAAATCCCTACTCAGCCATGAAACTCACTGGGTGACCTTGGGCCATTTACCATATTTCCTCCTAACCTACCTTACCAGGGGACAACCAGATATCTGGTCTGCACTCAGATAGGTCCTACATATGAGTAGTTTATGCATTAAGTTTAGGAAGCGCCTGAGTGTGCTGGTTGCATGATGTAACTGTCCTGAAATGCTTTCCAAGCATTGTTTCTTTATTAAATTTATAGCTTGAGTTTCGTCCAAAGAGTATGCATCGTTACCTCTCACCCTTCCTTTTATCCTCACCATCACCATGTGAGGGTGGGAGCCTGAGAAAGACCCTGGGCCACCCAGGAAGCCTCATGGTTGGGTGGGGATTTGAACCCAGGTCTCCCCAGTCCCAGTCTGATGCTGCGATTGCTATGCCACACTACATAATGATCAAGTGAAGCTGTCTCTTGTTGCCTCTAATTTCAGATCCTGTTTCTGAAATGTTGACAAGTTCGGTTTTACCTACATTTTGAGTTGCGTTCATTTTGTGAAATGCCCTATTAGGCTAGCAGTAGTGTAAGCATTATGCATACAGAAATTTGCAGATTCTTTTATTTGTAAAAATACGTGCTTCTCCTTGCAGCCTCTCATTCTCCACCAGAGCCAACGCCAACACCAATTCCTTTATCCCCGGAGGAACTGAAGAAGCTAGAACTGAGGCTTAAAATGAAGCAGGAATATTTTGCTGCGCTGGAACATGAAGGTATGCATTAAATTTCAATCAGGTAAATTCAGAAACAGCTCCATATTTGCAATTTAGGGAATGCTTAAGCTGGAAAATAGTGGGAAAGAAAGACCACGGATTGCTTTCAATATTCAAAATGCTACAGCAGCATTTGCTTGAACGTGTTGTGGGCATTATGCTTAACCATTTTTAACACTATCCATTATTTACTGCCATAACCCTGGATAAGATTTAAAACCTAGTGAAACCATGTTGTAGGTTGCTAAACTAGGCCTTCCTCCAGGAAGGTGTATATAATATGACATTGGATAAACTTGCTTGTTATCGCCTTGTTACCTGAGAAACTGGGGGGGCTGGGCAGGGAAAACCACCATAACCATGGTTTGCTTGCTGCAGCTGAAATATTTAAGCATCGATAATGAAATCCATGGTTTGCAAAACCATTTCAACCCATGGTTTCACATCACACTTGCAACGTTTAGGTATTACGATATAATGCTAACTAATTAACTAACAACGGTTAAGGGAAACTAATTTTGGCAGTAGCTTCAAGGCAGACAACTAGTAGAAGTGAATGGCCACAAATACATTTATCCAATTATTAAGACAATTTTAACCCACCATTCACTGGATGACCTCATGGTGGAATTATTTAAAGCAGTAGCAAGCCAACAAAATGAAAAGTAAAGTATATAGAATAATTAAAAAATTTATTCCAACATAAAGCCACAACAGTAAAGCAGTGAAACTAGCATCCTGTGCAAGCCCAGCAAACACATTTTAATCTGGCGCCGGAATGTCAGCCATGTTAGTGCCTATTAAACTTATGGGGTGAGACCATTACACAATTGTGGAGCAATTTAGGTGACTTTAAAAGCAGATTAGTGGGGGCCCTGCTGGCCATGGAGTAAGCAGCAGAGAGCTCCCAGATAAAATATTTTAAAAGAAGATTCCTCACTTTCTATTTATTTTTTATTATTACTTTGTTTAAAATAATATAATAAAATAATAATGCAGATTAGACAAATTCCTGGTTGTTAAGGCTGTCCGTGGCTGCTTGTCACTAATGATGGAAATATACTATCTACAGGATCCAAAGCATTGTGCCCTAGAATACTGGGGAACAACTGTGGGAGATGGCTATGGTGTCTAAGTCTTGCTTAGGGCTCACTATAGGCATCTGGTTGGCTGCAGTGGAAATAGGCTGCTGGAAAAGATTAGCTTTCAGTCTCAATCAGCAAGTCTCTTCTGTTCTTCACAGGACTCTTACTTGGAGCAGCCCAGCTTTTGTAGACCCATCGGATCAGACTGCCAGTTTCCCAAATAATGCCTAAACCTAACGCTTGATTGCCAGACCTGTAAAACAGTGTTTGTATTCTTACTTGTTCTTAAACAATTTCTTAAAACAGCGGAGGCTGCAAAATCTCGGCTTGAGCTGTTGAAAGCCAAAGCACTCGCCTTCACTGAAGATCTGCAAACGAAAGCAGAAGTAACATACAGGAACATGGAAAAATGGCTTGGGGAGAGGTTCTTGGCTGAAATGGCAAGGTAATGGTTAATTTTGATGAAAGCATTAGAATAATGGAATCATTGAACTGTAGATTTGGAAGGGACCCCGAGGTAATGTGGGAGGTTTTAGGAGGAAAGAGGAATTTCGTGCAAGCCTCTACAGGAGCAGGTGAGGTGGTGTTCAGGTTGGAGTTGCACAGAGGCGCACTCAAGGCCAATCTGGGTATTCTATTATATTCAAAATATTCCTTATATTCTCCTTCATTTGTCTACATGGAAGAAACCCTGCCTGATCTTGATGTATATACTCATTTAGTATATTTTTCAATCTGTTAGCTAATACGTTTGCAAACAACTTGTAATCATTGTTTAACAGAGAAATAGGCCTATAGTTTTTAATTTGCAGCAAATCTGAATCTTGTTTTGGGATTACTGTAATATAGGCCTCTTTCCATGTTTCTGGGATTTCACCTGTAATCAACTCAAGGCCAGTTTGGTGCCCTTGCCTGGCATCTGCCACCACCTCGCTGCTCCCCCTTCTTCTCTCAATAAGCAACATTTCTGCAGAGAAGCTATTGCTGTGGCTCTGTGTCACACCAGACAAGCTGCTCCTGCTGAAGCTTTTTAACCCCTCTGCCACTGTTTCTTAAATGTGTATCCTTACAGTGTCGACAAATTAACCGAGGTTGCCCGCCACCACATCGAAACCTCTACCAAGATCCAGTACGAATTAGTTCTGGAAGGCGTAGAGTTTTACATTAACGGTGATGTCAAAGTCTTTCCAGATCCTCTTCCTCCACCTCGTCCTCCATCGGTCGAAATGCCTACAAATGGTACTTTAACTATTTCGCAGCTTAGCACGCTTCATAAGCAGTTTCTGCAGGTGGCACCTAAAGGTAAGAAATCACCTCCTACATATGGTTGTTTTCAAAAAGTTATTTATTTATTGTTTATTTCCCCAAAGTATTTGTATCCTGTTCTTCACACACTCACACACACACACACACACAGACAGACACACACCAAGGCTTACACACAGAGTGGCTTAACAGCGATCAATAACAAGATGATCTCTGCCATTAAATACTGACTTGAGATATAAAGCTACTAACAGTTTGATATCCCTGCTAGCAGTAATTCTGGAACTTCTTTCAATGGTGTGTTCCAGTATATGGAAATGCTTCTTTCAATTATAACTAAGTGCAGCGTCAAAACACACTCATGAGCCATGCAGGTTACCTCATACATCAACAGTCCTCTCCTATACATCAGGCTTCCTCAAACTTGCCCTCCAGATGTTTTGAGACTACATCATCCCTGACCGCTGGTCCTGGTAGCTAGGGATCATGGGAGTTGTAGGCCAAAAATATCTGGAGGGCCGAGTTTGAGGAAGCCTGCTCTACATCATGGGTCACCGATGTGGGGCTTTCCCTGGTGTCTACAATGTCCCATCCTCTGGCTATCCTCCTTCTTAAATTACTCTGGAAAGATTCCTTCCTTAGCCAATATAAGACTTTTTACAGTCTGTTTGTGGCACTGGGAGCAATTGGGGCAGCAGTATTACAGTTGAGGAGGGGAGAGTTGTGGCCTGCATGTTGCACTCACATCAGTTTATCCACTTTGCAAATGTGCCCACAGGACCAAGAAGTTTGGCAACCCCTGCTGTACATGTTTACTTGGGAGTAAGCCCTACTTTGCTTTTTTAGCGCTTTCTCCCAGGAAAGGTTGAGTAGGATTCCGAGCTACATTTAGAACATTACTTTTTTAAAAGGTTGTTAATTGAGCATTCTTCCTGATTTGCTTTGCACAGTCTGTGCAGGGAGGTCAGGCGACATCAGCCTGGAAGCAGGCTGTAAAATGTGCTTTTTCTGAACACGTAGATATGCTCTTATATATTGACGCTGACCTGGTAACAACTTACCATCAGCATTAGCATCAAAACATCTATCCTGCCTTCTTCCCAAAGGAGACTGTGGTCTATTAAATGGTTTACCAACTCGGTGCCCTCCAGATGTTTTGGACCACAATTTCTATCATTCCTGATAGAAATATTACTGGAGCTGACAGAATGGCACCAGGTTGGGGAATGCTGGTCTGTAGCAAGCTATCTGGAGTAAAGGTAAAGGGACCTCTGACCATTAGGTCCAGTCGTGACCAACTCTAGGGTTGCGGTGCTCATCTCGCTTTATTGGCCGAGGGAGCCGGCGTACAGCTTCCGGGTCTTGTGGCCAGCATGACTAAGCTGCTTCTGGCGAACCAGAGCAGCGCACGGAAACGCCGTTTACCTTCCCACCGAAGCAGTACCTATTTATCTACTTGCACTTTGACATGCTTTCGAACTGCTAGGTTGGCAGGAGCAGGGACTGATAATAATAATATAATAATAATAATTTATTATTTATACCCCGTCCATCTGGCTGAGTTTCCCCAGCCACTCTGGGCGGCTCCCAATCAAGTGTTAAAAACAGTACATCATTAAATATTAAAAACTTCCCGGGATAGGGCTGCCTTCAGATGTCTTTTAAAGATAGGATAGCTGCTTATTTTCTTCACATCTGAAGGGAGGGTGTTCCACAGGATGGGCGCCACTACTGAGAAGGCCCTCTGTCTGGTTTCCTGTAACCTCACTTCTCGTAATGAGGGAACTGCCAGAAGGCCCTCGGCGCTGCATCTCAGTGTCCGGACTGAACGACACTGAGCAATGGGAGCTCACCCCATCGCGGGGATTCAAACCACTGACCTTCTGATCTGTAAGTCCTAGGCTCTGTGGTTTAACCCACAGCGCCACCTGCGCTATCTGGAGTAGCCAGATGCAAAAGTGGGCAGGTGTCCTGCACATTTTGATAGTTGTGAGGAAGGGGGGATTTCTGTAGCTATAGTTCACCATGCAAGCTGCACCTGCTGAAAATTCCCTCTTCCACTCAACTATTAAAAAGTTCAGGAGCCTTTTCCTTGTTTGTATCTGACCCAGCCTAAAGCTATCAGGGAGTAGATATTTAGTATCGGTCAAAGACAGCCTTGCCGCTCCCCACGCCAAGCCCTGTTGATATAATCTCAGCTCTAGATTTATTTGCATAGAGGTCCTTCTCCTCCTTGCTTGCCTCCGACTTGATACACTGTTGTACCATCTGAACTAGGAATAAGAGATCTTCTGACATTTTTATATGTAAGAACACTATATGCCTTTGCAGACCCCTTCAAAAGTACTGCATGAACAAGCAGAAAGGATTTGTAGAGCTTTGCTGAATAGTATCATATAGGAAGTCAGCAGAAAAAAGGGAAACGGTAGAAGGAAACTTACATTCTGTGTACCAAATAGTATTTTGACTCAGAATCAACCAATATCTGTGGCTTCAGAGTACTTTTAGCCACAAAAGGAAGATTAGATCATACAGAGAAGCTTAGCTAGCAACATGGAAAGCACCCAGATTTGCTTAAGAGGCCAACGGCCTTGTTACTGATTCTTCCTATAGGAAAGAAAATGGCATTAAGTGGAACATTGACCATCTTAATAACGTGTTTTTTTCCTCAGGACATTTCCATTGCCTAGGAAAGATAACCCTTCTGGCCTCTTACAGAGCACAGTTGCAGCAATTAGTACTCTTGGTTTTTTGCTTTGCCGTTGGTTTTCAGTTTGATGCTGAACACACTCTTAATTAGAATTGTTTGGACTTGTTTGCAGTGGAGTCAATTAACTCCCGCCCCCAGGATTGATTTGGATTGGAATCGGTACTTATGGGCAAAAGTGGAGAGTGCTTGGGAAGTTGTCTTTTTCTGAGAATTTGAAATGGTAGAGACATTATGGTTGGGCAAACCAATGGAGTGGCTAGGGTATTAAAGGAAATCCAGCCAAGTGTTCAAAGGTGCATTGTCTGGTGCATTGTCTTAAAAAGGCTTGAAAGGCAGCACTGAAGAGCACCAGCCACTCTCCTGCAGTCTTCAAACACCATTAGCTGATGACTGCTGCTGCTTCAGAAATGGTGGAGGGAGTGCTCTCTCTCCCCTGCACCAACCTCCACCTACAGCAGCAAAATGGGGGGTGGGATTTCAGGGGGGGCTCTTGTTCTTCCTAGCCTCACCTCTTTTCCTTCCTTTCTTCTTCCCTAACATCCCTGACACCTGGAATGTTGGGGGAGGTAGTTCCTGTGAGCAACTAACGTTGCAATCTGTGAAAATTGCACCCCCCAGTGTTCAAGGCACAGGGTAGGGAGGAGGTGGAACAGAGATAGGAGGAGGGAAAGGGAGAGTTCCTGGCTGTGTTGCTTTTGCTGCTGGATCAGCAGTCATATGGGTAGAAGGGAATTCTGCAGTTGGGGTTAAAACCTGAGCCGGAGAAGAATTTGGAGGTTTTAGTGCTTGCCTCATTTTTAAGGTGAACCTAATGAGTTGTTGAGGTTCATATTCATAGGTTTGGTAATGTGTCTGTCTGTGACTTACTTCCAAGTATGTGATCTTAGCCACTTAGGCTACTTATTCATGCCTATCTTTGGTTGTGTGCAACCACAACAATAATGCATCCTAATACTGAGTTATATTTAAAATATTTATAGCCATAGCAGCACTGAAACAATTTAAAAGCAAGAATATAACTCCAGGCATCCAAAAACAACCAGGAAAGAATCACCAGTTTCAACAAATATGGCTGTCAAAGTACCCTTGGCTAAAACATGACAGTGAGAGGGGCACCATGTACTGTGCTTTGTGTCGGAAACATAACGTGGATTTAGGGGAGAAAACACACAATTTTTGTTCTGGGACTGATGACTTTGTACTTGAATTAGTCAACGACCACCACAACAGTGAAGCTCATGCATGGGCTACCTGTATGGAAGCAGCCAGTGGCTCTGTCCCAGACACAGCTACCACTGAGCAGATGTTAAAGAGCATGAGCAAAACAACCTTAGGAAGAATAGAAAACCTTTTCAGAACATGCCACGCCATTGCCAAAACTGGACGCCCCATCACAGACCTGGACTGGATGTGTAAACTGGATGATATGAAAGGAGTGGATATTGGTTCCATATTTAGAAATGACAAGGCAGCAAGGATCTTTATTCATTTCATTGCTGAAGTGGAACGAAGAGCCTTGAAAGAGAAATTAGAAAAATGCAAGTTCTTCTCACTCATTAGTGATGGCGTTACAGACAGCACAATAAGAGAAGCTGCCCTGGTGTACGTACGTTTTGCACTCCAAGGGAAGATCCACTGCCAGATTGTTGGAGTTCAGTCAGTAGACAAACGTGATGCGGCTGCTGTGAAGAATGCCATTGTGCAAACATTACAGACCAGTTTGCAGCTCAATTTGCCAAGCCAAGACTGGGCAAGAAAACTTGTTGGCTTCGGAAGTGGTGGTGGAGACATTATGGTTGGACAAAGCAATGGGGTAGCTAAACTGTTAAAAGAAATCCAGCCATGTGTTCAGAGTGTGCATTGCCTCGTGCATCACCTTGAAATAGCTTACAAGGCAGCACTGAAAAGCACCCAACTATACACCATTCTAACAGAGCTCTTGCAAAACATGTACTACTATTATAACTCTCCACTGAACAAAAACGACCTCAAGCTAGTCTATGAAGATCTCAATCTGAGAACATCCATTCCTTCTCGAATTGGTGGTTCACGATGGCTTCTTCGCCTACAGACAGCTCTTCAGATCCTTCTGAAAGGATACCCAGCATTTGTCCTACACATGAGTAAGGTAAAGGTTCTTTAAAACCAAGCATGATTTGAAGAAATAATAAGTGAAAACCTGTGTTTGGTCATTGCTCTACTGACTTGTTTTTCTTGCATCCAGGTAGAAGAAGAACCATGTTCCTCAAATCACCAGAAAGCCAAAGACCTCTTAAAGCTTCTTCTGAAAACAGACATTGTCAAGTTTTCTCACTTTTTGCTTGATGTCATTAACGTCCTCAACATCCTCTCCCGCGTCGCCCAGGATCAGAACTCTTCCATCGCAGATGTGTTCGCAACAAGCCAGTCAACACTGGAAACACTCCAAATGTATCGAGCAAGGTTGTATATGCTTAACCAAAACTGTATATTAACTGGATGTATCCAAATCAAAGGCACACAGTACATTCGTTAAATGTAATATTTTTTCAGATCGGGGCCAAGGGAGCGTCTGGTGGAGGCCATCACACATTTTCATGGTCACCAGCTTGTAGGAGATGGTGACATATCAGCCATCCGGATAGAATTAATAAGCAATCTTTTGAAGCAGCTGCGCGATTGCTTCTGTGATGCTAGCGAAGATGTTTTGAGAGCAAGTGCTATTGGAAGTTTTAAGCTGTGGCCGGACAAAATTGAACCAGGTACAGAAAACCAGACTACATCCAAACGGATTGTTTCTTTCCGAAATGCATGGGTGGTTTGTTTGCTTTTAAAATTAATATTCAACCTCTTGCAGAATTTGGTGAAGTGGAAGTGTCGGTCTTGACGAAGTATTATGAGCTGGTCCTGGAATGTGCCAACGTGAAGGTTTATGAAGTGGAGACCGAATGGAACATGTTAAAAGCAGAGCTGTATAATAGGTATAATAAATAACAAGCAAGATGACATGAAATTCAAATGAATTTTCTGAATATGTCAGTGGGAGAAACACATTTAGTAACAGTTGTTATCCTTTCTAGATATCAGAGCATCCGGAGATTGACATGGGAAGCAGTGAACACAGATTATTCTCATAAATATCCAAACATCTTGACGCTGGTAGATCTTGTCTTGACGCTACCTGCCAGTTCTGACGAGGCAGCACGAGGCTTCTGTCAGATGAAACTTACAATGATGAGGCTACGTTCAAAGCTGGTGTTTGAAAGCATGACCGATCGCATGGTCATTCTGATGAATTCTCCAGATATCAAGAAGTTTGACCCCCAAAAGGCTATCCAATTGTGGAATATTTCCTCACAAAGGAATAGGAGACTACAGGCTGAGCAGGGCGTGGTCAACCCTGAGACACCAGATTGTTCATCTGACTCTGAATGGGAAAGGGAAAGGGAAAGCTCATTTGGAAGCTATTAGATGTGAAACACTCTCTCCAGCTGTCTCCTCAAATATTTTTAATAATGTCTGTTGACTTTTCCTTTCCTCTTCTTTTCTTTTCTTTTCTTTTCTTTCTTTTTTTTCTTTGGTAACTATTTACTGGACAATTTCTATTTATTTATTTATTTATTTATTTATTCATTCATTCATTCAACCAAAATTTATATACTTCTTGATTATAATGGAACATCTAAAAGCACATATAATGTGTCATGAAACTAACACATGCATTTAGATGGGAAGGGAGAGAAATAAGAAGTATATCTTTTGGAAAAGCTGTAAACTGTATATTTCTTTTCAAACTGCTTGGTATTTGTCAGAATATGCTTATCAGGTATTACTTTTGAAATATGTGGTATTGGATTGGCATATGAAATTACCAAGTATCATTTTTGTCTATATGTGTGTGTGTGTGTGTGTGTGTGTGTATGGTTCATTTTTATAAATTGAAGTGTACGCTCTTGACTCCTTGATGGAACTTCATAGTCTTCCTTCTTTCTGTTAAGCTGCTATTAAATTGATTTTAATTTATCACTGTCTTTCTATGCGCTTGGAATTTTCCAATATATTTATAGCAAGTGTTTAGGAATATTATGATTCTGGCTAGATACTGAACAATGAAAACAATAATTTGGAATAACTGTTTATTATCCTGTATTGTATTACATAAATTATTTTATTCCTGTTAGGGTTATTATGGATAAGCAATTATTTGTACTGTTTTTACTGACCTGATTTCCTGTTCATTTTCATTCTTCTGGAGATTTGACATGTAAAAATAATTGCCTGTGGGAGGGAAATAAGGGTTGATTCCCTCAATAATTTGGACTTCCAAAATTGTTCCGAAGAGTCACAGTATTCATTCATGCATTTCTTCATTCTTAATTGCCGCAACTGTTCTACTTAGTGTTTTACTGGATTAAAAACAAGCAATGGAAGAGAACACTTTTTATCAAACGCCTAACTACGAAGGATGCCAAGACACTTAATTTTTATTATCTGCAAAATAACAAGAGAAAAGAAGAGATGAGACTTTCAGTGCCAGCAGAAACATGCAGAATGAAATATCTTTGTAGTAAAAATAAGTTGAGGATATTGCCTCCTTTACACATCAAGGATATCACCTGCGGATAAGACATCTTAAATGTTCCTGGTTCTAGAAGGTATCACAGCATCATCTCTTGTACCTTGATGCTTTCAGATTCAATAGCTGCAGCCATAGATGTAGAACGCCACTGCTTTTGAATGCATGCGTAGCTTGATTAACTGGTTGACCAATGTAGAGCTTGCTAAAAGTAGTCATGGCCCAAGAGGTCATTGTGCATTATCTAGCAGCAGTAAAGGAACAAACCCATTTCCCTTTTCCCTCCATAGTCATTACTTGGCAGAGGTAGCTAAGAAGACAGAGAAGAATCCATGGGGCACAAATTGCATGGGTGCCCCCATACCTTTGTTTTTCAACTTGTTTCGCATAGTGAACGTCCGTACAAATACTGGTTTCCACTTAGATGCACTGTAGTCAAATGACTGTAGAGAAATACATTCTTAAAATTTATAATTTTAAAAGCGCATACTTTTAACACATTTTAAAATGTATAACATTTTTGTGGATGACAGTAATAGTACCCAATTTATTATCATTTCTCTCATGAAATCATTGCATTGCTTTTTGCATTGGGTGGAAATCCACTATTATAATTCTTAAGTTGTTATTCTATAAACTGCTTGGCTCAAGCGTCTATCCGTAGTTTCTAAAAGCTGTGCTGCATGGGAGCGTCTCTTTTTTAAAAATAGAAATAGAAATAAGTTTACATTATTTACTTGTAGCAGCTTGTATTCCTCTGCAGACATCTCATACTTCCTCTAAGGATCCACTGTACACATTGCCGGCTTTCAACTTTAATTATATGAAATGACAACTTGCCTAATTTGGATCAGATCTCCCCCAACTTTATTTCATGTATATCCCACTTTTCCTACAAGACGGTCAAGGCCTCCTTCCGCTTTAATCCCCCCTGTGTGGTGGGTTAAGCTAAGACTGGCCCAATGTCACTCAAGTCATCTTCATAGTTGAATGGGATTTGAACCCAGTTCTCCCTGGAGTTAGGCTGGCACTCTAGCCACTACAACAAACCCCCTGGGCTCATGACAAAACATAGGCTGCTGGCTGCAGTATCTAACTGGCAGGCCACATTTGACTTGCTGGGTCACAAGCCAAGACCATTTTGATCAGAATTGTCTGCACTAACTGGCAGAACCTGGGACCTTCTGTATGCAAAGCAGATGATCTATCACAGAGTTGTAGGTCTTCCCCAAATGGTCACCCACAATGCAGAATAATGCGATTTTCATAAGCTGCACATTTTGCAGTTCAAGTACTGTCTCAGGTGCCTATAAGAAAAAACATGCAGGCAAGCAGCTCAATCCTACATATGCCTGCTTGGAAGTCGGAAGTCAATGGCAATGTATTCAGCATGGCCTACTCTCCAAATAGTTGTGCACAGGATTTGCCTTTAAGCATGGCTGCATTTCATACAAGTTCCCATCATTAGCTTCGTACCTCTGCAATGGATCAGGCAAAACAAAAACAAAGAAAAAACTGCTTTTTTGCATTACAAAGTCAGGAAAGACTCAAATTAATTTGCACAGTGCTATACATACATTTTCCTATCTGATTTTAAGAACCAATTATCCTGCAGTTCTAAAGAAAAAAGAAATTAGAATCGTAGACACAGTGAATGTTCATTGACACACTGGGGCTTACTCCTGAGTAAACATGCGTAGGATTGTGCTTTCAGTTTCTTATTGTATTATTATTGAGTAAATTGTACAGCGTGTATGGCTACACATAGAATTTTTGACCAAAAAAAGCCATGCTGCGGTGTGGAAGTGCAATTACAGTGTGCAATTACAGTCTTTGTGTAATTGGGAGATAAAAACGAGAGGTAGATGTGATATGCCTCAGCAGGAAAAGTCAGATTTTAAGATTACGACAGATTTTAAACTGTTCATATCAGTCCCAATGAGATACTTTTCTTTTGTCATTTGTCCAGGTTTAATACCAAGCAAAACGTTCATTGACATTGTTTATGACTTGATTACTTTGAATCTTGGCTCAAACTCGCTTCCTGATGCTTGGCTACACCTCTCCATTTATGATGTGAGTGCTCACTGTGTCCGCTATTCCTGTGATTTTTGACAGTCATTTGCTGTGTTGACTAGATGTACAATTGAGATGCTTACAATTTTAAATGGATGCTTACATTGCTAGAATAGGATACGTGTCTTTATTACAGAATTTATAGCCTTTGGGGGCTAATGGCCTTACGATTAAAAAAGAAAGAGGTAAAATACAGCAAAGACATTTTTAAATGTAACTACATTAGCCATCCACAAAACAATAAAATGTAGTTAGCATAAAAAGAATGACTATGGAAGCAAAACAGATTGCACTGCATACATCTCTTTTGTTTACGAAATTGATCAGGTACACAACAGTACTAGTGAATAAACCCAGCTTGTTATCTGCAAAGATATGTTCCTGGCTGCCATGTCAATTTGTTGTAGCCGCTGAAAATTTCTTCCTCCCAAAATCCAATACTTGTAGGCAAAATTGAGGAGGCTTGTTGAAATCATAGAATTGGAAAGGACCCAAGGGTCATACTAGTCCAATCCACTGCATAGCAGAAACCTCAGCTAAAGCATACATGACAGATGGCCATTCAACCTCTGCTTAAAAACCCTCAAGGAAGGAGAGTCCACAACTTCTCGTGGGAGCCCATTCTGCTGTCAAACAACTCTTGCCACCAGAAAGTTCCTCCTGATGTTTCGTTGGAATCTCCTTTCCTGTAACTTGAATCTATTGGTTTTGGTCCTACCCTCTGGAGCAGGAGAAAACAAGCTTGCCCCATCTTCTATTTTGGCAGCCCTTTAGATATTTGAAGATGGCTATTGTATCTCCTCTCAGTCTCCTGTTTTCCAGGCTAAACATACCCAACTCCCTCAACCATTCCTCATAAGGCTTGGTTTCCAGACCCTTGATCATCTTGGTCAACCTCCCCTGCACACTTTGCAGCTTGTCAACATCCTTCTTCAGAATTCATTTTGTAAGTTTTGGCCCAATTCTCCAATTTTCTAAGGGTCATCCTGAATCCTGACTCTGTCTTCTGCAGCATTAGCTACCCCTCCCAGTTTGGTGTCACCTGCAAATTTGATCATCCCCTCAATTCCTTCATCCATCATTTATAAAGACGGTGAACAACAACGAGCCCAGAACAGAACCCTGTGGCACCCCTCATCACTTTTTCCAGGATGACAAGGAACCTTTAGTGAGCACTCTTTGAGTTCAGTCAGTCAACCAGCTTCAAATACATGTCTGCATTCAAATGCTACCTTGCTTTCTGCTGGAGCACTGTCTCATGTCACAAAGCAGAAGTCCTGTGTTGAGACGAGGCATTAAAATGTCTCTTTTGAAAAAAGTTCCCTGCAATTGATGTCATGGACTATATTTCTGCCCAGTCTCAGCTTTCTGTTTGGGGAGCAGTCAGTGATTTTGAAGCCAAAGGATTCTTCTGTCTGTATAAGATACACAGTCCATAAAATGGCCCTGCCCTTAATTACCCATTCCACTTACTTTTACTGTGTTAAGTAAACTTGTGTATTTTTGGATGTTACAGTTGCAGGGCCTGGCAGCAGCGTTAACAGTGGACTCAGACACTGTGGACTGGCGTATATTCTTGCAAGCAGCTTCCCAGCCTTGGCCTCTGCCCTCAGTGACAGAGCTTCTTGAAACACTGCAGAGATTCCAGGATGTGGATGTAGATGGATCGGGCTTTGTCACAGAGGAAGAATATGATCAGGTCCCAATTCTTTCTTCTCTAAAGTTCTATTTTTGTGGCTGTGAGTCCCAATGAAACCATTGGGACAAGCAGCCAGCCAGTCTTCACACCCTGTGGGCCACAAGCCCTGATTTGGGGTGGAGGGAAAATTCAGTTCCGTTCACATTTAAAGCCCAGTTTACCAAATTTTCACAATATGGAAGCCAAATCACAGGCTTCCTTCAAAACTCGCTCTTATCTGAATTTTGCAGTGCCATGCTACAAGCACACAGTGTTCACAGACATGCATACACCAGGGGGAAATGTGCAAAAATATCAAGGTATTGGTGAAAATAGCATAGCAAAATGCATTCTGTTAGGAGACATTGTTTGCAAAGATGTGGACAATAGTCAAAGCTGCATACAGAAATGTGTTTTTGGGAAGAAATTTGCTCTAAAGTGCTAATGAAGTTTCGTGAGGATTTTAAAAACAAAACAAAACACAAATTGTTTCAGAAATGTGGAGAACTAAACTTAAGATAGTAAAAATGAGAAGTGGAGAGAACCAAAACTGGCAGCTCCTTCTGCCCCTCGTCATTCACGCACCAATGTGGTTTTTAATTTCATTTTAGCCAACACAGGCCCATCCACCCCACGTCCTAAGTGTAAGGCCAGTGTACCAACTTCAGAGCAAGCCTCTCTGAACACAGTGAGACTTCTTTCCAAGTAGACATGCATAGGACTGTGTTGTAAAAGTGGCATGTGGTTCAGAAATGACATAGGCTGGCATGTGTGCGTGAAACGAATCAGAAGTGCATGTCAGCTTCAAAACATTTCATAAATTAAATTACTTCAAATTAAACATTTCATACCAAATTATTTCAGGTCAGTTTCATGTGGTGCTCCCTTGCCTTTCCTTCAGAAGTGCATGATGTGGCTGGGGTAGGGTTCTGTAGAGTACCTATCATCCTAGCACTGTAGTAATTTATAACAAATAGGTTGGTTTTGCTTTCCAGGGAGTGAGGAGCATTATTGCATTCCCTGTAAGATGTATCATAGTCATCCCAAAAGGCTAATTCCTGCATCTTCTCCCAAGATCTTTTGACCCATGGGAGGGAACAGCTTAGCGGATGTGAGGAAAAGTGGGTCTGGAGGGACAGATGAGATGCTAAGTCCTGTGTCCTGCTCCCCCACCTTTCTGCACTCAGCTTCCTAGGTGCCAACCCTGGGCAGCTAATGGCTCATGCCTGTGTTTGCTGCTCTCTGCTGCCATTATTCAATGGCAGTACAAAGGCAACTTTTCACTAGAAGAAGGAAAAGCAAACCCCCATCATGTGGCAACACATTTCACCAGAAAAAGGAAAAGAAACAGTCGCCACTAGGGATGGAAAAACCACAAAGAGATGCTGCTCTCAATATTTCACCCACCTACGCAGAGTTGTGGTATTTTGCTCAGCAGCAAAGAGACTAAAAACATACCAACAGCTCCAGAGTCAACACAGGAAGCTAGGTAGAACATCCTTTGGTTCAGTATCTGGTATCAGTTCTCTGATCTTTGGGCTGGTAAATCTGAGCGAAACAAGAAAAATGTGTAAGTGATGTTGTTTTTGAGCAAAAATGTTTTTAAAAAATCTAAATCCACCCATAAAATTTGGTTACTTCCCAGTTGAAATCCCACAAAAGTCCATGAGGCTAAAATAATATGAACAGGGTTTTCTAGCTTACTGGGGCTGTGAATGGAGTTGTGGTGCTTCTGTTCCCAGATATTGACAAGAAAAAGAATGTTTTTATATACTGAAGATATATACTGAAGTTATATACTGGGTTTTGCCTCCCATGTTAAGTATAATCTATAGACTTGCAAAGAACCCTTCTGACATAGGTAGCTTTCAAGTCAACTGCTTTCGTTTTCACCATAGAACGGATTGATGCTGGAGACAAACTGTAATCAGGTTTTCTTTTCAGAGACTTGAAAGTGTTATACCAAGCAGACGCATCTTTTCCTGTGGTGTAAACATTCATTTCTTGGGTCAGAGAAGCCTGAAACACTGCAAAACTTCTAAATGAACATGATACAGGAATGAGTGTGCACACACCATTCGCAAAAATGCCTCCATGATGCACCCTTCAGCTCCATTGCTGCAGCCAGTGACGAATCACAGTTTCTGGGCCTAGGACAAGCTTGTAACAGGGCCCCAAATCCCCATGTCTGCTTTTAAAAATAGGGTTGATTTGTACCCTTCAGCTTCTTTAGGTCCCTTTGATTAAGCCTGTTGCCCAATGCATACCTGATTTGTGTTTATAGCCATAGTTGACAGTACAGCATGTATGGATATAGCTTTTCACAACTACTCTGTAGTCCAGGCAACACAAGGCAAAAGTTGGGTGTGAAGGGGAGAGTGGGAGAAGAAACTACAGAATATGGGTATAAATTTGTTGAGAGGCATGTTGAGGTAACGCAGGGGGAAATGCTAAAGAAAAAGCTTTCTCCACTTAGAGGAAGGAAAGGGAATCTGAAGCACACACCCCAGATGTTGCTGGACTAGCACTCCCATCGTCCCTGACTGCAGACCATGTCAGCTGGGGCTGATGGGAGATGGATTCCAGCTGCTCTACACACTGTTCCTGCCCTGGGATCTAGAGCTAGTCCTTCTATGTGCTCTGGAAACCAGATGCCTAGCTCATTTACTCACATAATTTTTACAGGCTCCAGAGTGCATCAACAGCATCAGCTTCCATTTCCATGGAGTTTTCAACATCCCTGATGAATGATGGCTGCCCTTCCTTCCTGATGCCACATTTTGGTGGCCACATTCTGCACAGTATATGCCTACCAGAAGGAAAACACTCTGGGACACAGTTCTTCAGTGAGCATGTCACGTAGAGCGCCATGCCGCTCTCCTGCCTCTTGAAGTGGGCATTGCAGGGCCAAACTAGAAGAGAATGCAATTCACACAATTAGCAATTGTGTGGAGGGCTTTTTGAAAGCAAATTGCAACAGCGGAAGCCCAGATCCAAATTGGGACTTTGGTGTGGGGGACAGGAAGGGCCCTAACCCTTCACCTCCTGTTGCAGTCTTGATCTGTACTGAACCTCCTATGCTTGCTACTTGCATTTAGGATGGAGCTATAATATTCACTCCAATGGGAACTTTCCTTCTAGTCCTAATAGCAGGGCAAGAGGGGAGCGATAGAGACCTTAATTGGGAACACAGCAAGGGATTACAGTTTCCCACTGTCCAACACTAGGATTCAGGATTTAAAAGCCATTCATGCAACTGCAAATTGTGTGAATGGTGTCTTGTCAAAGTTTGTTCCCCAGAGTTTCCTGTACAAGTGCTTTCTTTTGTGCTTTTCTCTCATACAGCACCCCCTAATAACACAGGGGAACCTGGTCTCTTCTTACTATGGTGTGAGCCCCTCCCTCCTGTTGCCAGTCAGCTAGTACAGTCAGCTCTTCTTGCCTCATGCCTAGGAAATGCCAGCAAAACTAAGAAACTTGCAAGACATCTTTGCAGACATACATACATACATACATACATACATGTGCACAACCACGAAATTCTAAAACTTGTAGTTTGAGAGACAGCAAGAGCACTTTGTGTACATGCTCCATTGGTTCACTGTTCAGAATGTTGCCTGTTCTGCTCTAACATTCTTCAGAACTGCACCAGCATTCATGATGAGATTTAGATGGCTGATAATATAGCGTGCCTAAACATTCTTCAATAACAGCCGCTAAGGCTTAGTTTTCCTCTTATGGTAACCGGCTTGCATCCTGGGTCAAGCATCCTCCCTAGGCCCCGGTGCAAGGAGTTCTGTCTGCAGATTACTGCTGGGTGAGTAGTAGATGAAGAAGTGACCCCATTTCATCTAAAACCAGCCACTGCAACTTTCTTTTTATCCTCCTCAGCTGTTGATTTTTTTTTTCCTGATTTGCTTCTAGAACCAGAATCACTGACTCATATTTTGAAACACAAGAATGTTTCATTTAATGAGTCACTGAAGTCTTGCTGTTGCTGTATGTGGCCTAGCATGGAAATCAATTTTTGCTGCCTTTTTAAGTACAGTTTCCCCCTCCCTGGAATATATCCTGCTGTTACATGTTGGTTTTGATAAATACCTGCACCAGAAAAGGAGGGTGTGTGTGTATTAACACACATATACACACACAGTTATAGATCTGTGCACACAAACGTGTTAAAAATTTAATCATAAAATCAATTATATATCACTGCACTCAAAGGATATATATCCTAGAGTGGAACAGATGAGCCTTGAGAGAGATTGGCATGGTAGTCATTAGCAACAATGATTAAGTGACTGGGTGACCTTATCAACAGCAGTGCCTCCATATCTGCCTAATAAGCCTTAATACTTAATAGCAGTTAAAAGCAAGCTATTGCCTTGAAACTCAGCCTGCAGATTTCCCAGAGGTATCTGGTTACTTTGCGAAACAGGATACTAGACTAAATGGGCCTTTGGTTGGATCCTCCTGGGCTTTTGTATTAAGTTCTTAAAGTGTCCAAAGAGGGTCATGAATAATAACCATTCTTTGGGTTGTATCCAAGTAAATCATTGCATGTGCAGAATGACATCTGTGAATGCAACAGAACTTCTCCTCCCTTTATTCCTTTTATGCACCCTGGCACCACCCCCAGATAAGCCCCAGACCAAATTTGAGTGGCAGATGGAGGGAAGAGAGAGGAAGGGGAAATTATGTTGAAACTTGTGAAAGTTGTTCCATGTACATTCAATGATTTGGTTGGATAGAACATTTTATGTCCAGGTGACCAGAATGGTGAGAAGAATAGAAATCAAGTACTACGAGGAAAGAGTTGAGGAAAGAGATTAAGATGGAATAAGGAATGGTAGTTGTATTTAAATATCTGAAGAGCTGCCACATGGTAGACAAGACTTGTTCTTAGTTGCTCCAGAGAACATGACTGGAAGCAACAGGTTAGCGGAGAAACAGATTTGGCTAAACGTTCAGAGAAACATCATAATTGTAAGAGTTGTTCAGCAGTGGAACAGACTACCTTGGTATGTGGTGGTGGGTTATCCTTTGCTGGAGATATCTGAACAGAGGTTGAACAGACATTTCTCAGGGATGCTTATAGTTTTTGCCTTTTGCATTGTGGATCCTGCAGTAATCAAGCAGTTTGGGCTTGTTGACTTACACAATCCCTTCCAACTGTGTAGTTCTGTCATTCCAGGTCGGTCTGTGGTTTAAAGGCAGTGAAGATTTACCCGTTCCAGAAAGCCCCACAGAACCTTTTCCATTTAACCGCCAGGAGCACCTTATAAAAGTAAGTGTAAAAAAAAATCACAGGCTGCAAGCCAAATTGAAGTTAAGCACAGTTAAGACCAGCCATTTCAGTGTCCGGGAAATCTCAACTCAATTTCAAAAAAAGCTCAACAATTTGCCCCCCCCCCCCAATCCAAGATCTCAGGTAGAAATGTCCTGGGTCTGTTATCTGGAGATACTATGAATTCAACTTGGAACGTTCTACAAGTAAAATGAGTGCTCAATCACTGAACCATTTGCCTTCTCCATTCTGGTCAGGCGGTGGTATTTAACTTATATGTACGCCTCTTGCCACCAAAATAATAATGATCTGTTCACTGTAAGAAGCACAACGAAGGTGCCCTTTTTTTCTGCTGAGCTGTGAGATCCTTCATCAGGATTGGCTTCCTTAAGAGGAAAGAGAGCATTGCAAACTTACCTCTGGGAAAATATTTTTCTCTACAAAATGTTTCACATCTGTGTGGCTTAAATCTCACAGGTCTGTTTTTAATCAGCTTCTTATCCGAGGGTAATAGTTTGCACTGACTGGGATGCATATTGGGTTTTGATTCCAAGTTCTTTCCTGAATTGACAAGCTACATGTCTGACACAAAAAGGCCTGGAGAGGATCATATTTTCACACTTTGCTTCCCAAAAAATAAAAAAGACTGCCCATTGGTTACGAAGGGCCATAACTCAGTGGTAGAGCATATGTCTTGCAGTCGGAATGTTTGAGGTAAAACCCCTGCTGTCCCCTGCTAGATCTAGGAAACCTATCTGCGACCCCAGAGAGCTGGTGCCACTACAGTACAGACTTAGATCGAATAGTGATGTGGTTCCTTTGTTCTTTGTGTAATTGTATAACACAAAACTGACAGAATTAATAGACAAGGTAGCCCAACCATACAAGCAGAAAGCTAAGCCAGACATTTTAAGGTTTGTTCCAGAATTTCCCCCCTTAAGTTTTTATGCATTCCTGGTTGCAGTGGCAACCACATTGCTCCACATGAATGGAAAGTGAACTTCAGTATGAAAATACCCAACACAAAATTGCTGCAGATCACTATATGCACATTACAACCACACAAAGTTTTCCCAGTGCAGAGATGTTCCTCATTGCTGAAAGACTTGCAAAGTGGATCGGACATTGCATGTATACTTGGATAGATTATTCTCATACAATATCCTCTACGTCAATTAACTGAAGCATGTTTCTTTTACAGTTTTTCTTTTCTTTATTTGCTGATCCTGAAAAAGACCCTCCTCAGCTAAACTACACGGAGATGCTCCTTTATTTTGCATCCGATCCTGATTCTGTCGATGGTGTCTATCGGGCCCTCAGTGTCGCAACAGGGACACACATTCACAGGGAAAAACAGGAACTCCCTCCTGTTCCCCAACGGGTAAATGTGCTGTTGATCTTGACAATAATTTAGCGTTTGCTGGTGAAAATTGAATCTCTTATTCCTTAAAGCTGGGCTGTTATATTGTTTTCATTTCAGTCTACACTGACTGCACCAAACTGAAAGGAGAATGCTAATTCTGTAGATTTTTCACTTAATCACCCTTTGTGTTCTGGGTTGTTTCTACACTTCCTCCTTAGTCTGGAGTTGCCATCTTCTGCTCATTCACTTTCTCTAGAGAATCAAGATGATGTTGTTGCTGATCCCATTGCATCCAGATGATTCCTGTGCAGTCCCTCCCATTCCGCACTTTTTTAAAAAATGAAATGCAGTTTGTTCAGCCAGCCTGTCCATTGTGGACTGGTAAAGTGCTGTGGAGGCTTTTCAGGACCGTAAATGCCTTTAATTAAAATCTGCTTGCAAGCTCTGCCACCCTTTGGTCTTTTCCTGCGGCATGTGGCAGTAGCATTGTTGATAAAGAGCCTTTTTAATTACTGCTTTCCCCTGATGTTTTTTATTTTTTTAAGACTCTTTCTTGGATAATTAAATTGTACTATTTCAGTAATACAGTGGTACCTTGTGTTACATACGCTTCAGGTTACATACGCTTCAGGTTGCAGACTCCACTAACCCAGAAATAGTACCTCAGGTTAAGAACTTTGCTTCAGGGTGAGAACAGAAATTGTGCTCTGGCGGCGCGGCAGCAGCAGGAGGCCCCATTAGCTAAAGTGGTGCTTCAGGTTAAGAACAGTTTCAGGTTAAGAACGGACCTCCAGAACGAATTAAGTACTTAACCCAAGGTACCACTGTACAGAAGAAAAGAAGAAAAGGGTGTGGAAGGAGAAACAAATAATGATGTCCTGGCGGCAGAAGTTGACGCCATATTCCTCACTAACAGTCACTAAAGAGATCAAAAGTTCTTTTGATGCCTTTCAGAATCCCACTATATGTGTCTGAAGGCCATGGCATGATGTAGACATCTCTTCTGCTGAGAAATGTCAACTGCTCCACAATGAAGCAGCTACATTACTGGCTAGGGTTGCGTTTAGATCTCTTTTAGATGTCACATAACCTCTGTTTTAAAACAGCCACACTGGCTGCCAGTTCACTTCCAGGCCTAATTCAAGGTGTTCACATTAGTGTTTGAAGCCTTAAACAGTTTAGGCCTCCAATATCTGAAAACTGCCTCCCTCCCTACAGACCTTATTGGGTGCTAAGATTGGCGGGGGGGGCCTCTTGGTAGTTCCTCCACCCTCAGAGGGTTGGGGGAGACTTTCCAGGAGATGATATTCCCTGTGGCAGCCCCTAAATTGTAGAACTCTGCAAAGAGGTGCATCCAGCACTTTCATTGTATAGCTTCTGGAAAATGGTGAACACACAAACACACATACACACACACACACACACACACACACACACGCACACATGGACCAATCTATTTTTTGTGGTTGCAAATTGTTTTAAATTGGTTTTTATATTGTATTTTCATGTTGTAATCGCCCTGGGACCTTAGGGTGAAGGGTGGGTGATTAATAATGATAATAATAATAATGAAGAAGAAGAAGAATAGTTACCACTATATATATATATTAGGAGGAAGGGATGGTTCAGCCTGATATTTCTAATCAGATTAGTATAATAGAGTACATGCCTTTCTTTAGGAACCAGTGAGAATCTCAGTTCTGCAATGCAGGCTAAGCTTTTCTCAATAGACTTCCCAACAAACTTACAAAACTACAGTTCTTGGGATCCTCACCAGTTAAACCATTTTAAAACTAGTATAGATTTCTAGTGATGGTGCCAGTCTTGAATGTCCTCCCTAAAGAAGTGAATTAGACCCTGGCATTACAAATTCACACTTGTCTGAATTTTGCAATGCAGCTCTACAAACACGCAATATTTATGAAAATGCATACTGTATTTTTCACCCTAATGGACGCACTTTTCCCCTCCAAAAATGAAGGGGAAATGTGTGTGCGTCCTATGGGGCGAATGCAGGCTTTCGCTGAAGCCTGGAGAGCGAGAGGGTCGGTGCGCACCGACCCCTCTCACTCTCCAGGCTTCGCGCAGCTCTCCGCAAGCCGTGGGAGCCCACGCCGGGCTCCCACGGCTTGCGGAGAGTTGCCTGTTCTAGGGGCTGGGGTCGGGGGAAGCTCGGGCCCCGTGCCTGGGGGGAAAATAAAAAAAAATTCCTTTATTTCCCCCGCAAAAAACTAGGTGCGCCTTATGGGACGGTGCGTCCTATAGGGCGAAAAATACGGTATATCAGGGGAAAATATGTATATTTCATGAAAAAAATAATATGTTAGTGAAAAAGGCATGCAAAAATTAATTATATCAGGGGAAATTGCTCCCAAAATGTGCACATTAGCCAAAACTCCTTATAAAACCTTGTTAATAGGAGAAATTTGCACAAAATTCTAATGAATTTTTATGAAGGCTATCACAAATTGTAGCAGAAGGTGACAAACTGAATTTAAGATTAGAAAAATGAGAAACAGAGAGAACTGAAATTGACAGTTCCTTCCTCCCTTAGTGGCCACCAAGCTTAATCATCCGATCATTAGCAAAGCTATTCCAATCTGTCACACTTTCCGTCCCCAGTATGTTCCTTCTTCTGAGCAGCTGATAACAAGTGACGGACAGGATGAGCAGGAAGAGGAGGAGGCTGCTGAGGAAGGTGAAGAGGAAGAAGAAGAGAAGGAAAAAGAAGAGGAAGCTGAGTCTTTCACCAATGAAGGAAACATTTCTCTGGATACACTACTCAAAGTGTTTCAGCATGAAACAAACAAAGCTGCTGACAACCACAGATTTAATGGTTATATGAAACCAGAGGATACTTATGAGGTTGGTTAACTAGCAAATGGTTCCAGTGCTTGTTTAATTAATCTAGTATCCTACTCTTGTCCAGAAGCTTGTTGCAGGTAACATGTCACTTATTACAGTTTTAAAGATTAGGCAGGATTGCTTAAGTTTCGTCAACCAATAGTAGCCCAGTCAAAACGGCCTTCTGCCGCTTCTGAAATATGACCAGGCTAGGGCTCTCTTGGGACCTCCAGAGATGGGGAGATCCATAAATATAGGAAAACTACACAAACTAGTGTGTGTGTGTGTGTGTGTGTGTGTGTCATGTAAGATTACACAGAGTTCTAAGTATCAGGTTGTCAAACGCTCACCACAGACAGACAGCTGGGAGCCCCTCAGGCTGATTTTGTGAGGAAGGGCAAGGTGTTAAATACAGAGACTTTAGTCTACCAACTTTAACCAAATTTAATCAAGATGTAGTAAGAGAGTTTCCTCACAGTTTTACTTTTAAGGAAAATAGCACAGTTACATGTGCCCTGAAAAAAGTTGTCTCTCTCCACGGATGTCTCATGTAATGGCCTTTAATCTGAGTGTACAGTATAGCAGCTAGCATTGTGAGACTGGAAGTTACCAGTTCCCTGAACTTGAGCACAGGCAAGCCACAGCCTCAGACTCCTACCTGAAGCATGGGGCTAATGCTAAGGACCTAACGGACCTATTGTAAAGATCACTGGGATAATGCTTGTGAAGCAGTTACCATCCTTATGACCATCCTCATGGCCAAGTGTTAGACATTTGAAGCACTCTCTATAGTTGCTAAATATTTCATGGAGCCTGACTGCCCAACAGTTGCATAGCAAAATAGAGTCACAGCCCCCCAGGCCACTGTCAGTAGAATAGAGCAGTCCCCGTGGCCATAAAGGATGTCCATCTCTGCTTTGCAGAAATGATTTGCAGCCCAGCATCACTGCGACTTCCTAGGATGGAGGGTAGTAGGGAGATCAGGGCTGGCAGCTCACCATCAGAGCCAATCCAGTGGTCCCATCAGTTTGCCCAATCTCCCCATTGCCTTGTTTTTTCCCTTGCTGGTAATCTTCAGCAATGCTGCTGCCAGGAAGCCAGCGCTAAGGCTCTGTCCCACTAGGGGAGCTGCTTCTGACAGCGTTCTGATTGTTGCTTTCCAAATGGCTACACTTTCCTAATACAGTAAGCCGTTTGTTATGTTCCCTTGAAGCATTTCATTAAGGTATACCGGGATCTTGGATCCGAAGATCTGACGCCCATCCCAGTGGCGCTTCTTTTGCAGCACCCCTTCATTCAAGACTTGATTAACAGCTACCAGCAGTACAAGCTTCACGTAAGTATCTATTTCCCTGTAAGTACACAGGGATCCGGAATGTCTTGTCTTTTTCTTTTACATTCAGGAAATACAAAGTGCTGTGAAGTGAAAACAGACCTCTTCATTTACAGAGTCTCTATATACAATTGTAACAACCGTTTTGCTTGGAACAGGGAAGAGAGGGCATTTACTGTGGCTATGCTTAATGTTCTGCAACAGGCAGCTCAAAATTGGCATGTGGTTTGGTGGCCCATTTGTTCCCTTGGTTATTGTTTCTCAGTGCCATCGGCCCTCCTCCGCTTCCTCATTTGCCCTCACTGACCTTCTGTGTAGCTGACAGTCGTAATCAGCTCTTGTACCATTCTTGATACCATCTTATCAGATAATAGCATTGTGACATCATTGACAACATTCATATGAGTTATCGCTGCTCAGTTAAATTAAATGGCAATGAGGGCAAATGTGGCATTTAAAAACCACAAATATTTTTTGCAGAGGGTGTCCAGAATTTCCCAAAACAGGAGAAAAGGTCAGGAAACTGGAGGCCAGAATCTTCTCATTTGGAGTCATTACTACTTGATGGTCATTGGATGTATTCTGGAAACACACATACAAAGAAGCATGTCCTTTTCCCACACATTTTCTCATGCACCTCTCATGGAGGTGCATATTCACCCACTGGACATTCATCTCTACCTTCGTGAGGACTGGAGATCAATATATGTATCTCCCTCCCCCATAGCATAAAATTTCATCCCTTGCTGCTTCTAGAAAATATTTAAAATAACCTTGAAGAAGACAGCTGCTAGGGAACCCTACATTATCTCCAAATTTTGCATGCATGATATATGGAACAGGAGGCTATGAACTAACCTCCACCTTCCTCACTCTGTATCTCCTTATACTTACTGCTGATAAATGGTGACAATCTAGCAAGTTATTTCTTTATATTGTTTTGGTACCCTAGAGCTTGGGAGTGATCAATGGTTTTCTTTTGGTTGGGGAAGCCCACTATGACAAAGTGTTGAGAACACATCATCCTAGATAGCTCTAAAGCCTGCAACTAGTCCTGCATGCTGGCAGTCAGGTTCAAGGTTGAATGTCTTTACGTCAGGTTCCAAGGTGATAGGGATTCTGCACCCACCTCTCCCAAGACTCATCGAATAAACAGCAATGCAAAAACAAAACAAAACAAAACAAAACAGAGGTTTCTTTTCAAGAAGAATAAAACTGCACGAAAACAAACCCCATAGATCAGTGTTATTCAGAGATCACTTGTGAGATAAAAGGAGCAGATGCTAACGGGTGTGGTTTATAAGGCGGCAACATCTCCACTTGTGAAGCTGATAGGGAACCAGAGGAGAAAGCAGCGTTGCTGAGTAATGTCGCATGTTGCTCCTTTGTGGATGAAGTGCTTGCTTCTAAGCAAGACTTTGCAGCTTGTGACCCAGCCTAGAAGCGATGTAGTTGTGGCCTTGCTGGCCGGCCTGGAGCTTGGCAGATCCCAGGCTTTTGAAGTCCCAGGCAGGCACCACAACTATTTATTACCCCGTATTAAATATTGCTATCTATGTGCATGGCACTTTGCAGAGGGCAGGCATGACTTGCTTCCACCCCAAGGGGCTTATCGTCCAAGGTAGATGCAGGGAAACAGCAGAGGAAGGTAGGAAATGGAGTCTTAGGTGGGCAGAGGAAGAGCAGGGGCAGAGGAAGGGGCGGGGGGGCGGGCTGCCCCAGGTGTCATCACTGAGGGGGGTGACATTCAGCACGCTGCCCGCCCATGACTCCCAAGCCTACCCTGAGCCGTCGGGGAAGGGGTGGAGCTGCGACGCATTGCCGGCGGCCTTCCTCCCTTTCCCCTTTGTTTTGACTGCTCGAGGGAGGCTTGGGAGTTACGGGCGGGCGGCAAGCCATTGCTGCCCGCTCCCGGGCTGCTTCCTGGGGTGGGAGCCTCCCCCGAGCTGTCAAAAGGAAGAGGAAAGGGAGGAAGGCTGCTGGCAAAGCAGCACAGCTCCCTCCCTCCCCGCCCAGGAAGCAGTCCGCCATGGGCACCTCACTCCACCCCGCATGGGCGGCTCACTCCGCCCCCGTGGGCAGCGCACCCCTGGGATGCTCGCCCCACCCCTGTGGCCCTGCCCCTGCGTGCACAGCATCCCGGAGAAGCTAGCACCGACTCTGAGGAAAAGTAAACTAGGAGGTGCATCAAGCCCCATGTTGGGCTACTTTTTGCCTTGGTGGGTCACAGTCTGTGCAGGCTTTTAAGTATAGAGACGAAGGATTCTAAACTAGTTAACCAAGCAGTTTATAATTATTAGTAGTAGTGTTGCTGGTGGCGATGATGTTTTTTTTTTTGGTATCCCACCCATCTGAGTGGGTTAACCCAGCCACTCTGGGCAGCTTCCAACAGAATATACAATATACAAATATTGTATACAATTTTCCTGTACATCCAAATTCTTAGACTGTCCATATTACGCAATTGCTTCATTGGATACAACTCGTTCTTTTTATCATTCATCATTATTGCACACCATATGCAATTCAAGACAGCTGGTCACTTGTAGTTCACCCTTTAATTCTTTTTTCTCTCTCCATTGCATTGGTCAGTACAGCAGACCTTCCGTGTTATATATCTGTGTTCCAGATCATTTTGCAATAATGGCCCAAACCTCTTTGGTTTCTGAGGAATCACGTGCATCCTGTATAGTACAGGCAAATAATTGTATTTAAGCAAGTTTAATTGTTTGAGATTTCACAGCAGGGCAAGTCTGATTTTTCACTAATGTGCCTATTTATTGGGTTTTTGGAAGATAAGCTAATGAAATGTTGATTGTATGTATCTGTCTCTTCTAGAATCCTTGAACTGATAATGATTTACAGCCCTCCATTGGCTAACATTTTCTTTTTATTAGTACCATTTGCTTCATTTGCTATTAACTACAGTGCTATGAATGCAGAGTTTTTGCATGGGATGTAAGCAGCACGCCTCAGTGAAACTCTTCTATAGCTGGAGTGTGGCATTGCTGCTGCAATCACTGGGTATATCTATGGGCTCGTCCAGACTTGCCCTTGCCCCTCCACTTTCCCCCTGGGAAACCCCATCTTTACTGCAGAACCAGAGCAAACATCAATTGGGATTTCTCCGGACTGACACCTGAGACGATTTATTGCCTAAAGATTGGGTATTCCCAAGGAAAGCAGTGGGACAAGGGCAAAATCACTCAGAACCTTGCCTAGAAAGTGTTAAACAAATGGAAAACCACTTGGACCCATACTTTCTAGGCATGGGACAAGTGGAAGTGTGGGCGAACCCTATATTACAACAACAACAATATCAATAATAATAATAATTTACCTTTACCTTAACCCCTTCCATCTGGATGGGTTGCCCCAGCCACTTTGGGTGGCTTCCAACAGAATATTAAAAACACAATAAAACATCACACATTAAAGAACACCCGATACAGGACTGCCTTCAGATGTCTTCTAAAAGTCAGGTAGTTGTTTACCTCTTTGATATATGACGGGAGGACATTCCACAGTGTGGGTACCACTGCTGAGAAGAGCCCCTGCCTGGTTCCCTGTAACTTCACTTCTCTTTCTCTTTCTCCAACTCTCTCCCCACCCAATTTTTAAAAATGGAAATGGTTTGGTGCCCCCTGGTACAACCCACTTCTAAATCAAGTCACAACCCACAAGTATAAGCAAATAGGGTTGCATCCATATTTAGTCCTACTCAGAGTAGATCTGTTGAAATTAAGGAACTTAAACTAGTTGTGGACATTCATTTGAATGGGTCCGCTCTGAGCAGGGCTAACTTTGAATACAATAGATAGCTCTATTTCAGCCCTTGGTTAATGGCATCACTCTTAATGATATTGCTTTCATCTTGATACGGAGATACAACTCAGGGAAGCGTGTCCTCTAACTGCTGAACGTTGAGGCACTCCTGATAAGCCCTCCAAGTATCCCCAGGGTTCCCTGGAGCTGAGTGGGGAGAAACAACAGATCTCGTGGAAATTTCTTAATCCCTTCCTTCTGGGAGCTGTGAGTCACTCTGAAGGTTGTTGCAATTCCTCATTCTTAAGGGGCAGTTCCTTGAAGTGGCAATTTTCTTTGAAATCAGTTCCTCTCAGTTCTGAGTCACAACCTTTAAAAAGAGAGAGAGAGAGAGAGAGAGAGAGAGAGAGCATTCACTGTTCTGTTCTTTCTGTGTGTCAGAAGTAGAATTTATTGTGCAGGTACTGATTAATAGATACTGGTGTGCAAAATCGCCTGGGCGATAAGCTTGCCCGGGGCACACATCTGATGAAGGGTTAGTAAGAAATCAGTTGTACTCTTTTGTATCATTTCTAGCAAATTTCTGTGGTGTTGCATGACAAACACACGCACACAGTTCACATGCCCAGTTCTTTCTGTTCCACTCACTCAGTGTACAATAGACTCCAGAGCTTTCGATTTGTCACACAGATACATCCACGCCCCTCTTCCTCTGCTCTTTTCCTTTGCTCTTGCATCCACAAAGCCATCCTCTCTTTTCAGGGCTTGCCCAACACATTTTGCTCCCTGAGATAAAGCAACAAGTGGTTCTTCCCCCTTGCCAGCAACTCAAGGTGCATAGTACTAGGGACAGATGGGCAGCCTCCAGTTTATACCTAGACCTTGCCTTTGGTGTGCCCCCTCCAACGAGTTATGGAGAACGGCAACATGTGAACGGGCCTTTTCAGTGGTGGCTCCTCCATTGTGGGATCCTCTCCCTAGAAAAGTATTCCTGGCACCATCATTATCAACTTCCAGGCACCAGGCTGAGACGTTCCTGTTTACCCAGGACATTCCCCCCCCCCCTCCACTTCACTGGGATCATATTCTATGATGACCCTGCCTGTTTGGTGTTCATCATTCAGGGTAGGGTTGCATTTATCCTTGTTTATAATATTGTGGGATGAGCACATACAGTCAGTAATGTTGTTTTATGCCTTTGGGTGTTTGTTTTCCATTCTTGTGGGTGTATGCTTTTCTTTTCTTTTTACAATTGTAAGTTGCTTCAAGACTTTTCTTTAATTTTGCACATAGTTTAGAAAACAAAACACAATAGGGAGAACTATTGAATCACATATTGATGGATAGTAGATATAAAAAATATAAGTGACTAGTATATCTTATACTTCACATGAGGAAAATAAACACAGGAAACGAGCTAAAAAGAAGGGGAAAGGTGGGGTGTGCATCAATATAACTCTGCAAAAATCATATCATTTTTACATATTCCATATATCTGCCTAGGCTGCTGTCAAGGAGTGTGGCAGCCATGCCCTATTCATAACTTCAAAAATATCTCGCCAAACTGCCCAAAAGGCTTCTGGCTTAGTCCTACCAGACAAGTCTTACATGTCATGTAAGCATTTCCTGTATAGCTATATTCCTGATGTTAGTCCACCCTTTCCCAGTGTTGGTTCTTCCACTTCTGAATCATTCCAAAGGCACTAATAAAAATAATAATAGTGGCTTCAGTTTTATTTCCTCATTTCTGCTGTCAAACATTGATAATAGCATCAGATGGGGTGTAGGTTGAACAGATTCTCTAAGACTATTCCTTTAGATTTTTTTGTAGTAAGATGATAATAATAATAATAATAATAATAATAATAATAATAATAATAATAATACCCAGTCAGAGGCAGTGCTCTTAGAGCAGTCGTTCCCCTTTCCGTTCCCAAGATCTAAGCCTACATCCCTTCCCTCCCCATTCCATGAACATGGCTCCTGACACACAAACCAGCCTGCTGCATCCTTTGCCTCTTCCTACTCAACCTCCCCCTTGAATTTTCAAACCCACACCAACGTTTTTGGCAGGCCAGGCCTCCCAGCGCCCAGCAATGGAGCTTGACCTCGTGCTCCAGGCCAGGTTCCTTCTCCACTTTCCATCCCGCCGCCTTTGTGGCCACCCCCTTCTGTGATTCATGTGCATTGTTATTTTATCGGCCTGTGCAATTCTCCACTGGAGCCCACCCTGCGCTCATCACGTGCACCCAGAGAAAGTGGTTGGATCCAGCAACTACCACCCCCAGGAGGAGTTTTGGTTGGTTGGTTTTTTTCCTTTTGTTTACCTGTTTGTTTTTTTACAGACAATTTACGGGCCAACTGGAATGCCCACATGGCCCAAGTTCAATCTGGCAAAGTGGAGCAGATGGAGCACACTGATGACTGTGCTCAAAGGGGGCAAATAATAGGATTTACCCTCACAAGTAACAACTTCTAAAATATGAACTAACAAAGGTAGAGTTATTGGCTGGTTGTTGCACGCGACAGCCTGTTTCTGTTTTGTTTTGTTTCGACATCGTGAACGTACAAAATTGTGACATCGTGAAATTAATATTATTGGTGGAGGAAATGTGTGTTGGTTTGGAATTCAGGTAATATAGAAGCTAGATAAAATAGAATCGTATAACTCTGATTCATAACTACTTTTCTAGTTGTAAGCCTTTACATAGTATTTGGAGTAAGGTGATTTGTGTCCTTGGGGTACTACGGTATGTGTGTATAATTCTGTACCAATAACCATTCTGTATTACCCAAATAATTTTTGGTAATAGAGAATGTTGATAACTTCTAATTTTGTAAAAGGGGGTGCAGCCATGTTACTTTAATAAATTATATGTTGCTAGCATTATTTGAAAAGTTTTCAAATGCCTCTTAGGTGTATTCCAGGGATCCTTACTCCAGTGCTAAGTTTCCTACCATAGAGGAAAGTTTTTTGCTAGTTTTCCATGTGTTAAGTATTAGCTAAGTATTAGCCTGAGTGTTAAGTATTAGTTAAGTATTATCTATTCTTTATGTAGATCAGCATGTCTATTTTTGATTGCTGAATAAGAGGACCTACTTCAGTAACCTTCAGCAGTCAGCTGGCTGTATAGCGACTTCCTTCTAACTTATTCTTTTCTTATTCCCGTAGGATTTTAAATTGATGCTGCAGACAGCGGACCAAGCACATCCAAGTGATGGAGATACCGCTGTCATCCCAAGTTAAAATATTATGGGGTGGGGAGGCTCTCTAATACAACAAAAGCATTTCCAAATGCTTTCCTGAATTTTGGGGGTTGATCCTTGCTCTGTTGTGGAACTCTTTACTTCAATTAGCATAGTAATGTTTTGTATTCACTCTATTTTAAATAAAAGTCTATTTCAGCAATACAATGCTAACGTGATCTTAAACGCTCATGGCCAGAGCCATTTCACATGTTATGCAATGATAAAAAACCCAGGTGAGCCCGGCTTTGTCAGGATATAAATAAAAATTATTATTATTATTATTATTATTATTATTATTATTATTATTAGTGGGGAGCTGCAAGGAAGCCTGGCTTCCTAATGAGTCACTAGTATTCGTAAGAGTAATAGTTATTGATTTATATACCACTGGGTTGGTTGCCATTAACAGCGTAAGAACAATTTTAAATATATAGCCACCCAATGAAGCCATTTCATCAAAATGTTAAAATAAACATTCACATTTATCAAAAAGTACAATAAACATGCCAGCTAAAACAGTATAACATTTAAAACAGTTGCCCAAAAAAGCAAATAAAACAGGAGGCTCAAGCCCAGAGATCAGGGAATGCTTGTCTGCCAATACCAGCGGAGTAGCATTTCACAACACTGATGCCACTAGTGAAAAAGCCCACCTCTGTCCTACCAGTTGGCACCTGTCTGTCTCAGGAGATAATGGAGGAGGGCGCCTTTGTAGGTGAGGTCAAGCTGTTGGACGGTTGCAGCACCTGTTGTGGTTGTAGAGTGCAGGAGAGACATGTTTTGTTGCAGCTGGGGCAGATGAAGGCATCCGGTTGTGTTGCTGCAGATGCGCCATGGCGTTTCTTCTCTCTGCGGTCCTCCCAGCAGTCATTCCTCCTCTGGTCACTGCTATAGATGCACAACCTGACTTACTTTCTCCAGGCACTGTGGTCATCTGCAAGGGATTCCCACATGGCGAGGTTAATGTTGCCAGTCCACATGCCATGTTTGCAAGCATCTTTGTAACACAGAATTGGTCCACCAGCAGGCCTGGTGCCTGAAGCCATGTCTTTCTGCTACAGTCAAAATGAAGAGGGGCGGGGGAGGTATTCACTTAGGACCACCCAGTATTCTAAAATACCATAACCTTTAGTTTTTATCCAAAAGGTGCAAAAAAACCCACAAAAGTGGTTTCTCGGAGGTGGGCCGCACTTGTGGAGAGTGGAAGGGTGAAACCAAACTGCTTGCCTTGGTTGTTGGGTCAGCTGCACTTTGCGCATAACAGACAGATATTAAAACTCGCATCATCCATGTGTGTGTTCTGTGTTTTTGAGCCCAGCTTGTCCCCTGAGCCCAGCTTTCCTCCATCTCCAGTGTTTAAATGAGAAAAGTATCTGTTTTTGCAATGATTTGGTAATCGTCTTGCTGATTTGGCCCTGCCCTGTGATTCTCTTTTTGTTTCAAAGGTGAAGATCAAATTCAGAAGGTTATATTTATCCTCATGGGTTTGTTTTTTTTAATACAATTTTCTTTGTATGTCCGACAGCTTTTTATTTTACTGTGGGTACTTATGGGAGAACTCTCACCCAAGCTCAGATCGGATTGGTTCAGACTAAATGAATCCATTCAGTGTCCATTCAGATGATAGATGGATACCATTGGATTTCGCCCCATGGTTTGTCATTTATGGCTTTAAATTGGGGCAGAAACCACATTGTTCTCCATTCTGCTTCATTCAGCTGTACCCCTAAGCCAAGACTCCCAGACCATCTTCAGAACTTCACCACACTCATATTTGCTTTAAACCATCAAATTAGAAATGCTGGAAGTGACATCTCTCATTGCCTTCAAATTGTGCAGAGTTTCTCAAAAAATAAAAATAAAGTTATTGCACTCACATCCTCCTCATGGGCTTCCTGTAGGCTTCTGGTTGAACACTGTGAAACCCAAATCCTGAACTAGAAAGGCCATTGATCCAGAAGGCTCCTGTTCAAATGTGACCCCAATTTCCTCAAGAGGACCACAGCAAAAAACCTGGCCTGGGCTCCCTCATTTTTCCTTCCACACACACTTCCAGAACTAGAAGACCTGGTGTTTTATTAAATTTTGCTCTAATTCAGGCTTGCACCAGAATTTCAACCTTCTTTTAAATGCTACTAGATTCCTTGCTCTGGCTTGAAAGCGGGACAGGTACAGACTGGCCTACTTTGATCTAAGGATGTAACAATTCTCAGCCATAAGATGACCTAATTCAGATCTGAAATGGTAGATAAATGTTGTCCTCATTCTGAATGTGGCTGCGATGTGGCAGTTCGTAGCCATACAATGACCTAATTTTCATCAGATATAACTAGAAATTGTTGTCCTCTGACTCTGGCTGTGCATGAAACAAGTTTCCTGCTCTGCCCGCTTCCTTGCTTTCTTCTGCCATCACCAGTCCTCTCACTTTTAACACTGGCAATAATCCATTTTTATAAAGCAATGTATAGTTTTTATTTTATTTTAAATTATATTTATATCCTGTAATTCCTCCCAGGAGCTCAAGTTGCTGTACAGTGGTACCTTGGGTTACAGATGCTTCAGGTTGCATACGCTTCAGGCTAACCCAGAAATAGTACCTCGGGTTAAGAACTTTGCTTCAGGATGAGAACAGAAATCGTGCTCCAGCGGCGAAGCGGCAGCGGGAGGCCCCATTACCTAAAGTGCTACCTCAGGTTAAGAACAATTTCAGGTTAAGAATGGACCTCCAGAATGAATTAAGTTCTTAACCCGAGGTACCACACATTTTATCCTCACAACAACCCTGTGATCTTCCTGGTTCTGGTCCTGACACTCTACTAGGGATGGGTGGATTTCAATTTCTCTCTGTTTCTCATTTCCCCCCATCTTAAATCCACGTGAAGGAACCTTTCTGACATGATGGGCCAGATCTTTATCACACACCCATGCCAACTTGGACAGGTTTGTGGGACATCCACCTGTCAACCACCTTGCATCATACTGACATCAGGTGACCAAAAGCTGGGTGTTCCCAGCCACCTGTCAAAGTTGACCAGCAGGGGTCGGGCAAAGGGTCTTCAGACCAATGCAGCCACCAGGATTGCACTCTCAGCTGACCAAGTGGAAGGCCCAATCCTACTAGCAGCAGAGGCCGGCCTCACCAGCGCATTCTGAAGCAGACTCCTGCAGCCAGCTGGACTGAGCTCTACCCTTGATGTCACTCTCAGGAGCTGGAGTCGTGCGTAGGTCAGCAATAAAACAATAAAGCACCTGATATCAATGAAGTCAACTCTTCATTCAAAGAAACAAAACAAATCACAGCAACTCTTCCCAGTAGGTCTGGCTCCAATGAGGCAGGACTGAAGGTCTCCACCTTCCCATTGCTCTCTAAAGCTCCTTCCCTGGTTTCTTCCCCAGAAGCCTAAGACTCCATCACCTTGTCTCTCGTTGTTCCACATTCTTCATTTCTCTGCATGCTCTGGGAGACGATGGGGGAGCGGAGCTGATCGCAGCAGCAGTGGGGAGAAGCTGCCTTTCCTTGACTATGCAGCCCTCCTTTCCTGCCTGCTAAACTTGATGGCAGGTTTATAGGCCAGAAGCGCACCTTGTATATACTTCTGATTCCACTGAATAATCTTTCCCTGCAAAGGTGTGTCTGGCATCATCACTGTATAGCTTATGCTCTGTGCTGAAGTTGCACACAACAGGCCTTTGACACCTGAGATTCATCTCTTTCAGGGCCCACCCTAATCTGATAGCGAATTGTTTTAATTGATTTTAATATTGAATTTTTGCATTGTCGTAACACGCCCTGGGACCTTATGACAAAGGGCAGGTAAGAAATCCAACTGATGAATAATAAAACAAAAAACCATGATATATGCTATTTTCCCACTGAAAAGTGCCTTCCTGCCGTGGATTTTACCTGTGTATCTTTTCCCCAGGAGGAATGACATGCATTTGGGAAATAGCGCAAGCAGAAAGTCCCTCTTCCTGTCTTCCACAACAACTTCATTGTTGTTGTTTGGGGGGGTGGCAGGTTAAATCTAATAAAGAGAATCAGAAAACTACATGGAGCATAGTGTAGCTTTGTAGCACTATCCTCAGATAAGTGAATCAAAGTTTTCAAAAAGTTTCATTCTCAAACTTCAGGGCATCTGAAACAAAGTACAGCTTGTTTTTCTCTATCACCCATAACATCAATCTAATTTTAATCTCTGCCAGCCCAGCTTTTAGACTGCTTATAGGTGTGTGTGTGTGTGTGTGTGTGTGTGTGTCTTTATGTGTGCGAGTGCACGCACAGAATGTTACACTCTTGTCTGTGGTTGATACATTTGTTTACAATTGCCTTACCAGAAGAACCGCTGGCGCTCATTAGCAACATTATACAGACGAGTGCAGGGTAAAAGTGAGTGACTGTGGCTTATATGTTTCTCATGTAGAGCAGAATTTGTTCCTCAGCGTGCATTTCATGGGCTAAGGGGGCAGGGAGGCAGAGAGCACCAGTTTTCTTAGAGGCATTTCAGGTAACTAGGAGTCTTCAGAATTATTTTAAGTCAATGTGCAGAAGTCAGCACACCTCACCTCACCAGCTATGTTCCTTTCTTCTCCCTGCCCATTGTTTCTCCTATCTTTCATACACCATCACCCTAATACTCCTCCTCCAACTCCCCTCCCCCATGTCTTCAGGATCTCTCCTTTCCTATCTCACCCTTAAGCTTCCTACCCAGTCTATGGGCTTTGTTTTCATATTTCGCTTTTGCATGTGAATAAATCATTGGGACGCGGGTGGCGTTCTGGGTTAAACCACAGAGCCTAGGACTTGCTGATCAGAAGGTTGGCGGTTCAAATCCCTGTGACGGGGTGAGCTCCCGTTGCTCGGTCCCTGCTCCTGCCAACCTAGCAGTTCGAAAGCATGTCAAAGTGCAAGTAGAAAAATAGGCGTTTCTGTGCGCTGCTCTGGTTCGCCAGAAGCGGCCTAGTCATGCTGGCCACATGACCCAGAAGCTGCACGCTGGCTTCCTTGGCCAATAAAGCGAGATGAGCGCCGTAACCCCAGAGTCAGCCACGACTGGACCTAATGGTCAGGGGTCCCTTTACCTTTAAATCATCAGGAAAGATGAAGAGGGTGGTGTGTTTGTGCATGTGTATTGCTCGATATACCACATCTCTCTGCGACATTATTAAGCATGTGGGGTAATTTCAGCAGAACTGCCTGCAAGAGACAAAAGCGCCATGTTAAAGCAGTTATCCTTAGCAAGAGGTATCCTCTGCCAGTTCTAAATCACAGATCCAGACATGTTTGCACCAAAAACAAAGGCAACAAGCATCTACCATATTGGTTTCCCTATGCTTGGAAAACCCCTTCCCTGGGCACCAGTGTTAAATGCAAAACAGGAAGAAATGTCTTGACGCAGTAAATGGAGAACCAAAACTACCTAATAGGAGCTGACATAGGAGATGCTTCCATATATGATAATTTCCTTGGGAAAGTCCTCTGTCTCTGCGGTGGCACCCAGACTCCTTATACTCATAGTGTTTTGGTTCCTTTCTCATCTTTAGGCTGCTCACGCTCTCCTTTTTGGGAGTCAGCGATTCACCTTATAGTTACATGTGATTAAGTGGTCACAGAGCCTAGGACTTGCCAATCAGAAGGTTGGCGGCTCGAATCCCCGTGACGGGGTGAGCTCCCGTTGCTCAGTCCCTGCTCCTGCCAACCTAGCAGTTCGAAAGCACGTCAAAGTGCAAGTAGATAAACAGGTACTGCTCCGGCGTGACGGTAAACGGCGTTTCCGTGCGCTGCTCTGGTTCGCCAGAAGCGGCTTAGTCATGCTGGCCACATGACCCGGAAGCTGTACGCCAGCTCCCTCGGCCAGTAAAGCAAGATGAGCGCTGCAACCCCAGAGTCGGCCTCGACTGGATCTAATGGTCAGGGGCCCCTTTACCCTTTACCTTTATGTGTGATGTATCAGTTAGAGTTTCACACCAGGACCTGGGAAACCAGAGTTCAAATCCCCACCCCTCAGTCATGGAGCTCACTGGGCACCCTTGGATTGGTTATTGGCCACTATAGACTATCTTGGAAATTTGCTTGTTCACTTTGCATTTGGATATCTCATAATTTTTTCACGCTGGTTCCTGAGATGAAGGAATGGTTTTTTATCTATATTTGGATACAATTTGATGCTATTTTGAATCAAAATGGTGGACAGAACCTTTCAAAACTGCATTGATTGTAAACATTGCACTGAGGTTTTAGTTTTCTGGCACCTGTGTCTGCGCAGATGCGATTTCCGGCATCTGCGCATGCATAAACATGATTTCCGGTGTCTGTGCATGCGCAGACGTGATTTCCGGCACCACAGAAGCGAGTCCCTGCACTGCGCTGTGCCGGTTTAGCGCAGCCCGTGGGGACTCATTGAGTGAGCGGCTCATGGGCCGATTAAACGACCCCTGTGGGCAGCTTGTGGCCCATGGGCCTTAGGTTGCTGACCCCTGGTTTATTGTATAGTTTGCATTCTGTTCTTAAGGGGAGAGGGTCAAGGCTGCCTGGGAGTGGGCCCCAGCCAACAGAATGTGTGATGGGCTCTGTGGGGTGGTGAATGCTTCCCTCTGTGAGGGAGCCTTCCCAGACCCACTGAAAGAGATGATCATTAAACCACTAATAATAATAATAATAATAATAATAATAATAATAATAATATATTATTATTTATACCCCAGTCTCAAATCTTCCATTCTTCCGCTCCTTCCTCCTGGGCCGTGTCCAGAAAGTGGTGTTGGGGGATGAGTGTTCGGATCCCTGGGCTCTCACTTGTGGGGTGCCTCAGGGTTCTGTCCTCTCCCCCATGCTTTTTAATATCTATATAAAGCCACTGGGAGAGATCATCAGTGGGTTTGGGCTGGGTGTTCATCAGTATGCAGATGATGCCCAGCTCTACCTCTCTTTTAAATCAGAACCAGTGAAGGCGGTGAAGGTCCTATGTGAGTGCCTGGAGGTGGTTGGAGGATGGATGGCGGCTAAAAGTTTGAAGTTGAATCCTGACAAGACAGAAGTACTGTTTTGGGGGGACAGGGGGCAGGCAGGTGTGGAGGACTTCCTGGTCCTGAATGGGGTAACTCTGCCCCTGAAGTACCAGGTGCACAGCCTGGGAGTCATTTTGGACTCACAGCTGCCCATGGAGGTGCAGGTCAATTCTGTGTCCAGGGCAGCTGTCTACCAGCTCCATCTCAGATGCAGGCTGAGACCCTCACCTGTCCGCAGACTGTCTTGCCTGAGTGGTGCATGCTCAAGTTATCTCCTGCTTGGACTACTGCAGTGTGCTCTATGTGGGGCTACCTTTGAAGGTGACTCAGAAACTGCAATTAATCCAGAATGCGGCAGCTAGACTGGTGACTGGGAGTGGCTGCTGAGACCACATAATACCAGTCCTGAAAGACCTACACTGGCTCCCTGTACATTTCCAAGCAAATTCAAAGTGTTGGTGCTGTCCTTTAAAGCCCTAAACAGCCTCGACCCAGTATACCTGAAGGAGCGTCTCCACCCCCATCATTCTGCCCAGACACTGAGGTCCAGCTCCAAGGGCCTTCTGACAGTTCCCTCACTGCAAGAAGTAAGGTTACAGGGAACCAGGCAGAGGGCCTTCTCAGTAGTGGCGCCCACCCTGGGGAACACCCTGCCACTAGATGTCAAGGAAATAAAGAACACTCTGACTTTTAGAAGACATCTGAAGGCAGCCCTGTTTAGGGAAGTTTTTAATGTTTGATGTTTTATCGTATTTTTTTAAAAAAATGTTGGGAGCTGCCCAGAGTGGGCAAGGTATAAATAATAATATTTTGTTTGTTTGTTTATTATTATTTTTTATTATTAATTACAGAACTAAAAAAAATGAAAGAAGAATATTGGTCTGGTTTCTGAGGATTCTGTTGATGTTCTTTCCATCTTTGGACCACCTTTTTTTATTCCTATTTAAACTATCTTTCTTAAGATATCAGTGCAGTTGGGCAATGAATGCTCTTTTCATTACCAGAGGACAGAAACTGCTTTGCTTATGCAGCAATATTTGTCATGGTTTCATAAACGCAAAGCAAAGCAACACAGCAGCTGTGATTTTATGTGGGTGTTAAAAAAAATATCAACAGGAATACCCCTTACATGCACCTATTTATTTATTTATTTATTTGCCAGCCAGTGCATCCATTGGCCTACGCTGCAGAACTTAGCTCCGCTCCTGTCCTGACCCTGGAATTTATGATCTGCCTCTAGTGCAGAACCAGGAGGTGATGCTAAAGCTACGGGTGTGAATCTGTAGACTGTGGTGGTATCTTTTCATCTGATTTCCCTCTACAAGAACACACTCCTTGGTTTCCTGTTTCGCTCTGTGCCCACTCGTCTCTGTGTTTATGTTTCCCCCTGCCTGTGGTTTGCCTTATCAAAGGCTTCTCTCTAAGAGCGAGGATATAAAATAGCAAGCAAAGCTGTTTCTCCGCCTTTGTCTCTCTTTCACAGAAACAGGGGAGAGAAGAATGTGAAGTCAGGATGGCCGTTGCAAGCCCGGCGCTCTGTGCTTTCTTCTTCATTCTCCTTCCTGCCATTGCTGCTGAAAGTGGCCTGGAAGACTATTCAGGCTCTGGTGAGTCATCTCATGTTTTTCTCTAAAGCGCGGAATAATTCCGAAATTCAAAATTCAGAGGATGGCAGTGTTCCAGTTTCCATGTTGTGCTGGAAACTGTGAATTCGGTGGGTTCACCTTTAAATGTGGGTGGAACTGGATTGCTTCCTCCATCCCTACTCTAGAAGGTTATGTGTATGACTTCACTCTAGTATGCCATTCCTGCCCCACTTGGTGGCCCCCCTGCTCATTCTAATTGGTGGGGCCTGGACTTCCACCCCACTGTGAAGGAAAGGAATCCAGTCACCCAAAATGTAACAATATTTTTTCTAGAAAAAGAGGTGTCAGAACTCACCGTGAACGCCTCCCTTGTTATCTTTATAATGCCAATGGTACCCACCTGAGAGGTGCTGGAACTGAGTTCCTGTGAGTTCCCGTTGGGGGGAAGCCCTGCCAATGGTATTTTTGGCTATGCCAAGCTGCCACAGAGGGGTCAGATTTGGGGCAAAACCCTCTAAACCCCAACAAATAGGGCACACAGTTTTCCCCCCTCCTTGACAGTATAACTTTCGGGGTGTTCACAAATTGACATTCAGCAAATATACGATCCCAGCACAAAAGTCAAACTGTGCTAATAAACATGGGTACACTTTTACCCAAACAGTGGTCCATGTGTAGAGACATTTGTGTTCAGTGTAAAATGTGAGCAAGCCTTCTGGTACTTGTTCTACCCTGGAGTTCTGCCAGAAAAGACCAGAGTTCAGCACTTCATGAATAAGCATTCATAGAAAGCTCCAGCCTTCTAGCTGAAAAGCTGTCTAGTCAGACCAACCTTTCTAAAGAGTCAGGAACCTGCAGCCTCACAGGTTTAGTTGGACTCGAACTCCCATCAGCTCCAGCCAACATGGCCAAGGGTCAGGAGTGATGGGATTCTGGAGGGCCACAGGAAAGAATTAGTGGCAGCCAAAATTCCCATGACTTTATTTAACCTCCTTGATAACCTGAATTCATGTCATCCTTGTTTAGACTGTTGTTGTTGTTTAGTCGTTTAGTTGTGTCCGACTCTTCGTGACCCCATGGACCAGAGCACGCCAGGCACTCCTGTCTTCCACTGCCTCCCGCAGTTTGGTCAAACTCATGTTTGTTGCTTCGGGAACACTGTCCAACCATCTTGTCCTCTGTCGTCCCCTTCTCCTTGTGCATCTTTCCCAACATCAGGGTCTTTTCCAGGGAGTCTTCTCTTCTCATGAGGTGGCCAAAGTATTGGAGCCTCAGCTTCACGATCTGTCCTTCCAGTGAGGACTCAGGGCTCATTTCCTTCAGAATGGATAGGTTTGATCTTCTTGCAGTCCATGGGACTCTCAAGAGTCTCCTCCAGCACCATAATTCAAAAGCATCAATTCTTCAGCGATCAGCCTTCTTGATGGTCCAGCTCTCACTTCCATACATCACTACTGGGAAAACCATAGCTTTAACTATATGGACCTTTGTTGGCAAGGTGATGTCTCTGCTTTTTAACCAGGGGCAAATGAGTACAGATCTCCTTGTATCTATGACAGTTATATCAAAGGGCCAAACTAGATGTGGTATTTCCAAAAAGAATTGCTGTTACGCTTATTTATTTATTTTGCAAGAAAATAGCTGGTGCAGGGGAGTCTGAGCTGGATTGGGTTTGGAAATGGAGGCTTAACTTGGGGGTGGGGATCCTGTGGCTCACCAAATGTCATTGGACCCCAGCTGCCATTAGCCCCAGCTATAAACCCAACTGGAGGGACACAAGTTCCCCAACCCTACTTGAATCTTTTTCCCACCCACCTCCGCTGTCCCAATCCATCTTGCCCCCACACCAATTATTTGCTGTTTTACATCAGCTGCATAAGGGCAACTAAGTAGGTGGCAAACTCTAGGCCCAATTCAGATGGACATCATGTCCAGTTTGGCCCAAGGAGGTGCAGATGTTCTCATCCCTTGCTAAGGCTGTTGGTCCTGGTACAGCTTGGTCTGAAACGCCAAATCCTCCTTTTCTTGTGTGTCATGCTATGCTGCAACTGGTGAGTTGCCCTTGATTTGCCATGAAGTGTACAAATGCACAAGCAATGCAGGTTGCTCCCAGGTCAGACTATAGGCTGATCTAGCCTGGTGTTGTGTATACCAGCTATGGGTGGATGAATCTATCCACTTCAATATTGCCCTGTTTCTAATTTTTCCTTTCTAAAAATGATTTCTCCACATTCCCAAAGACATTTGTCAATTATTTATCGTTGTTGCTTTTTTTAAAAAATCCTCATGAAAATTCATCAGCATTTTAGTGCTCCTGATGAACATTTTTCTATGCAGTTTTGACACAACTTTGTGCAAGCAGATTTTCCTAATACAGTGCATTTTAAATAATATATGATCTGTATGCACATTTTTATCAAATATATGCATTTTAATGCTCACATTTTCTTACTTTTGTGCATATTGGTTGAAGATCAGCTTTGAAAAATTCAAGGAAGTGAGACTTTCAAAGGATATTTGTGTTAAGTCTGAATTAAGTTATTTCTCGTTCAAATGCAAAAAATAAATACGGTAAACTTTCTCTCCCATTCCCACTGGCTGCAGCTCTCAAGGGACCTCTCTGGCTGTGGTCTTACCTGCTTCCTTTTAACAAGCAATGCCACTGTCATAACCTGGGACCTGCTTACCATGCTGCTTCAGCCAAAATACTACCTTCCTCTGAGGATCCCAGTCCCCTTCTGTATCTGGTCACCATAGCACCTATCCAGAGGTGGGGATCCTGTGGGAGCCAAAGTCCCATCAGACTACAGCTCTCTTCAGCCCTGGAGAGCTTAGCCAATGGTCAGGGATGATGGGAAGTGTAGCCCAACCACATCTGAAGGGCCTCACATTCTCCACCCCTTTCTCAAAGCTTTCAGATTAAATTAGAGTTAGGGAACCTAACACCTCTCACACGTCTTTACCATGTGGTGCTGAACTTGTTAATGCTGTGAATTAAAAGATGATCAACAGTGCTGTGCAATCGTTCTAGGAAACATGCAAACGAAAGGTGTAATGCAAGGACAATGAGTCATTGAGAAAAGATCTGTTGCTGAAAGTTTCCTTGCTACTCTTGCCTCTTCTAGAGGGAACGCGTTGACTAAGAGAGAAGTGGTCATGCACCCCACATAATATCCAAAAGCTGGTGCCCTCCAGATGTTTTAGACTACAATTCCCATCATCCATAGCAATCTGCCATGCTGACTGGGGATGATGGGAATTGCAGTCCAGAACATCTGGAGGGCACGAAGGTAGGCTGTATCAGAGGATTGTCCTCTAGCTGAAGGACTGTCAGGGGATTTAGATTTACCAGTCCAAGTCTGGTTTGAACATAAAGAAGCATAAGAAGCAAGAACAGGAGGCACTTTGAAATTACCCCAAGGGGTGGCAAGCAGACAGGGGAAGCACCCAGTTTCCCCCACTAGGGTAAGATGTATTGTATTCCTTAGAATCTTCAGAAAGTTTTGCTTTGAATGACAAAGACCCGGTATGGGTTTCCTCAAAAATGAGTCATGCCAGACAAATCTCATTTCTTTTATTGTTAGAGTTACAAGTTTGGTGGATCAGGGGAAGGCTGTGGGCATAATGTGCCTTGATTTCAGCGCGGCTTTTGCCAAAGTCCCCCATGATATAAATTATATTATTATTTTTTAAAACTAGTGTTTATACATACAAATTAGCACATGCAAATTAAATGCACATTAGTGCCTTGGCCCTTTTTTCTTTCTTCTTGGCAGTGCATAAGCCGCTATCCACACCACCTCCCAGCCTAGCCCCTTTCCAGCAAGCAAGCATTAAAAATTGCATTTATGTACTTATTAAAATATGATTTTCCCACACTTTTTTTTAAAAAAAAAGAGTACAAAAATTTAAGAAGAGATAGGACTGCAGAAAGAGTGAATTGGGTAGACTTGTCTTTAAATGTGAACTGAGCTGGATTTCATCCCCATCTCCAGCTGTGTGCCTATGCTGGCTGCTCACAACGCCCTCCCCTCCCGCCGCCCCATACCATGGAATTTGGCGGGGCTGGGAAGGGTTAAGCACAGTGCCGGCACACAAGATTTCATGTTAGCTCAGCAAAGGCTCAAGGCAAACATGTGATTCTGCCAAGATTCAGGCAATCTGGCCCCCTGCAATCTCAATGGATATTTCTCAGCTTCCCACCACCACCAGCTATAAGAAGGTAAATACAAAATGGAACCATGGACCATCAGAGAATGCAAACAGAAGGGGGAGGGGGAGGCTGAACTCAAAAACTAAAATATTAACGGTATATTATCAGTGCATTCCTTAAGAAGTACTTACAACTTGTCAGACTGCAGTCCGCAGCATTACTTTTATAGTCTTCTCTCCTCAGGCACCTGTTCAGAAAGTGAAATGGACATGGACTTCACGTGTGTCATTCGAATGCCAGCGATCCAAACAAGTATCTTGCTTTGCAACATCACGAAGATTGGGATGAACCTGAGTGAGGCTAACGCTCAGTTTACTCTGTAAGAAGCTTTCCAGTGCATTAAAATGTGATTACTTTTTTGTAATAATTCCTGAATCAAATTATCTTAATAGTTCAATGTTCCAGTGGACCTTCTTAGAATTTCTTGATCTTGACAGTTCATCAAGAAGAATTAATCCAGTATTAGATGCTACTGCAAGGATGTGCAATAACATTCGAAGTAGTGTTGCCATACGTCTGGGAAATCCTGGACATGTCCTCTTTTGGGGGGGGCAACATAACCCTCCAGGGGGATTTTTACATTTTAAAATAAATTTAAAAGCGTTGAGAAATATCCTCTAACACAGGGGTCAACAAACTTTTTCAGCAGGGGGCTAGTTTACTGTCCCTCAGACCTTGTGGGGGGCTGGACTATATTTTTTTGGGGGGGGGTGGGAATGAATGAATTCCTATGCCCCACAAATAACCCAGAGATGCATTTTAAATAAAAGCACATGTTCTACTCATGTAAAAACACACTGGTTCCCGCACCGTCCGCAGGCTGGATTTAGAAGGCAATTGGGCCAGATCCCGGCCCCGGGCCTTCGTTTGCCTACCCATGCTCTAACGCCACTGACAACCACCCAAACAAGAGATTCCCCAACACCACATCCAACACTGTGATGAAAGGATTGTGCTGAAATCCTCTCTTATTCTGTATATTTAGGACCATTAGGTTGATTGTCAGTTTCCAAAAACAGAGTCATAAATTGTTATGTTTTCATAGTGTTTGAAAGCTTCAACTATTTCATTTCAGCCCTAATATCCTTCACAGGTATGGGGGGAAAACCTCCAGTTGCTTAATGGAGAGCCAGCTGCAAGGCAAATGTCCTTTCGAAAATGTTGAATTCATTAATCCCGTGGAAGTTTGCTTGAGCGTGACGACGATACAGCAATGTGTGGAATGCCAGACCTTGAAAGCAAGCGATATCAGTGAGCTCCTTCCCAATGTTATCATGTGCATGATTTAGATTTGTTTGCAATTTCTATACCTAACAGTTACCTCTTCCAAGCCCACACTTGACCAGCGTGTTCACAAGAATATCATGGGGGACTTTGTCAAAAGCCGTACTGAAATCAAGACACATTATGCCCACAGAATTCCCCTGATCCCTGATGCACACTGCCAATACATATAGCACAAATAAACACTCCATAGGCTCATGACCGGTTGAGAACTGTCACTTCCAACGCTACTAGGCTTTGCCATATCTGAATGTAGTCCCACATAACCACTTGTTGCATGAACGTTGGCTGTAGATTCACATTCACATTCCATCTCCTTTGCACGAAATCTGGAAATATGCAGTCTTCAGAAAGATTTGCTTTGAATGACTAAGACCCTGTATGGATTTCCTCAAAAATGAGTCATGCCAGACAAATCTCATTTCTTTTATTGTTAGAGTTACAAGTTTGGTGGATCAGGGGAAGGCTGTGTTCATAATGTGTCTTGATTTCAGTGAGGTTTTTGACAAAGTCCCCCATGATATTCCTGCAAAGACGCTGGTCAAGTGTGGGCTTGGAAGAGGTAACTGTTAGGTAGATTTGCAGCTGGTTGACCCAACCCAAAGAGTGCTCATTAATGGTTCCTGGTCACCCTGAAAAAAGTGACAAGTGGGGTGCAACAGTATTCTGTCCTAGGTGAGTTGTTGTTCAAAGGCTTTCTGAACAACTTGGACAACGGAATTGAGGGGGTGCTCATCAAATTTGCAGATGAAAACAAACTGGGAGGGGTAGGTAATGCTGCAGAAAACAGAATCGGGATTCAAAATGACCTTAATAGATTGGGAAACTGGGCCCCAACTAACTGAATGAATTTCAATAGGGACAGATGTCAGGTTCTACACTTAGGCAGGAATGACCAGCTGCACAAATATAAGATGGGGGGGGCACCTGGCTTAGCAACAGTACATGTGAAAAGGATCTAGGGATCTTAGCAGACCACAGGTTTCACAAGAGTCAAAAGTGTGATGCAGTAGCAAAAAAACAAAAGCAAAAGGATAATGCTATCCTAGGCTGCATCAACAGACATATAGTGTATTGATCCACGGAAGTTATAGTCCTGCTCTGTTCTGCCTTGGTCAGACCACACAGAGAATACTGTGTCCAGTTCTGGGAGCGAGAATTTAAGAAAGCTATTGACAAGCTGGAACGTGTGCAGAGGTTGGCAGTTAAGATGATCAAGGGTCTGGAAACCAAGCCTTATGAGGTTCAGGATACTACCAGAAGAGGCCTATAAAGTTATATGGATTAATAGGTGCAAACAGTTGGATAAACTTAAAGCACCATACTCTGTGGAGTTTCCTGGAAATAAGTTCCACTATGTTCATTGAGGCTTATTCCCAAGTGAATGTGTACCTGAAAGATTATTGATGGATCAATCCATCAACCTCTGATGGATGATTCAGATGGATTGGGTCCGGCATCACTTTTATTGCGTATGTGTGCCAGTATCCATACCCAGCAGAGTTACATCTCAACGCAGCTCCTCCCTTGGAAGCATCTTCGGGGTTGAAGGTACACACAGTAGACCACAAACACTCATGGAAGCCATGAAGATTCAGATTACTTGATGGGCATAAAAGCATATTGGTAGCAAATATATATAGACATTCACCACTGCTGTGGTCAAGGCATGCGTAGAGTCCAACAAGAGTCTCTCTTCTTCTCTCACTGCAAGGTGCAAGCAAGAGACTCACAACAAGTTACAACAAGTTACACAGAACCATTGTTATTGGTACTTCCTGTCACACTACACATGTCCATAGAACAGCTCCCACATAAAATGTCCTTGCATAAACAAAACAATCTCAGCCTTCTGCTGCTTCTTGAAACTATTTCTTTTTTCTCCTCTGTTTCTGGAACAAATTATTGTCTTTCACACACACAGAATATCCAACAAGTGCCACGTGCCTCATACACCCTACTGATCACTAACACTCCTCAGGTGAGGACCTCCTGCAAATGCCATCTTATCAGGAGGTCCGTTCTGCACAATATAGGAAACAGGCCTTTGGTGTTGTGGTACGTGCCTTTTGGAATTCTCTCCCATTAAACATTAGACAGGCGCCATCTCTGTTGTCTTTTTGGTGCCAACTGAAGACCTTCATCTTCCAACAAGTCTCCTTACTAAAGAACTTTCTCAGTCCGCTTCCATACCAGAATTCTTTTTAGATTTCTATGTTCTCATTTACAGTTAAACCCGAAGCACCATTTGACTTAGGAATTATCTACGAAGAAGAGGCAGATGAGTATTTCATTAATTTCTCAACTCCACACAATGGATGGTATCTTGAGGGACATCTAACGCATGAACTAGCATACCGGCAGCAAAACAAACACTGGACTGTGAGTAAGAATGTGTCATTTTAATTGACCATAAGTGTGCTCTTTCCATTTTCAGTTCTGTATGTGTCAAAAACAGATAATATTTGAGATCTGTCTTTTAGTTGAAAGCTACATGCAGTTAGATCCAGAAATAGTTAGTTGCACTTTGTTCCCATTATAATGAACAAGATTGGAGTTAGTCATCATGGCTGATTTTTCAAATTGTTGTCAATGAATAAAAAAAGTGGCTAAATTGCAATGCAATCCTCTGGCTCCGGCCGGGGAGGGCAGGGTACAAATAAATAGATAAATAAATGATGACGATGATGATGATGATGATGATGATGATGTATAACTGCTCAGGAGTAAGTCCTATTTAATTCAATGAACCTTAGCCCTATATGTTTATAGGGTTGTGGGTGTGCTCTGGATCTAACCTGTGAAAAATATCCACTGCCTTATATATCCACAGTGGACTAATTTATGTAGAAAGTGGGCTCCTTAATTTAACCCCGTAGGTGAGGGAGTTGTAAGCAGGTAGTAGAAATGGTTGAAATCAATTTGGAAAAATTATTTAACATACACTAGGAGAAAACCAGTAAATGTATTTCAGCTTATGAGAGGTGTAAGCCTAACCCACAAATGATATTAAAGGAAAATCAGAAGTACTTTACAGTGGTACCTCGGGTTACATACGCTTCAGGTTACAGACTCCGCTAACTCAGAAATAGTGCTTCAGGTTAAGAACTTTGCTTCAGGATAAGAACAGAAATCGTGTTATGGCGGCACGGCAGCAGCAGGAGGCCCCATTAGCTAAAGTGGTGCTTCAGGTTAAGAACAGTTTCAGGTTAAGAACGGACCTCCGGAACGAATTAAGTACTTAACCCGAGGTACCACTGTATACATAAATTAATTGTGGGGAAGGGAAAATACAAGGAACGATGTAAGCAGGGTAGGGTGGGATAAGGATACAATTATATGGAAGTGTGAAACAATTAAAGCATCAGGGAAAGAGGCTATTACATAGAAGGGCTACAGATGTGAAAATTGAAATCAACTACAATTTAACTATTGCTTTAGCATACACTGGACCACTTAAATCCCTCCAGTCAAGGCTTCTAAAGCTATGACATTAAACACATTCACTGAACGCCAGAGCACTTATTTGTGACTGAGCAGTGCCAAGGCCTGGTTAGAACAAGCCTTGTGAAATTTGTATTCCAGGTCTGTCCCTCTGTTGGTTCTCAGATGGTAGACCTGCGCTCTATCTATGGGTGGAACTGGCATCCAAACTCGGCATCACTGCTGAAACCCTGAATTCTTTCCCTGGCTCCCTTCATGTCCTCCAGGCCTTCATTCATTGCACTGCTGCTACAACCAACTTCACAGTTGCATTTCTCTAAAAAAACCAAAACATTCAATGCCACATTCCCTTCAATAATATGGGTAGAACAATACAGGGGTACTTTGCAGGGCTGGTGTAGCCCACACTTTCTCAGCCACTCTCTCATACAGGACGTGGGGTCAGCTCACATAAATATGAGGACCAAATCAAATTCTCTTCCATCCGTCCCTATAATCTGGATTCCAATAAAACAGCTTTGGAATGGGCTGTTGTTCCCACTGCCAGAAGGCTTCTCTTAGGCAGGAAGCTTTGAGGTAAATAAATGTTTCGCTATGTGCAAAAGCTTGGAAACCTACTGGTTCTCAAAGCGATTTTTGTTTCCTGACTTTTTGATAAGCAAAAATTTATTCCCCCTTTTTAGTCCAGACAGACCGATTTCCTGACATTAAAATTTCTGGCAAAGGAATTTCAGCTGGGAACATATGAGATGAAAGCCCGGTCAAAGCCCAATGGCAAACTTTTCAAGGGCACGTGGAGTGAATGGAGCTCTTCGAAATCCTTCAAAACTGCAGCAAAAAGTAAGTACAGACTTTTGCTTCACTGCAAACCAAAGTGCATCACATGTAAGTATCTCATTACAAATATATGTTAAATGTAACGACACATCCAGTAAAGAGCTTCATTGCCATTCAGTTCGTAAAATTCTGATTGGAGCTTGAGACCGGGGGGGGGGAGCCTTGTTGCATAAATTATCACTGATCTCCATACCTCAGGGGCTTAGACAAAATCATGAAGCTATCGGTGGTCCTAGTAGCCATGTTCTCCCACCCTCTGAATACTAGTTGCTGAGCATCCAATAACCCCTACCCCAACAGTTTAAAAGTCCACAGATTGTTTAATTAGCCAAAGGCATGGGAGAAGAGGAACTTTTTTTGGCCTGGCACCTAAAAAATGTGGTAGAGCTACTACAACATCCTCAGGCTGGCATCTGCACTGCACCAACCTCCCCAACGCCTTGATCCCCCATCCTGGTAAACAGGTCAGCAAGGCAAAATGGGACAGTCCTGAGCGTAGGTGGGTAGAGACACTGGTGGAGATTGACTAAGATCTACTACCTGAGACCATGGTCTCCTTGTGGCTAATGGGACGGCTGGCCATGCGGTCCATTAGACTCCCTCAACAAAATGGCGGTCACACTGGATCAAGACAAAAGGCTTTAAGCGTTAGCACCTGAGCAAGAATGTGCCTGATATGGATTTATTCTTGAATGTAGAAAGCCGGGGCAATTGAGTGTGACATTTTACACCACAATTCTCTCACAGTTTCTCCTCAGAGATGAGTAGCTCTAGGGGGGCAATTTTTTGCGGGGAAATGGCATGGTTCCTGATCCCTCCTGCAGTTTCTGTTTCAAAGGCAAAACCATTGGATAGGTGATGAAGTATTGAACATACGTCCAACATTCCTCAGAAAATAGGGACATTCTATTGTTAGGCCTGGGGCCTAGCAGAATCGTATTGGCCGCCAGAGGCATCTAGTCCAAACGCCTGCAATGCAGGTATATTTTGTTCAACTTGGGGCTTGAACCCACAACCCTGAGATTAAAAATCTCATGCTCTACCAAGAAGCAGAGCAACAGGTCACAACGGAGGTCTTATTTCAGCCTAGATAAAGTGAGGACCTGAGGCAGGACATGAACAGGTTGGAGGTCTGGTACTGGACAGGTATGGAGGGCAGCTGAGGAACTAGCTGGGAGGGAAAGACTTTATAGCACCTAATGTGATGTCAGCTGGCAGTACTTAAGCTGCGACTGTAGCCTAGAGAGTTCCTTTGTCCCTATAGGCCTAGCCTGGCTGCTGAGAGCTGGTAGCACAGGAAGTAATGTTGCCTGCAATAAGTTCTGGTTCAAAACACACATCCTTGGCATACATGTTTAGTGTCATATCTAGTTTGGTTCTCAGTCATCATCATCATCGTCTATAAGCCTGTTTGGTTTTTGTTTCCTCAGATTATAATAGCAACATTAGAGAGGTGACTGCATCCATTTTATGCTTCTTTGCGCTCTTCGCTGTGATCACTCTGATCCCAATACTTTGGAAAAACAGGTAATCCTAAACACTCTTCATCAAAAGAGTGGTCCTAAGAACACAATTCACTTCTGGAATTTCCTCCCATGCAAACCTTCATGTTGTGAAACCTTCATGTTGTGACGTTGCAAAAAGCAGAAAAACATGGAGTCAGTACAAACTAACGGCTGTTTCAGACATGAAGTTCATTGTAGCTACAGTAACTGCAAACCCAGAAATGTAATGAGAGGTGCTTCTCAAAAGAGATGCGTTACCATAGGGAGCTGGTCTTGTGCACCGGCTCTCAATTCCTATACTAGTAAAGGTAAAGGGGACCCCTGACCATTAGGTCCAGTCATGACCGACTCTGGGGTTGCGCGCTCGTCTCGCTCTATAGGCCGAGGGAGCTGGCGTTTGTCCGCAGACAGCTTCCGGGTCATGTGGCCAGCATGACTAAGCCACTTCTGGAGAACCAGAGCAGCGCACAGAAATGCCATTTACCTTCCCGCCGGAGCAGTACCTATTTATCTACTTGCACTTTGACGTGCTTTTGAACTGCTAGGTTGGCAGGAGCAGGGACCGAACAACAGGAGCTCACCCCGTTGCAGGGATTTGAACCGCTGACCTTCTGATCGGCAAGTCCTAGGCTCTGTGGTTTAACCTATACTAGTACGGGTGGACAAATCACAGCAAGCAGTTGGGGGTTGGCATAGTTGACTGCTGGCCTGGACTGTTTTGTGTGGAAGAACTTCCACAGATGGTCCAACCACTAACTGTGCAATGCACAAGGGGTTTAGGATATGGCATAACCAGGGTTTCACTGGTACAAGGGAGCCTAGACTGGCAAAAATATCCCCAACTTTTAACCCAGGGGCTGTCTAATGAGCAGAACCCACCGCCAATCTGTCTGGTGCAACATCCCTAAAAGTGGCATGCCAGGATGAGTTTGCTCAAAATATATCTCCAGTGGATTGTAGACACTGGGTTTTCCATCCACATCTGAAAGTTTCATTGGTAGAATCCAGTATAGAATAAGATATTCAGTAAGAGGTTAGGCCTGCAATGTTCCTCACTGAGGAAAAGGGACTCTCCAATGGAGCTGCCCAAAAGATGTTCCCAGCAGGTTCTACTGCCACAGAATTTTATGGATTTAGAAAGCTGGGAACAACATTTCCATGGAGGGCTGTTGGTGTTCTTCATGGCTCATTCACAAGCAATGTTGTAAGAATGTTCGTCATCACTTCCTTTATTGTGTTATCTCTTCTTTTTTCCAGAATAAAGCCTGCTGTGTGGCCCACCCTCCCTAACCACAAGAAAACTTTGGATAAACTCTGCCACAAACTAAGAAAGGTTGGTGCTTTTGCCTCTTCTCATTGCAGGATAGTAGAAACTAGTACGATCAAGTCCTTAGCAGTTTTGTGTGGCAGGATGGGGGTTGGGGCAGATTTTCTCCCATTATCAGTTTTCTTCCTTGTAAAAATTGCCTTTTTTTTATTGGCTATATTTTAAAAAAACGAAAAAGATTCATATACCTCTTAATTGATGAAAGCTTTCAAGCCATTTACATAAAACAATATAAAATATGGATGGGGGTAAAAATCAAACTTTAAAAACAAGTAGATCCGAAGTATATCAAAACGTAGATAATATTTGCAGTTTTAAAACTGATATGTATAATAAAACTACATGTCTGGGTAGGCTTCCTGTCAGCTGTGGTGGAAGTGCAGTGGCAGAAGTGCAAGATTAGTTCAACCACTGCGCTCTCTGGTCTCTCCACTGCCTCACTCTTCCAATAAGCACTGTATTGGGGCTGATTGGAGTCCAGGCATATTAAGCAAATTAGGATTAAAAGATGTGTGTATTTGGAGAAACGCATACTGATGTGCTGACGAATTTTCATAAGGGTTGGTTTTTGTTGTTGTTGTTGTTGTTGCAAACTGATGCAGAAATGTAAGAATGAGAAAATGAAAGATAGCACAATCAACAGACCTGCCTTTCCCCAGCCACAGCAATGACGCCCTTATTCTGATTCCATAAAGGAGAGCTCTTAGGGCTAGGAAAGTGTCTCACAAACCTTTACTTTCCAATGGAGGAGGTTTCATGTGGTTTCTCAGGCTGTGGTACTTCCCACATAGGAAATTTACTGCCTGCGAAGCTCTCTCACCCTGAACTGGGTGGGTGGTCTTCTTCGTCACGCTCTCCCAGCCCTCATTTCCTATCCATAAAATGTGGGAAACAGAAAATGAATAATAGCTTGTTCATTTTGAGGATGAACTAGAGGAGGGCCCAGAACCGCTCAGCACTTGGGAAGTTCTCTCAGTAGAAACGATTATTGTTTATTTCAACTGTTTAAGTGGAATGCATGCGGAGAGCTCAAAGTGTAGTCTCGTTTACCCTGAGCAGTAAATCTGCCAAGAGGGCCAGTGTTACGATCTCTGAACAGGCTGGGAGGACACAGCTTGCCTGAGGCGGCCCATCAGTGCCGGATTTACGTATAAGCTAAACAAGCTATAGCTTAGGGCCCCACTCTCTTGGGAGCCCCCAAACAAATTTAAAGGGGGGAAAACTGGATGCACATTTCCAAAATACAAGATGAAAAACAAATAAAATAAAACCTACATACAGCAACAATGTTTTGTTTTGTTTTGTGTTGCATAGGCTCCTATTTGTTATGTACAAATGGCTTTAGATACCTATTAGGTCCAACAAAATGAACTGGACTCATTGGCAGGTTTTGAATAAACATACACAAATTTATTATTGGTAACATATAGATAGATAAATTAAGGATCTTTACAATTTTATAATATGCAGAGAATAACTCGTGCTGAAAAAACAGAGAGAGGAGCTGAGGGAAGTCTGGGGGGAGGGGGGTTTCTTTTATGGAGGGGGTGGGTTAAATAGGGAGGAAATGAGGATGACATGTTTTTGATAAATTGTTATGTTGAAATTCCTAACAGATATATATATATATTTTAAAAAGATACCTATTTGGTCCATAAATTACCATATAGCATATATTCAACACAAAAAACAGCGACAAATTGTTGTTGACAAAGGACAGCGGGACATATAAAGGGCCCCATTACCTTCAGTAGCTTAGGGCCTCATCAAACTTAATCCGGCCCTGCTGTCCATAGAGGCCTACTCATGCCGTAGACTCAGAAGGCAGAATGCTGAGGTGGCAGAATGACCTGATCCTTCAAGTTAAAAACTTCCAACAAATTATAAATCCATACAGCAGTCAAAGCCCACTGTGCCATGAGATGTTAGTTTCCATTTGCACACAGTTTTGTTTTGCTTTCATATCTGGAAGTAGCATTCTCTACCTGTAGTCTGAAGTGGTGCAGTCCATTCTCTCTCTTTTTCATATTAATTTTTATTAGATTTTTCAAAGGTTTTAACAAATTTACATCACAAAAAACTGTAACAGTCACTTATATTTTTCTTTTTGACTTCCCACCCCTCCCCTGTCACACGAAATATCCCCGTATCCCGGTAGAATTCCGAAGTAAGCTTCTTCAGTCCCGAGAGTTTGGAATACGTCCCCATCCATAAGGTGGATAGCATTCGGGCCAAGTCAGAACGTTTGCTGCTTGCCTGGGATTTTGATGTTCCAGAAAAGATGGGGAAAGGACTGGAACAAAAGAACCTGGTTCATATCAACCATGGGTGGCTGAAACTGCCTCTGGCATATGAAGGAATGTGGCCGGCTGAGACACTGGATAAGCATGTGGACAGAAGACTCCTCGCTCCTGAGGATGACACATTAATCAATGCCAACCCATACGAGAAAGGTGGTATTGGAGACCAAGATGGCGGTAGTGATGCTCTCCTCAACCATGCCAGTTCTTCTACGCATCCCGCTGCTATCCTGCCTGGACCTGAGTCTGATAACTGTCTTCAAGCTTACGCAGATGTAACAGTTCCAAATAAAGAAGAGGCCTATGTCACAATGGCGAGTTTTTTCGAAAACAAGGGGAATTTTCAAAACTAGCAGCTCTGGCACATGGCATGATTGGGCTCTCCAAGTATCATTTTTGGGCATTGATCAGTGAGAAGATTACACCAGTCTTGAAGTTAACCACTAGCCTGGTAACCATAGGTGACTCGGAATTCCATGCAGGCGAGTGCTCCCTGCATGGAAACCTTGGGGGTTGCTCGAGGAAATAAGTCTTGTCCTCAGTGTCCAGCTTCTGTCAGCCATCAGCAAGCGACTTTTCACAGAATCATAGAATTGCAGAGTTGGAATTGCGAGAGTCATCTAATCCAACCCCCTGCAATGCCGGAATCCTGCCCGCAGCCATCCCTGGGTGGGCTCGAACCTTTTTCCAGGCTAGTAACTTTTGTGGACTTGTTTGCAAGGCTGAATTACATGACCTGGTTTTCCATGCTGGCATCTCTTGCCCTGCCCTGGCTCTGAATTTTGCTGCTCAGCTTTGTAATTGACGTGGGTCAGGGACAGGTTCTGGTTTTCTCATCATTGTAGCAACACTGGGAAGCTGCACCAGCAGAACCACCGCCTGCTTCAAAGCTCTTGAATGAAAAAGTACTATAGGTCAGGTGGGATCTGAAAAACCTATATTTTAGCCTAGCCTCCAGTCTTAGGCAGCAGTGCTTCCAAATACCAGGAGGGGAAAGTGTTCTTGTGCTCAGGTTATGCTTGCAGGTTTCCCCCAGGCACCTGGTTGGCTCATCAGAACAGGATATTGGATTCAATGGGCCACAGGGCCTGATCCAGCAGGTCTTCTTGTGTTCTTATGTCTGCATTTAGCTATTTCCCTAAGGTCAAGTTGCCTGTTGCTGTAAACACGAGTCACTGAAAATATTTTCTTCTGAGCAATGCAGTAAAAATGCTCTGGAAAGAACAGGTACTTACAATAGTGCTTTGTCAGTTTTTTCAATGGAGACTTGCCAGAATAAGGGCTGCATTCTAAAATCATGGATGTGTACAAAACACTGGGATGTTTGCAGAGATTTCATTAAACCCAGACAAGTTTGCACCTCCAGAATACTGGATTGCACCGCTTTGGAGTTTTTAGGACACCCATTGGCTGTATCCACCACCTCAATTGACTTTTGTGAAGAAACAGCCGAAAAGTTGCACAAGAGCTCGTTCGTCGAAATGGGGTTTCCGTGGGAGAGGCTGCCAATGATTTGTACACACTCGGGGGGTTTTTTAGCCTTGCTGCAAAAATCCAGTTCTCCAGTAATCCTGAAAAGAGTGGCTGACAGTAGAAATATTTTTGATCTTTTAACATCTCTATTCCAAATGAGTCTGGCACATGCCATGCTGTTGAATTGTGTAGGATTTTTTTATTATTGCAAAGTTGGCTCCTGGCTGATCAACATAGCTCTGATAGATGGATCTGCCCTTTATTAATTTGTCTAATCCTCTTAAGAACACAAGAACAGCTCTGATGGATCCGGCCAGTGGCCCATCTAGTTCATCATGTTGTTCTCATAGTGGCCAAACAGGGGCCTGCAAGCAGAACCTAAGCGCAACAGTTCTTAATGGTTGGCATCGCAACTTCGGCAATGAATTCCGTGTATGAATTGTGTTGTGTGAATAACTCTTGGTTACATATGTTACTTCACTGGTGCATTTTATATGTACTGGTTGATACAGCTATCAATTCATTGCCTGCTACTGTAGCAACAGTTAAAACTTGAATTCTGTCATGAATTGCTGCTTAATTTCTCACAAGGCCAAGGATCCTGGAGGCTGACAGTGCAATCCAGTGTGTATCTGCTCAGCCACATTCCAATCATTTGCTGTTTACTGATGATATGTTTTTGCTGCTGAAGATTTTGCTGAAAATGTATTGGGTTGGATATAAAGATTACTGTGTGGTTTTTATTGCAGCGTATTGATATTCTTTCTGATTTTATGGGCCAGAAGGGGCACATTCAGCTTCTAATATATATGTGTGTGTTTGTGTGTGTATATAAACATAAACACACAGACGCACTCGGACGAATACAGATATGCTAGAATTTGCTAGCATGTATATGTGCTCATCTTTCTACTGGTGAAAAAGGTCTCAGGCATTTGAAAATGTTTTACATTATTTTTTTATGTATGTTTGAAAATGAAAATGAAGTAAACTCTTGGCGTCAGTGTTACCCAGTGAATGCAGTTTTAATTCATATGCACTTGACATTACTAAGGAGTACCAGAAGCGGTTTTTCTCTCTCTCCTCCCTGCCTCACTGAAAGGCAATGAGTCATCCTACCAACAGCCCGTTAATTGTTTTGCTGACATATTGGACCATAAAAATCTGTATAAATCCAGGGACTTTGGAAGCAAGGGGGTCACATAGATTTCTGAGCCAAAGCAGATTCCATATGCAAAAGGAGAAATGGCAGGTAAAAACCAAAAGATGCACTCTGGCAAGGATTTCATCACTCATCTTTTTTACTTCAGGTCCCCATCTTCTTGGGGGGAAACTAATTGTGGCTTCAGCAATCAGAGTGGGTTGCATTTCAACACTGGCTTTGCTTTAGCAGAAAGTACTTCTGCTTGCAAGGGATGCGGGTGGCGCTGTGGGTTAAACCACAGAGCCTAGGACTTGCTGATCAGTAGGTCAGCGGTTCGAATCCCCGTGATGGGGGACCCTTTGTTCGGTCCCTGCTCCTGCCAATTTAACAGTTTGAAAGCACATAAAAGTGCAAGTAGATAAATAGGTACCGCTGCGGCGGGAAGGTAAACGGCGTTTCCGTGCGCTGCTCTGGTTCGCCAGAAGTGGCTTAGTCATGCTGGCCACATGACCCGGAAGCTGTACGCCGGCTCCTTCAGCCAGTAAAGCGAGATGAGCGCCGCAATCCCAGAGTCGGCCACGACTGGACCTAATGGTCAGGGGTCCCTTTACCTTTACCTACTTCTGCTTGCACAAGTCGAAGCACCCCATTTTTACTGTTCTGCCCTCCATTCACCTACCACAAACCTGTGCACCAGTCTCCATGCTGACAAGTGGGTCCCCCACAATCCTCAGGAACAGCTTTTCAGTGGAAAGGGAAATTAAGTGGGTATGAGGGATCAACAAAATTCAGGTGCCCGGCCTTGTTCATGCACAAAGTCAGGAGTGGGGAACCGCAAACGCAGCCCTCCAAGCTTTTCTATCTGGCCCTCACATTCTCCCCAGGCCTCAAACCCCTCTCCTCAGACCAGACCCCTCACTGAGCTTGCTTCCAGGTGTTTTTTGCCTGGATGAAAATGTCCTCCAGCTCTGATAACGCCTCGTTTGTCTAACTAGAGCAGGGGTCAGCAACCTTTTTCAACCATGGGCCGGTTCACCGCCCCTCAGACCTCGTGGGGGGGGCGGACTATATGGGGGGGGGGAATGAACAAATTCCTATGCCCCACAAATAACCCAGAGATACATTTTAAATAAAAGCACACATTCTACTCTTGTAAAAACACACTGATTCCTGGACCATCTGCGGGCCAGATTGAGAAGGTGAATGGGCCACATCCGGCCCCCAGGCCTTAGGTTGCCTACCCCTGGACTAGAGGATATAGAGGGTTGTGTGAATGTGTGTGCAGACTCTAGCCTGCTGCATACAAAGGTAACTTCTTCACTTGTTGCTCCACCCACTTTTGCCTCTGGCTCCACCCACCCACTGCCATGTGGGCCCCCTGGAAGGTTGGCCAGAAGGGAGTGTGGCCCTGGGGAGTGTGAAAAAGCTTCCTCGCCCCTGCGCTAAGGCAAAACCATCATTGGATGCAACCCAGCATTCCCAACCTTGTGTTTGCTGAATAATGTACAGGGAGGAATTTCAGGTGTGATGCTTCCCCACCCACCACTTTTCTTCCTGCAACCCCTCCCCAGATATTGCTTCCCCCTCTTATTGCTGATCTCAGAGCCTGACTGAGGGGGTAGTAATGAGGCTAGGAAACTGGGGGCAAGGAAAGGAGTTGAGGAAAAGCAGCAGGTGGAGGAAGGGCTTATCATCCCTGACTCAAGCAGTACTTCTGTCCTCCTGACCCCTGTTCACATTTGTTACATTAGGAATCCCTGTTTGCTGAAACGAAAATCACAGTTCCTCAGTGAGATCAGTCTTCCCAAAATAATAGGCGCAGTGATAATTTTGGCTATTGCTTCTTCTAATTCACTCCTAGGAATGGAGCAGCTGGTTACTGGTCTGAATACAGCAGCACTGTCCTGTATATGATGAGGCTTAGGAGATGTTTACAATGACAACAGCAGCAGCAGCACTTTGCATTACAATAACAAAATCAGATTTTCCAAGCGTTTTTCATCATCACAATGAAGTAGACATCTGTGTCTATTGAAGCGCTGACACCTGCGTAATAGTTCATAAATTCTTCTGGTGTAACCTAAAGTAGAGGAATTGTAAAGGGGAAAAAATTAATATCTTCATTTGTCTCGCCTTGTCTTACCACCGACAAGAAATCAAGAAAGAAATTGCTCCACATGGAATATGTATTGATGCCTTTCCCTCCAGATGTTTTGGACTATAACTCCCATCATCCCTCACCACTGAGTCCTCCTGTCTGGAACCAATGGAGGTTGTAGTCCAACTACATCTAGAAGGCATCCGGTTTTCAGAAGGAACCTTATCAGAAAGGGGGAAATGCGGAGTCCATGACAGCAGAAAATAAAAAGCTTAACATGAGATGGGAATTCCCATTATGGAGTCCTTCTTTCCCTTTCCCTACAGGAAAGAACACCTCATGAAGGTCATCCAGCTATTATTTGCAATGGAAGGCCTTATTAGTAAAAGGCACATTGAGCAAGCAGATGCGTTGATCCTCCTTAGAGTCCCAGGGCACTGGAACATAGAAAACAGTTGTGTTGAAAGATAATGGTAAAAAAAAGTGGGATGTAAAAGCCATAGGAATTTTGCATGTTAAGGCGTACAAACACAAAGGTTGTCTCCTCCACTTCTGCTCACTGGTCAAACCCCCATGGAGTTCACATATCCCATTCCCACCCCCCATCCGACTAATGTTCATGAAAGAGCAAGGGTATAAGAAGAGCTTGCTGGATCAGGCCCATCTAGTCCAGCATCCTGTTCTCGCGGCAGCCAGCCAGATGCCTGTGAAAAACCTGCACGCAGGACCAGAAAGCAATAGCTTCCTCCTGTGGTTTCCAGCAACTGGAATTCAGAAGCCGGTCAGCATCCATCTGCATCATGGCTAGTAAAGGTAAAGGTAAAGGGACCCCTGACCATTAGGTCCAGTCGTGACCGACTGTGGGGTTGCGGTGCTCATCTCGCTTTATTGGCCGAGGGAGCCGGCGTACAGCTTCCGGGTCATGTGGCCAGCATGACTAAGCCGCTTCTGGTGAACCAGAGCAGCGCACGGAAACGCCGTTTACCTTCCTGCCGGAGCGGTACCTATTTATCTACTTGCACTTTGATGTGCTTTTGAACTGCTAGGTTGGCAGGAGCTGGGACCGAGCAACGGGAGCTCACCCCATCGCGGGATTCGAACCGCCAACCTTCTGGTTGGCAAGTCCTAGGCGCTGTGGTTTAACCCACAGCACCACCCTTTAACCCACAGTGCCACCCATCATGGCTAGTAGCTATGCCTAATTTTCTGCACTGTGTGTAATTATTGTGCCAACTGTCTTGTTCTTTAAAGCAAAACCCTTAAATGTTACAAAGGCGCCACCTTTCTGTCAACCTGCAATATTTCACTTGCCTGTCCATCTTTATCATAAGGCGAATCAAAGTTATCCAGAAACAGCCTGAAAACTTGCTCTTCAGACCATTCCCCATTCTGGTACTTGGGATGGTGTTTTGCATTGTAGACTCCTCGTAAATCTTCAATGGTGACAATCCCATCCCCGGTCTTGTCTAGCTTTCGAAAGGCTTGCATGATGACTTCTTTTCTTGCGTTAGACATGGGAGGCTTTAAAACAACAACACCAACAAATGAACATAGTAAAGTCATTGGATCGTCACCCATGTGCAGCAAGGTCTTTGTACCGACCAATGCTATTACTGTAATAAAAATATCGGCAGATTGGCTGCATTTCCTTTAATGTGTTCATAGGGCTTTGGGTCACCAAAAGGAAGGTTGCAGGACCCATTTGATCATAAAGGACTTATATCCTGCTTTATAGACCTGGGATAAATGATAGAAAGGATAGGAATGCCGATTCACCATTGGAAGACTGTGTTCATAAAATCAGAGGGGTTGCCATCTGCAGGAAAAGCAACATAGTTGTATGGTACCTCACAGACTAATATATTTATTACGGTATAATCATTTGTAATCAGGGTTTTAAATTGTATGGAGAGCCTTCCTGAGTACAGGATGTTCAGAGGTTTGCCCTCCAACTTGTGGAGGGCACTCTCAGCCCCACTTCCCCCCACAAAGGGGGGAAATGTAACCCCGGAAGGAGGCTAGTTTGCATACAGTTAGATGGGCAGGCATAAAATCCTGTTCACATGACAACCAAGCAGTGTTTGAGGCAGAACTAACAAAACGAACCCCATCCCTTCATGTATGGGCATTTACATAGGGCATGGTGGAATGCATACAGCCATGTGAAAGGAGCTTAAAACGGATTTCAAAGGATTGGTTAATATACTGAGGCTACTAGCCTACATACACTTACTAGTGAGCAAGGCCAATGAACAAACTGGGACCTGCTCCAGAGTGAATATGGGCTGCATATGATTGTATTTTCATATAACTTACTTTGGCCTTTCATGACTGTTTCATTTCACCACAACGGAGCTTTTTATGAATCACCATCCACAAAAGGAAATGGTACATTGCAGGTGGGTTTTCAAAATAGAATTCATAAGCTTATATAGTACCATATTGGCCTGAATATAAGCCTCACTTTCCCCCCCAAATTCCGACTGTGAAATGTTAAAGTGTGGCTTATATTCGCGACCTTACGGTATGCAGCCAGGAGAGCATGGCAAACAGCACCAGGAGTGTGGCAAAGCAGCGCCCACCCTGTGCATAGTCCCCGTCTTCCCCCAAGGCCGCCGCCAACGCAGCACAACCCCCCCTCCCCAGTATGCAGCCAGGAGCAGCAAGGAAGGGAGCAGCTTATATTTGGGTATTTTTCCTTTTTTTCCCCCTCCTCCAATTTTAAAGGTGCGATTTATATTCGGGTGTGGCTTATATTCGGGCCAATACGGTAGCTACTGCCTGGCTCACATGCAACGGGAAGCCATTGTTAACATTAACTAAAGTTTATAAGCCAACAACAAACCATGGCTATGTGTGTGGTTTGTTGTAATAAACCATGGTTAAGCTGCTGAACAGAGTCCAGATGATCACAGTAAGCCATTGTTTATTAAACAATGGTTAAATTATATTTTTGTTACACTTAAGACCAGTGCTTTTTCCAAAAAATGTTTAGAGGTACTCTCATTTTCCTGTTTATATTTAAATACTGACCCTCAATGAGGCCAAACTTAGATTCACAAAATGCTTAGGGGCATGAGCCCCCCTGTGTCCCACCAGAAAAAAAGCACTGCTTAAGATGCGGGTGGTGCTGTGGGTTAAACCACAGAGCCTAGGACTTGCCGATCAGAAGGTTAGCGGTTCGAATCCCTGTGACGGGGTGAGCTCCTGTTGCTTGGTCCCTGCTCCTGCCAATCTAGCAGTTTGAAAGTATGTCAAAGTGCAAGTAGGTACTGCTCCGGCGGGAAGGTAAACAGCATTTCCGTGCGCTGCTCTGGTTCTCCAGAAGCGGCTTAGTCATGCTGGCCACATGACCTGGAAGATGTACGCCGGCTCCCTCGGCCAATAAAGCGAGATGAGCGCCACAACCCCAGAGTCGGCCATGATTGGACCTAATGGTCAGGGGTCCCTTTACCTTTACCTTTTTGCACTAAAGTTACCATTCTATATTTCTATGACACAGAAAGCATTTCTTTTAAAAATAAAATAAAATAAATTAGCCTTACCCTTAATGTTATGAGAAATTCATCAAAGTCTATTGTTCCACTCCCATCTTTATCAAAGATCTTGAAGATCTTTTCAGCTTCGTCTTTGTCAATCATCACAGCGTAATCATTGAGGCCTTTCAAGAACTCTTTGAAATCGATAGTCCTGCTGTTGTCATCATCCATGATTCGAAAGACCCTGAAGAAAAGAAGGGCCACTTTGAAGAAAAGAGTACAGTGGTGCCCCGCAAGATGAATGCCTCGCAAGACGAAAAACTCGCTAGACGAAAGGGTTTTGCGTTTTTTGAGCTGCTTTGCAAGACGAATTTCCCTATGGGCTTGTTTCGCAAGATGAAAAACAAAAACGTCTTGCAAGTTTGTTTCCTTTTTCTTAACACCGTTAATACAGTTGCGACTTGACTTCGAGGAGCAACTCATAGAACGCGGTGTGGTAGCCTTTTTTGAAGACTTTGGTGATTTTTGAAGCTTTTCCAAAACTTCTTTTAAACTTTTAAAACTTTTTTTGGGGGGTTTTGGATTTTGGGTTGGGGTGTTTGGAATTCAAGGACTTGGTGTTGGGGAGGGGTTTGCAAGAATCTGGAAGCTTGTGTGTTTTTTTCCTGCATTTTTATGATTTTCTGTGACCATTGGGCCACTCTGCTGTTTTTTAAAAAAATTCTGGATTTGAATTTCTGTGTGGTGGGTGGCTGGGGGAACAGTTGAGGAGGGGTTTGCAAGAATCTGGAAGCTTGTGTGGTTTTTTTCTGCATTTTTATGATTTTCTGTGACCATTGGGCCACTCTGCTGTTTTTTTAAAAAATTCTGGATTTGAATTTCTGTGTGGTGGGTGGCTGGGGGAACAGTTGAGGAGGGGGTTCTTCAGCAAGAAGCAAAGAGTGGAAGTAGAACCGTCTTCGAGTTGTCCCCAGAGTCTTAGAAAATGTACTGTACACTTTGTTGATTTTTAAATGTTTTTCTGTCATGTTTAGAAACTTAATTTATTGTTCCTTCAATTTTTGAAATGCTCTTTACAGTATGTGTGACTTTAAAGAGCACTTAATAAACTCTTGTTGTACCAAATTTGGCTTTGTTTGGACTTTTTTGACCATAGGAACGCATTAATTGAATTTCAATGCATTCCTATGGGATTTTGTGCTTCGCAAGACGAAAAATTCGCTAGACGAAAAAACTCGCGGAACGAATTAATTTCGTCTTGCGAGGCACCACTGTAATAAAATAACTCTATGATTCTATGATTCTATGAAAAGAGGATGGAAGAGGAATAGAGAGCAGACACTGATATCAAGAAGTTAGGACACAGGCATTCAAGAGAAAAGAAACAACACAATCCTTTTTCATCCAATAGGGCAGCTCAGTCAGCTCCTACGCAAAAATAAATAAATGTGTAGCATTCATCTAAACTGTTTCCATTCCATCCTCCCTCTCTCTTTCTCCTTTTGTGTCATGCCTTTTAGATTACAAAAGACCTGTCTTGTTCTAACTGTATATAAGTCATTCACGGAGCCCTATCGGCCAAAGACTAGCATACCAATAAGTAAATCTGGACTCTGTTTTCAGATATTGCAAATGAAATGTGCAGCTTCAAGTCCTATAGTCCCCCAAATAGTTAATAGTTAATGTTATTTCTAAGGTTCAAGGCAGTTGCTTGAGTTTGCTACAGAAAAAAACGCCTACTTTCATTGCTTTAACTCATCATCAGTACTTCTGACAATCATGCATTTTATGCTGCCTTTTGCAAGCTACAGTTGAATAGTTTTGCCCTAAGTGATGCTGTTAGGGGCCTATGACTTTCCTTCCCTCATTCCTCATTTTCCAAGCCCTCTTACCATTGCCTTCAGCCCATTTCTGCAATGCAGGGGGGTTGGACTAGATAACTCACTGGGTCCCTTCCAACTCTACAGTTATATTTAACATTACGTGAGTTCATGAGCTGTGAAGTGAATTCAGGTGTAATGAGGCCCCTGCAGCCTTCAACTGGTTCAGGTAAGTATTTTCTCTTTCTTGACAGTTTGGCTGCCTCATAACATCAGTGCTTGAGGGCCTCTGGAAACAGAACACGGAAATCCAAATATCTATTAAGCAAGGCCAGCTGTGCTTCAGTAATCTCCTGGCCTACAGAAGAATGTGGGCTGGTTTAATAATTTACCTCATGAACTCATTTTACCTGGCGAGGCCTTTGATGCCAGCAGAGCCCCTTGCTAGGCACTGAAGGCGAAGTCTCTCGATTGGATCTGTAGTTTTGGCAAGGTCTCTTTTGGCCCGGATTGCCATCTCCCGGTCGTGTCTCGCTGTACCAGGCATCTAGGAGAGAGGAAAATGGCAAAAATGTTGGCAACCGTACTCATAAGAAGGAGCTTCATTTACTAGAGTGAAGATGTTCTGTTTGTATGTCCAGAAACGTACATAAAAAGTGCATATACATATCTGAGTCTGGTTGCAAAGGCTTTTGCAAGGGGAGTTTTAAAAATAAAACAGAATGGATGAATGTAAAAATGCGATGGATGAATTCTGAGATGCAATGTGTGAGTCAGTCAACTGAAGAAAAGGATTCAGTCACAATATTCGGCCACTTTTCCAGAATGTATAAGTTTTGTAGAATTTTATGTGCGTCGTTTGTCAGGCTTGGAGGGCGGCTTCCTCAAACCTGGCCGTGTCTCTGCAGCAACGGAGGTTCGGTGAATAGTAATTTACAAAGTATACAACCAGAGCTTCCGAATGTTTGCTTGAAAATGACTCCTCCTATATTTCACTGAAGCTTATTACCAAATCTGTGCATTATGTTGCAGCCTAAATGATTTAGCATCTCTTCACTTGGGAAATCTCTCATTTGGCAGAGGACGGATCTGGCATAGATCTTTTCCCATCCATCACCAAGATTCCCTTTCGCTAAATAATCCAGAATATAAATCTCTGTGTGTGTTGGAGTGAAAAGAAAAGGAGGATTTCTTCAAGGTGTGTATGTACAACTCAAGAATGTTTGCAAAATATGCAAAATATGTTCTGCTGTTATATCTAGCTAGCAGTGAAATGTAGATTTCTTTTTTCCCCAAAACAGCCAATTAATGAATTCTCAGAAATGGTTTTGCAACCCTCTGATAGTATCAGTCCAAAAGGTCATTGTGCTAAACTGGAATTTCAACCTTCCCTTAAGAAGAAATACAAAGATCTACTAAGAACATAGTACAAACATATTAGGTTTTGAATGATGCACACATTTTTTCCTCAGTGTAGCAACACATCTTAGACTTGGAAACCCAAGACGCTGCTGTAAGTAGTATTTAAAAAGTGGAAATCTTCTCCAAAATGCTAATTAATAATATATACATATAATATATAGGTTAAGATACCCCCCCCCAAACAGAAATGGGCTGGACTGGCAGCTGAACCTTACTTCAACACTGGTGATGGCACATCCTCCTCCACAAAACCTCAGGCAGTAGGCCAAACAAGGGGTGCCAGGGCAAACCATTTGGGAATAGAAAGGGGGGTTTTCTACCCTGACTCAAAACAAAACATAATATTGATTTCCCCACTTTCATGTGGGATTTCTGTGTTCCACAGACTCTTTTCACAGCACATTTAAAAACATCTTTCTTTTTTTACTATGTCCCTTGTCCATGTCAACTTCATTGTCAGCATACTCTCTAAGTTTGTCAAATAATAATAATATTATTATAATTATTACTTATACCCCGACCATCTGGCTGGGCCTCCTCAGTCACTCTGGGCAGCTTCCAACAGGATATTGAAAACACAATAAAACATCAAACATTAAAAACTTCCCATAACAGGGCTGCCTTCAGAGGTCTTCTAAAAGTCAGATAGTAGTTTATTTCCTTGACATCTGGTGGGAGGGCATTCCACAGGGAGGGCACCACTACTGAGAAGGCCTTCTGCCTGGTCCTCCCTCATATATTTCTCTCTGCTTAATTTCTCCTTGGCCCAATCTTTTTCATATTGTGGAAGTCTCATTTTTCGTTTGTCTCTTGTATATTTTTAAAAATATTTATATTGTTCTTTTTTCTTTATACGTTTCTTGCACAAGACTTTTCTGACAAAAAAGTTTAATGTTTAAAAAGAAAGTACCATACTTTTCCGTGTATAAGACTAGGTTTTTTTCACTTTAAAATAAGGTAAAAAATCTGGGGGCGTCTTATACACGGATAGTGCATATGCCCATTTTCTTAATTTGGGGTCCCCAAAAGTAGGGGGCATCTTATACATGGGGGGCGTCTTATACACAGAAAAATACGGTAGTTTCCAAAGGGATTGTGAATATAATCCTGTGGCAATTTTTAAAAGAAAAGAAAAATGTTCAAAGCACTTCTGCACCTAAGAAACTTAACAACAACCCCATCCTTTTTTGTTGGGGTCAGGGGTTGATTTGGGCCGAGATGTTCCTTTGCTGAGCTTGGCTGGCCTCCACTTGCAGATTGATGCCAGCATCATTCCACTGGTGCTAAGATCCTGCTTCCATCCACTGAAGTTGCAGGTGGATCGAAGGCAGCCAGTGGAAAGCCCTGAAATAGGATGTTTAGGGGTAGGGGTGAGAGCAGCTGAGCTGCCCCGGGATCCATTGGATCTCTAGCAGGCCCCACTGCTATCACAAGACAGCCTCAGGCCTGAACTGGGTTCAATCACTATGCCAGCTTCAGATTGGGGCAGCAACCTGCCTGAGCAGCTTCCACCACTACGTTAACCCACGCCAAGTGAGGATTGTACCCTAAGAAAGAAACATGGGAAGTAGTCCTATTCCGAGGCAGGCCTTCAGTCTATCTGGCCTAAGATTGGCTACTCTGGCCATCGCTCTTCAAGTGAAGATGCTAAGGACTGAACAGGGGAACTTTTGCATGCCATGCATGTGCCCTATCACTGAACCTCCTCTATAACAATTTGTTAGTCTTTCTGGTGTCACGGTGTCTTTGTTGACTTTGCCTATACATGTCTATTCAGAATGAGTTATGTGGGACTTACTCCCACATGCATGTACATATAGGACGGCAGCTTCAGTGGCCACGGAAAGCTATTAAATTTCTTCAAATGGAAACCTTCAAAAGCTGCGTGAGAGAGGCTTGGTGTTGCTTCCTTTTTAAAAGTTTTGTTTCCTAGTCAGTTGTTCCGTGGAGACGTTATTAAAGAGCATGGCCACCTATGAAGGCATTTCAAAATGTGTGGCGAATAAAATAAAACTACTTATGGCCTTCAGGTTCTGATACTTCTGTTTTTAGAATGTGCATAGCTTTGAACACTGATGAATTTGCAGGAAATGTAGTATATAAATTAATTGATTAGTACTACAAGTGGAATAGGGACGCGGGTGGTGCTGTCCGTTAAACCACAGAGCCTAGGACTTGCCAATCAGAAGGTTGGCAGTTCGAATCCCTGTGACGGGGTGAGCTCCCGTTGCTCGGTCCCTGCTCCTGCCAACCTAGCAGTTTGAAAGCACGTCAAAGTGCAAGTAGATAAATAGGTACCGCTCCGGCGGGAAGGTAAACGGCGTTTCCGTGCGCTGCTCTGGTTCGCCAGAAGCGGGTTAGTCATGCTGGCCACATGACCTGGAAGCTGTACGCCGGCTCCCTCGGCCAATAAAGCGAGATGAGCGCCGCAACCCCAGAGTCGGTCACGACTGGGCCTAATGGCCAGGGGTCCCTTTACCTTACAGCTGGAATAACATGGCCTCCAAGTATACGTAAGTCAGTCATTCCTCCTTTAAGTTTTGGCTCAGATGCACTAAAAAGAAAAAAGTTCTAGAAAGTAGATCCTTACATGAGCCATCTCACTTAATATGGCACAATTGTGCATGCCTTTACTTCTGATGTTTGTCTTCAACATCTGTTATCCATAGAGGCGCTGCCATTGAACATGGATGTTCCATTTAGTCATCATAGCTAATAAAGGGGTAGCACAGACCCTCTGTTTATCCATTCTTTAAAGCCATCTAATATTAGTGGGCATCAGCATATCTTGTGGCAGTGAATTCCGTAAGTGAATCATAGTTGAGGAATACAGGAGCTGCCTCAAAGAGGCACCAGCTCTTAGTTCTTTGCTGCTTGATGCCATTAGTCAGCATGGTGTGGCAGCATCTAGGGAACTGATGACGTGCTATAAATAAGTGAGTCTTATCTCCGTGATTTGGGAACAGTGCATTAATAACCCAGTTGAAAAGGACCAGATTCATCGTCCTATGCACCAGCTTCTTAAATACTTATATAACAGCCGAAACTACATAGATGGCTACTGCTTGAAAGCAAAACCGTTTTGTCGAAAGAACCCAGTGGGAAGCTGCTGGCCTTGGCTGCAGCCATTTTTACTGTTCCAACACAGCCTCTCTTTTTGCACTGGCATGGTGAAAATCCCGAGTCGTGACAAAACTCTTCCAAACACCTTTTTACATAGTGCTGCACAATCTCTGGATTCAACAGCCCTTTGAACGCCAAGTCTGATTTAGACAGATGGTCGATCAGGATGAACAGCTGCCTTTGCTTTGTCCCCCGACAGTAAGTCTGGTCTTAAATGAGGAAGCAGAAATGGGCAAGGTGGAAAACGTCTTTCTTTACACAGAATAATCCTGTGCACTTTCTTGTGCATTGATTTCCAAAAACATGCCATAAATCTCCCTCTGACTACATGGTAATATTTATTTACAGCTAATTCGACAGACGGTCTGCTTGTTGCATTTTATTGTGTTTCGTCTATTGTATTTTTAATCTGGTCTTCACTGCTTTGGAGACCTTCGGGCCCAAAAGCAGAATACCAATGAAGTTTAATAATAATGTGGTGGTAAAAAAGTAGAGATAAGCACACTCACAAACTCCGAAGGCAACATGAGGAGGTCCCGTTTAAACCCAGCTTGGTTTCCTCCCCTAGCGCTAGAACCAGATCGGTTCTTCCTCCAATTTTGTTCACAGAGCTTATTCTGTAAATAGAAACAGCTTCCTGGCCCTGGAAGCATACGCTACTATATTTCTATATGCACCAACTTTTAAGATAGGCAGTATCTTTAAAAAGTAAAGAGCAGAGGAAAGCTGGACTATATCAACCTAAATTAAAGGATACTCTTCCTGAGCCAATCAATAAAGGAATGAAGAAAAAAAAACCATTTACCTTTAATTTGTTACCTGTTGCTCCTAACCTGAAACTACAGACGCTCCCTTGTACAGTTTGGGGAAAGTGGGCCTGTCTCTTCCTAGCATCTCTTCCCGCCCCTGGTCTACACCTCCCCCTTCTGATTGGACAGACTGTGGTAATTAATGCAGAACCATGGAGAGCACCGAAGGGTGACTGGAAGACGGGAGTGTCCGTCCATCTCAGATTACTTGTTTACATAGTGCTACCCTGCCTAGAGTTTATCACCTTGTTTCCACGGAGACATGGCTTGCTGTGAAAGGCCTAGCACAACCTGCCAGGGATTTCATTGTTCCTGCGGCTTGCGGTGCTCCTCCCAGCCCTTTCCCTTCACTTTGGCTTTGCTGTATTCAGGAAGAAAACGCTTTCTCTGAAACACAGGGGCAAAGCAGCAGAACAGAAGCCCTTGTGTGCTTTTTGCAAGAAATGTAGTATTGTGCTCAGGCACAGAGGGAGCTGGAGAGGTTTAAATGATCTATCCGCTGCAATCCATATACAGACAGAAGTACAGAAACTTAACACTGCTCCTTAGCACATTCCATATCTTACTTGGAAGAGCTTTCTTTCCCATGGGATGTCTGTCAGCAGTGAGTGTGTACAAGTCCAAATTTAGTACAATAGAGCAAAACACAACAGTTTCAGCGATGTAAAAAATAAGTTGAAAGCGAGCTTCTTAAATGATATACAGTTGTACCTTGATTTTCGGACAGCTTAGTTCTCGAATGTTTTGGCTCCTGAACACCGCTAACCCAGAAGTGACCGTTTGGGAACTATTTTTGGAAGCCGAACGTCCGACGGGGCTTCAGCGGCTTCCGATTGGCTGCAGGAGCCTTGGTTTCCGAACGTTTTGAAAGTCGAACAGACTTCCGGAACGGATTCCATTCGACTTCCAAGGTACAACTGTATTTGGCTGGTACCAGAATGGCAAAGGGAACACTACAGATTCTTAAGAACAGGACAGCAAATACGTTCGTCCCTATTTCTTTTTTTAAGGAAAAAACAAAAAAAGTGCATGGATCCTGCTCATGAATACGACTCTCATTGCATCTTAAGACTATATGCTCTGCTAATTTACTGAATTTTCTGTATTCAGTCTTGATAACCTTTCTGGCATTTCACAGTTACACAGCAAACACTGACAAGGGAAGCATGATGTAATAAAGTTAATTTTAATTTCAACCAATATACAGCATTACATTTTAATTTATTAAGATAGTGATTCATTTATCCCTTGTTAGATATAAATAATTATACACTGGCAGCAAATATACATCTCACTGTTCATGACTCCAAATCCTAATGCTGTTTACATAGCAGTTATTCCTGTTCCCAATAGGAGAGCAACATGTACCTTAACCATGAATGAGGCATTAACAGGGAAATAAATCAGTGACAGTAGCAAAGACAAGTGTTGCATGATTGCAGAAGCTAAGAAAACTGTATTCTCGCTTATCTGAGTTGAAACAAGAAATCTAAAAATTCTTATAAACACATTAAGTGTAAGGTTCCAGAAAAATATTACAAGTTCAAAAAAAATTGGTCAGCATCACAAATATGTACACCACCATAGAATCTCAACACAGTAACATCCAAGTACCACTAGAATTTTTAGAAACTGTGACTTGAAAAACTACATTCCTGTGCATTATTCTGTTTGGTGGCATGTTCTGCTACCACCAGTGTAGATAGAGAGCTCTAAGCAAAAGCAAGAATGTTTTCAAAACTTAGGTTTTGGTTTGAAGTTCCACAGCGGTGTATAAAGAGGAAGACACTAGAATCTTGGAAATATTAGCATCATGCAGTTTAAGCCTCAGGGACACCACCCAAGCAGCCTTAGCCTCACTCTGAAAGTGACCTCAGACACAGGGCTGCCTTAGTATCACTGCCCCCCCCCAAGCCCCAGGCAGCTCCAGTGAGACACAGTGTGTTTCGCGATAATGTCAGTTCATCTCACTTGTATTGAAAACCATCCCATATCAACCAGTTTCAGCAGGACTTGCCCACCTTCAAGATCTCCAGTAAATCTCTGCTTACCTTCCAAAACATGAGAGGTAAACTACAATTTGGCGTTTCACCCAACATCATCCAAATCAAGTACTAGGGAGCTTTCAGAAGTCTTAATACATGTGTTTTCTTATAACAATGTTTTCATCAGTTGAAAGTTGAGTTGGGGAACCTGTGGCTCTCCAGATGTTGATGGGCCCCCAATCTGCATCAGCCCCAGGTGGCAGAGCTATTGCTCAGGGGTGAAGGGGCTTGTCCAGCAACACCTAGAGGGTTAAAGGTTTCACACCCTTGTTCAAAAGAAATGAACTATTAAAAACATGACATCTCTGGTGGAATATTTCATATATCCCCCCATATCAGTTTGCTGATTAGCACTAGTTAACACAACTTCATTAAAAGTCCCAGCATTTTCAACACATGAAAATCCTTTTTAATATCATAATCCATTGTTTTCCATCAGTGTTTTGGATAAATAAAACATTTAGGGCTTTTTATATTAAAAAAAAATAGCTTAAAAAATATGTTCTGTGCCATGTTTAATGGATTATACGTACTTAGGATATATGAGGAGCCCACTGATTTTCAAAGAGGTGCATGCACTGGGATTCAGCATCAGACCATTTATTGGACTGAATTCCAACATTTATGAAAGTGAAATCACAGTTAATTGAAGGGACAGATAACATGCTTTCAACAGTCATTCACTTTCAACATATGCATTACTTATATGACACTTCACTGAAGCTACTGTGAATCACATTAACACTGATTTCGCACCCCCCCCCAAAAAAACCCCTAAATCCTAAAATGCTTAACTACAATGTGATACGAGATATGGACAAATACCACTACTGTTCCCCCACTCCATTCCTTGTAACATCTGTGCATGACATCACATAGACGTGTCATGCCTTGTCCTCCTTTCCAAGAGCCAATGATGCAAGGCAGGACTGTAGCAATGCACAGTATGAAATCACACATTCTTTGTTTAGGTATGAAGAAGGAGAAAGCAGCAGAGTCTACCCATGCCTAATAACATCTAGTTTAAGCACTGCAATCCTGCACAGTGTTAGGCTCCTTAAGTCCTATCAAAATCAATGGAATTTGAACAGCCTGTCTGCAGGATTGCAGCCATGCTATTCAATATACAAAGCACTCAAATCCTTTGCTTTCCTAAAATACCCAAGGGTCTTATAATAAGTTAAAAAGCTCCTCCTCATATATGAAACATGCTGGTAAGAAAGAGTGGATATCTGTCCTCGTAGCTTTACAATATATGGTCACGGCCAACCATTAGCCTTCATTTTAAGAAAGCAAGCAAGTGCAGTCCTATACGTGTCTACTCAAAAAGTAAACCCTATTGGGTTCAAGGGGACTTACTCCCAGGTGTCCTACGATACTGCCAAACATCCCTCAAAATGACATTTGCTTTTTATTTCCTCCAGCCCCATTTATAGTCACATATTTCCACCCAGCACTGATGAAGCTCATTATGTAGCACATTCACTGGCGTTTCCTGACAGACATTTCTGTTTGGAAAAAGGAAGCATTTATTCTTTTGCAGTGAAAATCTGCGCTGAGTGCAAAAAGCACATGTATCGTGAAAGTGTGGATTCCTTGTGAAAGGCAGTAGAACTAGGTTGCCACCAGTGCTGTTTACTATTAAGGAATCTTACTCTGCAGAGTTCACTTCTTCAAAAGGAAAGGTCCAGTTTCATAAACTTCAAGAACTATTTGAACAGTGCATTATTTTTGAAGTGATGAGTTTGCCTCCAGTAGAAATTAACACTTTGCACAGACAGATCCACTAAGTGTGGTTTAGCTGAAATAGATTTTCATCTGCAGCTATTATACATAAAATCTCTGTGGTATATTTTTTCCTCTTCAGTAAGCATGTGCCAGTATCTATGAATTTAAGTCACTGCTAGTGAACATTTAAGATTCTACTGGGTCTTTCCTATCATGCATGCTAATACCATTCAAATGCATATAAGGCTGACAGAAATCATTCTCGATTCAGATGGTTGATGTGCAGGCATTCCAGATGATGAAGGTATTTTGCAGAGATTTGCCCTTAAACCTCTCCAGCTTTTCCCAAACTTGAGGTGAAGGCCAGTCAATGATAGTCTATGACCTAACCAGAGTGGCTTCTTTAATCACGCCCATGGTTTGAATTGAAGGTAGGCCATGCAATTGCATCAAGCTATGACTAAGTTGCACTTACAATGACCCAGCTGCACTGCGATATTTTTTTAAAGGGCAACAGCCTTCTAAAAAAGAAAAGAGAAAGGGGACAAAGGAAAGGGGACAGAAAGAAAACCCAAATAACCTCCAACATTTAAGAATGGTAACTCCAGCTGAGCCCTACATTTGTTTATTTAAAACTGAATCTACAGTGACGATTGACAGACTGAGAATTATTTCCCTGATTCAATTGTAAAAGACCCAACAGAACGCCTTTATGTATCAGTGGCTGCCTACACACAAGTGAATCCAGGAGAGGATTCTAAGCAAAATCAACACAAGGTCTTCCAGTTCAGAACAAATCATACTCAGAATAAGACTGACCCCCCCCCCCCCCAATGGCTCACTGCCTAGCATCCCATTCCCACCCTCCAAATCCCTTCATTTCCTTCCCTTCTGGGTCACTCTCTCTGTCGCCATACTGTTCTCTACCTATGGCTCACAATTCCCATATTATGGGGAGGGGCATTCAAGGAACGGGCAGAGATGGGCAAGGCACAGCTGAGGTGGTTCCAGTTTCAGAAGCCAATGCTCTAGCCCAGCACATACTGGGCAATTAATTACACAAAGTGCATTTTGAAAGGGGGAAAGTTTCTTATTTCCCACATTCTGTTTTCTGTTTGTAAAGTGAGGTCGTGTTGGTTGCAGAATGCATTACTGAAAGAACATTCACCACAGCAATGGATGCAAGACTGTTGGTTTAGACATCGTCAAAGATTCTGCTTCGCGACATCGACAGGTATCTTCCACCAGGCTGGTACCTGTAGATTATATAAAGAAACTATATGAAGAAACTGTGTTAAACAACTGTAAGATATGAAACCTGAAAAGGAAGAACAAGCTATAATCTCTAAAAATTTATGCTCTAATTTTGCCTTATAAAAGATCCTAAATATAAGTTAGAATATAATGATGGCTGGAGAAAAAGAATAAGATATTTATAGATACGTGATCCCTTTGTATTTATTGCTGAATTTCTCACCTTCCTGAATCGGAGTCGAGAGGATCTTCACCAACTGAGTCAGCATTAAAGTCCAGAGGTTCGGCATCTTGAAGCAGCTCAACTCTGTCCCTTTCATTCCTTCCATTTGATCGGGTGTACTTAGAAGCTACTGCTGAAAGAAGAAAAATATTTTTAAACAAACAAACAAACACATAAATAAATGGTACTGTCAATACGCCATCAGGGTTTCCAAAGCTTAGAGCATATGGCTTTGAGGGGTTAAGAGCAGTTTTTTTCTCTTCTTCTTCAAATGAGAATGTGTATTTTCCAAAATCAGCACAGCGTATCAACTGGCTTTAAGGCAGAACTCAGCACTGGTTCACAAACTTATTTAATTATTTTCAAACTTGATTCCAAGTTGCTCATACTCAAGTCTCATCAAAATCTCTAGGAGGCAGACTAATCCACGTATAGCTGATTGCGAGACCGGAACCAAAATACAGAAGACTAGCCATGATCCTCAGATAAATAAAGAGGTGGTCAGGCCTGAACTAGCAGGTCACTCTTCACTTAAGAAAGAGAAGAGATCATTTGCCAGGAAAGAGGTGAAAATGCTCTTGTCTCGGTTGCATGACGTTAATACAGAATGTAGAAGCGAGGAAAAAAGCTAGCAGGCAAAGGCCCTATCTGGGCTATCCATTGAAAGCAGTATCACACCACTTTAAACAGTCAAAACCTCCCCCCAAGAACAGCGTTAACTATACTTTCCAAAGGTGCTGAGAGTTGTTAAGAGACCTCTACTTCTCTCATAGAGCAACAATTCTCAAAGTTCCCTAGGAAGAGGGAATTGTGGCTCTGGGGGGGAGGGGGGCATAGAGGTCTCTTAATGACTCAGTACCCATTACAAACTAGTTACCTGGAGGAAGCTATGTTTGTTTAAAGTGCTAGGATGCTGGTTACACAATGGATAGTATAGATGCAGCCCAATTTACTGCAGTGCTGGAAAGTACCTAAATCTGAAATATAGAGGAGCACCATAATACCAGTACTACTTCTGTTAAGCAAAAGCCATGGCAAACAAGATAAGCTCTTACATCTAGTTGTATTAGTCTCTGTGAAGCTAGACTCTTTTTGGTCTGCTTGAACATTTCTGTTTCTAGAAGAATCTTCACGGTTGTTCCCATATCGTTCTTTCCACTCCTGGTCAAAAACAAAACAAACCAAACACATACAACAGACTGTATACATCCTCTAACACATGTAACAGCAGAATAATATTGTTTGACAATTATTCTTATTGCAATGATTTTAAATCACTCTCTCCAATCTTCTGAAATCTTTATAGCTCTCCGGGATCCTTATTAGAGATTAGTGGAAAGACTGGCCGGCATAACAGAGGGGTAGACCTGCCTGCTACAAGTCTAAAACCTTTCCCGTTCCTTAAGTAGGTCTGCGGTTGAACTCTGTGGGGCACAACTTCAGCTGATAAAAAAAGAGCATCGCCTTATTTTAAACCACAAAAGGTGAGCAACTGATGTTCTACACAGAATGCAAGTTTCAAATGTGCAGTAATAACCTGGTGCACTCCTAAATCATATAACTATACAAAGCTAGGCATGCCATTGAGGATAAGGCTACCTATGACTATAAGCCACAATGGTTATGTTCTACCTCCAGTGTCAGAATCTGCACACTTCTAAATACCAGTTGATGGGGAGTGTCAATTGGAGAGAGTACTGTTGCACTCAGGTCCTGCTTGCAGGCTTTCCTAGGACATCTTTTTGGTCACTGTGAGAACAGGATGCTGAACTAGGCAGGACACTGGCCTGATCCATCAGGGCTCTTAGGTTTTTAAGTTTCACTCTGCACATAATTGTACTGTGTTTCAATTCTGACGCTATCTCTTACTGACTATGGAAAAATAATGAGCTGGTCATATATACCCTTCTCCTGTTTTCACCATCTTCCTGTCTTTGCCGTTTTCTTTTTTCTAAAGAGAGAGAAAATACTTTCATTTACTTTTGATTCCTCTGTAAATTTAATCTGAACTTGTACTTTTCTTTTTACTTATTTCTATGGATTCATATAAACTTACAGAATTTCAAACAACAATGCTCTGTCATAGGTGGTGTTTGCTGTTTTTTCACTTTAACAGTGAAAAAAGACAATCAGAGAAATGGGGGGGGGGGAGGGAGAAACCACAAACTTTTATAAAATTCACTTTTTCCTAAACTGCACTTAATGCTTCATATGGTCCTGCACCTTTGAGTTCCAGTGCACAATATACTCATTTTTCCATTAATGCATTATCAGCCTGTCTTGCTTCCCCGACTAACAAAATTAGATAATTCAATCATGCACAAAATGTTTCAAATTTGCAGTAGCCCTGAAAAGTCGGTTTATCTTTCTTTTCTCCCAATTCTGAGAGATGCTAGCAGAGGTACATATATAGTATTAGGTGCCATATTAGGTTACATTCCTAACCTTGCTTGTGTGGGAGTAAACTTTACTGAATTCAGTAGGACTCACTTCTGAGTTGAGATGGTTAGGACAGTGATGCTAGCTTCCGTCTATTTCCCTACAGTCGCTTACAACAGTTAAAAAAATTAAAAACCATAAAATATTTCTTCTTCTTTTTACCTCTTCTGATTAACTCTTTTCCTTCATCAATTAAGTCCGAAGTCATCTCATTGTCTCCCATGAACTGCTGGAATCCCAAAAGGTTCAAACATCGAGTTCCTAAACTGATAAAAGGAGGGGGAAACGTTTTTTCCATTGCCAAAAAATAAAAGCATAAGACATCAGCCGCAAGGTGAGATTTGACCTACTGCCTTTTTGGGGGTTTGACTTCAAAACTGTTTTGACCTCAATCCTAGGGTGAGATTGGAAGGCAGCTGAGCTTATGACTTCCCTTTCCTGACCCCATCTCTGCTCTCTCAGCCAGAAAAAGAATAATATGATGAATGAAGGAGGGCACTTGTATGTTCACATAAATGCAAATGCACTAGATGATCCTTGGGGTCCCTTCCAACTCCACAATTCTAAAAAATGTGATTTGGGAAAAGTGATCCGCCAACTCACTTCTAAAGCAGAAATGAACATAAATTAGTCAACCTATATGGTACATGAGGGACGCGGGTGGCGCTGTGGATAAAACCTCAGTGCCTAGGACTTGCCGATCGTATGGTCGGCGGTTTGAATCCCCACGGCGGGGTGAGCTCCCGTCTTTCGGTCCCAGCTCCTGCCCACCTAGCAGTTCGAAAGCACCCTTAAGTGCAAGTAGATAAATAGGTACCGCTTTATAGCGGGAAGGTAAACGGCGTTTCCGTGTGCTGCGCTGGTGCCGGCTCGCCAGAGCAGCTTCGTCACGCTGGCCACGTGACCCGGAAGTGTCTCCGGACAGCGCTGGCCCCCGGCCTCTTAAGTGAGATGGGCGCACAACCCTAGAGTCGGACACGACTGGCCCGTACGGGCAGGGGTACCTTTACCTTCACCTATATGGTACATGTGGAGAAACTGTGGGTTTTTGGGGGGGCAATCTGAAGTCCAGTTGAATATAAAGAAATGAAAGGCGAGATCCTTTAAAATCCTTAAAATACATTTTATGCTGAAGTGTATGTACCAAGAACCATCATCAACTTATGAATACCTACAATAGAATATAACTGCTTGAGTCACAATTTGTAAAATATGGGAGAAGACACCAGTTATGGGGTGGGTAGAGTATAGTAAAGGTAAAGGGACCCCTGACCATTAGGTTCAGTCGTGACCGACTCTGGGGTTGCGGCGCTCATCTCGCTTTATTGGCACAGCTTCCAGGTCATATGGCCAGCATGACTAAGCCGCTTCTGGTGAACCAGAGCAGCGCATGGAAACACCGTTTACCTTCCTGCTGGAGCGGTACCTATTTATCTACTTGCACTTTGAAATGCTTTCGAACTGCTAAATTGGCAGGAGCAGGGACTGAGCAACGGGAACTCACCCCGTCGCGGGGATTCGAACCGCCGACCTTCTGATCGGCTCTGTGGTTTAACCCACAGCGCCACCAGCGTCGGGTAGAGTATAGCGTGCTCTAAATTCTATGGTACAAATTCATTCTGGTCACTTATTACCTGACTATGAGCTTGTCTTGCATCCCATCTTTTTCTACCCACGCTAACTCAAGAGGCTTACTCTGCTGGTAAACACTAAGCCTGCTATCATAAATGAACTTAACTGGAAGCAGTGTTACAAAAACAAAGGAAGCATGGGTGACTAAGCACTTGAAGGTTGATGCTAACAAAGAATGTTGGTATTTCTATTACTGTGCAAGGATGGCATCTGTTTAATTAAGTTTTCGCAACCTTTTTGGAAACACCCAAATATACGGGTGAAGGAACAGACTAGCTATTTCAAATATCCCAGCAAACAAAATAAATCTGAATTACTTGTTACTTACCTAAAGTATGTAGCAACACAAAGAATGACAACCAGCATGGGATAATAGATATAAAATCCGTCTGCAATGAAGGACAACACTTTCATGGATCCCATAATCTGGAAGGCAAAAAGTAACAGAGGTTTAATATGGCGATTCTGATCACGGCTCAGGTGTTTTCGTTACTGCAACTTTTAGGCATTAGAACTTATATTGTACTAATGTACATCATGCATATATTCCATCCTTCATATGAAAATCACAGGGCAGGTTACCCTTTAAATTAAATCCGCAGCCAACAAAAGCAAACAAAACAGTAACAAAATCAGTAATTAAAACCCCAGATTGCCATTCTAATTAGAGCTATAGTAGGCTAACAAAAACCCTTCAAAGGCTTGGGCTAACAGGTATGTTTTTACTTGGCGCAACAGTGCTAACAATGCTGGTACCTGTTGTGCAATTCCATAATTGGGACATTGTAGTACTACTGGCAGCTACTTACCAAAGAACAAAACTGGATTATAATTTGCCACAGATGACAACCAGCAAGGATATTGGTTTTATGGTCTACCTTTTCATGAGCTTGTACCAATACAATCAACTGGAATGGGAAGTCTGATGCCCATTTTAAATAAAGCAACTCAAAGTACTATTTTTAAAAAATATATTTTTTATTAAAGATTTCTTGGTTTGCAAAAGTGTGTGCAATGTCACTTTTTTCAAGTTACGTTTTCTACAGGTCAGTTTCATTTGTTGAGACATTAAGTGTTACATTAGGAAGAAAAGGACGGAAGAGGTGGCCATGGTGGGTGATTAACTTTTTTAACAGATAGCTTTTAGATGCAGATCGAACAACTTGCTCTGTGCTACCACCTGCTGGCAGAAAAGTGGCATGTTCCGTTTCCATGGCAGTCCCGATGCAATTCAAGGAGCTGCTGCTAATTACTCAATGCCTCAAGTAGGTGGGGGCTGCATATTTCATTGCAATGACCTTGATCTGCTGCAAGTGCCATTTCATTATTCTGTTTAGACTCAAGCTGTGTACAACAAAAGTGCACAGAGGGGTGCTTTTGGTAGTTACCGTCAAACCACAGAACTCTAGAACTAGAAAACATTCTTTTGTGGGGGCTGACCTTCAGCAGGAAGGATAAGCCGTCATGAAGCCATTTTGCACATAGTATTTTATTGCACTGGTTTTTATTAAGAATGGGCAGGCTAGAAATCTATGATTATGCTAGATTCCTAAATAAATACAACAAAAAGGGGTAGAGCAATGCAAATCATTGCACTGGACTTGGTGTTTATGTTTATGCTTATAGGCATTCCTCCACCCAACTCTGCTGGCTTCTTGCCAGCCACTACCAATGGAGTGATGCCAGCATCACTTTGCAAATAAAGGGCTCTCTCTTATGCTCTCCAGGACAGGTGTGCCGCTGGGAGATCCCTTCAGGTGGCATTCTAGAGGTGGGGAGCGGCTGAGCTAGCTCAGGATCTATTCAGCTGCCTTTGTGTGGTAAGACCTGGGTGGATTACTGTGCCAGCTCCTGGCTGCTGCAGAGATCATCCTCCCACTGCCCCATATTTCATTCTGCCACTATGTACAGCAGGGCTGTGGGTATGGTCCTGCTGCTCCACAAAGCCCCACAAGTCAGTGGCTGGGCTTTGGATTGTAGCTGTAAGTTTTTCCCAGTTAATTCGGTGGAAGAGTTGGGCCTCTTCTATTGAGATTAATGGGATTTAAGAGCTTCACCGTGAATGGCCAGTAATATGCCAGTTACTGCTAGCAGAAACAATGTCCAGCGTAGGGGTACACATATTTGAACTAAAGAAGAGCTTCTATCTGGTATAAAGCAGCCAAAAGAGAAGTCAGATAAAACCCTACAAAGTTGAAATCTTGAGCTGAAATCAACAATATCCAACTGCAGCATTCTTCTTGTGCAATGGACTTCCACGTGCACAAAAGGAATTTTCCAAGCTTCTCCTTCCCAGTGGGGAGACCTTCCAAAGCAGGATGGGTGTGTGTGCAAGAGGCAGGAAAGGACAGACAGAACATCACTTCTGGAAAGTTGGCTCTTACCCAATGAAACTTTCATTTTTGGCAAAACACTTTCAATTTTGATCTGTGAACACCATTTAACACTTACTGTTGAAACGCATTACATCAAGACATATTCTGTTTACTTACAGATGTATATGCAGTTGGCTGTTCTAAACTCTTTGCAATTGTTGAATCCATATGAGTCAAGCCCAAGAAATTCAGACACAGTGGAGGAGTCAAACGGCAAAACAGCCTGCGTGAAAAGAGTTGGCAATTCTGAAGCATTTTCTTCTGTATTTGGCATCTCCATCTTCCTTCCACATTACTAAGATCTTATCAACCAATGCTAACTATCAAAACATCTAGGAGCTGTATCTATATTTTTCATGTATGCCTATTGTATGTTTTGAGCACTCTTTGTCATAGATTCTTTCAATGTTTAGTAGTAAACAAAATAGCCAATATTTGTATCTGTTCAACATGCAATTGTCACCAACTATCAGTATTCATATATTGGGGTGGGAATCTATTTGGTTAGCTGGCCTGATGTCTAATTGAGGTCAGGACACTCATTTTCCTTTCCATGGAACTTTATGGATCCTGGTGATCGGTTGATTGGCAGTGCCTGCAAATCCTGCTTTTAGCAGGAAGCTGTGTCTTCACCTGCCTCACATCTGACATCATACATGACCTCAAGTGTAGGACAGGTGGGTGTGGCTTGATGGTATCATGGGCTAAATGGGAAGGCCTGGTAGACCTAATTAGGCTAATGGACAAGAGACTTCCCAACACTGATATATTGTATTTGAGGTGAATCAAGGAAGATAGTGTTCTCTGGATGTAGCTGGGTTATGAACTAAGTATGTTATAGTGTAATTTTTGCATTGCCTCACCTCTAACTATTTAAAGCTATCCAAGAAATACATTAATTAATTACTTACATGCCACTGAAAAGCAAACTATACGCATCCGTCTGATGGTGAGAAGCTAAATAGTAATAGTTGAATACACGGATCCTGAAGACAGTAGAGTAAACACAGATACTGAGGAAAAAGATGGTCAAGAAACAAGCCATCTGCAAAACAGACAAAGATTGCATTCACAGTCAGGTAAGTATAATCTGCTTTGTTAGCTGCTTTATAAACTGATCATGCATTCTTTATACAAAGGGTTATAGCATGAGAACGGACTATGCAAATGTAAAGGTGCAAATAACACTGTTTGTATGATGCACAAAACAAGGGCCAACTTATTCATACTTCTACAGATGTATCTTGGATTCCAAACGCCCTGGAACTTGGAAGTTTTGGGTCGTGAATGCCACAAACCCGGAAGTGATTGTTCCGGTTTGTGAACGTTCTTTTGGAACCTGAACATCCAACGGGGCTTCTGGATTTCCTGCAGCCAATCAGAAGCTACGATTTGGTTTTCAAGCATTTTGGAAGTCAAATGGACTTCCGGAACGGATTCCGTTTGACTTCCAGGGTACAACTGCATATTTTTCTGCAAGGTGACAAGTCACTGTACTTGATTGCGTGGAGAAAAGTTAGTGAGAATAAGCCTGTACCATGGGATCAGCTGCCAATCAGCTGCATGACCATTCTACTTTTTTTTCCTGACAGAAATAGCTGTGGCATCACTATGTACAGACGTTTCCTCACTTACATGGTGGGTAACATTCCTGTACCACACATATACATGAAATTGCGTATTGTGGGGAACACCATCTGAAAAGCCAAACTCCACCCACAAAAATCCCCTGAACTCCACCACAATTGCTCCCTCCAAACATCCTTTCTCCAACTCTAAAATGATCAGAAGATACAAGCATTTAAGAAACGAGCAAATTACTCTAGAAGTCCCAAATGTCATTAAGAGTTGATAAACTGACCTCTATGTAGAAATAGTTGTAATTCTTCTCTGCCAGTTTTATGAAGACTGCAAACAGAGACAGAACTGGCCTTGTGCTGAAGAACGTGCATTCCGACCATACGACAATGATAGAAAATGTGGCCAAAATAATTGCAAGGATTCTGTGAAACCATGGCCTCAGCAGACACTCCCAGTACCACTCTGGAAAAATGTACACGATTACTGAAGAGGTTATTAAATGAGGAAATAGCAAGGGAAGGAATGTAAAAATCATTTCAAAGCAGCTCATTTCCTCTAACAGCCGCTGTAGAAATGAATAACTACTATTATGATGAGAAAGAGGACTTTAAGTTGGGAGAAATGAACAGACATCCTTTTTCCCCCGCAGCCTATTGTAACTGCTTGTGCGTGCGCTGCTGGCGCAGGTTGGAGTGATCTGGGCAGTGTGCTGTGACGAACTTTCGTTTTTTCTATTTGTTTTCTAGCATTTTGTATCCTATAATATGAAGAACAACACTTACCAACAGTTGGTGTATAAAGATACCGAGCAATCTTGTTTTCAGGTTCTTGAGATGGAAAAGTATGAACAAACTGATGAGTTGCACTGGTTTCATTTTTTGCCACATCCTCCAGGTAAAAGGCTTGCTCTAAAAGAATTCTCCACTGGACCTGCGTACGACGATGCCTTTGAACAGAATAAATTACCTACGGAAACAAAAACAACATTCTAATTATCTATGGCAATAGTTCCAGGGTGGCGGTAGAGAGATAAATAAACAGAACAAATGGCTCAAATATTCCACCAAATGAGGAAAGTACTCCTTCCTTAAAAATGCACATTTTATTATTATTCTATTGCCTTACTCATATATCTCAAAGCGATGTATAACACACACACACTAATGCACACACCAAACTAAAACTGAAAACAGTTTCCCATGCACAGCAATGTCTATGGCCACCAGTTATGTCTTATGAATTCACAGTTCAAAGTTGCAAAGTAGAATTTGTGACATGCCATTAAACGCACAGAGACTTCTCTTTCACTGTAACTTTTTTTTGGATTTATTAGTCTTTGATTAATTTTCTACTGCCTCCCCTGCAGCACAAGTTTTTACAACCGCACTGGAAATATTTTTTAAAAAATCAATTATTTGTTCAGATGCACACCAGCTCTATTAGAAAAACAAACTCTTTTGGAATGAGTATACAAACCACGTTAGTTGACTTCAGATGTCTGCACATGTGGATTTCCCTAGAAATGGAATAGCTCTACATAAATTTAATACACTTAAGCTATCTTGTTACCTGCTTATGAAGTTTAGCCAGGTTTTTCTCTGTCGGATAAGTATTGGGCCTTTCTTCAAAGTCTTCATAGTCATCCATGTTCCTACCCATTCTTTCCTGATACTCAACAGGACACTGAAATGGAAAGATAATAGTCCCAATACATATTAACAGCACGACACATCACCGCAGCAAAGCTAGCTAGCCTGAAACCCTCATAAGAAGCAGCTGAAAGGACACTCGCCTCCTTCCTTTTTCTAGGCCAAGACTTTCCAGCCAGAAAGAGAATAGGGGTTGCCTCTCATCTTCTCCTCTTGACCCTCTAAAGTGGCAACAGGAGCCAGAATAGCTCCCTGTGGAAAAGAGTGTGTTATAGGATAACACCATTTCAGCCAGAGAAATTGCTGTGATGAGTGTTGCAGCACTCTTCTTGGCTACAAGCGTTTGCTGCTGAGATGGGGTAGTAGCAGGTAACAGCCATGCAACAGCTTTTTTGTGATTTTATTTTTGCTGCAAAAGCTGTTGGGAGGGGGACAGAATATTAAATCAATAAATGGAAAAACTCTACCTTCCATTCTTCCACACATTTTCCATGCATCCCAATTGCCCCAAAGTACTACTGCTGCTTCTGCACTGTGATTGGTTGATTGATTTAGGACAGACCCCAGCCAGTCAAGCTGACAATGTCATGGCATAAGGGAAAGAGGAGGGAGCAAACTCCTTGCCCAGGCAACTAGGCTGACAAGCCTTGCCATGCTGAGTGGTATTTTCATTACCCGTGATAAAACGTGATATTCAATAATATTGCAAAGATAAATTTGTTACCTTCTTTAATATTGTGTCCACACATTTTCTCAAAGGGTGGTTGTATTTGAAGCTTTCGTTAACTTTGCGAACCTCCTGTTTAAGAGAGAGACCAGAAACACTTATTAAAAGTATAAGGTGCCTGCCTTGCACCTTATATGGATCACTGCCTTGCCGTTGCGAAGGGGCTTGAATAACTCAGAGAAGCTATGAGCTATGCCATGCAGGGTCACCCAAGATGGACAGGTCATAGTGGAGAGTTTTGACCAAACATGATCCACCTGGAGCAGGAACCGGCAAGCCACTCCAGTATCCCTGCCAAGAAAACTCCATGGACAAAGACAACAGGCATATAAAAGTTATGACGCTGGAAGATGAGCCCCTCAGGTCAGAAGGCGTCCAACATGCTACTGAGGAAGAGCGGAGGACAAGTACAAGTAGATTCAGAGCTGATGAAGCGGCTGGGCCAAAGCCGAAAGGATGCTCAGTTGCGGATATGCCTGGAAGCGAAAGGAAAGTCCAACGCTGTAAAGAAAAATATTGCATAGGAACCTGGAATGTAAGAACCATGAACCTGGGTAAGTTGGATGTGGTCAAAAGTGAGATGGCAAGAATAAATATTGACATCCTGGGTATCAGTGAACTAAAATGGACGGGAATGGGCGAATTCAGTTCGGATGACCATCACATCTACTACTGTGGGCAAGAATCCCGTAAAAGAAATGGAGTGGCCCTCATAGTCAACAAAAGAGTGTCAAAAGCTGTACTGGGATGCAATCTCAAAAATGATAGAATGATCTCGATACGAATCCAAGGCAGACCTTTTAACATCACAGTAATCCAAGTTTATGCACCAACTACTGGTGCTGAAGAAACTGAAATTGACCAATTCTATGATGACTTACAACACCTTATAGAAATGACACCAAAGAAGGATGTTCTTCTCATTATAGGGGATTGGAATGCTAAAGTAGGGAGTCAAGAGATAAAAGGAACAACTGGCAAGTTTGGCCTTGGAGTTCAAAACGAAGCAGGGCAAAGGCTAATAGAGTTCTGCCAAGATAACAAGCTGGTCATCACAAACACTCTTTTCCAACAACACAAGAGATGACTCTACACATGGACATCACCAGATGGGCAGCATCGAAATCAGACTGATTATATTCTCTGCAGCCAAAGATGGAGAAGCTCTATACAGTCAGCAAAAACAAGACCTGGAGCTGACTGTGGCTCAGATCATCAGCTTCTTATAGCAAAATTCAAGCTTAAACTGAAGAAAGTAGGAAAACCACTGGGCCGGTAAGATACAATCTAAGTCAAATCCCTTATGAATACACAGTGGAAGTGAGGAACAGGTTTAAGGATTTAGATTTGGTGGACAGAGTGCCTGAAGAACTATGGATGGAGGCTCGTAACATTATACAGGAGGCAGCAACTAAAACTATCCCAATGAAAAGGAAATGCAAGAAAGCAAAGTGGCTGTCCAATGAGGCCTTACAAATAGCGGGGGGAGAGAAGGCAAGCAAAATGCGAGGGAGATAGTGAAAGATACAGGAAATTAAATGCAGATTTCCAAAAAATAGCAAGGAGAGACAAGAAGGCCTTCTTAAACGAGCAATGCAAAGAAATAGAGGAAAACAATAGAATGGGAAGAACCAGAGATCTGTTCAAGAAAATTGGAGATATGAAAGGAACATTTCGTACGAACATGAAAGGAAGATTTCCATAATAAAAGACAAAAGTGGAAAGGACCTAACAGAAGCAGAAGACATCAAGAAGAGGTGGCAAGAATACACAGAGGAACTATACCAGAAAGAAATGGATGTCTCGTATAACCCAGGTAGTGTGGTTGCTGACCTTGAGCCAGACATCCTGGAGAGTGAAGTCAAATGGGCCTTAGAAAGCACTGCTAATAACAAGGCCAGTGGAAGTGATGGTATTCCAGCTGAACTATTTAAAATTTTAAAAGATGATGCTGTTAAAGTGCTACACTCAATATGCCAGCAAATTTGGAAAACTCAGCAGTGGCCAGAGGATTGGAGAAGATCAGTCTACATCCCAATCCCAAAGAAGGGAAGTGCCAAAGAATGCTCCAACTACCGCACAATTGCACTCATTTCACACGCTAGCAAGGTTATGCTTAAAATTCTACAAGGCAGGCTTAAGCAGTATGTGGACCAAGAACTCCCAGAAGTGCAAGCTGGATTTCGAAGGGGCAGAGGAACCAGAGACCAAATTGCAAACATGCGCTGGATTATGGAGAAAGCTAAAGAGTTCCAGAAAGACATCTACTTCTGCTTCATTGACTATGCAAAAGCCTTTGACTGTGTCGACCACAGCAAACTATGGCAAGTTCTTAAAGAAATGGGAGTGCCTGATCACCTCATCTGTCTCCTGAGAAATCTCTATGTGGGACAAGAAGCTACAGTTAGAACTGGATATGGAACAACTGATTGGTTCAAAATTGGGAAAGGAGTATGGCAAGGCTGTATATTGTCTCCCTGCTTACTTATAACTTATATGCAGAATTCATCATGCGAAAGGCTGGGCTGGATGAATCCCAAGCCGGAATTAAGATCGCCGGAAGAAATATCAACAACCTCAGATATGCAGATGACACAACCTTGATGGCAGAAAGTGAGGAGGAATTAAAGAACCTTTTAATGAGGGTGAAAGAGGAGAGCGCAAAATATGGTCTGAAGCTCAACATCAAAAAACCGAAGATCATGGCCACTGGGCCCATCACCTCCTGGCAAATAGAAGGGGAAGAAATGGAGGCAGTGAGAGATTTTACTTTCTTGGGCTCCATGATCACTGCAGATGGTGACAGCAGTCACGAAATTAAAAGACGCCTGCTCCTTGGGAGAAAGGCGATGGCAAACCTAGACAACATCTTAAAAGCAGAGACATCACCTTGCCAACAAAGGTCCGTATAGTAAAAGCCATGGTTTTCCCAGTAGTGATGTATGGAAGTGAGAGCTGGACCATAAAGAAGGCTGATCGCCGAAGAATTGATGCTTTTGAACTGTGGTGCTGGAGGAGACTCTTGAGAGTCCCATGGACTGCAAGAAGATCAAACGTATCCATTCTTAAGGAAATCAGCCCTGAGTGCTCACTGGAAGGACAGATCGTGAAGCTGAGGCTCCAATACTTTGGCCACCTCATGAGAAGAGAAGACTCCTGGAAAAGACCCTGATGTTGGGAAAGATTGAGGGCACAAGAAGAAGGGGACGACAGAGGACAAGATGGTTAGACAGCGTTCTCGAAGCTACAAACATGAGTCTGACCAAACTGCGGGAGGCAGTGGAAGATAGGAGTGCCTGGCGTGCTCTGGTCCATGGAGTCACGAAGAGTCGGACACGACTAAACGACTAAACAACAACAACAAGGTGTAGTTGAGTCCCCGCCCCCACTTTCAATTCATGTGCAATTCAGCAAGATGCAATGCTGCTAAAGTTAAGAATATTTTTGAAAATAAGATTGCAGTAGGACTTCTATCAAACTGCCAGCAATGCATTCTTATTTATGACTTCATTTCATCCTGGCGGCAAAAAGTGGTGGAAGAAATGGTGGAGAAGATGGGCAGGGGGAGATGGGGGAAGACACAACTTGGCTGCTTTTGGCTTATGAAACAAACTGGAATATCAAACCATCGGGGAGCAGGGAATTCCCCTTGCATAAGCAAAGCATAGGATATAATTTCAGATATTTTGTGACTTTTTTGCTTTAATGTACCGTAATTTCCAAAGCAAATGAGGGTCTTATCTACCATCCACACTTAGGTTGCAGAATTAACTTGCCTCCATTATATCCTCCAAGTTTTCTTCTGCGTCAGCCTTCTCAGTCATCAGTTTAGCAGCCTTGAAATAAGTCTTCATAAGAAGGTAACCTTTCTTTGCTCCGTTCCAGTGAGAGCGTGGAATTTCAACCAGGCCATACCCTAACAGCAGCACCAAAAGGAAAAGGCCCCAGGTGTTGGCAGCAGCTATTCCAATTGTCTGAAGTTGACTCCTAACATAGAAATAATTACTAATGATCTTTATACAAACAAAGCTCACTCATATATTTAAAAATAGAAATTCACTCTCTCTTAAATTATTTTTAATTTAGATAAACATTTCTTTTGCAGATGACCCTCATTATGTGTGAAGCATTAAATCAGGGATGGGGACCCTTTTGCCCACTAGGCCTGCCATCATTGTTGATCTGTGAGGCAGTTTCCCACCAGCTGTGTCCACCTGCTCCACACTATAATAATAATAATAATAATAATAATAATAATAATAATAATACCCCAACCATGTCATATGTACGGCCGCGGACTTAGAGGAACAATTAGGAGGCTTATAATGTGTTTCTGAGTGTTCTTTTGTGTCTGGCTTGCATTTGCCACCCTTTGAATTTGGCAATGCAAGCCCTGCTTGGATTGGTTCTACTTGCAAACATGATTGGAGCTTTTGAGTGGAGTCAATCCCTGCTGAAAACAGAGCATGCTGTCAGCACTGAAATGAAATTTCAGGGGCAAGGGGAGTGACAAAAGTTTGGCAATGCCCAAATTAGCTTTTGGTTCCCAGTCTGACAATTTGTTTTAAAATCCAAGTTATGAAAATACTAAATGTATTTCACTACATGTGACACAAAATATGTCCTCTAAACCCCATAACACAGATTTAAATCAACTGTGTACTAAAATAAAATCCTCAATATATAAAGATCTGAAGTATAAAAGTGTATGGCAAACCTTACCATTGCAGGTTGAATTTTGGATTTATAGCCACATATATTAAGAATGCTCCAAATATCAGAAGGTATGTCCCATAGTAGATTGCATTTTCAATTAGTGCTGTTTTAATCTTTCCAGTAATGGAAAAGCCTCCTGACCTAGCATATGACTGCATAAAGGGTAACAGAATCCTAGAAACAAACAACAAAATTAATGAACAAAACCATTTCATCTTACCTATCCACTATTCATTTGTTAGCATAACATGCTTGAAACAAAACATAACTGTAGGCCTTGGAAAAACAGTGGCTATAACTTCTGAAATCTGATGGACTACATCTCCCATCTGCCCCAGCCAGCATGGTCAGGGATGTTGAGAGCTGTAGTCCAGCAACATCTGCAGGGCACTACATTGGCTAACCCTGGATTAAAGTAACCAAAAGTTCTACATTGAATGGTCAGCCACCTAGTACTACATATTAAACAATACTAAACAAAATGTTGTTCCTTTGAATGTATTCATTTGAGCTGTTTCAAATATTCCAGAAGTTTCTCCAGTTCCTTACCATGTTAAGAACTGTGATGTCCAGTATACCACCCGCCAAAATATTGGCATAATTCCATCAGGAATATAACTCCATGGTTTGAAACATTCATGTTTTCTGTAAAGAAAGAAGGGCAGATTTACGTATAACAAAGAAGAAAGCATTGTTTTTTTCCTCCTAAAGTCATGTTTAGTTGTTTCAAAAAAAGATTATGTTATTGCAAAGTAACATTAATTATTTTGTTCAGAAAATCACAAATTAGTCAGAAACGGAACACTGTGATATTCAGAAATCCATGCTGCTTTGTTTTTTAAAAAAACCCAGAAACAACAATCATAGAAGCCTTTAAAAAAAGGCCGAAGTAATTCACATAATGGGCACTATTTAAGAGTCGTGAAAGCAATACATGCAAATTAAATTGATTTCTCTGAGTCAAGCTGAAGCTTAGAATAACACCTCGGCTATAATTATTCCATCATCACACATGAATGCAAATTTCCACCCTTCTCAATATGGGTTATACATCATAACTTTTGGATTACTCAGACTTTACAATGATTCTTTAACTTCAATCTTCTTCCTGAAATGCATGCCTATGATGTTTCATACAGCAGAGGAGGAATCAGAGAAGAAACTTGGTTCACAGTGATCCAGTGCCTACTCTGGCTTCCCACAGGTTTGCAGGTAATCTTACTGGCCAACTAAACCTACAAGCAACTGATGTCAATGATGTGCCAAAGGCTTTGCAGGCTATAAAGATTGCCTTCCCCCCACTATATATCCCATCACAATAATTAAGAGTGGTGTTTTGCCACCTAGATCTCTTAGGTGCAGAGCATTTTCAGCAGCTACTCCACAAACTACAAACTGACTCTTCCTAGAGGGACACCAAGATAATCTTAGGCATTTGTGAAACCTTTCCACTTTAAGATGTGGTAGTTAGGAAATAAGCCAGGGGAAGAGGGAAGGGATACTCTGACTAAACGTTCCCCCCCATCCAAATTTTCCAGTTAGAGCAGTACTTGAAATAATACAACTTCTAAAACACAACCAGATTTTAAAATGCATAGAAACCTTTTAAAATGAGAGGTTTACCCTTTTCTCATTTGTATACTGGTGAGTGCCCATGCCACACAGAAACTGAACTTTAGAAAAGAGTAGATCTTTTACTTGTTTCATAAAGTAACTAAGGCATTTTCTAGTCACAGAAAAGAAGTAGTTTAAGATTGCTGTGCATAAGAACATAAGTACCTTGGAGCAGGAGTAGTGTATGAAACATTACTGGTGGTACTTTCAGGTGGACTAGAATTCAGATTAACCTTGCATCGATTGTATATAGTCTAGAGGACAACAACAACAAAAAAAGAGTCAGCCATTAGAGAAAAGTGAAATGATATTTCTGGGTGGGGGGAAGGGTTATAAAGAAGTCTGCTAATTTAGTTGCATATTTAAATCTAATACAGGCAACTCCCCATTTATGCATGCTCTATTTGCACGTGACCATGCACACATGCAGGATCGGGATCCCAGAAACATCTTGGAGAGGAGTCCTAGCTCGTAAGGAGACTTTTCCCAGAGGAGATCCTCTTCAGGCTATGGGGAGGGTCTCCTCGCGAGAAGGCTTCCCCACCTAACTGCTGACATGTGTGGTAGCGCAGCAGCAGTCGCTTCCCCACCCATCAACTGTGTGAGAGCCACAATGTCCGTCCGCTCACACGCAAGAGCCAGGGGGACAGAGTGGCTCTCACACAGCTGATGGGTGGGCAAGGTTCTTCCCCACTCATCAGCTGAGCTGATACAGGCAACTCCCCATTTTACGAGACTTCTCATATGCGCATGGGGGTTCGGAATGTAACCTCCATGTAACTGGGGAGTGACCTGTACTCATTTTCACTATAAGGTCAAATAAATTAGCTTTACTTATAATGCACCATTTCCAGGTATTTTTTTTTTACAGCCATGTATTAGCATAGAACAGGCATAGGCAAACTCGGCCCTCCTGATGTTTTGAGACTACAATTCCCATCATCCCTGACCACTGGTCCTGTTAGCTAGGGATGATGGGAGTTGAAGTCCCAAAACATATGGAGGGCCGAGTTTGCCTATGCCTGGCATAGAAGGAATCCACTGATCAGAGCAGCAGAGCATGGGTCTGCATGTCCAGACCTGGTCCTGTTTACTGTGGATCATAACCATCAGCAGTCATGCTCATGCTGGGGAAGCTTCCTACATGCAAGCAACTTCGTCAGAATGGGGAGGGCACTGCTGGAGAGCTTCAAAGAGGTAGGGCTGGGAAAAGCTGGTGAATTGTGCCTCATTTTAACCACTGTAACTTTTGTAGCATAACAGCTACAAAAGGGCTGGGGGGCTGTAAACACCAACGATCAAAATGGAGCCAAGCTGAAATTTCATTTTAGACAGAGCAATGGCATACAGTGGATGTCCAAATCCTCACTCACTCTTTATTTTTAATTGTTTCCAATATTGCCTGCTGACAAAGGATTATTTTGAAAATCAAAGCTTTTATGCAATTTGATACAACTTTTTAGAAGTATCAGTACTGCCCACTTAATAAAAGAAAATCTGCCACTCCTACCTAGAACACTTTATGCATAATAATCAACTTTCATACAAAGTGGGGAAATAAAATGAAATTCCTTACCGTTGTGACATCCAAAGGCAATATAAATACTATGAGAAAACAGAGGTGCCAAGCAAGTAGGGTAGCTACAATCACAAGCTTGTGCTGTTTTTTGAAGTCTCCATACCGATGTAGTATGATTAATGCCAGAAAGAAGACAACTACTATCTCAATGCCCAAAGCTGCACCACTCATTATTGTCTGCTGACTCCAACCAGGTCGTATAGCTCATCTATAATAATGTCATAGCTAAAATAAAAACAAACAATGTTTAATTAAGTTCTCTGGTCGATGATTTGCAATAAACATCCTGGCTGCATTCAGATCACAACTTGGATTAATAGGTATGAATGAACCATATGGCCATGCATGCAGTCACTTTGCTACTCCCTTCACACAAACAAACATGGAAGTCTCCCGTTACCTATAAGTTCCCTGTTTTATCAGAACCAGAAAATGATGATTAACAGCTTTAGATATTAAGTCGACTGCAAACCATGGCTTAATGTCCTTGCTTGTTCTGTACCAGTTAATCATCACTGTGTGCACCCACCACAAAATACAGGTCTACTTTGAATCCTAGCTATTTCAGATGAAATGCTAAGGAAATGAAGAGCAGATGGCCATAAATACATCAAAGTACCCCAAAACCCTTTGCAGTCAGTTGATTTCATTGTTTGCCTAGTATTTAGTTTTGGAACACAATCCAAAGTGCTTTTTTTAAGGCTTAACTCATAGCTCTTGCCAATTTGACTTTGGGATGTGTATGATTGTGCTCTTAATCTGCATCTTGGCTGTTAATTCTCTCCCACGCGGCTTTACAGCACTTTAATTTGATTTCAAGTCATCTTACATTATGATGAAACAGTAACAATGCCTTCAGAATGGCATTAATAGCCTTTAAGTGCAATTTAAGTCTCTAAAAACACTCACCCTGGCTATGGAAGTATGTTTGAAAATAAGCAGCATCACTAGAAGTCCCCTTCTATACATGTTTATTCTATTTGGCTTGGGGTACCTTGCAATTCCCTGTCAGCTGAAGGAGTGGCCAATTTAAATGATAGAAAGGCAGAACAGATGGAACATGCACTCTCTCCCAGTTTCTTACTCAAACCCACTTATTTTTAAGCTGTTCTTCTTCCAGCAAGGCTACTTCCTGTTTCAGAGCCTAGCTAGAGGGAAAAAGGCTTTCTAAAAAGCAAGAGGGGTGTATAGGTTAAGCAAGGGTTCAGATTCCCGGCATGGTGTGCTCCAATCATCCCTCACCGCTTTATCTGGATTGTGGAAATAGACTTTATTCTATGTTCAGCATGTTGCCATCATATCCAGGTTGGGCCTCAAGAATGCTGTATAAACCTGATTGGCTAACCTGTGGCCATCCAGATGTTGTTGAATACCAGCTCTCATCAGCTTCAGCCAACATGGCCAACAACCAGAGATAACAGCCCAACAACATCTGACAGGTCACAGGTTAGTCATCCCTACTCTGAACTTCAACATTGCAGACATACACGAGAGTGGAAAGAGTGGGAAATAGTTCAACTAAAGTGTAATGCAGGTTGAAGGCAGTACTGGAAGTTACAAAGAAAGCAATTCTGGACAATTTCCATAATTAAAACATGGTGTTCAAACATTTTCCAAACAGCTTCAGACCAGGATACCTAAAGAACTGCTTCCCACCATAGTAGCATGTTTACTCTCTGAGATTGTCTGAAGAGGCCCTATCACATATCCTGTTAATATCTGAGGCTCATTTGACAAGAATGTGTAGTAAGGCTTTCCCTGTTGCTGTGCTCAGGTATCAGAATGCCTCAGGAGATCCATTTGCCTCCCTTCCCAGTGATGGTCTGATCAAGACAGAAAACCTTTGGTCTTTTAAGATGCTTCGATTTCTGTTCCTAACTTTTTTCCTGTTGTTATTTGCTTTAGATTTGCAGTGGGTTTTCTGTTTCTTTTTAATGTTTACATTTTACTGAATTTTTCAACAGCCCAAAGTTGCTTCCACCTGTCAAAGCTTATTAAGTCATTATGCAATGACTGCAAATTGCAGTTATATAAACAAGGCATACTTGGGTGTACAAAGGCAGAATTTACATGAAATATTAAAGTCTGGTAACATATTTTTACTCTACCATTTTTACAGAACAACGAAAAGGTGATGCAAAAATGCTAAAAATATATTAACAGCCTTCACAATGGGATGTGTTCAGTGAAGGTTAAGTGATTGAAAACTTTCTGAATTGTAGGGTGAAGATTTCAACACTCCTTACCTGTATATAGGCTTTCCATGCTTGTGAAAAGGGAGTATCATAAACACACATGAAAAAATTGCTAAAATTAGACCTATTCCCATTCTTTTATTTCTGTTCTGTATTTAACAACTAGCCTGCCAAGCTATAGGCAACCACGAATTCCATAGAAGTGAGTGAGCAGCTGTTTGGCAGAGGAAAAGACAGATTGCTTCATCCTCCTTCTGCCAGCAGGCCAGACAGAAGGCAATTTTGTTTACTAGCTTGCATTTACTGCCTGGGGAGAAGGGGATTCTGCTCCTCCAGTAAGAAAAGGCAGGCAACTAGCCTCTTGGTCGACTAGGGAAAAGGAGCAAGCTAGTAAACTTTGGCAGCTTTATTTATCAGGCTGTTTTAGTCCCCTCTGGACTTCCAATATGAAACGTTTAAACTGAAACATCAAATTCCATGAGACCAAGGCAGCAATCCAAAGGGGCATATTTATCCACTTTTCATATGCATGTCCAATTTTCTGCCTTCACACAAGTTTGCCTTTCAGAAGATGCTCCTTAAGTTTCGCTGATCTGGGGAAAGGACTTTTCAAAGGGAGCATTTCCCTTCTTCTTTGTGCCAGAACCTCTCCTTTAAAAACTCACTAATGTTTAGGTTAGCTTTTCTCCGACGTACACGGACGGAGCTTTTACATGGGAAGAACTACGGGAAAAATAATATGACCCACTTCCCCTAGTGCCTGAAGTGGTAAAGTTAGAATTTGACCTAATGTTTTGTAGGACAATTTTCTATGCTTGGCCTAGGCAAGCTACAGAACAAGGTAGTGGACTGTGTGGCAGCAGAATAAGCTGTGCTGTTTCGGAGTACTGATAGAGGGAATGCCATTTTTAAGAGATCCATCATGCTATTATGTATCCCCCTACAACTAAAAAGTTAAAAGCACCATAGATAAAAGTTCAAGCTTACCCTGCATACCTGCTCCACTAGTTTTCTACTTGTGGGAAGCTGGTGCCGAACATTTTGCTCTGATTTCATTTGAGCCACATCAGTGAGGCTGATCAGTGGGGTCTTGTCTTCTGGGCAGCCCAGGACCTCCATACATATCGGGGGGTATTATCGGGTTATTGTTCTTATTTTGATTTTATATATTGTGATCTTTTCTGTGAACCGCCCTGAAACCTCTGAGTATAGGGTGGTACATAAATTCAATAAATTCAATAAATAAAAATAAAATAATGCCGCTGTTTGACTTCATCCCTGGAAAAGCACTCCATTGTCTCTCAAGACAGATGGATGTCAACAATATATTATTACTATTACTAGTATTAATCACTCTAAGTCCACAGGGTGGTTTGCAACATAAAGGGGGGGGGCATTCAGAAATTCAGCAGCCAAGGGCACAACCCATTTTGCTGCAGAGTGGCTGGTGTGTCCTCATTTTTACCTATTAGAACTGTTCTCTCTGTTGCAAAGGCTGTCAGGAGACAATACATACCAGACGTTCGCTACCAGAATTTAGAGTGGCCATACCCCCTGTATTAATTATTATTATTATTATTATTATTAATTTAGATTTACGTACCACCAGTCAATCCGAAGATCACAGGGCGGTTTACAAGAGTACAAATTGAAGACACAAAATACACAACAACAACAAGAAGAAGAACAACAACGCCCCCTCCCCTAAGCACAGCTCATCTACAGTATTTTTTACACCTGACTCTCTCTTTCTGGCCCACATTCACAGGACCACGAAGACGAGGCAGCGAAGCGGTGCCCCGAAGCCCACAGGGAGAAAGCAGGCTGAGCGGGTCGCAGCCTCCGCCGCTATGATAGATGGGGCGCATCAGGGACCCGCTTAAGACTCGTGGCATCTGTTTCCCAAATTTGGGGAGAAACGTCTCTTCCCACCTCGGGAACTTACTCAGCGCTGACGGGGCGAGGCCTCTCCCGGCTCCATCGTCCGCCGCTCGCCTCTCAGCCGAGCCACTTGCTCCGGCTCCGGCCTCCGCCAGGTTACCGCGCGACGAAGCGGCCCCGTCTCCCGAGTCGGCTTCCCCTCACAGCAGGCTCCCGCGTCTTTCGGCGGACTCTCCTCAGGCACCAGGCCCGGCTCTCGTCAGCGGAGCAGTAAAGCCGGCTGCCGGCAGAGCCACGGCCGCGCCTGACATTTCCTGTTTCGCCCAATCGCTCGCCGCCGCCTTCTCGTCACGACTCGGACTCAAGCCCGTGAGGAAGTATGGGTAAACGGGAGAGAGAGAGAGCGAGAGAAAAAAATCAACCCACACAAATATACTTGGAAAAAAATAAAAACCCTTTCACAGCACGGGACTACAACACCCAGGAGCCATTGCGGGAGCTCCCCTGCTGTGCGCATGCGCAAGGAGTCTTACGCCCGTTCGGTTATGTAATAGGACTACAATGCCCAGGAGCCATCGCGAAAGCTGTTATTGTTGAAGCCGTACCTATTTGTATTTGTTTTACTACGGCTGCAGCAGCCCTAAGCACGCTTACTTGATTGTAAGCCCCATCTGAAGTGAACGTGGCTTACTTGTAAGGTGTGCACAGGGTGGCCATATGTCATAGATGCTTGAGTTGACATTCCAGCATTGCAGGGGGTTGGACTAGATGACCCTTGGGATGCCTTCCAACTTTACAGATCTAGGCTTGCACTGTGAGGCTGCAATCCTATGCGCATTTAACCTGGCAGGAAGCCTTGCGTGACATGCATGGGAGACTATTGCTTGCTTTCAAGCTGAATGCCAAAAGTGCATCTTCAGCAAAAGCTAAAGATCTGTGTGGCAAGAGCATGTTGTTGTTGTTTAGTCGTTTAGTCGTGTCCGACTCTTCGTGACCCCCTGGACCAGAGCACGCCAGGCACTCCTGTCTTCCACTGCCTCCCGCAGTTTGGTCAAACTCATGCAGGTAGCTTCGAGAACACTGTCCAACCATCTCGTCCTCTGTCGTCCCCTTCTCCTTGTGCCTCCATCTTCCCAACAGCAGGGTCTTTTCCAGGAGTCTTCTCATGAGGTGGCCAAAGTACTGGAGCCTCAGCTTCACGATCTGCCCTTCCAGTGAGCACTCAGGGCTGATTTCCTTCAGAATGGAGAGGTTTGATCTTCTTGCAGTCCATGGGACCCTCAAGAGTCTCCTCCAGCACCATAATTCAAAAGCATCAATTCTTCGTGGCAAGAGCATATTTATATTTATATTCAAAAAAAACCATGTCTTATTGTTGCTGGGGAGCAGGGACGCATATGGCAGCCCATTGGTTTTGTTTGTTTAACGTTTTAACAGATAGCAAAGCAGAATGCGTTTCAAAGCGCTTTCCACCGCAAGGTACTACAACTCCCAGAAATCATTGCGGCAGCCGGGAGAACGTTGGCCCGGGCGGGTCGAGCGCGCGAGCTTCTGTTGCTGAGATTTCCGGAGCTGCGGGGACCTGGGCTTTGCTGCGATCGGTGTTGCAACCGGCACTGCAGCGCAAGGCGCGGGAGCCAGGAAAGTGGAGGGATCGGGGATCCCAGCTCTCGGTGCATCATCGCGTCCGAGCGCCATGCACAGGTAAAGGGCGGCTAGGTAGGGGAGCGGATGCAGAGAAATATCAAGGGCGAGCGGATCCCGCCGAAAGCTTAAGGCAGCTTGCGCGCGCTTTTGCCTTTCCTTCCTCCGCTAGGTTCTTCCAGTTAAAGGCTGCAGCCGTCCACACACAGGGTAGAGTAGTCCAGCTGCAAAGTGTAAGCCTGTATGCATAGGATCGGGCTGCAATTCATTTGCAATTCATTTGCGGATTGCACCATCCCGCCCACAATCTGCTATTTCTGTAAACGCGTTAGTTTCTCTACATTGATAGCATCCATAAACATCCCTGTTTAAAGTCCTGTCATTCTCTGCAGTCTGCAAGTGCACAAAAGCTGTCACACTTCAGAGCTGTTGCATTGCCACTGAGTGCCAAAGCTTGGTCAGGTTTTTAAAAAACAACAATAAATATTTTTTCTGTACCTAAAGCTTAATGGTTGTGAGGCTGCTCTGTGTGCTTTCTGGTGTGTAAGAAAAGGGGCGACCCTTTTCTTACACACCAGTGGAAAATGTGCATGTGGGAATCTGCTCAGCAAAATTTTTTTAATTAGGAACAGATTGTGGGGGACCCTCTAAACCCTAGAAATTAATAAATTTATTAATAAAATTAATAAATTTTGATGGTTTGGGATGTGAAGGGAGAAATCTAAACTGCAAAGGAATACCTAAGCTAACTCATGCAAAACAACTTGGCCAAGCTAGGGCCATTAAGAAACAATACAAGGCTATTGAGAGCCATTGGCAGTGCAAGAGAACTGCCCTCCCCCCTGCCCTGAGTTGTGAAGGGGGGATTGAAAGGTTGCCAGGGTTACTGTGTGTTTGAGGTGACAGGGAAAAGGGAGCAAGTGGTTCTGGGAAGAAGGCTGGGATCCATGTTGGGCAGGCTGGCTGCAGGCTGGCTTGGAGAGATGCCTTGGCTTGGTCTCCAGGGCTGCACTGCTGTGGGGTACAAGCCTCTCTTGAAATGACCATGCTGTAAGATCTGGACTCCCTCCATGCACACTGAAGGTATAAATAGGTGAATAAACCATATTTCTTAAAGCTACAACAGTCTCTGCTGTGTCTCAATTCTCCAAAGGACCACGAACCCTGGGTGCGTGTCTGGAACCCCGTGGGCTCTTGCCACCGCGAGGCACCCGACTTTTGTAACAATACAAAAATACTTTGTGTGTGTGTCATAGGCCTCAGAACACCTGTCTAAGGTGCCTGTGCAGTAGCTATATGCACAAACCCTTGATTCCATTTCTTCAGGGACTACATGTTATGGGGATCATGCATACATGTATGTTGGTGTGTGCTGTCATATGTTACCTCCTGTGTGAAATGAAATGGATGTTCTCATGCACTAAGGCCTACTGCACATTTGCATGGGATCCTATTTTATACTGAGTCATCCCTTTTAGCCTCTCCTGCATGTGTAGGCAAACTAAGGCCCGGGGGCCAGATCCAGCCCAATCGCCTTCTAAATCCGGCCCTTGGACAGTCCGGGAATCAGCGTGTTCTTACATGAGCAGAATGTGTGCTTTTATTTAAAATGCATCTCTGGGTTATTTGTGGGGCATAGGAATTCATTATTTTTTTCATAATATAGTCCGGCCCTCCACAAGGTCTGAGGGACAGTGGACCGGCCCCCTACTGAAAAAGTTTGCTGACCCCTGCTCAGCTGCAACAGGCAGCAATTCTCCAAAGTTCTCAAACACAAGCTTTTCTCAGTCCTGTGTCCTGAAGTCCCCTTAGCTGGAGATGCCAGGGTTTGAACTCAGAAACATCCAGGGTTAAAGACCATATTGCACCACTAACACATCCCTCCCTCATCCATCTATGAGTTCTGTCCAGCAACTCAGTCAATGCAAGGGCTGTCCTTGAGACATGTGAAACAAGTCATCAAAAGGCAAAAAGGGTGATTCCCTCCTATTCAAAGCAAGTCCAACTATTGACTTGCTAGCTGAATGCCATATTGTGCAGTATTCAATGGGTTTGTTTTTGGGTGTGTTTTTGGTGAGCAGGCAGCCTAACAGTTTTTCAGGCTGTCTAGGACATGTGTAAACGACCTGTCTAGTTTCATACAGTTCTAAAAAATGGATCCCTATTATCTGCTCCCACCACCATCTCGGCCAGTCCCTCTGGTACACCCAGTTTGCACAAGCAGTAAAGTCCTCATTGCCATATTTTGAAGAGCAAAAAAGAGGATGCTATGATGACTCATTTAAATACCCCTACTATATGTAGGCTATAGAAGCTGTGATATATTGTTGAGGGGGGCAGGAGAAGAGAAGAGGAAAGCAAGTCTTTAGTCATCAGTTATGTCTGTGTCTCATGCCGAAAGAGAAGACATATCCTAGAAAATTACGATTAATTTGACCACCATGGCTGGAATATTTGACCACCATGGCTGGAATGTGTGACCACTAGCCTCCAGGAGAAGACCACATTTCCCTTTCATGCAATTTTAGAAAACTATAATTTCAGAGGCTATCTCTATAGTTCCTTTTTCTGCCTGTGTTGACATGTCTGCTGAATTGCAACCATGGCTTGATACTAAGAGTGTGTCAATCTGTGTCTGGGCCTTTTTATTTCTTGCAGGAGACATCTCCAGGAAATTCCAGATTCAGGCAGCAACGTCAGCACTGGTTTCACATGGGGATGGGATCCCAGCAAGACTTCGGAGCTGCTCTCGGGCATGGGAGTGTCTGTTCTTAAGGATAAGCTAGGCAACGAGAACACCCCCCAGGAACTGCTCATGTGCGTGGGACCACCCGCAAAACGGCAGAAAGTGAAGGAAAAGGAATTTACTATTGCCCGCAGACCTAGGCTGCTTCGAGAGGCAGGAGCAGGTAAAATGCGATAACAACAATACATATTCAAGATATAGCTAATTGGTAATGTTAAAGATTAAATGGATGCAAACCTTGCTAAATAAATAAAAGAAGTTGTTCTTTATTTTGTTAATTGCAATACATCTAATGTCTTAATTATTTAATTATTAAGTATGTGTTTTTATTATTTTTAAAGGAAGATTTTATATTATTTTATGTCAACTGCTTTTGATTAAGCAGCATATAAATCTTGTTAAATAAATACATTTACAGAGCCCTTGGATGTGTGTGTGTGTGTGTGTGTGTGTGTGTGCGTGTGTGTGTATAAATAGGCTAAGGAGTATAGGAGAACTTCACAGTTTGTGTGTTTTAACAGTATGAAATGTCTTTATTTTAAAGCTTTTAGCCTTAATAACAGTGTCCCCATTTACATTTTATGTATGGTATCTGTTTTCCCAAACTTCTGCACACAGGAGTCTCTTGGGATTCATTGCCTGATGAACTGCTTCTGGGAATTTTCTCCTATCTGTCCTTGACTGATCTGCTGAAAGTTCCACAGGTTTGCCGGAGGTGGCATCGCCTTTCGTAAGTGCTGGCTGAATACTTAACTCGTATTATTTATTTTTGAATTTATGCCCCAACTTTCTAATAATAATAATAATAATAATAATACACAAGTCAGTAGAGAGCAACTGACTGGGATTGCTGCTAGCCAGTAGGGAATGCTTGCAGGGGCTGAGACCCAAGAATATCTGTTGGACCGCAAGTTCCCCATCTCTGCTTTAGTGCATGAAAGAGGGCGTGCTCAGTATGCAAACAAAAACTCTAGAACTCAACCAGAATGCGAGAGCAGTGATCTACTTCCATCAGAAGTTTTAAGCAGTGAAGAGGAAGCCAGAGCTTTGCTATCGGAATTAGGCTGCAATCCTTAAACTAGGGAGTGAACCCCAATAGACACAACGAGGCTCAACTTCTGAGTAAATATGAAGAGGATGCTGTTTCAAGAGCTTGCTAATGGCAACACCTGCCGAAGCTTCCAGTTTGTTTTCTAACCACCCCACAATTTTCCTCCTTTAGGATTGACGAGTCACTCTGGCAGACTCTTGACCTCGCAGGAAAGAATCTGCGGCCAGGTGTGATTGGCCATCTGCTGCCATTGGGTATAACTGCCTTCCGTTGTCCAAGGTCCTGTGTTGGCAACCCTTTGTTCAAAACAAGCAGGTAATGCTGTTCCAAATCCTCCTTTTTTCCCATTTTCTTGCCTTGTATTCAGGCCTGTGCTACCTACTCTCTTGCAAAATCATCATCATCATCATCATCATCTTTTATTTATACCCCGCCCTCCCCAGCCAAGACCGGGCTCAGGGCAGCTAACACCAAATATAAAACAATTGATTGAAATACAACTTAAAAAACAAGATTAAAATACAACATTAAAATGCAGCCTCATTTCAGCAGAAACTCAAAAACTTTTTTGGGGATGAAAACGTCAAGTCTTCACCAAGGCTAACTATCCAGACTGGTCCTACGTGGGCCAGAAAAAAGCCAGGGAAGTCCCCAAGTAGGAGTTCCGTCACAGAAGGAAAAAGGAAAAAAGAAAGAGGGGGAGGGGATCAAGTTAATTCCAAGCCAAAAGCCAGGCAGAACAACTCTGTCTTACAGGCCCTGCGGAAAGAAATCAGATCCTGCAGGGCCCTGGTCTCATGAGACAGAGCGTTCCACCAGGCCAGGGCCAGTGTTGAAAAGGCCCTGGCTCTGGTTGAGGCTAATCTGACTTACTTAGGGCCCAGGACCACTAGGGTGTTGCTATTTATGGACCTTAAGGTCCTCCGTGGGGCATACTGGGAGAGGTGGTCCCGAAGGTACAAGGGTCCTAGGCTATAACAGCATAAAACCATAATAGTAGTTATATTCCACTACACCGGGATCCTTAAGAGAGCTTGTCTACATTTTGACACTGAGAACCAGTGTAGCATTTTGTGTTGGATGTGACATTGTAGCATTTTGTGTTGGATGAGATAGTGACTGGCCCAAGGTCACCAGGGAGCTTCATGGACTGTTTGAATCTCCCTGGCCTTTGTCCCAAACTCTGACTACTGCACTACATTAATTGATGTTTCTAGATTAATGGTATTTCAATATTAATATGCATTAGCTTGTTGGGTAGCTCATTTTGAATCTTTTCATTGTGGACCCCACATTGCTTTATGCAGCAAAATGAGCTAGTGAAGGCTTGAGATCTACCGAGAAGAATACACCACTTCAGATTGCAAAGAGTGTGTGTGTGTGTGTGTGTGTGTGTGTGTGTGTGTGTTCTTTTTTGATTATATTTTAAAATTGCATTCTAAAACTCATTTTGCTCTTCCCCATCTCCCTGCTCCTCCCTTTCTTTTGTAGACCTCTTCGGGTACAGCATCTAGACCTGTCGAATTGTACAATAAAAGTTGGAGATCTCCAAAGTATTCTGTGCAGGTGCCAGGAGCTACAGAACCTCAGCTTAGAAGGCCTTGAGCTTTCTGACAATATAATTAAGTGAGTGGGCAAAAAACCAATCTTTTAACCTTTTTGCACAAGTAGACCTTACCAAATAAATCTGTTCTCTTGGGATTGCTGCATTTTAGGCACACAAGAGTTAACAGATGAAAGCCCCAAAAGCCCAGGAAGCATACAAGAATGTAGACCAAAAAGAAGAAGAAATGTATTTCAAAGATGCTAAAACAATGGAATAGTTTATTGTTGAATGTACCCAACACATTTTGGCAATAATGGCTTATTGTCTCACTTGTGTACAGACTGATCCCAAAATCTGTGTTTCAAAAAATCTTGCAGGGCCAAAACCTTTCAAATTTTTGAAAAACAGGCTAAGCCAAGCTTGGGAAATTGTAGTTAGCTTAAACTATGGTTTGTTTAGGAGTTAGGATCAGAAACCATAGTTTAACCAAGAGTTCCTTTGAGGACATTCCCATCTCTTCCTCAGTAATGGAGGAGAGTGGAGAGCATGAGAGCTCAAAGCTCATAGTTCATTACTATAGCACTAAACTGCCTTATGTAGAAATCAACCAGTGTTTGCCTATATCACAGGTGGGCAACTGTTTCTCTGTTGAGCACTACATTCACTTAGGGATACTCTTTAGAAGGGGAGAAGTCAGAGCCAGAAGTGAATGGGGCAACCCTGTCTTTTCACCTGCTCCTTCCTCTGTACCCAGCAAGCTGCCAGGCCAGAGAAAGATCACACTCACAGATCTGAACTGCCAGCTTGCAGAGGGCTTTGGAAACATTCTGGCTTCAGAACATTGTAAAAAAGGTAAAGGGACCCCTGACCAGTCCAGTCGTGGCCGACTCTGGGGTTGCGGCACTCATCCCGCTTTATTGGCCAAGGGAGCCGGCCTACAGCTTCCAGGTCATGTGGCCAGCATGACTAAGCCGCTTCTGGCGAACCAGAGCAGCGCACGGAAACACGGTTTACCTTCCCGCCAGAGCGGTACACCTATTTATCTACTTGCACTTTAACGTACTTTTGAACTGCTAGGTTGGCAGGAGCAGGGACCGAGCAACGGGAGCTCACGATTCGAACCACCAACCTTCTGATCAGAACATTGTAGTTAATGCTTTAAAATGTTTCCATGTGAAGGAGTGCAGTGTGGACATTGGAAGGTATATCATCAGCCTCTTGCAGTTTTCCCTACTGCTCCCGCAGGTGCTGGTGTGGAGACTGGCTTTGTGCATAGGCAGTTTAATGTCTTATTTCTTCTCACCTTTCAGAAATATAGCACACAACCCCTGTTTGGTGCGATTAAACCTGTCTGGATGCTCTGGGTTCTCTGCAGAAGCGTTGGAGACAATGCTGGACAGTTGCCCCAGGTAGTAAAAGTTCATTGACTTATGCAAGAAGCAACAGTAGATTTAGCACTGGCACAATGCAGACAAACTGGATATTGCAGAAACTCTTAACCAAGAAATCTGTTTTCATTCTGCTGTCGTTCTGCTGAGCCATAAAATGAGTGTTAAATAGTTTTGTGTATACAGTGGTACCTCGGGTTAAGTACTTAATTCGTTCCGGAGGCCCGTACTTAACCTGAAACCGTTCATAACCTGAAGCACCACTTTAGCTAATGGGGCCTCCTGCTGCCACCGCGCTGCCGGAGCACGATTTCTGTTCTCATCCTGAAGCAGAGTTCTTAACCTAAAGCACTATTTCTGGGTTAGCGGAGTCTGTAACCTGAAGCATATGGAACCTGAAGCGTATGGAACCTGAGGTACCACTGTAGACTGTTCTTGCTTATTTCTGCAAAGTTTTCTGCAAATTTTATTTCTGCAAATTAGTTTTTGCTCGACCTGTTTGTTCCTTTAAAGAAATCAGTTTTATTACAGGCCTTCAACATATAATACAATATAAACCAAACAAAGCTAACATCTAAAAAGAGCAGAATAATAAAAAGGAAAAGAGGTCACCCACCCAACTTGTTTGCTCTGAATAGTCTTTTAAAGTCGACACTTAGTTCTGATTAGGCTTGTTCATTCACTTTCCTGGCAATGAACATTTCATCCACTTATTGGTAGGAACAAATTAGCCCATTTCTCTGTAAGCTTAAGAGCAAATGCAGCTTTAACAACTGGTATTACTGGGGCAAGAGGGATTCTCATTTGCCTTAACAACATGACAGTGTACTGGAACATAGGAGGCAGCTTTATACATAGCCTGGCAGTTTATCCATCTAGATTAATGCTACCTACACTGACTGGCAGCAGCTGTCCAGAATATCAGACTGGTTTCCCCCCAACCTTCCTAGGAAATGTTGAGGCTTGGTCCTTCTGAAAGCCCACAAGCAGGACAGGAAAGTGATAGCCCTCTCCTTTTGTTTGTAAGCAACAATTTGGAGACATGCTGCCTTTGATCCTATAGGTGAAAAACCATCCTGAATAATAGCCCTTGACAACTTTCTCCTCCGTGAATTTGTCTCATGTCCTTTTGAAGCCATCAGATTAGTGGCCATCAACATGTCTTATGGCAGTGAATTGTGTACCTTCATTATGTGTGGGGAACACTTTCTATCGATAAACTTTGTTGTATAAACCTGGGTGTGTATTTTTTAAAAAAAAGTTAGTTAAGATTTCCATTTATATCGTGTTTGGGTTTTTGTTTCTTTCCGGCACCTAGAAAATGGATAGTGAAGCTGTGTCCCTCCAGTCTTTTTCTAGATTACAATTTCCACCATCCCTGACCATTGGCATTGCTGGCTGGGCCTGATGGGAGTTGGGAGTCCAGAACATCTATCTGGAAGGCCACAAACCCCCCACCATAATAAACAAATAATAAATGAACATGTGTCTTGAAAGTAATGTTTTCTCAAATTGTACACAGGTTGGAAGAGCTGAACTTGGCCTGGTGTGACTTCACAGTTGATCACGTGAAAGCAGCAGTCAGCCACATTTCTCCAACGGTAACACAGCTGAACCTCAGTGGATACAGACAGAATCTACTGATGCCAGGTGAGAGGCCAATTTCGGCTTGAAACCAGCTAGCTCAAGTAACCTACCATCCATACTTGGAAGCCTACTGTGCGAATAACTCTAGTCTTCTATTACAGTAAATTTTAGGAATGAAGCAAACTTGCAAGAAGGAACGTTTTAAGATACCGTATTTTTTGCTCTATAAGACTCACTTTTTTCCCTCCTAAAAAGTAAGGGGAAATGTGTGTGTGTCTTATGGAGCGAATGCAGGCTGCGCAGCTCTCACAGAAGCCAGAAGAGCAAGAGGAATTGCTATTTTCACTGCGCAGCGATCCCTCTTGCTGTTCTGGCTTCTGAGATTCAGAATATTTTTTTCTTGGTTTCCTCCTCCAAAAACTAGGTGCGTCTTGTGGTCTGGTGCGTCTTATAGAGCGAAAAATACGGTAATATGAAATGTATGCCTACAGCTGCAGGAATGAGAGTATTGAAATGCGTAACTTTAAGGCATTTTTATCTCTAGGCAAAAACTGTACTGCCTGTTGACGTGTGATGACCAGATTGCATTTGACTTTTCATTTCAGATATCAAAACATTAACTGAGAGGTGTTCCAGTCTAGTCCATTTAGATTTAAGGTAAGAATTTGAGTGTTAACAACACACACACACCCCGCCCCATAGTTGTGTCTCTGAAGTCCAGTTCTAAGGAATAAATCAAGGTCATCAACACAAGGATTCCTGCTAGTGCAATGGGACTTTCCTGTGCCCTCCCCAAATTTGCTCCAGAGAGTTGGGGGAACCCATAGAACAAATTTATGGGTTATGCAGTGGGCGGAGGGGGAGAATGTTCCACTGTGCAAAAGTAGAAACCATTGCACCAACAGAATGTTTACATAGCGCTACTTTCGCTACAGCCCAATAGTACTACAGTCATACCTTGGATCTCGAACGCCTTGCAGCTCAAATGTTTTGGCTCCTGGACGCCGCAAACCCAGAAGTGAGTGTTCTGGTTTGCGAACGTTTTTTGAAAGCCTAACGTCCGACGTGGCTTCTGATTGAGTGCAGGAAGCTGTGCCTTGGTTGTCGAACATTTTCAGAAGTTGAATGGGCTTCCGGAACGGATTCCATTCAACAACCAAGGTACGACTGTATTTTGAATCAAATCATGTACCAAGTCTGAGTAGCAGAGCAGGCTAAGGGCTGCATGGACTTGGGGTTCAACCCATAATGGTCTATATGTCAAAGTGGGTGTGCACATTTAAAATAACATTCTGTTTTGAAAGTGACAGATCAGGGGGTTTCAGCTGTCCAGATTTACAGCAGGGGACTCATGGGGAGTGATCAGTAAAAACCTGTTTTCCCAAAATTAATTTTCTTTTTTTTAAAAAAGGAATGGACAGATTTGTGAGGCCACAAAAAAACACTTTGGCATCGCAGGAGGGGAAGGGAAGCATGTTTCCTGCTTGGCAGGGGGTTGGACTCGATGGCCCTTGTGGTCTCTTCCAACTCTATGATTCTATTCTATTCTATGATTCTATGAAATGCCTGCAAGTTCCTGTGTGAGATTGGGAGGGGTGGCCAACGCAACTGTTTCTAAGCAGGCAGCGAGTGCCAGTCTTGCTGCTCAAAGCAACTGTGGAGCCTCTCTTCTCCAAAGGAAATCTCCTATTTCCATCATCTACCCAAAATCTGCATGAGTGCATACACAGCGTGAGGAACTTTTAAATGGGGATTATTTTGGATGTAGTAAGTGTCTTCTTGTGATGCCCACTTGCTCCAAGCCACCTTTTAGATGGATGAGAGGTTGCCCTTTAGTGACAGAGTGCCCTCCATAAAACGTCAGCTCCCATAGACCTCCCTTCTTCCAAGCAGTCTCCATAAATTCAGTTTCTGTACAGAGTCTGGCTATAAAAGTACTTGGGATAACTGGAAACTAGTCTGCAAAACTATGATTGTGCTAAATATGTTCCTTTATTATTCTACTAACCTGCCAGGCTTATATATGCAGAGGTTGGCGTTCTTAAATCAGTTGCTGTTTTTCATTACAGTGACAGTGTTATGTTGAAGCCGGATTGCTTTCAGTATTTCCACCATCTGGCATCACTTGAACACCTGGGTCTTAGTCGATGCTATCAGATACCTCCTGCAGCCCTACTGTGAGTAATGTTAACTCCTTCAAGTCAATAAAAGCAGAAGGTGTTATTCAACTAAGTTTTACTTGGAGTATACCTAGTGAAAATAGTCTGCTCCAGTCTTCAAGCGGTGTGAGGGTCACTCCACTATGTACTAGACCTTCTGCATGAAAGATAGCAAACATGGACTGCAACTCCTTATCAGCCCCAGCCAGTTTGATCAATGGTCAGGGATGGGAACTGTAGTCCAACATCTTAAATTAGATACCCCTGTTTCAGAGTCTGATGTGGCGTTGTGAGTAGGATCACGTGTGCCTCTGTGCAACCCCAATTTCCAGGTATCCATCCTTTCATGCAAGCCATATCTGCTCCCCACCCCCCACAATATTTGCGCTCTCTCTTCCTACTAGCTTATCAGGGACATCTCACCATTGAAAGGCCTGCTCATCACCTTAAATCTTTGCTGCCAATGTTTATTTCCTAGCCTGTTGCACCAACACCTTCTCCTGAGTTGTTTTATATCTTAAATCTGAGTAGATGTATAAGACTGTGTTATTAAGGAACATGTAACAAGTTAATTGGGACGCGGGTGGCGCTGTGGGTTAAACCACAGAGCCTAGGACTTGCTGATCAGAAGGTCGGCGGTTCGAATCCCCACGACGGGTTGCTTGGTCCCTGCAACCTAGCAGTTCGAAAGCACGTCAAAGTGCAAGTAGATAAATAGGTACCCTCCAGCGGGAAGGTAAAGGGCGTTTCCGTGTGCTGCTCTGGTTCGCCAGAAGCGGCTTATTCATGCTGGCCACATCCCTCGGCCAATAAAGTGAGATGAGCGCCACAACCTGAGAGTCGGCCACGACTGGACCTAATGGTCAGGAGTCCCTTTACCTTTACCTAACATGTTAATAAAAGGGTGTCCATAGGCCTGTTATGAGTGCGTAAGTGCGTTTTGTCATTATTTAGTATAGTGGAACCCAGTTCTCATTGGCATGTCATCCTCCAAATGTCCACTTCGTTAGCAAAGCCCAAACCACAAGGTACATATTCATCAGTTTGCATGCCTTGTAATGTTGTTCGACAGATGGATGTTGGAGTTTCTGTAGCTTTGCTAACCTGTGAACCGCCTCCTGTTATGTGGCAACCAGATATCTCAGTTTCTGCCTAAGGGGTTTCTTGTTCATTTTAAGAGGGGAAGAGAATGAATATTCATCTCTCAGTAACATATATATTAACCAAGCTGTTTACAAGGAATGGGGATGCTGCAGAGCAGGGTGGGTTTGGGGTATCTTGCCATCCTCCAGTCTTTCTTTGTTTGGCACAGTATGACATGTACTGCTGTACCCTTAATCCAACCCCCAAGATCACAAACTCCAGAAACACTGCAAAGCATTTGCTTGGGCGAGAACCCCCTTTTCATGCAACCCATTCTGTCATCTGGTAGTAAAATGGACCTTAGGCAAGGATGGTTAGGGGCACAGCCTTTGCTGTATGGCTCATGCTGCTACTCTGTATTTCAGATCTGACAAATTGCATTATCCAGTTCCCTGTGGTTCTATTCACTTAACTTTCCTCTTTTTTTGTTGTTATAGTGAACTTGGTGACATAGCCACACTCAAAACACTCCAGGTTTTTGGAATAGTGACTGCCAGCTCCCTTCAACTCTTGAAGGCAACACTTCCTCGCCTAAAGATCAACGTCTCCCATTTTACACCTATTGCAAGGCCCACCGTTGGCTGTAAAAGGAACGAACAGATTTGGGGAATCCAATGCAGACTGAGCTTGAAAAGTCCAGCTGGTTTTTAAAATGGCTTGAAAGACATTTTTAGCTACTACCAAGAGCTGTGATGCATCCTTGAAGGACGGTCGAGTTCATAGGTTGTGTTTTAATCTTGTTTTATTTTGTGACACGCGCTGCAGTCCACAACTTCCTAACTGGACTTAAATCAGTTTGTGTGCAAGTGCTGTCAATCATACTTCTGCTGAACTGTATTAAAAACCTGCTAATTATGTACAAATAGTTGACATTAAGCAACATGAACCCCATGCTTTTCGAAACACTATTGAAAAACAAGCTAAGTGTAATTTTTAAATATTAAAAGGCTCAAAAATTTTATATACTGTTTCAGCTCTGTAGCTAAACTACTCCTGTGGCAATCTATCAATGGTCTCACACACAACTGCACTCTTGTAAGAAGGTGGCTTCAAGTTCTTGGAACTACCATCTTCAGAGGTTCTCCCCTCTTTTCTGGTTGAGATGATATATTGATCTGAGCTAGAGAATATTTGGAGGGAGTGGGGGGGTAGTCTGTAGTTCTAACTGGCACTAGCATTTCTTACTGTGTTCAACCTTTTTCTCTGTGTGGAAAGTTAACTGAAGCCAACTTTGGAGGAGAACTGTGCACACAATCCCAATATAGTCTTAGGTGAAAGAATAGCAGGCTCCGTTAAATAAAGTAAAATAAAATGGAAAGTAATGATGGAAGGCCTTTAAAACCATGTGAGATGAAACTTTACTGGCAATAATCTGAATATGTACTTTGAAGTTCGTGCTTGGAATAAGGCATTTAGCTGAACTCTTTTATTCAAAGCACCACTGAGATTTATGTTGCTCACTCCTCACTCATCCTTTGAAGTGTAATAGCTGTCAAATAGCCAACACTACTGCTCTTCTTTCTTAAGAGAGAGGAGTTAGTGCTGTGTTCACTCTTCATATGCTTTATAATTCCTCAGAATGTGTTTATCTGTTTCCTAAATTCACAGATACACTGGGGCTATTTAAATCTTAGTCAGTGTTCAGTGATGGCAGTTGAACATCACATTATAGAAGAAAAAATCTTCCACAATTGCACAGATATGTGGCTGCTCTCTTTCCCTGCCTCCAAAATGAATAACGAAGATGTGGGAGGTAAAACTGAAAAGCAGTGGGCAGTGTTAGCATTTTCTTTAAGATCTATTTGTTCTCCCCAATCTAGACCAATCTGTGTAGAATACTTTTAATTGTATACTTTATACTGACAATTGATGAAGAATCACTATAGGGGTGGTTTTTCCCCCACTAGTAGCACTGACAAGTACATAATTTCAGTAGTAAAAGCAACTTTCACATTTAAGATAGTGCTATTGGGATTCATAAGGAACTGCATAGGTTTGTGTTTTTACCTTGTATTTTCATGTGAACTGCTCTGAAATTTACAGATGAAGGACAGTATTCTATCTATATCTACATCTGTATCTATATCTATATATATATGGCCAAGAACACGTGTCTAACAAGTACTGGAGATTTACATCTGAAGTGGTATTCAAGCATCAAAGACACATAAAATACTTCCAAAACACTAGCTCACCTTTATTACATTAATTGCTATCCACCTCATACATTATTTCTCAGTAACACCAAATATCAACGCCTTTATTTTTAGTAAGATGCGGAATCCTGGTTAAAATATTAACAGGAACACTTTAGTCCAGGATGCTAGGATTAGACCATTTTAGGAGGGGATAGGTTGGCTTTCATACTTGCACACATTTCACATATAAAATTGCCTTATCAGCTCCCTTAACACCAAACAATTTATATAGAAATACGTCTTTAAATAGCTTGAATTGTCTTTCTAAAGATTGTCTTGTTTTTATGAACATTCTTCACCCCCTGTTCCCATTAGAGCCAAAGTACATGTTAAGCTGTGAGACCTGTGATCGATCTGGATTTTTGTGTGTGTGCATTTTTTAATCACACCAAATATAGCCATCGTGGTTATAATTAGAGCAGTCCAACAGGGGACCAACACCACAACTGCCCACACCGCTTTCACATTCTATATCCTACTTTGCAGGGCAAAAGGGTTGGGGAAGAAACAGATGAGCCTGTAATGTAACCTGTATTTCCCCATTACTTGGAACCAGATTTGTTGTATCTAGTCATCAGAACAAAGTAAGTGGCTCCACTTCACAAGCAAACAACTTGGAAAGGTGGCGCTAGCACAAAGTACAAGCAAGTTTCAAGCAAGGCTCAACACAAATTGTGGCTCATGTCCTACCTCTGTTCTTATACCATGCAGCACTAATTTCCAAAGATTTCTTTTTTAAACTAGAGGGGAAAGAAAAGGTCAAAAAGCACCTCCACGCACACAGGAAAGTGCCCACGATTTGTAGCAGGAAATGCTCTAAGCATAATCTGCCGCCACATTCTCAAGTCCACAGGTACCTTTTCAATGGCTACTATCCCCACTCCCCATAATAATGATTTTTTTGGCTTAGGGAGGGGGTTGGCTGAAAGAGAGAGTGGTTGAATAAGCTCACTTTAACAAAACAGCCCCCCCCAAAAAAACCCCACACCTTATGATTTTATAAATGTTTGACACAGACACTCAAAAATCTCTAGTACAATGCTTGCCTGTCACAAACCAAGACCAGTAGAGGGCACCCAGGAACACTTCAAATGTGCAATAATAGTATAGTATTTTATTTTGTCATCTGTGCAAATTCACATTTCAGATCACCCCGAAGGACAGCTATCGTTTGATCTTTTTTCCGTTTGAAGGTCTGCATTACATTTAAACTATTGTTTTTGGCTAATAGGTTTGAGTAAGCAATTTCCCTTGCTTACAACTTTGTAAGCTTCTTGCCTAAGTACTTGTCTTTATATAAAACACTTTAAAGACTTCATCACTTTGGCACAGTAGAAGATAATAGAGTATTTTATTTTGAGAGCCATGATCTATTTGCCTCATGGGTACAGAATCCCCACACAGCCCTGCTTCCCCATCCCTTCACTTTATGTGTATTGGCAGTGGGACAGAACACAGGAAACATGGGGTATGTGCATATGTAGGGGAAGGCTCTGGTGAGACTTATCAGAATTTTTCAAGTACAGGCATTAGCCCCATGGTGTGGGTTGATCATGCTCCAAGTTTTGTCATTTAAAAAAATTAGATCGAGAAGTTCATAAAACAGTTGCAATCTCGGTGGACGAATTTCACAGCTTTCTCCATTTCAAATTATTACAGCACCTTTTCACATTCTGTGGTTACTATTCCTCATCTTAAATTGATTTACTTGGAAGCAGGTTCCACTGAATTCAGTGGACCCACTACATTTCCAAACAACCTGTAAAGCCCCAGCCGTACCAATACAGATCACTGGATACTTCGACTGATGGGAAATTTTGTACAATACATATTTTAAGTGGGAGCTTTCAAGACTCCATTAAGTTCTTCACAGTGCAGTTTAAGGAGCTAGTATAATGGCTTCACTTTTTCTTTTCTTAAAAGGTGGCCTTGTAAAATAGACTTACACCATCTTTTCAAAACTGCTTCTGAACTTTAACTTTTGATGTTATGTTCTGAAGACATAAGGTTATTTGAACTTCTTATTGTGTACTTTAAACAGGCCTCATCATTTACCTGACTCACGCTGAGGGTTCATCACCACTATTTAAAATGTAAACAGTGAATGCATTGGGCAGTATTCTCAAAAAACTGCACTGTGCATGGGTTTAGTAGCATCAACCAATAAACTACACAATACACTACTGAATACCGTGTTTGCAGATAATCATATGGCTAGTTCAAAGAAACAATGGTGAGTAGTCAGCTCTAAGTCACAGTTCTATGGTTTGTAATGCCTTATCTACATAGCAAAAGAACATGAGTTCCAGCAATGTGAAATTTGCTCAAATTGGTCACAATCATGTACCTTTAAAAAACACTGAATACAGGCTGCATTGAAAAATGAGTACTTTTCAAAATGTCCAAGTATTTCCTCAATGCACAAGTGGAGTTTTCCCCCCCGTTGTACCCATTTCATAAAGCATTCAGTGTCTTACAAACTGCATTTTAAAAAGGAATGGTATGTATTTTCACTCATTAGCCCTGGTAAGCAGGGGACTTATTTGTGCGGGAAGGGATGGCAGAAAAGCATCCTTCTGACATGGCTGGGAGGCTTTGTAATTTGCCTTGTCACTTGGCTATGACATTGCTCACGCTCTTCCCCCAGCAAAAACAGGGCTTCAGCATGGACCACAGGAACCTCTCCCTTCTGGTCTACTCCTGGGTCATAACTTAGAGGCCCAATCAGGAACCCAGACAGTGCCGAATTAAATAAATGGAAGTTCAAGACCGAGTGCCAAAAATCATTACTATATGCTTTCTGGTGGGGAAATTTATCACAAATCTACCATAACACATTTTTCAAAACACAGCTGAAACTGTTGGCAAGCCAGATTTTCAACAGGTAGTGGGGATAATATCAAGTGAGTTTTATTCTTGCTATTGAACAGGTGGACAACCTGTGGCCCTCCAGATGTTGCTGGTCCCAGCCAGGGCTGATGGAAGTTGCAGTCCAGCAACATCTGGAAAGCCATAGGTTCCTCATATAGAAAGTAGGCACAACATCAAACTGGTGAGGTTGGGAAGCTTAGACACAAGATGCTGGGTTTATGGTACTGAACTGTAGAAAAACTAAAGCAATGGAAACCATTACAATCAAACATAACCAATCAGAAAAGTAAAATTCTTGGGTGTATACAAAAGGGTTACTTTTGGGTAGCTAAATTCAAAAACTGACCTAACCTTTTTGCTTAATTACTTTTAACATAATTTGCTTTTAGAAACCAATGAAATACATATGGGGGAGGGGGGAATCAAGGCATTTTGCAGAATCAGTACTAGATAGCTACTACAGAACTGTACAGTTTATTAACACCAATTTGTTCCAAGCCCTGTCTTAGGTTTTAAAGTATCCTGCCAGATTCATTAAGATTTTGAAGAGTCGCGATTTTGCTGGCTTCACAAACACTGGTTTTCCAAGAATTACTCATCCAAAAGGAATGAAAAGCCGTTTCAATTGTTGCTTCCCAATGTCTGTCTATATGAAAGAGCAAGTTTCACATCTGAAATGAGGCAGCACCCCTTCTTTGAATTGTGAGTAGTTCAAACTTTTTCTTCATTCGTCTAGCAAAACAGTACGCAGTGCATCTTCTGTATTGATCAATATTGACGCTATTGCTCCATCATTAAATTCAAATGAAGTTCCTCCATCTACAACCATACAGGCATCCCAGCAACGAGAGCGAATGCAAACTCTGAAAATACATTTAAAGAACACTAGTACAGACCTACAAATCAAGCAAACAGTTTCATTTACAATGGGAGCTAGAAGGAATACACTATTTTACAAAAATCATGCTTGAGTAATTTTATCACTATTAATCTCTACACTATTGGAAGTAAAATCAGGTCATACCTACTTAACCAATTAAAAATGAAAATCCATTTACTGGTATGCTAGTTTTAAGATCTCATCTGTCAAATGACACCTACTCAGCTGCCCAGTTTAACCAACAGCAAACTACAGATACTATGACAGAATCGTATTCCACAAATGTGCATTTGTTCCTGATAACTTATCTTTAAACTTTTTTTGGAGAGGGGGTGCTGTTGAAAAGCTTCATGCTTCAGGATGTGTAGAAATGAAAGCAGTATTAAATAAAGCTTCCAACCGTTGAGGGATTCATGACTTGTTCACATACATGTACATGCATTTGGGATGAGCAACAGTATTAAACCTGCAGACTGAAAGTCCCTCTGAACTAATGCAAAGTAAGATCACGCCATGCTGGCTGGGACTGATAGGAGTCTAACAACATCTGGAGGGCCACAGGCTTCCCATCCCTGCTTTAAAACATTAAACCATATTAATATCTAATGATATAATTACTATTCTGTGTTTTGGATGAGGGGAGGGAACCCTGGTGTAAAAACTCATTCATCAGAAAAACCAGGAAGATATTTTCTGCTTCTCTATAGCTAAGCTAAAATGAAGGAAAGATAATACTGGCAAAAATATTTTTTTTTGGGGGGAAGCAAGATTATAGGATAAGGCTAATGTTAACAGCCCTGCCTTTAGACTTGCTAGGCAGAGCTACCCACACTAAAATGGCCTTCTCCATAGATGCAACAAGACAAGATCTGGCCAACACCATTAGGAAGGAAAGATCCATGGAATGGTATACTATGAGTTAAGGAAACTCTAGATTTAACTTTTAAAACAGTATTTATTCCTCACCATTTCAAAGATGCAATGGGTCACCTTGATGCTTACTGGATAGCAGCGTCAGACAAACTGGGAACCATGATTATGATATGGTAAAATGAAATAAAAAATCCATTTCAATCACAGGATTGAAAGTAGGATTCCTATTCTCTGAAAAACTGTAGTTACATATTTTGTCACAATCTTGAATTTAAACCAAACACCTGCAGTCAATACTTACTTTGAAGCAAAACCCCGTTGTCGACTACTTGAAAAAACGCGGTTTGAAATAGGTTCTCGTATACTAAAAAACATCTTGGGTTCCTCTGGACTATACAGTAGTGATTCATTATATCCATTTGTTACTGAAAGCACACAAATTAGATTATCAGCTTCTGCACGTGTGTGAAGCAATAAATACTAGACTTTTGTTTTTTAAATAACAAATGACTTACACTCCTATTCTGAAAGATTTGTGAAAATATATTTGCCTGCATATTCTATTTTCACTCTAATTATGAGGATTTAAAAAACTATTAGCCTGTCCTATCGAAGATCTGAGTAACATTAGATGTGAAAGCTAAATACATAATATAATGTCCATTTCTACAATTCTGAAAAACAAAGTCCTGTGCAAAAGTTAAAAGGAAACATATTGCCCATAAGCTCAGAAACTATGATAAAGTCAAATATACCTTTCTGTACAAGTTCCTTGTTCAATGGAAGCCTTAAGCTCTCATAACTTTTAGCTGTTGAAAAAAAAGGAAGAATTAGACACAATTCTTCTATTAGATACAATTATCTTTTGCATTTGCTGGTCAGTAGTTATGGTGCTGGTAACTCACCAATCTTAAGGATTTCTTCCACAGCCTGATTTGCTACCTTGTTGATATTAAAAGACCTACAAACAGAAATAAAAACAAGGATTTTATTATACAGTATTTTTATACGGCTGCCCACCAACAAATGTTCTTTGGGTAGCTTACTGAATAATATTAGGATACATTTAAAATGCAACAAAAACTGAATTTTACTGTCCAAAAAGCTTTGCACCAGTAAAATAAATAAATAAAATCATTAGCAGCTCAGATTAAAAGTTGTTTTTAAAGCCCTTCATCTGACACTGAAAAGATCACAGATGAAGTGCCAGGTGACCCCTCTTGGAGGCTATAATGTAGCTAGGATGCTACCATGGAGAAGATCTCCCCAGTTGCCACCTGCTTCCTTTCACTTGGCAGGGACACATGGAGCAGGGCTTCTGAATAGAATATTCAGATACAGGAAGTATTTATGTGGAAGAAGGTACTTCTTAAGGACCTGGACTAGCTCCAGCTGGGAGACCTCCCAACCCTTTCTCTAGCATTCTCTACTGTCTTAAATGTAGAGGATTTTAAAAACTGGGAGCCAATTTCTAGCTGAAAAGCAGGAGTGAAAAAAATACTTGCATAACCTCAATGGAACAGATTTTATGTCAACTGGAAGCAACACTAACATTTCCTTTCAACCCCTTACTACAACTTCTGACTTCAAAAAAACCCTAAACCTGAAATCTCCTAAACACTGGAAAGTATCAACCCAACAGGCATTTTTCTTTTATTTCATTATCATATTAAATGCTGTATTTTTCTTATTCAGTTTATATTCCACTTTTCAACTAGAATCATCAAACTCACTAACCTTACAAAACACATGCATGCTCATAAAACAAAACAACAAGCCCCACTGGAGAAGAATAATTCTTTCCAAAAGGTCCGATTATTATTATTAATAGTAGTAGTAGAAGTAGTAGTAGTAGTAAATTTCTATACTGCCTTCATCCAAAGATCAGAGGCAGTACAATTTTCAGTCAAGTTACACCCCGCAGTGTGAAGACTGAGCAGCTATTTCTTTCCATAATGGGCCTGCTATCCATGTTTGAGGAGTTTGTGTTACATGGGGAGCATTCAAGCATCCTCACCTTAATTTTGAAGAGCTACAGTCCCAGAAGTGTACCATGTAAGGTAAAGGTAAAGGGACCCCTGACCATTAGGTCCAGTCGTGGCTGACTCTGGGGTTGCGGCGTTCATCGCGCTTTATTGGCCGAGGGAGCCGGTGTACAGCTTCCGGGTCATGTGGCCAGCATGACTAAGCCGCTTCTGGTGAACCAGAGCAGCGCACGGAAACGCCGTTTACCTTCCCGCCGGAGTGGTACTTATTTATCTACTTGCACTTGGACATGCTTTCGAACTGCTAGGTTGCATGGGGAGCATTCAAGCACCCTCACCTTAATTTTGAAGAGCTACAGTCCCAGAAGTGTACAAGGTATTAGCATTAAAATTGGTTATTTGTCTACACATGTAGCACACTCAAACGTTATTACAGAATTTAGAAACTAAAACCACAATTTAATGAATCACACAACTTTGCATACCCATTTTTAAAATTACCACCACCCCATTTTCTGTTTCCCTAACAACAGTAGCCACCAGTCCTGCATTAACAAAATGCTTTGGAAGCTGGAATTTCAAAAGAAGCCACAATTTAGCATGGGGAAGTTGCATCCTTTGCAAAGAAAAAAAAAACCTGCTTGGCACCCAGAAGCCAAACAACTCAACACAAGACATGCCAACTCAAAATTAAGATTCACTGGATTTAATGGATCTAATTTCCAGGCAAGTTGGTATAGAATTGCAGCTTGATAGAACTCAAGTGGACTTGACCATTTCATGAGCTGGTTCTCAACTTCTTCAAGATGATACAACATGCTCTATCTTCTATGAAAATGTGTTTACCGATTACTCCTATTGGAAAAGCCAAAGAACTAACATTTTAAGGCTACACCAAACTTACCAGGCTTTTGATCCTGTTCCAGTGCATATGTTGAGACCTGAGCTCTTTTGTTTCTCCCATGGACCACCATCAACTGATATTTCATAGTAAGAGGCCCTATGAAGGGAGAATTTAAAACTGGGTTTGCAGGACTTATAGTTCACCCTGAATAAGACAGAACACAACCCCACATCAGGCACGTACCAATCTAAAAGGGCAATTTCAAACATGGCTGAAAATTTCACATTAAATTTAGTACAGCAGTTCTTTAATGAAGCAAGAAGGTTGATTTTTGATTGGTAAGTTTTCATTAATTTTCAAAAATACAGCAAATTGTTAGTAAGATAGCAAGCCATTTTGAAAGCCTTTTAGAATTTTCTACCTTAATTCTGTGGGTTCATCTGTAGTTAATTGGACAGGGTATAAGTATTTCCCACACTGCAGCATTAGTGCACACAGCTTTAGTAATTTCTTCCCATATGTATGTGCCATCGAAATCAAAAAGGAATTTTAAGACTGAACTGCAAGTAATAGAATTTGTGCCTGCAACTTGTATACCTCTGGCCCTCCAAATACTGCTGGGCTACAGCTCCCATCAGTTTTCTCCACTAACTATGATGGCTGGAGCGGATGGGAGCTAGAATCCAGACACTTCTGGTGGAGCATGGGTTCTCCACCCCCAGTTTTGCTTTTCCAAACTATTCATTTTACTTAAACCAAGGCTAGTCAACATGATGCCTTCCACATATGTTAGGCAATGACTCCCAGCAGCCCCAGCAAGCATGGCTTATGGTCAGAGATGAGGGAAGCTGTAATCCAACAAAATCTGAAGAGCATCAAACTAGCTACCAACAACCAAATACTCAATTTGGCATCTAAACAGATATTTCTACCACACTTCCCTACTACACTTCCCAAATTTACACCCCATAAAATATAAAATGTCAACCATGCCTAACATTCACCTTTTCATCCACCACTTGACCAAGCAATCCCATTCCATGATCATCATTCAGTCATCTCCACACACCTCAAATTCTCAACTCACAAAACACTTATGGGCCTGCTCATTCAAAACTCTTCAATAATCCCCATTATTAGATGGAACTGGTAGTATTGCTCCCATGCTTAATCCCTTCCAGCAAGGGAAAAGGAATGATCTCCACAATCTTCCATGCCCTTCTGCTTAATATTTTTTTGGGGGGAGGGGAAGCAGCAGACTTCAATTCTCCTTTCCTACATAAAACATACTGTGTTAGGAAGCACAAAGCAAGGAAGAACTGAAAGATGAAAAAGTGTCAGCAATTAAGAGAAATAGGTCACAGTTTTAAACACTATGATAATTTCCCCATTTTTACTAATTACGTACAATGTATTATGTGTTTTAGCCAGTAACATGCAGAGAGGTGTTGTCAGACACTGTAGAAATGGAGGATGATAAATAGTTAGTGTACTATTAGATAACCCTTCAGGTTGTTTTACAGTTTGAGCCAGTTACGAAAAATGGTTGGAGTCAGTGATAAACAATGAAGACCAGAACTTCAATAACATATGCTTGATATGCAAGATGATACACTACATGCAGGAAAAGAATCCAAAGTTGAATGTGTGTGTCCAAATAAGACCTTTTGAAACATGATAGGAAAATATATATGTAGAACTATGCTGCTTTCTCACAGATTTGGGAAATTGCAGAAATGTATAATTTGGATCCAGTAATTAAGTCTGAATATATTTACATACATTATTACACACAGAAGGGAAAAAAGGATATTGAAGTTTACAAGCAGTCCCAAACAAAAATGCTTATGATTCTAGCATACCTGGATGAGAGAGATTCTCCAATAAACACTTCATTTAATGATCTCACTGGCAAGAGGTGTGGTTCAGATATCTGAGACCCTGCAAATATAGGCAAATCAGTGCTGACAGGCTAACAGGATAAGCATCACCAGAAAGCAAAACGGTAAGATTATTATAGAGGTGTGTGTGAATACAGACAGATATGGAAGACTACCAGGAGCAAAATAAAGAGGTTCTTGATGTACACACTTGATGTGAAAGAAATCATTGTACAAAAGTCTGGCTATTCATTTATTGAAGAGGGCCTTGTACTTAATCGACGAGTTACCTTCTATTCTGAACATGTTTCTCTTACATATTTGAGATTAGCATTAACATCACATCTCAAGATTGAACAAAAGATCATTGCACACCAGTGAGTGGATTATATTTTAGGATTGAAACTGTACTCACTTTGATCCTGAAATCTTCCATTAACATGGGCCCTGCTGTGCTGTTCTTGACTCAACTGCTGTTCATGCAAGTCAACAGGGACAGGGTTAATGCCAGTCCCTTCAAGATATAAACGGATTCGTTGCCGCCATTGCCATCTTTAAAAAGGAGAAAATAGCACAAGAATCAAACAAATTGAAATGTCTGGCAATTTTTCTGCATGAATCAATAGTTCAAGAAAATAAAACCTTTACTGGGCCAACCAAAATGTTACAAAATACAATGTAAGCTTTTAAACTCTAAAACTTACTATGGGGGAAATTATGAGACATTCAACGGAGACCATTCCAGGGGTTAGGTTTTTTAGTGCAGGAGTTCCCAGTGAGGCTAGCTGTCAGCAAGCCCTGCTTCAAAGAGCCATCAGGAGTTTGTATGTTCTCAGATGTGGGCAAAGTCTGAGGGAAACAGTCTTGTGGGCCAAATAAGGACTAGTGTCCAGCCTAATTAGGCCCATAAGCTGGAAGATCCCTGACCCTGAAATGGAGGGTTCCTCATCTCTCAAATCAACAACTAGTTGTAATTCAGTTCTGCCTCTGCCCCTAGGCGAAACACAGAAGTTCTTGCGGTGATATAAAGGTATAAAGAGAACCTAGGTAGTCCCTGATAATATCACCTAAAGGTTATCACTGTTATCTCTACCTCTGTTTATTGCACACAACAATAAAGTTCTCTTTTAAATTTAATATTTATCATTACTGATCAAGTTATTTTTAAATTTAATATTTATCTTTACTGATTTTCATTACATACAAAACTTAGTAACATCAAACAAAAGCAAGTCCCAACTTCATTTATAAGATCACATTGCAGAAAGTCACCCTATTTAATTAACCAGTTTTATGGTAGTGGTGTTCAAGCTATACATATTAAACCAGTTGATAAAAAACAAATCCCAATCCCGTTCGTTCTATATGAAGGTATTATGACTGTTATAGAGTTAATGAGAAATCTGTGTCCCTCCAAATTTTGCTAGGCTACAATTCCCATCAGCCTTGGCTACTGGCCATGTAGGTTAGGGCTGAGGGAGTTTGAGTCCAGCAGTATTTGGAGGGCCACAGGTTTCCCATCCTTGGCTATAAAGATATCTCCAGTATCTTATGCTTCGGAATTAAATGCCTCTTATTGTGTGTGTCAATAGTAAATGTTCCAAAACATGAACATCTAAAATTTGCCTTGCCGGGTATTGATTCTTGCACACCGATCAGCAATAGCTATGATGAAATCATTCGTGTCAGATATCTCTCTATAGTTTTACTCAGCTGATCTCCTAAAATATGTCCATGCAGCATAACTAAATGCTGAGTCTTCAAGAGATTGGAATGAATCAGAGGCCCAGCTTCATGCTCCAGCACTGGGGGCGGAGAGCAGGCGGGAGCGTGGCTGGCGGCATCCCGGGGGCGTGGCATGCCTCCCGCAGGTGGGGGGGCAGCCACGATGGCACCCCACCGGGATTGCGCTGCCGGGGGCAGTACGCTCCCCCTGCACCCCTCTTCCTCCACCAGTGGAATGAATATCCTCCCATGTAACTCAACATGAACTAAACCACTCAAACATCAATGCATTTATTACCTAACAATCTTTAGTGAAATAAGTGATATTATTTTATCTGTTTCAATAATTAACACAAACCCCCAAATGCAACACATTCAGCAAAATGTCAAAAATTCTGTAAATTCCAACATTATCCAGACTAAATGATGATTGATTACATTGTGCATTTAATGCCATTTTATAGCATTAAACTGATATTAAACAGCTTTTCTGTGTTTTCCTCCATCTGAACCGGAGGTTGTCAGAAGGCATGTGAACCGGGAAATCTTGATAGCCTAGCAAGGTCTCACCACAAAGTGAAGGATCACTTTCTTTTCCCATCCTTCTGAACAAACTGAGCTGTAATACTGGAAAGGGGGAGGAAGAACTCACCATCATTTAAAGCTATTTACAAGAGGAACCTGTTCAGCATTCCAGTCAAGTCCTCCTCCATGCTCCATTCCACTCCCGCATGCCTTTACAGATTCTTGGCATTCTGTGATCACTGAGCATGCTTAGTCCTCCTTAGGCTGTTTTAGGGTTTTCGTTCTTGCTGTTTTAAACCGCACACACATACACCAATTCTTTTGTATTTTAGCTAACTCCGGGCTTCCTTTAAGTGTGTTGATAGCTCCCTCTTATTGCTCAGTGACCCTGTATTGTCTATAATCCTGCTGGGCACTTACAGTTTGCACAAAAGAATCAATCCTGCTTTAAGGCAGGCTTCAAGAAAGGAGGGTCTGCTGTTGATAACACTGTGGCCAGGCTGCTTGTAGGGTCAAGCATATATAAATATCTTATCTGTGAGATCTGCACTGGCTGCTTATCTGCTACTGGGCCAAATTCAGTATTTTAGTACTAGTATAGAAGGCTCTATATATGTATACATTCTATGTTTTAAATGCATTTTAATTTTTAATTTAATTTCTATGCCATCCTTCATCCGAAGACCACAGAGTGGTTTAAAACATAAAAACACAAAATGATAAAAACAACAATAAAAACAATACAATAATCAGCCCAAGACCTGGTTGAGTATAAATGTTTTTGCACTACTTTGATATGGACTGCAGACTCAATAAATTCTAGGGATGTGCAGTGGCCCCTTGAATCTGTACATTTAAAAAAAAATTCTGCATCCGCGTAACTCCTTCAGCTTTCATCTGTGCTCCCAGTTCCAAGCCATTCTGTATAAAACGGAAATGTGTGACTGTTCCACAAATCACACTAAGTACTGTTTTGGACACATTGGTTCCCACATTAATGCAGAGCTGGAACAAATAGTCTTCAGGTCTGTTCCCTACTATAGCTGTATTAATACAAAAAATTACATTTCTTTTAAACAATTGTCTAGAGATACATAAGCTCTAACCTACCTGAACTCACCACGATAGAGTTTCTGTAGGGCATCTGGAAATGAGTGTGTATATCGTACAGGTAAACACAAATGGCCTTCAGATCTGAATATAACATAACAAGGCGAGAATAAGGCATGAAATCACAGTATTCTGTTACCTCCTTCAGGCAAAGATCTGTTCCCTCTCACCCATTCTAAAAAAAGGGAGTAAGTAATACAATACTGGATTACATTATTGTAGCTAGCTGGGCGATTTTCACTTTTAGACAGCATTCTATGCAAGATATGCCTAGGCACTCTATTTTCCAAAAATTGTTGTTCATGTATTGAAGTGACTAAAAACAACAAAATGGCTGCCATGGGGGCATAACGCTAAATTAGAGAGTGTACAATCATGGTGAAGCCTTTCACATAATTGTGTTTCCACACGAGAAAAGGGTTAACCTGTTGAAATTCTGCCTAGAAAATAAGCAGGGAAAGTGTATTAACTGGGAGGGGAAAACAGCAGCTCCTTAGGGTCCCAAGGATTCATATTGTGGGCTGTCTAAACAACTCATTTATCAATCACTGCTCTGACTTCACTCATTGGCTAAAAGCACTGACAGGCAGAAGCAGCCAGGCTTGCTCATTTTACAGAAATGTACCTGCACATTTTGCTTTATAACTTTTTTGTAGGAGGTTTAAAGTCTTGCTATGTTTTAAAATGAAAGCTAGGGCCCTGCCTGAGGACAACAATGAAGGCCTTTGCAGGCACCATGGACCATGTGGGCGCCAGTCTGGCAATCCCTGATCTACAGTCATAGTTAGCATACTACACAATAGCCCAGTTAAAATATATCCTAGATTAGCAGGACAGTATAGTTAAAATTCAACTTCTGTCCATGCTACTCTTACCTAGCTTTGACCATTTAGACCCATGCAGAAGTCACAAATATGCAATCAATTTTGTGATAAATAAGGAAAAACTATGAATAATGTGCATAATAAACTGGCAAAGGAAGTCACGGTATGCATATCAATGACAGAAAATGCCCCACATGGCACTCACAGGCCACTAGACTTTTAATGATGTGGCTTACAATATGACAAGGTATCTAAGTCTTAGGCTCACCTATCTGGGTCAGTGTTTATTCCAATAACTGGTTTTAACCGATCCAACACCTTACTGGCTGCCAAAAGCATTGTGCCATCACCTAGATGAAAAATAGTTTGAGATCAGATTACTTTTACATAAGATTTAAATATTCCAATGGAAGTATCAAGTACAAAGAATTTTGTGCTCAAACTTTTAAACCATTATTGTATAAAATTAAGAGTGAAAATAGATTTTGATGTGGAACTCAATTTGCCATAAGGAAATTATACCTTTGAAGAAAAAGAAAAACAGGTGCACAAAGCCTAGGTAACAACCTCTACAGAATGTTTCAGAATTTGTATACAGGCAATGAGTGTTTTGTGCAAGGGTTACGTTCCAGACCCCTGCATGTGTTGACACTAAATCAACTTTATTCTGGTAGTTCAGGTTAAGACTTATTTATTGATAAGCCAACTGTTCATACTGCTAAACAATTATTCCCACAAGTTTGTTGTAATTCAAAATACCCATCCCCACTCACAAGTTAATACCTCCTGCTGCTACAACAGCATCTGCCCACCGAACTGTCTCTTCATCATATTCTCTGCGCTTCACAAGTCGGACCTCAATCTTCTCATTCCTGAAGATTTATGGAAATGCAAGTGATTATTAGTCAGGTTTGAAGGGCTTAAAAGGAATGCAAACTGTCAAGTTAAAAAGCTAGTTTATATAACTTTGATAATGACCTCAGAAAAGGGAAGCAAAAAAAAACACCACAAGTATGAATATTGGGTTATTGTGACTTTTTATATAGGATCTGATTGTTACTATTAATGTTCGATGTTTTATTATGATTTTGTGTGTGTGTTGGAAGCCACCCAGAGTGGCCAGGGCAACCCAGCCAGATGGACGGGGTATAAATAAGAAAATATTATTATTATTAGTCCCATGGAAGATAACTATCACTTGCATCAAGTGATAGTTACTTACTTTCACTCTACTTACCAGTTCCCTGAAAGATTATAATTATTTTACACCAGGAACAGCTGGCTTGTGTCACTCCAGATATTGATAGACTACATCCCACCTTCCCTGTCTATCAGCCATGCTTGCTGTGGCTGAAGGGAGTTGGAGACCAACAACTTCAAGGCCAACAGGCTTACTACTCTTAATTTACACAGAAGGGGTTTTGCTATAATGCTTCCCTTTCATCACCTTCCTCTGCTAAATCCGATATACTAACACAGGATTATGTATCAAAAGGTTTTGGGTTGTTATTCAGGAAGAGCTCAACCTAGAGTCAGCAAAACCTGCGCATATATACATCAAAACCTATAGTGTAAACTGTAGTTAAAATTGTAGTTAGATTATTGCTGACTTTAATTATCTTTTGAATTTTTTTTAAACACCTGCTTCTAACCATCTTTTAGTAATTGTAGGGCTTTTTGCATAAACCACTTGGAGGTTTTATGACAATCAGTGAGTGAGTGTGTGTGTGTGTGTGTGTTGTTGTTGTTGAAAGAAAAACAAACAAAAATAGTCTGTGGTTGTTATTATGTTGTTCAATTTAAAACTAACTCAAGAGTGAAACTGCCGGTTATGTTCTACTGATTACAAGGTCAGTCAAAAACTCAACAATATCCTACTGTTGTCCAGTTTGGTTAAATGATGCAACAATAGCTTTGAATGCACACTGACACTTGTGTATGCAGAGAACTGCATACAGATAACCTTTGTACATCTTTTTCGACAGAGAAAATAAGAGCCCTGTGGGATCAAGCCTAACGCTATTCTGGTCCAGGACTCTGTTCTCACAGTAGCCAAACAGATGGCCATGGGAAGACCACAAGCAGAACATGAGTGCAACAGCGCTCTCCCTCCTGCGATTCCCAGAAACTGGTATTCAAAGCAACACAGTGGGGGTAGAATATATCCACTGGTGGCTTTTTAAAAAGGATTAGATAAATTAATAGAAATAAAGCTATTCAAGTTGGTGGCAATCACAACCTCTTGTGGGAGCAAATTCCATGATTTAACTATGTGCTATGTGAAGTATTTTCTTTTTTCGATCCTGGATCTTCCAATATTCAGCTTCGCTGTATGTCCCTGAGTTCTAGTATTATGGGGAAAGAATAATTTTGCTCTCTCCATTTCATCTGCACCAAGCGTAATTTTATACACCATTATCATAAGTTTATATATCATTATCATGTCCCCTCCTACATGCCTTTCTCTAAACTAAAATGCCCCGACTATCTTGTTTGAACTACGAGAAACTTCTGAAACTGAATGTGGAGGGCTGCTAACAGAAAAAGAAGCAAAGAGTCAGTTTTCCCTTTCTTTTATATATACAGTCCCCTTCATATGTATTAGGGCTGGATGATAAATCACCCCAAACCGTCCATATTGTGATATCAATTTCATACCTTTTGACCTAGGAATATATCGTGAATCATAATGTGTGCTATGCAAAAATCACAATGTGGGAAAAACTGTGAAGCCACCCAATGCTTCTCTCAACTCCTGCAGCTCCCATTAACTCTCCCAGCTCAGCTCTCCCCTGCCTCCTGCAGGGTGCCGCAAATCAAAAGAGCAGGCACCAGCAAAAACCATGATGTGGGAAAAACCATGAAGCCCCCCAATGCCTCTACACAGCTCCATCCTTTTTTAAGACATTGTGATATATCGGTATATTGTGAAGTTTAGCTGGTGATATATCATGATGTTGAAAACCAGATATCGCCCAGCCCAAATATGTATAAACATGGTTATGAGTAATTATACATGGTTATAGAGTAATTATAATTTCATATACTGGGCATTAGAATAATGTGCCAAACTTCTAGAACCTCTGCTCTCTGAAATTATATATTATATTATATTAATCATTATTATTGATACATACCCTTACCTTAAACTATCTACTACATGCTCCACATTTTTTGTATGAATCCGATGTCGCTCCAGTAGTCCACTGTAATTAGAGCCTTTTAATGCAAGCTGTGAAAGACAAAAATCAAAATCTAATGAAGTTGGCAGTAATTTTCTAAGCATGTGAAAACAGTATGTAAACAGCTAAGCTTGAAAAAGCTAAATTTATTTATGGAAAATTGGAACTGTCAGAAACATGAAAATGGTTTATTCTCTAAAACCAAGAAAGAAAGAATCTGCATATAAGCATGTGGAACACTACCATTTTAATGAAAAGTTCCAGTATACAATTCTATTCTACCAGCCATATGTATTCTGACATACCAATCAACCAGTGTTAGAAACTCAAATACATGAGCTAGGTGCAAAACGGCTCCTTAAACCAGGGTTATAGTTGCCCAAATGGAATGCCTAGTTGCCATTTGGGGGCATTTTCAATACGACTTTTTGGTTCCCGAAATTCATTCTGATTGTGCAGATAAAATATAACGAATAGTATTATATAGGATGTGTTGTTAATGTGTGGAAACAGTCAAGATCCGAGGCATGCACCTCCAGATCATTTGGTCACAAGTGGTCAATAGCCAGGTGCAAAATGTGCCTGGTGAATTTCAAACGCTGCAATCAGCTATAATAAGATATAACCTAAAATAAGTTTTACTAAGAGTTCTGAATTGGGATGAAATGAGAGCATGCAGTTTAGAACAAATTAGGAGCAGTATCTCCTGTCATGGTGCATTATAGCATCTCGCTGGTAACTGTTTCTAGTCACTAAAGAAGCTTGGCTTTGTTACTTCTCTATCTAATACCTGGCAAGAGGATACTGCACGAAAAGCACGATGACACCATATTGAAAGAGGCACTCTGTGTACCTATACTATTGCCAGCTTTTAAAAAGTTCTTACTCCTGTGGTTGTGTATTTTGAGGCCTTTGTCCTCTAGTAACGAAATTAAATTTCTGGCCACCACTGGCAAGCTTTTCTGGGGACCACGGAATATACACAAAAAATATTTAAGTAAATTTTTATCCCAGTATAACTCTTAGAAAAGTGCCCAAGGTGACAAAATGATCGAAAATAAGGAAAACATCAGCAATTAAACCACTAAATGCTTAAGAAAACTTGTAGAGAGTAGGGAGAAAACCTGTAGAAAGTTAGGAGTTTCACATGCATCAAAGAATAAAAAAAAGAGAAACATCCACTGATGCCTGCAAGATTGCACAAATGATTTCTGTTTGCACAACATGACTTCCTCTTTCTCTCCTCCGCTGCAGCATTCTGAGCACCAGAAAAATCAGCTCCAGAAAAGCCACCATCCTTCTGGAGCAGATTTTGGAGGAGCATGTATGGAGGAAAAGAGGAAGTCTGTTCATGTGAATGTCACCCAAAACAAAATATAAAATAAAATCAAGTAAGTCACTGAGCTTACAGAAGAGAAGAGGGAAACAAAATATGCCTAAATTTGTTTTTACGAATGTCACCATCTTTTGTGAGAACACTTCATTGTAATTCTCCTTACCCTTCAGAATTTTGGCCTGCCAGCCTGTTTACTTGATTGCAATTCTTAGCAGGTTTCAATCTGCTTACAAATACTTGCCTGGATAAACTGAGAATTTTGTCTCAATTCTCTCAGTACTGTGTGTTTAAAGTAAGTTATATTCTTAACATACAAGCTGTACATGTTACAAACATATAGTAACAGCACATAGGTCTGTGGGAAGGTGGATGAAAAGCTGCCACTTAATTTTGTCTTAGCTCTGTAAGTGTACATTAGAGTACAATGTGTGACAGAGTACAATGAACGCCAGGGCAGGAACTAAACTGAAAAGATAGGAACAGAACCATCTGCTTCCTTCATGGCACATCTATGTTCTCTAAAAATCCAGCAAATGTATCACACTATACTCAGTGGGGAGATGAGCAAAAAGCCAAACAGCAGCGAGTTGTATACACAAGGCGAGAATGAAATGGAACCATGTAACTAAATGAACCAATCTCTAAATTAATCCTTCCACAGGAACACCCCAACAGAAGTAACACACATACTACATTACATTCTCAATTGTTTTCATCCCAGCTAAAGAAGATTGGCAAGTTAAATTAAAGGAATATGCTGAAATGACAAAATTGACAATGAAACTATGTTGATAAATAATAGAACCAAGGAAGGGACTAGAGGGAAGTCAATTTGTTTTGTTTTGTTTTGGTACTGTTGTTGTTTTTATTTTTGGAAAATTAATAAAATGTTATAAAAAAAACCCAACATTCTCAATTGCTTTAAAAAAGAATTTTAGTGACCATAAAAATTCTGAACACCAAAGGGTGTGTGATAATGTGATGCTAATGACCAATACCAAGATGGTCTACTAGGCTTGCGTGCTGAGCCCGCTGCTGTGGACAACTTACACCTGCCAGGAGCGATGCCTCAGTGCCTTCCAAATGCACTGCGTCGGGAAGATTTTGGGCATCACATGGCAGGACATTCCACAACCTTGTGTACAGCACCTTTGTTTAAAGAGAGTTGCCATGACAATAGTTTGAAGATCAAGTCAATTCATGTACGTCAAAGATTCCAAAGATTGTCATTTCAGAGATCAGTTTCTCAAACAAACCACACAATGAAATGAATTTTGTTCAGTGAAAATATTGCTTCACTTGAAAATGATGTCTTCAAAGAGTCTGAATGTTGGATTGTCCTGTCAGAAGACAATGTAAACACTCATTATCACAATCTTTTTCTTGAATTGCGTATGTACAAACCAAAGTAAACTCACAGTGTTAAGAATGTCCTGGCAGAAACAAACTCCAGAAAGGAAAGAGAGTCCCAGTCTTTCTGTAATCTATCCTATCATGTTCTGCTTTTAAGATGCTCAAGTAGGAACACAAGTGGAAAATTTGCAAGAAACCAAATCAGCAAGGTTAGCAAAGATTTTAAAATATTAGTTTACAGCTATGCTACATGCCAAGGCAAATAAAATAAAAATTGGAGCCTCCGTTCTTTTGCATGGTGTAGACTTCAGACGTATTTTTTTAAATCACCTTTTTTTTTTTTTTTTGCTTATTAGGTCTGCGTCTGCAACATTATTTGAGCAAAGTTAACACGATAAAAGGGCACAATGTAAAAAACCAATCACAATATGTGCAAAGAACTGAACTAAGGTAACTTAACAACAAAAAGCCTGTGATATCCTGGGATACATCAAAATACCAAAAATGTCAGTGGTGAATATGCTATGGAAGCACACTCACTATGTTTGCACTACATATATGAACTTCTCACCAGGATGGGATTTGCAGTCCAATTTACAGTACTGATTGGCTGACCAATATATCAAGCAAAAAAAGTGCAAGCCCTTCTCACCTAAAAGTTTATTTAGAAGGGCTGGGAGAGTGCTTTAAAAAAATTTTTTTAATGCTTCAAGCAAGTTTTTGAACAGCCACAAAGGAAGGTACTTGCAACCCACTGCTTCCAACCCCTCAAAACAGAACAGTCCGTTGAAGGAATGATTAGAATAAGAAAAACTGAAATGTTTGACAAAAACCAGTTGAGAGGCTAAGCATTTGGAAAAGTACATCACAAAATAACAAATACACCCCTACGAAACTGTATGAAGAACATGCAAGGTAGGAAGAAAAACTCTGTGCTTCTCTGTTAGTATGATGCAAGATAAGGAAAATATGTAAAGAGAAAACTACTGAGAACAATGAATATGGCAAAAATTCTGAAACACCGTACACAGTTCATAAGATAATGCAAAGAAGACTACAACAGTGTTCAAAGAAGTTACTTTTGTATCTACTTTGCCGGGAACTGAATATACAAAAGTGTTTCACATCAGTAAGAGAATTTCTAAGGCTGTGGGAAAAGAAAGCCTAAGAGATTTTGCCAACTGGCAGAATCAGAGCAGAATGAATATCACTGATTAAGAACTACTGTTTCCAAAGCCAAGGCAGCCTCTGAAGAGAATAGAACCTGAGGAGTTATACTACTTTAAAGGGCTGCCACCACAATCCCCTCTGCTGCCATCTCAAAAGCAGAGCAAGACTAGAATGACAAGAGCGAGCTTAATGGCACCATATTTCCTACAAAGAAGCCAGTCCTTGGCTCCACAGCAGCCAGTCACTGGTGACTGTGTGAGAGTACTGCTCTATAGCAAGCTACTTATTTTGTAGACACAAATTGTTTTGAAGCTCACAGAAAAACAGTAGTCAAGCAACTGGAAAACCTAAAATTTCCAATTTCAAAGCAGTAGAAGCAGCTAGCAAATGACGTGGCAGAACAGTTTTATATGACAAAATGCCTGTTCACCGAGGTGAGCACTGTGTATGAACCTCCGCAATCCTATGCATGTTTGTTAAACATTTTGATCCTGCTGTTCATTTAAAAAAGTATCACACGGATAAGACAGTCTGTGTTCCTAGGCTTACAATGTAAAACACAAGACACAAAGGAAAAAGCATTGGGAGGGAGGAGGAAAAAATAAGTTAGGCCTAAGACAGGTAAATGTGTATACATTTAGACACTTAATTATAAACAGTGTACATTATCCTATTATACAGGATGCCGTTTCCTGGGAATAAAGGGCTGGATCCTAGTGCTCCCAGTATCAAGCCCACAGTGTAGTACAGGAATTCCCAAACTGCGGAGCTTCGTGCAGGTGGTCTACAGTATGTCTGTAAAAGTACAATTAAAATCATCCAGCATCTAGCATAGTGCATTACAATTGCTACAACAGACAAGGAAGGGGAAAATCATTAAGTGGTCTGCAAAGACTCTCAGCAATTTCCAAATGGTCCATGGAGGGGGGGAAGCGCCTGAGAACTATTGCTAAGTATATGACTAGTTGTGTGACATTTATCATGCTTGACCACGCTTCTTTACATACTTAGAAAAGCACACTTTAACCCTAATAGAGGGCCACTGATTCAGTGTTGAGATATTATAACAGTTTAGCATATTATGATTTAATTCTAACAAGCTATTATTTTTAAGCCATCATTTTTATCCATTCTGATCAGAAGATATTATTGAGAAAACCTAATGGTCATAACAATATATATTTCATAAAGAATGAACCAGGAAGCCTCACTGACATTGCTGGAAGTTTCATGAATACAGAGTCTCTAGCGCAGTTTGATAGTTCATTCTGTATACCGACATGAACCAAGCTGCTCTCAATTTTTTTTCCTAACATGTAAACCCCACCTTCCCCCTAGCAATCTGATCATTGTTAAACTGCCTAAAATTGTTAAAATAATACGTGCCCTGCTCACAGACTCACTGTACAAAAGAAAGGACATAATACATTAGATGAAAAAGGGAAACAAGACAGAAAGTGGGTCAATCAGGAAAAAAGCAGGATGAACAGCTGTGTCTTTATAGATAATATAGCTGGAATTATCAGATTACTGGCTAACAACATAGTGAATCTGGCCTGTGATATAATTTTGCGTGGGTGGAATGAATCTTTGTCAGCAGCATACAGTAGTCTATGACTGCTATAGAGAAGGTGTGCTAAGATGGCATGAGGTAGTAAATGTATTACATACACTATACTTATGTGATCAATTATCTCTTTTATAGCCTCAAAGTATATATTTAAGACCAGAAGGGAGAAAGACAGCACTATAAACACATCGGGAGTATGCAACAGTTCATTTAACTTGCCTTCCCTTCAGAGCCAATAATTTTAGCCTCACATGGCTGCAAGTTAGGTAGTTGGACTGGGGCTGAGTGCTACCAAAATAGATGGTACTTTCCTGAAGAGTAAATAATCAAGATGAATCTGTGTTAGCAGTCACTGCCATGTGAACCTGTGGGTGTGGAAACATGTACAACTGCCACTTCCTTAATCAAATGATTCTGTATTAAAGTCTTGATCTTTCGAAGCCTGAGTGCTGGCCAGATAAAACACCTATTTTCTTAGTAGTAAAAGTTATTAGATGTATCAAAGAGCAAATAGCTGATGGTACTATCATAATGTTGTGAATGTTACTATCATAATGTTGTGACAGTTGACAATATCCTTGGAATAAATAAATCTGTATGCAATTAACCAAATAATAGATGGCAGCATAAGGTCAAACTGCACAAGTGTTAATATCCTGTGGTCTTTTTTTGTTCTTTTGTTTTATTAACCCTCAGATGCAGCCTTGAGTAGATAAAACTAGGAACAAAAGGATGAGGTCTTTTCCTTCTTAACTCATTTTCTGCTCCAGTTGCACACATGCCCTCCAAAAAAGTTGCAAGGGGGAAAAAGATAGGCAACCATATCCAAATATGTTTGGCCCTCCCCTTTTTGGAAAAGGTGCAAGGGTGGTACTCCAAATTGTTTTGGTAGTTAGGAATTTGAACTCTGAACCACCCATCCCAAAAGTGTTCTCTGCCAAATTCCTGTACAGTGGTACCTCAGGTTACAGACGCTTCAGGTTACAGACTCCGCTAACCCAGAAACATTACCTCGGGTTAAGAACTTTGCTCCAGGATGAGAACAGAAATTGCGCTGCAGCAGCAGTGGGAGGCCCCATTAGCTAAAGTGGTACCTCAGGTTAAGAACGGACCTCCAGAACGAGTTAAGTTCTTAACCCGAGGTACCACTTACACTTAATGGGCAGACACATTTTTATTTGTTTCTCAAGTTAAACTGATTTATGGTAAGCATATAGAGCACGGCTCTGGAACTTGTGTCCCTTCAGATGTTGCTGAACTACAATTGACCATACTGGTTGAGGCAGATGGAGCTGGAATTCAACAAATTTGGAGGGCCACAGCTTTCCCATTCTTGATGTAGTAGACGATGGCTTCATTCAAATTATACCTGTTGATACTACACAATCACTATAATAAGGAGGGAGTCAGTTTGGGTGGTCCCCACTACATTTATGGTTCTTTCATACTGAGTTGGTACGTAGAATAAACAGGCAGTCACCAAATACTGTTACTAAAAAGGAACTCCTCCCCAGCCACACACCAGCTTGAAAAATTGCCACTACTACAAACCACAAAAAGTGTTGTTGATTGGGTGCTGTTTGGGGTGTTAAGTATCTGCCGCCAACAGTCACCTCCCTGTGCTAACTTACCTTGTTATCAGTGAAAGAATGTGTGTTCATGTCAAGGTCTGGCTTTTACATGCACAAAGATGAGGCTGTCTACTGGACTGCAAACACCAAGACTTATTGTGGTATAAACTTTTGTGCACTAAACCCATATTCAAGCCCAGTTAAGTGGGCTTGCTCAATGAAAGCGCATGCTACATCTGTTTGTATCTATTGCCTCTTTTTCCTGTGTGGACACAACCTCTTCCCAGTTTTTTTCCCTTTAAGAGGAATATTCAGCACATACACAGCCAGCATTTCTCCCACCCGTGGAAGTCAAGGCCATAACGGTTTCCAGGTGACATAGCTGTCAACGTTTCCCTTTTTTTAAGGGAACTTCCCTTATTCCGAATAGGATTCCTCGCAAGAAAAGGGAAAAGTTGAAAGCTATGCCAGGTGGTCTCCCAGCCAGCCTGAATAGCTCAGTTGGTGATTGTGGGGTGCTGATAACCCCAAGGTTGCAGGTTCGATCCCCTTAAGGGACAACTGCATATTCCCTGCATTGCAGGGGGTTGGACTAGATGACCCTCAGGGTTCCCTTCCAACTCTGCCATTCTATGATCTCGGCCCATTCGCAGGCCGAAAGGGGAGATTTACACACGCATTTCCCCGAGACCTCCACTCACCAGCTGCTTGAGGTCTTCCTCGGAGAGCCCCGCGTACCGGTACCGCTGCTGCTCGAACTCGTAGCGGGTCGTCTTGGCCACCACCACCACCCGGGCCGGGCGGAACCCGACGCCGCCTCCCGACCGCGCAGGGAGCTCCGACGAAGAAGCATCCGAGCTGAGGCAGCGCTGCGAGGAGGAAGGGGCGGACGGAGGCGGCGGCGGCGAAGACCCTCGCCCCGCCAGCGCTAACGGCTGAGAGGGGAGCCCGGACGCGGCGAAGGCGGCGGCGGCGGCTGAAGCCACCGACGCGGCCAGGCGGGCTGCGCTGGGCGCTAAGGCGAGGTGGCTGTGAGGCGGCGGCGGGGCAGGCGGCTGGTGCCTCCGGGAAGGCTTGAGCAAGGCGCGGAGGGCGGCGGAGGGACTGCCGCCGCTCAGGTAGCTCGGGAGGCAGGTCATAGCCCGGGCTCGCGGGGTTCCTGCTGGAGCCGCCGCGGCCGCCACAACCACCACAGCCGCGAGGGAGGCGAAGGGACAGAGCGGCGACCTTCCCTCGCCTCAGGTTTTTGCGCCACAACAGCGCGGCGCGCGCGCTCGGGAAAGTGGCGGGGGCGGGGGGGGCGGGGTGAGGCAAAGCAACACACAGCGCACGCACGCACAGCCCCGCCCCCTTCTGCTCAGCGCACGCCGCCTGACGCACGGACGCATCCGACGTGAGCGCTCCGACCCTCGCAGGCGTAAAGGGGAGGGGGTGTTAGTGAGCGGGAGGGAAGGGACACTGTGCGCAGGCGCCGCGAGCCCGCTCTCTCTCGCTCTCTCCCCCCTCCCCGTTTTTGCCACAGAAGTAAGACATCGCGCTCCCACGCGTTCTAAAGCCCGGCTGGTCCAATACGGGCCTTCGACGTCGATTCGCTTTCTGCGCCTGCGCAGCCGTCGCCCAATCCAGAAAACGCCCATTGGTTGATGGCTCCTCGGTGCGACATTATAGCCGCGCGGGGCACGAAACGGGCTCGAGCGCCTCCCGCCGCGATTGACCAATAGGAAATGCCCTTGTCCAGAGCGCGCCGGCGGAGAACGTTCCGTAGTTAGGAAAAGAATAAAACGGGGAAGATTGGGAGAGGCGAGGGCGGCCGGTGGGCGCCATGAGCTGTCCAGTTCCACCTTCCTGCAGGAAGCTGCCGCCTTTATACAAAATATTGATCTCCCTTCGTCTATCATCTAACTCAGTACAGTATTGCACACACGGACTGGCAGCAGCTCTGCAGGGCTTCACACACGGAGAAGGGAGGCTGTTCACTGAAAGAAGGAGGGAGACGCTCACAACCCAGAGCCAATTGTGATTGGAGCAAATCCCTTCCAGCCCTGAAAGCCAGGACCGACATAAAGGATCACTGAAATACACCAAGCCTAGGGTGGGTGGGCTGTTTGGAGGCTATGCAAAATCTAGGCGCCAGCAGTGCTACCCCACAAATTGGCTGATGGTGCGCAAGGGTGTGTGGAACCATGAGTTACTTGCAGGAACAGTGTACAAAACTCGTTTTGATATTTTTTTTTAAATCCCGTGGACATATATTTCCAGACACAATAAAAGTATACATTTATCATAAGCAACAGCCAAGCACTCAGTTTATTAGCACTGTACATTTCCTACCTAAGAGCTATTTTTACAAGATAAAAATTCCTTCCAGTAGCACCTTAGAGACCAACTAAGTTGGTCTGCTTTGATTTTAAAGAAAAAAAACATTGTGGCTACAATCCAGAAAATGTGTTCAGTTTAATTATATCTTCCATGCTATAAACAAAGCACACATTCAACAACCCTGCTGGTGATTTAAAAGGTGACTAAATCTGGGCTGGGTGAAAAATGCCACTTCACGATCTAAAAGGCCAGAAGAAATTGAAGCTGTAACTTGCCATAGTTACAGTGATAAAAAGAAAGTCTGCCAACATTCTGGAGCGAAGAGAAATGTATGCCATAGGTCATTTGCTCATAATTCTTTTTAAAACTGCCTACCGAAGTTAAACAAATATCAACCAAGCAAAGGTGGAGCTCAAAAAAGTGATCTGTTGGCTTAAAACCAAGGGGAGAAGATTGCGCAATTAACCTTCATTTTCTGTATCCCTGTGATCATCTATCTTAATGGTTGTTTTTTTTAAAAAGGAACACTTTCACATACTATTAAAACTGAAAGAGGAAGGAAATGGGATTACAGCAAGGAGGGAAAGAAAGTTTTAAGCATTGGAATGCATAAGCAATATGTTGCTTTTTTTCAAAATTACCAAGAGCATTCTTTGAGCCAGCTGATGAGCTGGTGGATATGGGACAAGTGCTGCTGAGTAGCAGGGCAGGGGACAGGTTTTATACTACTGGAGGCCTCCAGTACAGCCATACTCTGCCAGAGTCTGGAACCCAAGCAGAAGCATATTAGTGGTGCATCAAAGGAACATAAGACACTGTCTTGTACAGTGGTACCTCGGGTTACATACACTTCAGGTTACAGACTCCGCTAACCCAGAAATATTACCTCGGGTTAAGAACTTTGCTTCAGGATGAGAACACAAATCATGCTCCAGCGGCACGGTGGCAGCAGGAAGCCCCATTAGCTAAAGTGGTGCTTCAGGTTAAGAACAGTTTCAGGTTAAGAATGGACCTCCAGAACGAATTAAGTACTTAACCAGAGGTACTACTGTATTGTTAGACATTGGGTTTATGTCCCATCTTCTGCAAGGAGCCCAGGGCAGCAAACAGATACGCAATTTAAAAACAAAAACATTCTAAAACAGTTAAAGCACTCTTTGAAAAACCAATTACAATTAAAGACATCTAAAAGTAGTTACAGATGAAAACTTTATTCCATCCAATGATCTTGGGGTTGCCAGGAAAAGTATTCTTCAGCCACCAACTGATGGCTGAAAGTTAATACAGCAGTAGAGATAGGTGAACCTCACTAATGAGGGTCTATGGTGCTGGAGGAGACTCTTGAGAGTCCCATGGTCTGCAAGAAGATCAAACGTATCCATTCTTAAGGAAATCAGCCCTGAGTGCTCACTGGAAGGACAGATCCTGAAGCTGAGACTCCAATGCTTTGGCCACCTCATGAGAAGAGAAGACTCCCTGGAAAAGACCCTGATGTTGGGAAAGATGTAGGGCACAAGGAGAAGGGGACAACAGAGGATGAGATGGTTGGATGGTGTTCTTGAAGCTACCAGCATGAGTTTGATCAAACTGCGGGAGGCAGTGGAGGACAGAAGTGCCTGGGGTGCTCTGGTCCATGGGGTCACGAAGAGTCGGACACGACTAAACGACTAAACAACAACAACAACATTGGGGAAGGAAGTTTTTTAGGAATAGTGACTAAAATAGTGACTCGGACCTTTGGTCCACCTAGTTCAGTATTATCTACACCAGGGTTGGGAACCTTCTCAGCCTGAGGTGGTGAGAGAGTAAGCACCCTCACAGGTCACTTTGACAATTTAGGAAGTTCAGGAGGAACCACATACAATGTTTAAAATGATGTATTGCAGAAGATAGACATGCTATACTTTATTGAAAATAAAAGCCAAGGCTTAATTTTGCCACTGTTATTTTTTATTGTTCTGTTTATTATATAATAATATCCAAAACACAGCATATGGAATACTTTCCTAACTTCTTGTATATGAATAATAGTATGTTACCTTTTTAAAGACCTTCATAACAATGCAATAGTACTAAAGCAGCACTTTTTTTAAAAAAAGTATAAGATGGTCAAGAATAAAAGCTGATCCCATTCATGTAGGGACCTTTCAGCACAGTATTTTAACTTTTCCCATATAGTTAAAGTGTGGGGGCAAGTAGTAAAATACTTGCATTCCTCTGCAACCAGTACAAGTAGATTATTCAGTGTTAACCTACACTGATTTATTAGTAAGCTTCAGTGAGAAAATAACATGTATTTGGAACTAGGGATGCACAGACCCATTAAAGTCCAGTCTATCCCAGTTCTGCATGGGTGCAAAGCCATTTCCATCTTCTCAAACCACCTTGTAAAGAAATCTGCTGAACTGCAGTTTCAGAAGTGCACTCATTCTGATCCAAGTTACAGTCTGCCCAAACTGAATTACACGAGTTCAGCCAATTTCTGGAAGTAAGTGCAATTAAAATCTGTAAGACCAACTTTGTGTTTATTATTTAAATATTTTATTTAGGGACTAGAAATTTGTTAGAGTCCTATTCCTGGACTCTGATTGGTAGCTTAACAAATCCTGAATTAGGCTGAGACTGCAGTGGAGATGCAGCTGAGAGACAGATTTGATGGACCATATCCTCAATATGACTGGTTACAAAATAAACAGACCGTTTTGCTTTGCAAACATGGTTTATGGCTTTGCGTTTTGATAGGAACTGTTCAAAAACTGTTCTGGAATTAATCTGCTTGTTATGGGTGGCAACTTTGACAGAAGGGACATATAATAGTATGATCTAGTTGGGCTTTGCTTTTGCTACGTTTGATCATCCATATACACATTCTAAAACTGTGGACCGCCTTTACAATTTGATAGTTGTGCTCTCCTTGTCAGTTTGGGGATGATAAGAGTAGAGTCTTTGTGGAAACTTAACAGCACTTAAGTCTTGCCAATATTATTTTTGGCCAAATATTTATTAAGCAAATATTTTTTGACTAAGCACAAATAAAAAGTTTGTTTGAAAATTGATTGCCATTGTGGTTGCTGGCAGGAGGCTCTTCTCTCAACTATCCTACAGAAAGCGTGATTTAAGAAAGTATCACTCGTGGTGTGCACGAGCATCTTTTCTGACACCCCACCCCCCTTTCTAAATCTTTAATTTGTTAGAGGTAGATTGCCTATAAGTTATCAAGAAGAGTTCAACAAAATTAACTGATTGTGTCTATATAATATAGTGGAGTGAGCTGGTTGTGGCAGAGCTGCCTTATGAATTTGCTAGTTATTCTTGAGCAGATCACTCACTGTTAGATGTCTGGGTTGTGTTAGCACCTGATAAGGCTGTATAGGACTCAAGGCCCATAGATGGTTCAAGGGCTTTGCCCCTGTGCACCTAACATCAGGCTCTTCTGATTTTCCCCTAACAGTTGCATGAGCCACTTGTCCTTTTTATACAGGATGCCTAGAACAAATTATCCAAGACGAGAGGCTAGCAAGGACGATGGATTAAGGATGACTAAAGCGTGAAGCAAACAGTGCAGTCTTTCTGAGGTGGACACCCATTGTCTGGACTCAGGCCACTTTCTTATTTGTAATAGGATTGCATACAGTTGAACTATGGAACTTACTGCCACAAGATGTGATTTTGCTGGAGAACGCAGGTGGGGACAGTGCTCTTCTGCTCGGGTCCCGTTTGTGGGTTTTTCATAGGCATCTGGTTGGCCACTGTGAGAACAGGATGCAGGAGTAGATGGACCACTGCCAAGAGGCTGTTCTATGTTCTTAAGTGATGGTCACCAACTTGGATGGCTTTAAAAAAGATTTATAAAATTTCATGGAAGATAGGGCTGTTGACGATGACTAGTTGTGAAGCATGGCTGTGTACTACTTCCAGTGCCACTGGCTATTTCTAAGGAGGCTTTCCCTGTTCCTGTTTGGAGAAAGATCTATGTATATCAGTGGGTAGAATCACAGAATCATAGAATTATAGAGTTCGAAGGCAACACTGGTCTTCTAGTCTAACACCCTGTGATGCAGGAATCTTTTGCCCAATGTGGGGCTCAAACCCACAACCCTGAGATTAAGAGTCTCATGCTCTACCAACTGAGCTATCCCAGTGAATACTAGTGGCTGGGAAGCATGATTGTGGCACCCCATAACCAGCTTGCGTGCATCTTACATTCCTATGAATAGCAGCCTCAATTCCTCATACAGCATGGATGGTATTGGGGTTGCAATCCTGAACACATTTAACGAACACAGTGGGATCTGCTTCCAAGTCAAGAGGAGAAAGGTTGCACTGCATGAAACACTTTATATAGGAAAGGTGTCCACAAACAGGAAATGCAGATGACCAGAAAAACCATGGCTCATTTGGAAACACAAAGAGCACAGCCCTGAACATATTTCTTCCAAAAACACACAGCAACTTGTGGAATTATGGATACCAATACGAGCTTTGGAAATACTCTTTGGACTGTTGCATGTGCTAGGCTGACAGATACAGCGTTCGCAAACAAAAACTAGCTTTTAAGTGTTCATGTAGTTAATGATGAAGCTTTTACCTTTGGCAGCAGGATATCCCTCACATCAGGCAAAGTTTTCAGCAGGATTTCAGAAGCATTTTAGATGCGTTCCTTTGCATTGGAAAAATATTTAACTGTCTACATATCTAATGATGGCAAATAGGTGTGTTGGCAAACATTTCTGTCTTGTTTCTTGCTGGTTTTGAAAGCTTGAGGTATGATTTTCAGAAAATGGTATTTATGCACAATCTGGCCTCTGCTCTGTGAGAAAAGGTTACAATATCTGGGGCTTTTTGGATGAGAAAAAGGCAAATCCGGGGTGTGGGGCATGAGGTATAAAGTGTGTAAGGTTATGCATGGCATGGAAAAAACCAGACAAAATATTTTCTCCCTCTAATAATATGAAAACTCAGAATCACCCAATGAAGCTGCATGGTGGGAGATTCAGGACATAGGAGAGGAAGTACTTCTTCATACTACTACTACTAATAATTTATTATTTATACCCCACCCATCTGGCTGGGTTTCCCCAGCCACTCTGGGCAGCTTCCAACAGAACACTAAAATACAATAACCTATTAAACATTAAAAGCTTCCCTAAACAGGGCTGCCTTCAGTTGTCTTCTAAAAGTCTGGTAGTTGTTTTTCTCTTTGACATCTGGTGGGAGGGCATTCCACAGGGCGGGTGCCACTACCGAGAAGGCCCTCTGCCTGATTCCCTGTAACTTGGCTTCTCACAGCAAGGGAACCGCCAGAAGGCCCTTGGCACTGGACCTCAGTGTCCGGGCAGAACGATGGGGGTGGAGACACTCCTTCAGGTATACTGGACCAAGGCCCACAGTTAAACCATGGAACTGACTACTGCAAGATGTGGTGATGGCAACCAGTTTAAATGGATTTACAAAGAGGATGGATAAGGCTATAAAATGGCCACTAATCGTGATTGCTATATGTTGTCTCTAGGATCGAAGGAAGCAAGTGATAGGCATGGTTGGTATATAATGCTAAGCCATAGTTTGTTTTAAAAAACCATGAGTTTACCATGCGTCAACCACAGATGCTTTCCATTTCCAGCTGCTGTTGTCTCCTACCTTTATAGTTTGGTGAGCACCTGAGACGGTTAAACAAACCATGATTAAGGAAGGGTGCTGTTCCCATGTAACATAAGCCACTATTAAACCAAGGTTCACAAGCCAACAACAAGCCATAGATTCAGCTGTAAGACATGGTTCGCACATAACACTAAGCCATATCTTAATAAACCATCCGTTTAGCCTTATGATTGAACCAGGGTGAACACCACTTGCCAGACAACAACAACAGGAGTTTATTGTGCTTATATACTGCTTATGGGCTTTCCATAGGCATCTGATTGGCTGTTGTGGGAAGCAAGATAAATAGGCTGGCTAGAGAGGTCTTTGGCCTGATTCTGTACGGCTCTTCTTACATTTTTAATCCATGGCATGCAAGATATGTATACAGTGGAACCTCGGGTTACATACGCTTCAGGTTACATACGCTTCAGGTTACAGACTCCGCTAACCCAGAAATATTACCTCAGGTTAAGAACTTTGCTTCAGGATGAAAACAGAAATTGTGCAGCCGGCGTCATGGTGGCAGCAGGAGGCCCCATAACTAAAGTGGTGCTTCAGGTTAAGAATAGTTTCAAGTTAAGAATGGACCTCCGGAACGAATTAAGTATTTAACCCGAGGTACCACTGTACCTTCTTATATGGTTACATATCGAAGGAAACAAAATGGCAATTAAGTGCAATTGTTGCTGGCTAATTTGCAAGCTTGTAGCTTAATCCAGTGCTCAGATTAGTTACTTTTCATATATACAAAATTATTTTAGAGATTTTTGGCCCATTTCAGAATAGGCTGCTATCCTCCCTAGTTTAAAAAAAAAGTTCCCAGAGCAAAAGTTTTGGTTACATGGGGGATCCCTACGTAATAGGAGGTTTGTTGTTGTGCATACATTACTAGGTTGCTGAATGCACACACACACACCCCGCGCCCCACATACACACAAACATACACCAGATTTGTGCACATAGCACAACCAATTGCAAAGAACTATTTCTACATTCATATTCTATTTTTCTGGATCGGGAAAGTTCCCTAAAATAGCTTACCATGCCGAAAACTTCGCAGAAATATCAGCTGCTGAATGCTATGCTGTGACTGCTAAGAAAAATATTTATTATATAGCTGTACTCATAATAGATTTTTGTGGACAGTCATTGTGTAGATAAATCTATGTGGGATTAACACAGTCAGTAATTCATGGATAAATGATGGATTCCATCAATATGATGAAAGAACTTCAATTAGGATTCTCTTTTTCTTTAAAATTGTCCTTAAAGATCATTTGTTCAAAAAACTGAAGCCTTGTTATTTAAAAAATTCTTAAAGAGCTGGGGCCATTCTCTAATTCCTGTATAAGTAAAAGGAAGGATGACTGGAACCCATAAAGTGCTTGTTTTGTGTATCCTCTGTGTGCTAAGTCAACCCTGAAAAGTTTTTGCCCCTTAGTCATACAAAAAGTGTGCAGAATTTCCTCACGCGCTGATGTCGTAAGAGCTTCTAGGGTATTTTTTTTAAAAAGAAGTTTCTGGGTTGTTTTTTTACTTTGATTGGAGGTAGCAAGTTGTCACGAACAGACCACAGGCTGTTGGCGAATCCACTGAGAATGATCTGGAGAAGAATGGAAAGCAGTTGGTTACTTCCATGGTAAACGATTGGTACCACGTCATCTATATGTGCTAATATCACTTGGAGACTTCAGGAGCTTGTGCTTACGCAGCCCAAACAGCACCACTGATACACGAGAGAGAAGGACAAGTACACTTGGGGGTAATCTCAAGATAACCACAAGTACCAAAATAATCTGCAAAGATTGTTTCTTTAAACCAAACCATCCCCACAGTGGTTTGGAATGTGGCTTGGAATGTGCACAATCAGCTTTTTCCTATGATAACAGGTTCTTCCTGACCTCAGCTGTTCAGAGAAAAGAAGAAGAAGAAGAGTTTGGATTTGATATCCCGCTTTATCATTACCCGAAGGAGTCTCAAAGCGGCTAACAATCTCCTTTACCTTCCTCCCCCACAACAAACACTCTGTGAGGTGAGTGGGGCTGAGAGACTTTAAAGAAGTGCGACTAGCCCAAGGTCACCCAGCAGCTGCATGTGGAGGAGCGGATACGCGAACCCGGTTTACCAGATTACGAGTCTACTGCACTTAACCACTACACCACACTGGCTCTTAATTTGTGCAGAACATGGTGATATCTATCTATCATCTATCTATCTATCTATCTATCTATCTATCTATCTATCTATCTATCTATCATCTATCTATCATCTATCTATCTATCTATCTATCTATCTATCTATCTATCTATCATCTATCTATCTATCTATCTATCTATCATCATCATCATCTATCGAGTCACACAGACTCATAGTCAACCCTTCAGGAGCCACATGTTAAAGGGGGCATGACTGAAATGTAAAAAAGCAATTGAAGATTGATGGTTATATTTTTAAAAAATGGACAAATGGTGTCATTCCCAAAACTACAAAGAGAACTTATTCATAACTTGTGACATACATTTCCGACAATGAAATAAACATGCAAATAAACAGCTACGAGATTCATTCCTCAAGATGTAGTGATCTTTACAAACTTGGATGGCTTTGAAAATGAGGTTAGATAAATTAATGAAGGATAAGGCTATTATTGGCGACTAGCCAAAGGTGGCTGTGTACCACCTGCAGTGTTGTAAGCAATATACTCCTGAAAAATACCACCTCCTGGGAATCACAAGTGAAAAGAGCACTATTGCACTCAGGGTTGGCTTGTGGATTTCCCATGGGCCTCTGGTTGGCCACTGTGATAACAGGATGCTCAGCTAGATGGGACTTGTTTTGATTCATCAGGGTTCTTTTTATGTTCAGGTGAAGGAAAACTAATTTTGAAGGATGAGCTGATTAATCATTTTTAGCACAGCCTAAGGGATCAATTTATTGAAAGAAAGCAAATAGAATTGCATAGAGTATGTCTATATCTAATAAGATGTTTCAACTGATGCCAACGTTTCGTGGAAGGGAAAGTTTCAAACCACGTCATTCTCAGAGTAGATTCACTGAAATAAAATCCTAACTTGAGTCCACTGCTTTCAGTGAATCTACTCTGAGTATAACTTAGTCACGATATTGGTCAAAATCAGGACATAAATGAAGTGCAAGTAGTCATTTATCTGCAAGGAATTTTCTTTTTCTTGAATGCCATCAGCCTTACATGAAGTGTGGGGTTACTGATTATGCTTTTCAGGAAGAGTGTTTCATAAACAAGTGCATTGCTCTGGTTATTTTTTTCCTGTGGGAACCTAGCAATGGGGGAAAAAATATAGATAAGCTTTTCATTTGTCAGCATACAGAAGCTGTTATACATGACTATTTTCAGATTAATGGAACTTTCCTGCATATCACAGTGCAGCCCAGTTGAAGCTATCTATTTAATAAAGCTATTTATTATTTATCATTTTCTCTATTTTGCAACCTTTGCAGCCATGTCTCCACCAGAAGGAGGAGGAGTTTGGATTTGATATCCCGCTTTATCACTACCCGAAGGAGTCTCAAAGCGGCTAACATTCTCCTTTCCCTTCCTCCCCCACAACAAACACTCTGTGAGGTGAGTGGGGCTGAGAGACCTCAGAGAAGTGTGACTAGCCCAAGGTCACCCAGCAGCTGCATGTGGAGGAGTGGAGACGCGAACCCGGTTCACCAGATTAACAACTCACTTCCACCATTAATTTAAAAGTGGCTCAATCCTCAATCCCATACATTTTTACTATGCACTGTGTGCATAGGATTGCAACATTAGTTTGACTGGCATCAGAAATAAGGCTGCCAACCAATCAGAAGAAAGAGGCCTGGCTGGGATTTTGCTAGTTGCCAGAAAAGAAAGGGGGCGGTGCCAGAAATGGCAGAACTCTGGCACAGTCCTTCCTGAAACGACAGGGTTTCATTTCCTGGCTCCACCATAGATCTGAGTCCCTGGATGTCATCATCAGGGAAGTTTAGGGAAGATTTTAATGTGTGACATTTTAATGTATTTGTAATCTTTGTTGGAAGCCGCCCAGAGTGGCTGGGGAAACCCAGCCGGATGGGCGGGGTACAAATAAATTATTTTTTATTATTATTATTATTATTATTATTATTATTACTATTATTATTATTAGAGCCCCCCAGGTACCATAATTTTTTTTAATCTGAAGAGTTATCAGCTGTAGCCACAGGGTTTCATGCTCACACATCTGCTGCTATGCTCACAGAACAACTTTGTTTTCAATTGTATCAGTGGCCTATTATGATTCATGTTATAGTTGCATTTTTACTTTATTTTTTCTGGTCCTTTATTAAAAATAAGTGTAATACAACAAAACGCACAATTATTATTCACTTGGCATAAAAGATTCCTGCATTGCAGGGGGTTGGTCTAGATGACCCTTTTGGTCCCTTTCAGCACTAAGTAAAGGTAAAGGGACCCCTGACCATTAGGTCCAGTCGTGGCCGACTCTGGGGTTGCAGCGCTCATCTTGCTTTATTGGCCGAGGGAGCCGGCGTACAGCTTCCGGGTCATGTGGCCAGCATGACTAAGCCACTTCTGGTGAACCAGAGCAGTGCACGGAAACGCTGTTTACCTTCCCGCCGGAGCGGTACCTATTTATCTACTTGCACTTTGACATGCTTTCGAACTGCTAGGTTGGCAGGAGCAGGGACCGAGCAATGGGAGCTCACCCTGTCATGGGGATTCGAACCGCCAACGTTCTGATTGGCAAGTCCTAGGCTCTGTGGTTTAACCCACAGCACCACCCGCGTTAGCACTACAGCTCTATAATTCTATTATTGTAATAACAGTTCTCTGTAGGCTGGCCCTTAAGTAGCCTAAACAGGACCATCCATACACAAAAGGGATATTTCAGGAAGCTCAAGGGAAACCAAAATTATATAATGGTACAAAATGTTTAGAAAAAACCCTGGGGTGTAAGAGCCAAACAACCTGTAATGGTTCTAGGGGTTGCTCGTGCGTAAGCCGGTGCAAACACCTGGCTGGGTTGCCTGAGTGAACCTTTCCTGTCCGGACAGCCACTCACCCGTGGCTGCCTCAATCGCTGGCAGAATCCGTCAGTGGGCGTTTCTTAAACTTCTTCCAGCAAAGAAGCTCTTTGACGCCTAGTCTCCTGCTCTCTCTGCGTGAAAGCCTTCTGCGCAAGGAGGGCGTAGGCAGCGGAGGACCTCTACTCTCCCCGCTGGTCCCCAGCAAGGAGTCATGGGACCGCCTCGCCGCTTCCCCCATCTGCCCCCCTTCTCCACTGGTGCTACGCTGATTCTCTTCCCCAGAAGATGGGCTGCCTCTCCCACTCCCGGGACGCTCTCCGGAATCCCTCTGGATTTTGCTCTCTCCCTCCGGCACTGATGGCAGTTCCCTGACACAACCCAATAATGGTTGAGCAGGCTGAATGGATGTGGAATGCAGACTGGCCAGGAGGAGGGGGCGCAAAATGGAAAACCAGGAGTATCTTGAACAGGAGGATTTCACACTGCAACATTTTGTTGCAGATCTCCCTTGTGTATAACCTACAGATCTATAACATAAAACAAGATCCGGATATAATCAAGGACAATAATAGTGTATCTTTGTGAATGGAGCAATGAGCAGGAGTATAGACTGTTGGGGCTTGTAAACAGGCAAATTTTCCAGACTGGAACAAAGGAACTCTTGAGAACAAAGCGAAGAGGAATTCTGAGCGCTCGAAGCATGTTGAGCATTCTCGCCTGCCAGTTTTTCAAAGACTTCATTCATCTCTTACCTCTCTCTCTCTCTCTCTCTCTCTCTCTCTCTCTCTGTCTCTTTGTATAACTTTTAGATCAGTAGTGGTTGTTTGTGCAATTTCAGGTGATGCCCAAAGCACTTTAATAAAGAAAAAAAAGAGTAAGAGCTTTCTTTGAAGTTTCCTGTCACATGCTGAAGAGGAAGAGTTTTTTTCTGTTTAATTTTAAAATGAAACAGCTTGCCTTGTCAGCAGCACAAGCAGCTGCTGTGGAAACCTTAGCGAAAACCCTGACTCTTTTTGTTCACGAACAAAAACAATCCCAAATATACACACAGATAGCTTCGGCAGATCGTAACCAAAGAGCTGAGTTTTAATTTGGAAGGATTTCAATTATCATCTCATGTGGTGCTTCTTTTAGCTGTAAACCAAAAGAAAATGTGGTGGTCCACAAACTTAGAAAATAGCCCTTACTGCATTAATGTTTCCACTCAGATGTACAATTATGAGACATCAATATGAGAGGCATCCTCAGAACTCATTCACTGGCTTACTCCTCAATGTGATATATGCTTTCACTTGCAAACAATGCCATTCTTCCGTCTGCAAGTCATTCTCTACAATAAAAATGACTTCTATAAGAAGCCAGGGTGGGAATATTTAGTCTCACAGGATATTCTGCTGCTAGCCAGCAGGTCATATTATCTAGTGAAGGAACTTCAAAGTGACACTCCTGCATGAAATTGCTAAACTAGAATTTATGGATACATTTGATTCTATTTGTTCAGGACCCAAGCCAGACAATGGCTGGCTTTCCCACTATAGCTGTTAAGAAAGAATAGCAAAGGTAGGATGATTACTGTTGTGTACGCTCATTGTGCTTATCGTGTACATATTTATTTTGTTTCTTACATGCTCATTTCCCCATACTCATGTACGAGTTTCTCTGTCCCCCGCTACCCCCACAATTTTATCATCAAATTAATTTTAGGTTGTTGGTTAGTCTGAGCAACACTGACTAGCTTAGCACCACCCAGTAAATTCCATGGCTATGTGGGGATTTGAATCTGGGTCGCTGCAATCCTAGTACAATATTGTATCCACTGTTGCACACTTGCTTTCTATTTAGTATTTTGGCTTCATTCTACAAAAGCTTATTTCCCAAGATATCTGATTAGCTTTTTAGGTGTCTCAGCACTCTTGCCATTTTTGAGGCAACACCCTAACACACCTGCCCCTCTGGAAGTTGGACAAAAATTCCCAAACAACTTATCCATTTTGGCCACCATAGCATGTGCCTGAATAAAGTCTGGGAAAATACAGAGCTGTCTTCCAAAGGCATTACAGGCATGTAATAGCTGGGTAAACAGCCTGGAAGAGTAAAAATGAAGAGAAGCTCAAGCAGTACCCACCCATTTCTTCCAGTATACCTGAAGGAGCATCTCCACCCCTATTATTCAGCCCGGACACTGAGGTCCAGCGCCAAGGGCCTTCTGGTGGTTCCTTTACTGTGAGAAGTGAGGTTACAGGGAACCAGGCAGAGGGCCTTCTCAGTAGTGGTGCCCGCCCTGTGGAATGCCCTCCCATCAAATGTCAAGGAAATAAAAAACTATCTGACTTTTAGAAGAAATATGATGGCAGCCCTGTTTAGGGCAGTTTTTAATGTTTGAAGTTTTATTCTGTTTTTAGTGTTCTGTTGGAGGCTGCCCAGAGTGGCTGGAGAAACCCAGCCAGATAGACGGGGTATAAATAATAAAATTATTATTATTATTATTATTATTAGCCCCTTTTCAAACTGCAAAAAGAACATCATACATTAAATCAGAGCCATGTAAACTTGCCCTGATACAGTATGTGTGGAGTTGCAACTTGATGACTCCACTGCCCCAGTTTTTATCTACAGAGGGTTTTTTTAAAAAAAATCTCTAATGAATAGAGTCAGAATCACCAAGTGAGCCTTTTTTTCTGGCATTGAGATGCATTAATGGGAAAAACTGCACCCACTGATGTCTACCTGCCATGCATCTACTGAAAACACAGAACATAACAAAAGCTGGCAACTTTAGAGCAGCAGGAAACATTTTGCAAATGGTGTTTGGAGTGAAATCTCAGCAAAGGTTGGGCTGCGTACCTTGATAGTATTACAACAGGATCAGCTGGCATGAAAGATAAGCAGACTGAGGTGGACATAGTCAGGATAAATAAAATAAAGCAGGGGCCGTCAGAGGACCTGCCAAGGTTGCTTGATAACAGATGGGGCCTGGGTTGTCAGCAATCTCTGGGACCTGGATGGAAGAGGAATTTGGACTCACTGGCTGCAGGGAATTGTAAGGGTTTATATAACTTCACTCATTTTTTCTCATGCACCACACACACGTACACACACACACCCTCACTGCGAAGTCCATCACAGTGAAAAGAACACTGTATGTACCACAGTTTGGATGTCCCTCAAGGACTGTGGCCTCAGTTATCATCACTGGCCACTGACCCTTAGCTGTTTTTCCCAAATCTGTGTCAGAGGCCTTCGCTTGTCAACATGATTGTTTAACTTGCAAGTCGGCACATAGATTGGAGAGTACCTTCAACTCGCAAATAAATTCCAGCCTTTTATTATCTCCCTCTGGGAAGTCACACAGACAAGTTGAAGGGGAGAGGTTCTGCATGAATGCTGACTGAAGCGGCTGCTGTTTGGTGGGCAGAGTGAGCTGTATATAGTATACCATAGTCACAGTTTAAAAATAAAAACGTTTGGTTCTTCAGGTTTATCGCAGGTCTTTTTGTGCCCTCCTTACAAAAGCAATGGTTCAGCACACTCCTATGCATGTTTACTTGGAAGTAAGTCCCACTGTAATCAATAGGGTTTACTTCAAAGAGAGGGCCCATAAGACATGCATTTTTCCTTCAGAAAATAGCATAAAATCAGTATGCAGTAGACAGGAACTTTGGATATAGTCAGTTCCTCTTCCATTCTTTTCACCTACTCAGTTCTCTGCTCTAGCACACATTTTTATATTGTCTCCTGTTGTAGCATGAGAACCACCATGTTGTGGTTGCATGAAATGGTCTTTTGCTATCCTTTTATACTGAGTGGTCTTTCCCTATCCTGATACCAAGGACCCCTCTAACTGGAGAGGTCACAGATTCAGCTAAGCATGCACTCTGCCACTGGCTACTACTTCTACTTAACATCTGTTTAGTGCTTTCATGTGTTCAAATCATTTACACGCATCATTTTGTTGAAATCCTTCCCGAACTCTGTCAGTCTTATTGTCCCCATACTGCAGATTAGGAGAGAGCAGCCTAGTTAATTCATGGAACAGATGAGTTTCAAAACAAGGACTTCCTGATTTGTCCCCCAGTTTCTTAGCTACTGCTCACAAGTCATTTAAATAATGTGCTTCTTTCCCACATCAGTATCAAAAACTACATCATTCGTTTGACCCACATTGCTTCCTCTTTTGAGGAACTGCAGGTGTGTTTGGGGATGGAAATTGCCCCACAACAATAATGCATGTTAGGACCATCTTGGGTGCAAATCCCCAGAGACACGGTGCGAGATTATGGCTTGAGCGTAAGCACATGCCTCACAAGCTGAACAGAATAGATGCCAAAAAGAAACATAGGAAGAGGACCAGAATGAAATTAATGGGAGTGGCATCAGTGAGGTCAACACTGTGCAGTACAACAGATGTGTAGCAGCTACTGAAACCAGCACACTTCTGGTAACACTTAGCAATACAAAACCTGCATTATTACGTGCTCTGAAATTCTCAGCCCGCTCAGAGCAGCAGCAGTCAATGAAATGGAAGAATGAGGAGGAAAGTCACAAATTTTGTATTGCTAGGCATTACATGGAAAAGTGAAGGAGGAGTTGCTACATTTGGTGGTAGCCACATGTCTGATGTAACATCTAGCTGCACCCAGAGAACTATGAAGACCATCCAGTCATGGTAACCATTCAGCAGACACTATTCATGTTGACAAAAACTAGGTTTTATCTTAGGAACATAGGAAGTTGTTGTGTTCAGAGTCAGATAATGGGCCAGCATGGCTCAGTATTGTCCAACACTGCCTGGGAAGAAGCTCCCCAGAGCTTCAGGCAATGAGTCTTAGCCCTGCATGGATATGTGAGGGATTGGACCTGGGACCTTCTGCATGCAACGCAGATGCCGTACCCCTGAGTTATGTGCCCTCATGGGAATGCTTGCAAAAATGTGTATAATAGTCAAATCTGCATACAAAAGTGTCTTTGTCAGGAGAAATTGACACTAAAATGTTGAAGAATTTCCAAGAGGAGTTAAAAATGGCAAATGGCTGCAGAAATGTGAAGAAGTGAATTTAAGAGTGGAAAAATTAGAAACAGAGAGAACATAAATGGACAGATCCTTCCATCCCTATTTCTCCATGAAAGGACCTGAGGACATGGTGGTTTGTTTTCCTTTCAGGAACCAATAAGAGCGAGAACCAGAGGCAGAGTTGAAAGGAGTCCATAGCTGTCAACTTTTCCCTTTTCTTGCGAGGAATCCTATTCAGAATAAGGGAATTTCCCTTTAAAAAGGGGAAATGTTGACAGCTATGAAGGAGCCGCCCTCAGATAGTCTATCCAAGCAGGAAGCAGGAAGTGATGACGGAAAAGGAGTTCAGGGTAGAGGCAGATCAGAAAAGTGGGCTATGAATTTGACTAAAAAGAGAGCTTAAGGTCAAGGACAGGTGGAATGTTCACTCAAGGAAAGGAAATGGCAGATGGTTGGAAACCTTCAACAGTGGCCTATGCAAAGCCGCCACAGGTAGGAGCCAGCCAGGCAGAGACGTGAGGAACAATATGCCCTCTGGTGGCAAAGGTCCACAATTTCTAGTGACTTCTCTAAGGAAAAGAGTACAGTGGTACCTCGCAAGACGAATGCTTCGCAAGACAAAAAACTCGCTAGACGAAAGGGTTTTTTGTTTTTTGAGCTGCTTCGCAAGACGATTTTCCCTATGGGCTTGCTTCGCAAGACAGAAACGTCTTGCAAGTTTGTTTCCTTTTTCTTAACACCGTTAATACAGTTGCGACTTTGACTTCGAGGAGCAACTCATAGAACGCGGTGTGGTAGCCTTTTTTGAGGTTTTTAAAGACTTTGGTGATTTTTGAAGCTTTTCCAAAACTTTCCCGACACCGTGCTTCGCAAGACGAAAATTTTTGCAAGATGACAAAACTCGCGGAACGAATTAATTTCGTCTTGCGAGGCACCACTGTAATATTGAAGCTAAAATTCTATCACATACCAGCAAATTCAGGTTGCACAATTAAAACGGATTGGAGCTCCTCCTCCAAAACCAGATTTTTCACAGTAATTAAATTGATGGGGAAATGCAACAGAAAATATGGGACAACATTTCCTTCAGTATAACCACAAGCAAGAATGAACGCTCAATAAGTAGTCAACCCTTGTTAATTTTTACTTTGAAAAGCAGTTGCTTCAGAATATCTCCCACTCACCCTATTTTTTTCAGAAGCAGGAAACTTTCAGGAGTGGGGTAGCTGCTTATTATTACATTCCTTATTTTGATAGGCAGCAAAATCCTAACCATGTTTGCTCAGAAGTAAATCCTGCTATGGTTCAATGAGATTTAACCCCTTGTAAGGAGTGAAGCATATGATTTTAAATTAATATGACTCATTTTACCTTGTATTGATCTTCCCACGCCACTCCTAGAGGGTGATTTAATATTCATTCCCCATTTTTCTAGTAAAATATTACTCCAAATAGCTTCCGATCCAAAACAAAAATACAATATAGCACAACGACTTAAAATACCGGATGCATTTATCGTTTTCTGTTTTCACAAAGTCGTGATGAAGGCAGTGCAATCTGTTCTACCGCCTCATTGTGCCTCTATTTTTTTTAAAAAAGAAAATATTGGGGTGTGTATAACCCCCTTTCCCACGGCAATGCACATCCCACCAAGTTGTGGGTCTGGGAAAGGAATGTGAACAGCAGCAGAGCTACTTCTCACTTTGCAGCAAAGCCAGCCCCCATTATTTTTTATGTAGATGGCTTAGGATAATGGTTATGAAAAATACAGCCTTTGTCTGGTCCTGCAGAGAGCTTTGCTCACCTGATTTGTTGTTGCTCACTTGAGTTATTTTTTCATTCTCGTCCTCATCACTGTCATAATTCAGTGGTTGAATATCTGGCTCCTGCTCCACGTGGTTTACATCACATTCCTGATCACCAAAGCTCCTCATTGCAACAAGGCGGTGGTGGATTGCTGCGTATAAAGAAGCTGCATCCTTGGAGCTTGCCTGTGTAATGCACAAGACAAATAGGTCTATTAGGTACTGTTTTCCAGTTGACCAGTGAAAAACTGAGCACACCAAAGAGATTCCAAAGTTACTGAAAAGAACTGGAGTGACAGGTGTCCCTTCCAACTGAGCAATTCTGTGATTCTATGTTATTTATGCACTGCCTTCAAATGCTCAGTGTGGTTTTACATAGTAGAATTGTCAGGCGTCGGAGTCGGGGGTAGGTCAGCAATTAAAATCAGTGGTGTCAATGAAGTTAACTCATTATTCAAAGAAACCAAAACAATGCAGGCCTAGCGATCACAGCAACTCTTCCCAGTAGGTCTTGCCCCAATGTAGCAGTTGTGAAGATTGAAGGTCTCGCCTTCCCACTGCTCTCTAAGGCTCTCTAAGGTTCCTTCCCTAGCAACCTAATGTTCTGGCGTCTTGCCTCTCATTGCTTTACCCTCTTCATTCCTCTGCTTGTTCCAGGAGACCAGCGGGGAGAGGAGCTGATCACATCAGGAGGGGGAGACTCCCTAGATTCTTCAGCAGCCTGCCTCACTTCTGTCGCCTAGCCCCTCTCCTCTCCTGCCTCCTCTTCTGCCTCCGAGTCTGGGCTGCTCTCTGCCACAGCCTCTTCCTGCTCACTGAAGCTTGTTACCTCTTCAGCTTCCAACATCTCATCCTCCCCGTAGTCTACTCCCTCTTCTCCCTCTGACCACTCATCATCATCTCACCACCAATCTCCTGGCTCTGAACCTTTCTTCCCCTGGGGGTTTCCTTGGGGGGTTCCCCAGCTGGAGCCTCCCACCACACCTCTGCATCCAGCTAGTCCATGGCAAAAAACGGGGCAACAGTTAAAACATCCTATGTAAGTTTTCACTAAGACTCTTCTGGAATACAATAAAACAAGGTTTAGGCATGGATGGGGAACATGTTGTCCTCCTGATATCGCCCTCCAGATAAGAGGGCAACTCCTATTATCTTCTTGACCATTGGCCCTGCTGACTGGCGCTGATAATAGTTACACCCCAACATCTGGAGGGTCAAGTGTTCTGCATCCCTGTTGTAGGGGGCAGCAGTAGGCAGTGCTGGGGAACCGGCACCTTGGATAAAGGTAAAGGGACCCCTGACCATTAGGTCCAGTCGTGACCGACTCTGGGGTTGCGGCGCTCATCTCGCTCTATAGGCCAAGGGAACCGGTGTTTGTCCACAGACAGCTTCCGGGTCATGTGGCCAGCATGACTAAGCTTCTTCTGTTGAAACCAGAGCAGCGCACAGAAACGCCGTTTACCTTCCCGCCGGAGGGTTACCTATTTATCTACTTGCACTTTGACGTGCTTTCAAAATGCTAGGTTGGCAGGAGCAGCGACCGAGCTCATCCCGTTGCGGGGATTCGAACCGCCGACCTTCTGATCGGCAAGTCTTAGGCTCTGTGGTTTAACCCACAGCGCCACCCGCGTCCCGGCACCTTGGATACAAGTCATCAAAAAGCAATGAAACTACAGACAATAAATATGCAAACAGAAGTGTGAAGCAATTAAAATTTTAAAGCTAAGCAAACAGAAAGGTCTCAGCTGAGGGGGTAGCAAAACAATCTGGCCAGGGACAGTGGTAGAGGAAGGGGGGTGCGGGCCGCCCCGGGTGTCATCACTGAGGGGGTGGGGTGAGAAAGTGACAAAAATATTAGGGTTTTTTTTTAAAAAAAAATTGGGTTCACAAAACTTTTTAGAAGAGAAGAAGAAGAAGAGTTTGGTTTTGATATCCCGCCTTTCACTCCCTTTAAGGAGTCTCAAAGCGGCTAACATTCTCCTTTCCCTTCCTCCCCCACAACAAACACTCTGTGAGGTGAGTGGGGCTGAGAGACTTCAAAGAAGTGTGACTGGCCCAAGGTCACCCAGCAGCTGCATGTGGAAGAGCGGGGACGCGAACCCGGTTCCCCAGATTACGAGACTACCGCTCTTAACCACTACACCACACTGGCTCTCTTTTAGTTCAGTCAACAAACATAACAAAATGTGGCTGGCACTGGGCACCCCACCGCGAGTGCCGGCACTTACTGCGGGGCCTGCAGTGTGCCCAAGCCACGTGTCTCTCCTGGAAGTGACGTGGCGGCTTGGGCGCCTGCAGGCTCCAGCTCCAGCTGAGGGGGAGGCAGCGGAGAGGCTCCACGCAGTGTGCCCTGTCCCCATGGGCAGCTCGCCCCGCCCTGGCTGCAGGACGCTCACGCCGTACCGGGCACCCGAGCGTCTAGCTACACCACTGGCCAGGGAACAGTGAAGCAGAGTAGCAAATCAACCACTGCGTCCCAAACATTGATGCTTCTTCTGGCCAGGGCAGAAGGTGGAGGCAGGGAGGTTCAGGAATTTTTGCTGCAGCAGCTCCTGGTTGGCTCTACCTGTATTAGGAACACCTTGACACAAGAGTCCTCCAAATCTGTAGCTGTGATGCACAGACTCTTCCGGTTTGCTCTTTCTATGACCATCTGAGTCCAGAGTCTGGTGTTAAGAATGAGCCTCATGCTCCCTTGATTTCGCATTACTATAAACAGGAGAAAAGGAACATTAGAAAGAAAGGCAGATAATATTTAAATCCCCTTTTCTTAATGGGGGAGATTTCGTCCAGTAGCACTGCAAAACTCAAGTTACTCAACTTCTGAAACTTAAGAACATAAGAAGAGTCTGCTAGATCAGGCAAATGGCTCAACGAGTCCAGCATCCTGCTACCCTGGCTTTTAAAACCATGAGAAGTTTGGAATTCCCCATCTCCCCACCCCATCTGATGTCTGGGAATGCAATGTAGTAGAATAAATAAACTCAGTTATCCACTATTCCTAAATCGTCTAACTCAACTACTCACCATTTGTGACAAACACTCCCATTTCTTGAGAATGTTCAATGTTTTGAATATCTCCATAGCCTGTCTGAATACATGATGGTGTACTATAAACCAAACTTTATGTCTGCAAATGACTCTCTCTAAAAGAGGAAGTACACAAAATTGATGAATATGTTCCTATCTGCACAATACATTCATTTATTTATTTTTCAAAATCTACCCTTTATAAATGTTATAGTTTTGTCAGTGGAGTATCCAAGTTGTTTATACGCAATTCATTTGTAATATATGTGATTCAATAATGTATTAGAAATGAATTTCAAACAAATGACTTGGATACTGCATTAATAAAGTTGTAAAATTTAAAAACGTTGGGATTTTTAAATGAATGTATTTTGCCAATATGAACATATTCATAACTTTTGCAGATGTAATTGAATGTGTCAGTGTTTAATGTTTTAATGTTTGCACTATGCACGAGGAGTGCCTTTTTTCTTGTGTATGTGTAGGTTTCTTGCATGTGTTTATTTACCTATTTGGAAAAAATAATAAAAAATACTGCAGCTGAATCATATATAAACCATGATGTATGCAAGCTTCCCAAGACATAGTGTGAACAATTAATAAATCAATTACTGAATAGGAGTTCATTTGATTAATTGACCCCTAATTTGACCCCCAATTTAAACAAATAAAATGTCTGCTGGATTGTGATGTTTATATTCTAAATCCTTTGGCAATATGTTATAGCTGTAAATACAATTTGCTCGTCTTTGCACATTTTTCACATTGATAATTGCCTATGAGGAAGCTGGACTTAATGGTGAAATTAATTCTTACTCAGTCTTGACTGCAGCATTCCACACTGATTGCTGGATGTATCATTAAGTCTCAGAGAGCCACTGCCTCTTTCAGTCCAGGATGATGATGATTTATTAAATAAAAAGAGCCTGCAGTTTATCTAAAATGGGAAAATTTGATAAAATGGTCAATTCGGACATACACATATATTTTTTTAAAAAACTAAAACTTCTGTGTCATTTATATTCTTACTATTAAATAAAAAAAGAAATGGCAATTAAATGGATTACTATAGCTTATTCACAAAACTTGAAAAGAAAAATAGAACAAATGTCGGAGAAACAACCTGTGGGTTATTTTATCACCTGTCAGACAACTATTGGGTACCTCATGGTTTGTTTTAACAAACCATGGTTTGTGTTATGTGCAGACCCGGCCATGGCCTGTTTTTCAAATATAACAGAAATTCCCCACCAATAAATCTTTTAGGAAAAGATATACCTGTAAGACATTGTGCTCTGTTTCTTCTCCTGTAGTAACTTCAACTTTATCCAATAAATATCTTTGTGTCGGTTTGCTAGATACATAAGCAGCAGCTGATTCAACTAGTGTTGTATCCTTGGCAAAAAATGGCGCTATAGAGAAAGGAGAATAATGGAAAACCCTCAGGTTTCTATGAAAGGAAAACCTTGTAGTTTTATTGGCAGCCTGGCCACCATTTTGAATTCTCCACCTCCATCTAGTACGCTGGCTGAGACCCTACCTGCCTGAGCACTGTCCCACCAGAGCAGTACAAGCTCTGGTTATCTCTTGCTTGGACTACTTCAATGGGCTCTATGTGGAGTTACCTTTCAAGGTGACTCGGAAACTACAATCAATCCAGAATGCGGCTGCTAGACTGGTAACTGGAAGCAGCTGCCAGGACCATATAATACCAATCCTAAAAGATCTACAGTGGCTCCCAGTACGTTTCCAAGCACAATTCTAATTGTAATAATAATAATAATAATAATAATAATAATACGTTGTTCCTGGATACCTGATTATCGTCTTCCAAAGCAACTACTCTATTCTGAACTTAAAAATGGAAAGTGTAATGCTGGTGGTCAACAAAAGAGGTTTAAAGACTGTCTCAAGGCAAATCTAAAAAATGTAGTATAAACACCAACAATTGGGAAAAAGAGTTTGGATTTGATATCCCGCTTTATCACTGCCCTAAGGAGTCTCAAAGCAGCTAACAATCTCCTTTTCCCTTCCTCCCCCACAACAAACACTCTGTGAGGTGAGTGGGGCTGAGAGACTTCAGAGAAGTGTGACTAGCCCAAGGTCACCCAGCAGCTGCATGTGGAGGAGCGGGGAAGTGAACCCGGTTCACCAGATTATGAGTCCACCGCTCTTAACCACCACACCACACTGGCTCTTGCCTGCAAGCACTCCAACTGGAGAACAGCCTTTACCAAAAGTGTCATGGGGTTTGAAGACACTCAAACTCAGGACGCAAGGGAGAAACGTGCTAAGAGGAAGGCACGCTTGACAAATCCACACCGTGATCAACTCCTGCCTGGAAACCGGTGTCCCCACTGTGGAAGGACGTGTGGATCTAGAATTGGCCTCCACAGTCACTTACGGACGCAATGTTAAAACTGTGTTTATGGAAGACAGTCTTACTTGGTTATGAGTGATTGCCAAAGAAGAAAAAGTATTCTTCTGAGGAGCTGAAGAATGGCAGCCAACTCACAGACAAAAATGCTGGAGACTATTCAAGTAAAATCCTAAAGAGTGGCTTTTTTTCAGGGTGGGGGGAAGAAAGATTTCAGAATTTTTTTCAGAAAAATGTCATCTGAGAAATTTCCACTCAGTTCTGAGAGAGAGAGCTGATTTGTATGCAGTTGGACACAGGCTCAGACCCAGCATCTAGAGTCTGAAAAGGATCAAGCAGTAAGGGATTGGAAAGTCACTACCAGCTAGAGCAAAGAACACTGGTCTCAACTCTAGATTCCTGTAGAGAACCTTTGACCCTCCAGATGTTGCTGAAGAAAACACACATCAGCCCTAGGAAGCGTGGCCAGTGGCGAGGGATGTAGTTTTAGTTCATCAACATCTGGAGGGCTATAGGATCCCAACATCTGCTGGAGTTGAACAGCAGAACAATCTGAGGGCAAATCCACACCAGAAACTTGAAGCACATCCCACATGTGTTTGAAGCACGTGACCTCATCCAGAGAAACCTGGGGACTGTAGTTTTCACCTCACAGTGCTATGATTTGCAGTTCCCTTAAACTACATTTCCCAGGATTCTTTGGGGGAAAGTCACGTGCTTTTAAATGTGTTTTTGGCTACGCTTCATAATTAAGTGGGTCTTTTCTCTTGGATTACCACATGCAATCACAATATCATGAAGTGCAAAATGAAAGCTGCACGGTAACAAGTTAATGTTATTTATTTGGTAAGAAAGATCACCTACTTGTCTGCGGAGACCTGGTATGAAAACCTATAGGAGACGTGGATTTTTTCCCATTGTTGCCACTTTCAGAATGCAGCTCTGAGGATTTTGCTGGCCTCTAGGAAAATTACAGGAAGGCATTGCAAGTGACAAAATCAGAACTACAACTGGGAGCATTTCAGATGCTGACGTTTTACTTATTTTTAACAATTTAAAAATGAATGGCATTGTAAAATATGCAATGAGACAAGGAGCAGGTTATACTTGTATGATAGTATCCTGATTTTAATAAAGCAGGATAATGTGCAACTTTTGCAAACATCCTGTAGTAAAATATTCCAGGAATATTTTAGTAGTAAAATAATCCAGCAGATAATTCTCCTCCACAAGAAGCCTTGGTATACATTAGATTCTGGCCTATGTAAATTGAATTGGGTATCATTTTACTCTGATTTTAAAGTGTGATTTGTTCACTGTACTAAGCCAAGCATTATATCAATCATTGCACAGAGCATGAATAGTATCCTGCCTTAACTAGAATTATGAGAGCTTTTTGAACTGTTCTAAATTAAGGGATATCTATAGTAAAGTCAGAACTTATAAATTACTGTATTGGAACGTTGGATACAGTCTTTTTACATGGTTTTCCCTCCCCAAAATGAGAAACAAATGTTTAAAACATACCAAAACTCTTTCTACTATATTTTCTCCAAACACAAAGTCAGAATGTCTACTGCTTGAGAAAGTTCTGCCTTCAGGTAGTTGGTTGCTTAAAAAGGAAAAAGAAAGAGTCAGGGGGAGAAGAAGCCTAATCAACTTTAAAAAAAAAGAAAATACAAGTAAATCCGATTCACATATATGTGTATCTGTGTTTGTTTTCCTGGAGTCCTGCCAGAAAAGCCTAGTGTCAACAATTATTATTTATTTTATGAATTGCTTATGATGGGGCATCCATTTATTGAATGCGCTTAAAGCAGATGGAAAACAATTGCATATATAAAAACCATTAAAACATTTGGCTAATACGAAAACAATTTAAAAATAAGGAAAAAATAACATATAAAACAAATTTTAAAACCAACAGGTTCGTATATAAAATCAATTTCAATTCTAAAACGGATATCAATACAAATATCAAATCCAATACAAATGCAGACTACTTTGAGTAGACCGTATTGAAACCATTTGGATTTTATAGGACACCTCTTTAGGGCAATAGCTAGAGTGGCCAAGTTTCAAAGCCAGATGTTCTAAAGCCAGAGAAATGATAACTGGGCTGTTCAGAAGAGATCCCTCCATAGACTGATAGCCTCTGAGGTCCTCTAGTCCAATCCCTTTGCTCAGCGCAGGACTCTGACAACTAGAGTTTCCCTGACAGATGGACATCCAGCCTCTGCTTAAATACAGCACAGCACCTTCCAAGACAAACAGTTCTTGTCATTACACAGTTTCTCCTAATGATCAGCAGAGATCTGCTTCCTTGCCGTTTCCACCCATGAGTTCTAGTCCCACCATCTGGAGCAAAAGGGAACAAATCTGCTCTGCCATCTGCGATGACATCCTTCCAGATAATTGAAGGCAATGATCATATCTCCCCTTGATCACCTTGTTCTCCAGGCTAAATGTACTCAGCTCTTTCAACTGCTCCTCGTAGGACTTGGTTTCCAAAACCCTTTGTCATCCCGGTCATCCTGTTTGCTTAATGTCTAGTTTGCCAACGACTCACATAACATGTAGCATCCAGAACGAGGCAGAGTTCCATGCATTTAGTCAACACCTGGAAGCCACATTGGGGCCAGAACCACCAATCTTGCCCCCAAATATTTCTGCTCAGGATGCCCACATACCACTGCAACGTCAGAAAAGGGGAGTCTTCATGTGCACAGTGCAATTGTACACCTGTAGGTTCTCCTTATTATCGGGACCCCTGTGAGTTTGGGGTTTCTGATGGTGTGGGCAGCCTATGCATTTATAGCTCTTTGTGTGTGGACTTTGCTTTCTGATATTATGTGGGCATATGGGAGTGTGGCAGGAATGTACACAGACAATCATGGACAGGGTCCGTTGGCAAAGGGGTTTTTTATTATTAAAGATACCTAAAAAGAAGAATTAGGCTACTTGGGTGAATGTTTCGTTTCTTCCAGAACCATTCGCCACCCCAAAATATTTCACTTTGCTTACCTTATTGTTTGAAGGCCTGAAATATGAAGAGATGGAAGCGGTCTTTCTGAGTCATCTGCCCACAAACAGGTGTCTCCAGATACCTAAAAACAATTAAACCAATTTGGCTTTTCTTGTTTTCTGAAAGCGTACACCGTCGCTGGATATGGTGAGTGGCACCTTCAATTACTCTACCATAGGGGTGTCGTGATTGCGGGCCACTATCCACCCCCCTTTTTCAAATTTTTTTATTAATGTTCCAAGTTTATAACAAATAAAACACACAAATAAAGATAAAAGACATTACAATACTAAAAAAGGCAACAAAAACAAACATGTAAACACCTAATACTTTAAGACCTAATTTGATTTTCATTGTTAACTGACTTCTTCGAATCCCTCCTTACTGAGTTTCATTGAATCACTTTTTTTAACAGCTCTCCAATATCCTCTTTCTAATCAAATTGACACCTTTAATTTTCAATCTTCTTCTCTTTTCAAAATTATCTAAATCCATAGTATTTTACAATGCATTCTTACTCTAGTCCTAGGCCCATTTGATACTTTCAAGTAACTTTTACTTATCGTAAGTTACAATATTTGGCTAAATAGTCTTTAAATTTCTTCCAATCTTCTTGATATTCCTCTTCTTTCTGATTGCGGATTCTTCAAGTCAGGTCAACTAGCTCCAAAAAGTCTAACATCTTCATCTGCCATCACTATCCACCCCCCTTAACCGGTCCTCCAAACTCTGGCAGGACCCGGCAGGGAGAGGGAGAGGACATGAGGTGTTGCAAGTCGCAAGCCAAATGGTATAAAGCTGCTGCCACCACCTCCTTTCCTGGGTCAACCCTCAAATGGAGTCCAAGGAGGAGAACCCCCCTTCGATATTTACCAGGTTGCCTGACCCTGTGTCACTTTACCGTGACGCAGACAGAAATCCAACAGGTAGTGTGTATCAAGTGGTCAGGCACCAGTTCAGCTTCTCTGGCAAAAGGCACAAAAGTCCTTTTCCAAATTTATTGAAAAAGTCACTCAGTAAGTAAAAGCTTGCACGTTTCTTAAAAGGTTACAAACAAGAAAAATAAAACATTGCACACTATAACTGACTAAAACATACTCACAAAGTAACAGTTCAAAACATGGCAAGTCATCAATGTTTCTTTGCTGGTCAAGCGCCCTCAGGCGCAAAACACCAGGGCATGGTGGTCTGCAATTTGCATCTCAATTCCTCAAACTTTTATCCTTGAGGATCCCACGTGGAGAAGGGGTTTAGGGACCAATCATTTCTTTTGGTTAATTACCAAATACCAATGGCTGTATGATGGGACTATAACTCCTGATTGTCAGGAGACCAAGACAGCTGAACTTTGTTTATGCTCAAAGGACCTTGAGATCAAAAGGTACTCCCTTCGGTCCCAGACTTCTACCAGGCTTTTTGAGCTGTAAATTGCCTGATAGCCTTTTCACACCCATTCCACATCCCAGCTCCCCAACTGTCAGAATTTACAAATCAGATAACATCTTCTTCCTGCCCAAAGACAGGAGGCAATTTGATTCTCACTTTTAAAGACAGGGAGTCTGCAGTTAAAGAGACCAGACCTCTGTTTCCCAGAAATCCGCAGCTTTACTCTCCCACAATTCCTCACGCCTACATGTACCAAAGCTTTAACATGCTAAGATTTCCCAACTTCACTACAAGGGGCATTAAAAATATATGGAATGCTAGCCAGAACAGCTTTAAAATGCCATTCACACCAGAATACAAACTGGTCCCCTTATTTTAATGGAACTCAGGAAATACCGTATTTTTTGCTCTATAAGACTCACTTTTTCCCTCCTAAAAAGTAAAGGGAAATGTGTATGCATCTTATGGAGTGAATGCAGGCTGCGCAGCTATCCCAGAAGCCAGAACAGCAAGAGGGATTGCTGCTTTCACTGTGCAGCGATCCCTCTTGCTGTTCTGGCTTCTGAGATTCAGAATATTTTTTTTCTTGTTTTCCTCCTCCCAAAACTAGGTGCGTCTTGTGGTCTGGTGTGTCTTATAGAGTGAAAAATACGGTACTTGGCTTGGGTTGGTCATCTGCCCCCACTGCCAGTGTGAGTGCCTTTAAGAACAGCATCTGCTGCACGAGCCTGTCTATTATGATCTGCCTCAAGGCCAAACTACATGCGGAATGCATCACACGGTTTGCCCATCATTTTTCTTTTGCAAAGGGCCAGTGTGTGGTCCTCAATCTGGATCAGAAACAATGGCATGGAGATGCTTTTAAAAAAGAGGAGGAGGACACAACTTTACCCCCTTTTGTGGTCCAGCTTCAGTAAAGGGGCTACATGAGTATCGTCAGCTCCCACTTCAGATCTTTGCCTACCACATGCCCTAACGGGGAGCAGCATGGCTTCATGTGGCTAATGTGTGAGTACAGTGGTACCTCGGGTTAAGAACTTAATTTGTTCTGGAGGTCCGTTCTTAACTGAAACTGAAACTGTTCTTAACCTGAAGCACCACTTTAGCTAATGGGGCCTCCCGCTGCCGCCGCCGCACCACCGCTGAGCGATTTCTGTTCTCATCCTGAAGCAAAGTTCTTAACCCGAGGTACTATTTCTGGGTTAGCGTAGTTTGTAACCTGAAGCGTATGCAACCTGAGGTACCACTGTATTGCAATACTGAAGTAGTACCCAGTCCTTGTAATTCTTTGCAAGACATCTGGGTGATAAAAACCCAATTCCATAAGGTATTATGTATGGAACAAGGCTTCCTATGTGTGCTATATTTTACCTCAGTGTCTGATTCGTGTTTATCCTCCAGGACATTTTCAATCTCAATCTTCTCTACTGGTTTGTGCAAAGGAACTTGTGGCGGTTGTAAGATGGCAGGCCTTAAAACATCCCGTTGTACATTTGTTGAAGGAAAACCTTGCAGAACAGAGAGAAACAGGGATTTTAAAAAAATGGTTATTTCTTGTTGCACACCCTTCTTGTACAAGGGTTTCTTAAAGTCAAATGAATGAAGGAAAAACTAATCCTTCATTATGATAGTCATGCCAACTGAACTTCTGTCATATTTTCACACTAGGAACATTGAAGCTAGGTCACAGAATCACGAGGCTATACATGTACAATATATTTGAATCACACATCCACTCTGGATAAGAATCATGGGAACTGTAGTTTGTTAAGAGTTCTAGGCATTGTAGTTCTGTGAAGGGTAAACTACAATCCCCAAGATTATTTGGGGAGAATGTAATTAAATTGATAGGGACGTGGGTGGCGCTGTGGGTAAAACCTCAGCACCTAGGACTTGCCGATCGCATGGTCGGCGGTTCGAATCCCCACGGCGGGGTGAGCTCCCGTCGTTCAGTCCCAGCTCCTGCGCACCTAGCAGTTCGAAAGCACTCTTAAGTGCAAGTAGATAAATAGGGACCGCTTTCCAGCGGGAAGGTAAACGGCGTTTCCATGCTGCTCTGGTGCCGGTTCGCCAGAGCAGCTTCGTCACGCTGGCCACGTGACCCGGAAGTGTCTGCAGACAGCGCTGGCTCCCGGCCTCTAGAGTGAGATGAGCGAACAACCCTAGAGTCTGTCAAGACTGGCCCGTACGGGCAGGGGTACCTTTACCTTTACTAATTAAATTGATGGTTTGTGCACTGCCATAATTTGAAGGATTTTGAGCAGAGTCTGGGTGGACACTTATTAGGGAAGCTCTAGTAGGAGGTTTCCTGCATGGACATGCAGTTGAACTAGATGACCTTGAAGTGCCTTCTAACTCCATCCTAAGACTTTCTAGATTTTTGGGAGGGAAGGTGGTTTAAAACATATTTTGCTCTTACATCTGTACACTAGAGCCAAGGCATATTTCAAAATCCCACATGCATGGAAAAACAAATAGGTCACAAATGAGGTGCATGGTATACATGGTAAATTGAGAGTTATATGATATGCCTGAACAATGGGTTTAAATGAGGTTCATACAACCCTGTCTGCACAGTCTACAAGCCCTAGAAACTTTCTTCCAGTCTAGTTCCATGATCATCCACAAGCTAGGGGGCAGTGTGACATACATGGCAGGATTTCATGTACAATAGAGGCTTTTCCATAGTTATGCCCTCTATTTCCTTCACTTCTAGACCATATAAAGTGGCCTATGTAACAGTCCCATATATTGGTTCCATTACACTGTAATAACTGTACCTTTTTCTGTTTCTTTCACAGCAGTGTTCTTTTGTAGTAGCGCTGAGGTCATGAATATGTTATTCTTCTTTACTGCAAAACAGTGCAAAGTGTTTAGCTAAATTGGTTTTCTTTTTTCCTCTTTCCTCTTTTTGTTTATTTTGTACTGAGTTTTACCAGTGAGTCAAAACTCCCTCAAGCACTGACAAAATAATAATAATAAAACTATACTGGCCTACTAAATCACTGTTTAGTCATACTTTAATTTACCTGGCTGGGGTGGTGGAAATGTTGGAAGGATGTTAAAGGAAGATGATCTTGCTCGTTTGGGGGAAAGAACATTTTCTGGAAACACAAGAAGCAAATCATAAATTTCTCCAAGGGTATTTTACACTTATAACTTAAGCAAATGTAATTATGCCAGCATGTAAACACAATTATAGCACCATGTTTCTTTGCTAAATTTTTTTGGCAGATATATAGACTAAGGCAGCCTTCCCAAACTTGGTACCTTCCATATATTTTTGATTCCAACTCCTATCAACTGCAGTCAGGGTGACCATCCCCAATGGTCAGGGATGATGGAGATGTTATCCAAAACATCTGGACACTTGGTTGGGGAAAGCTGAACTAAGCATGAGATTATTCTTACAGTTTCTGGCCTACAACCATTCACATCCCACTGTCGTCCATTTCAAGCTATGCTTAACTAAGTACCTTTGAAATCAGTGGGAATTAAAACGGGCTGTTCAGCATTTAATTCCAACTGAGTGAGTACAATTTGAAACCAGGTAGAATAAGGGATTTACTCTCAATCTACAATACAGTACTGGAAAGGAAATGGGCTAAGAAGTCATACCTCTGTATGACTGGGAGTCGGAAGTTTGAAAAGAAAAAGACGACGATCTTGCACGTTTTCTGGAATAACCAGTGGAAACTAAAAGGGGGGAAAACACAGCACACATCATCATGCACTGCAATTCCTTTCAACCTCAGCAATACAACAGCCCAAAGGAATCAAATCCAAGGCTACACAGCGTGGCATAGTGGTTAGATTGTCAGACTAGGATGTGGGAGACCAAGATTCAAATCCTCCCTCAGTTCACCGGATGACCTTGGGCCAGCCATTGCCTCTCAGCCTAATGTACCTCACAGGGCTGTTTGGGGGATTAAATGAGAACCATGTACAGTGGTACCTCAGGTTAAGTACTTAATTCATTCTGGAGGTCTGTTCTTAACCTGAAACTGTTCTTAACCTGAAGCACCACTTTAGCTAATGGGGCCTCCTGCTGCCACCGCGCCACCGGAGCACGATTTATGTTCTCATTCTGAAGCAAAGTTCTTAACCCGAGGTACTATTTCTGGGTTAGCGGAGTCTGTAACCTGAAGCGTATGTAACCCGAGGTACCACTGTATGAGACCTTGAGCTCCTTGGAGAAACAGGTGGGAAATAAATGCAAAAAAAAATTAAAATAAACAATAAAGACTCTACAACCTGAAAAAAGAGACAAAGCACGTGCTTTTGTAACCCCCCCCCCAAAAATCTTTAATACAATTATTATTAAAATAAAAAAGATCCTTGCCACTTCCCCCAGGTGGTAAGGATCTATGTGATCAGTCCTCTACGTGGAGAGAGGCGGGACTGTTGCAGGGATTAAATGATGAGCAGGAGAACCGTGTATGTCACCTTGAGTTGCTTGGAAAAAAAGATGGACTATAAATGCAATAGTAAATAAATAAATAAGGCTGTCTTGTGATTGTCAGAAGACAGCTGATAAATCAAGGGTTCTCCCTAAACAAGGGTAGATTATCCTAGGGTTACAAGTATATTATATTTGAATAATTAAATTATAATTAAAATCTATTGCGTGTTGAGGAAGCTGTCCAAGAGAGAGCACGCTCTTGTCCATATCCCACCGATGACTAAGATAATCACATGTCCTGGTTTGCAGAGGGCAGAGAACAGCCCTTTATTCAAAAGGCTGACTAAAACGTGTTTTGTAGATATGGCTCTTTTTTATAGGAACGCAGGCGCTGGGTGTGCAGGGGCCCTACTTCCAAAAAAAGGGACAAGAATATATGCAGCTGCTTAGTCTCAGGTTTGATGCCATATCAGATTTGCTGCCAAACCAGAAGCAATACAGGTATTTATTGGCATGAAAAATCCTGAGGCAGAGGATTGAATCTAGGTGATGTGTTGTGGGAACTGAAATCCCAACATGTTGGTGCCCTGGGTTGGTGGCTAAGGTGAATACCTATCTGTTAAATAAAAACGATACTATGTACTTTACAACCAGATGGTGTTGGAAGCTTTCTTAACAAAAATAAATGATTACATTAAAAATACATACATTGTTATTATTTTATTTTTAATAAAGTAATAATAATAATTTTAAAAATGTGCACCCCACCCTCAAGGCCATTAGTTATCATAATTATCCTACTTTCCAAAAATGTAACACTTCTTGAGATGGTTTGGCCCCTTTCTGTTTTAACAATACAAATTCCACAAATAGTTTCCATATCTCCTCAAAGTCATTTCTCTTCCATGTTCCCCTTCCTACTTTGACAGCACGCGTTAATTTATCATTAATCGCTATATCCCACACCTCTTTATACCACTCTTCTATTTGGAATCAACCTTGCTTTCCCCATTTCTTAGCTAGGATAATTCTTGCCGCCTGATTACCTTTTTCGGTCTTGCACACAGGATCTTCTGCAGGCCTCTGGACAGAAAAAGAGAGTAGTCAGCCCTCAGTTGAGGATTGCCAGATGTCAGGTATTTTAAGAGAGACCCCTAGTTGGACACTGGTTTTTGCAGGCCCTGGAAATATGTGTAACAGAATGCATAGCAGAAACTGAGGCTCAGTCTAGATCATGAACAGATGATGCTGGAGATCAGTTTTCATCAGCCCCACCTCAGTGGCAAAAGTAGACAGGGCAACAAATGTGACTCTTAGCCTTGTGCAATAGACTATTTTCTACACACACTCACACTTTCATCTGTCTCCTCCATCCAGACCAGCAAGAGATATTAACAGAGCTTAACAACTTATTCTAGCCACACAAAAACACTCAGTGTGTAAAACACAGTCACCGAGGGGACATGGACTGGGGAGAGGGGAGTGTCCTAGGAAGACTTCCAGGGGGCAGAGACCTCGAGGGTTGCATTTGCCCCCAAGACCTGAGATTCCCCACCGCTGCTCTGCATGCATTCAGAGTACAGTGGTACCTCGGGTTAAGAACTTGATTTGTTCCGGAGGTCCGTTCTTAACCGGAAACTGTTCTTAACCTGAAGCACCACTTTAGCTAATGGGGCCTCCCACTGTTGCTGCGCCGCCACCGCGCAATTTCTGTTCTCACCCTGAAGCAAAGTTCTTAACCCGAGGTACTATTTCTGGGTTAGCGGAGTCTGTAACCTGAAGCGTCTGTAACCCGAGGTACCACAATACAGTCATACCTCAGGTTAAATATGCTTCAGGTTGAGCGTTTTCAGGTTACGCTCTGTGGCGACCCAAAAGTAACGGAACGCGTTACTTCCGGGTTTCGCCACTCACACATGCGCAGACGCTCAAAATGACGGAAGCAACGAATCGCGACCCGCACATACGCAGATGCGGGTTGCTTTCGCTTCAGGATGCGAACGGGGCTCCAGAATGCACCCCGTTCGCATCCAGAGGTACCACTGTAACTTCTAAACCAGGGGTAGGCAACCTAAGGCCCGTGGGCCGGATGCGGCCCAATCACCTTCTCAATCAGGCCCGCGGACAGTCCAGGAATCAGCATGTTTTCACACGAGTAGAATGTGTCCTTTTATTTAAGATGTATCTCTGGGTTATTTGTGGGGCATAGGAATTTGTTAATCCCCCCCCCAAAAAAATATAGTCCAGCCCCCCACAAATTCTGAGGGACAGTGGACCGGCCCCCTGCTGAAAAAGTTTGCTGACCCCTGTTCTAAACTCTGCTACTATGACTGGGAACCCAGGTTTTCCATGATTCCTGATTGCACATCTGCCCCAGGTGTGTACAGATGTATCTATGCATGCAGACTCTCTGCTGAATCCACATAGGCCTGCTGCTGAGGTCCTGTACCTCCCACCTTGCACCCCAGATGTGTTCTCAGGAGAAATGCAAGAAGGGGAGGCTTCTGTTCGTACCTTGCAAGGGCGTTCCTTCTTGAAAACAAATATGGGCTGTGCAATCACGGATCTGCCTTGGGAAAGAAGAAAGACTCTATATTAAACGGTGTGTGAATTCAAATAATGTTTCCTTTTGCACAATATAAATATAACATGTTTTCAATGATTTGGGATTCCTGAACAGAACTCAGCTATTCTGGGAACGCAATATTTCATCTTTTGATACCATGCCCTCTTCAAATACACACCATTGCTTTTTCTGTTATCTTTCAGGGATGCAGCTGTACTAGATGAAAAAATGTATTTATTATCGGGGACGTGGGTGGCGCTGTGGGTTAAACCACAGAGCCTAGGACTTGCTAATCAGAAGGTCGGCGGTTCGAATCCCCGCAATGGGGTGAGCTCCTATTGCTCGGTCCCAGGTCCTGCCCACCTAGCAGTTCGAAAGCACGTCAAAGTGCAAGTAGATAAATAGGTACCACTCCGGTGGGAAGGTAAACAGCATTTCCGTGTGCTGCTCTGGTTCTCCAGAAGCGGCTTAGTCATGCTGGCCACATGACCCGGAAGCTGTACGCCGGCTCCCTCGGCCAATAAAGCGAGATGAGCGCCGCAACCCCAGAGTCGGCCACAACTGGACCTAATGGTCAGGGGTCCCTTTACCTTTACCTTACTTTTACCTTTGTATTCTCTAAAGCAGCTTTGTACTAGATGGGGGAAAATGTGTTTGTTATTGTGTACTTTGATGTTTCTATTCTCCAAAACAGGTTTGGGACCTTTGCCTAATGACAGGGACGGTTCTGGTAGCAGGAGCAGCTTAGATGGTGCTCCAGTTGCCCCGTAATCACCTTGTTTCAACATAGGATGTGTGGTCCAATTCAGCCATTTGCCTGACTGGGGCCTCAGAAAGTGGCAGGGAAACAGCACCCAGAAACACCTCTTACAACGACTTATTCATCTTGAAGGACAAGTTGTGGCTCATCCTCTCAGCCTCAAAGAAGTGCCTTTGCCCCACCTGTGCAACATTAACATACATCCACCCAATCGCTTGGCTGTTTCTTGGCCCACCGGTTTCCTTTGCAGTGGAAACCTGTGCTTCAGCCTGAGTCCATTGCCTCTGGCTTCTCTTTTTTTTAAAAAAGAACAATAGAAAATTAAACAAAACAAAACAATACCTTACAATACATCCAAAAAAACAAAAAGGAAAAAACAAAATACAATACAATAAAACAAAAACAAAAACAGAACAAAAACATTTAAAAACACATCCAGCCTTTCCATGTCTTTACCTTTCATATACTTGTTTCATCGACCTCCTCACACCTCCCTTTTTTGTATTCTAGTTCAATTAGCTATTTCAGCAAGTCCTTTCCATCTTTCTCAATTTTCGTTCTAAAATTTAACTTAAGACACTCTAACCTTAAATTTTCCACTTTGGTCCATTAACAATCTATTTTTACTTAATTCTTTATAACATTTCTGCTAAAGCCATATAACTTCGTTCCAGCATCCTTCTAACATTCATTAATTTTGCAATATTTCTGTAAATATACTTTAATTTTTTTCCCAATCTTCTTCCACCGACTCTTCTCCCTGGTCTCGGATTCTGCCAGTCATTTCCGCCAGTTCCATGTAGTCCATCAGCTTCATCTGCCATTCTTCCCTGGTGGGTAGATCTTGTGTCTTCCAGTGCTTTGCGATAAGTATTATTGCTGCTGTTGTGGCATACATGAAAAAAGTTCTATCCTTCTTTGGCACCAATTGGCCGACCATGCCCAGGAGAAAGACCTCTGGTTTCTTCAGAAAGGTATATTTAAATACCTTTTTCATTTCATTATAGATCATCTCCCAGAATGCCTTAATCTTTGGACATGTCCACCAAAGGTGAAAGAATGTACCTTCAGTTTCATTACATTTCCAACATTTATTATCGGGCAAATGGTAAATTTTTGCAAGCTTGACTGGTGTTATGTACCACCTGTAAATCATTTTCATTAAATTCTCTTTTAAGGCATTACAGGCCGTAAACTTCATACCAGTGGTCCATAACTGTTCCCAGTCAGCCATCATAATATTATGTCCAACATCTTGTGCCCATTTAATCATAGCAGATTTCACCGTTTCATCTTGAGTATTCCATTTCAACAGCAAGTTATACATTCTTGACAAATTCTTAACTTTAGGGTCTAACAATTCTGTTTCCAATTTTGATTTTTCCACCTGGAAGCCTAATTTTTTGTCCAAATTATATGCCTCCATTATTTGGTAATAATGGAGCCAATCTCGTATTCTGTTTTTTAATTTTTCAAACTCTGCAATTTTAATCTGTCTCCCTCTTGATCCAAGATTTCCCAATACTTCGGCCATTTGGCCTCCATATTGAGTTTTTTCTGAGCCTTTGCTTCCATTGGTGACAACCATCTTGGGGTTTTATTTTCTAACAAGTCCTTATAACTTATCCAAACATTATACAGTGCTTTTCTGACAATATGGTTTTTAAACGCTTTGTGTACTTTAACCTTATCATACCACAGGTATGCATGCCAACCAAATACGTTGTTGAAACCTTCCAAATCCAACACATCCGTGTTTTCAAGAAGCATCCATTCTCTCAGCCAACAAAATGCGGCTGATTCATAATAAAGTTTAAGGTCTGGCAGGGCAAATCCACCTCTTTCTTTAGCATCTGTTAATATCTTAAATTTTATTCGAGGTTTCTTGCCCTAATTGCCTCTGGCTTCTCTTTGGGAGTGTGTCCCATGCATGCACCCTCTTTTCATCCTCACTCAACGGCATGGGAAGCCTGCACAAATGTCTGATTTCCATGTCATACAAAACTATTCTATTTCAACATCCTCTATAGGACCTTCTGCAGATACCATTTTAGCAGGTGATCCATTCAACACACTATTGCAGGGGTCAGCAAACTTTATCAGCAGGGGGCTGGTCCACTGTCCCTCAGACCTTGTGGGGGGCCGGACTATATTTTGGAAAAAAATATGATTGAATTCCTATGCCCCACAAACAACCCAGAGATGCATTTTAAATAAAAGCACACATTCTACTCATGTAAAAACACCAGGCAGACCCCACAAATAAACCAGAGATGCATTTTAAATAAAAGGACACCTGATTCCCAGACCGCCTGTAAAAACACGCTGATTCCCAGACCGCCTGCGGGCCAGATTTAGAAGGCGATTGGGCCGGATTTGGCCCTGGGCCTTAGTTTGCCTACCCATGCACTATAGGAATTGGGCCTTTAGTGTCCTGACACCTACCATGTGAAATTCTCTCTTATTAAATATTAGACAGGTGCTGTCCCTTTCCCAGTCTGCATCTGTATTGAAACTATTTCCAGATGTTTTTAGGTGTATCAATTAATGTTTTTGCTGCCCTGGGCCCCTATGGGAGGAAGGGCAGAATATGAATTTAATTAATAATGATAATGATAGTAAGTGTTGTTCTCAAATCAACAGCAAGCAATTTTAGGTGCTTCTCTTCATCTTCCTAAAAGTAACTTAATAGATGTAACGGCAGGGTTAAAACTGAGCAAGGATGCAATTATGGCCCATATACCCATCTTTAAACAAACCACAGTTTGGTATATATGCAACTCTATTTAAAGAAAAGGAATAATGAACTATTTCTCCTAAGCTGTTAATGATTACAGCTCAGTCAAATTGCACAGAGGCAGAATTCTGCATGTGGAGGTAGTTATTGATAACTTAACCGCATGTTTAAAAAAACAGAGATAGATTTGACTGCACCCCACAAAGGTATAATTTGTGAAGCCACCCCACAAGCTTGTATAATTTATATGAACATTGCTCAAGTGAAACTTATTAAAATATTCATCAATTCACCACACAGACAGTTAAGAAACTTTATATAGAGCTTGGCTTAGCTAGCATATCCATTTAATGTTGGAACATTCTGAAATAGTTGCCAAATACAGATTGGATACTTCCTTTCCAGGGTATTTAAAAATATTTATAAGATATATTTAATCTTTCAGTGTACAGTATATGTGTGCATATATGAATAGTCTCCAGAGTATCTGGGATCCTCCTTACAAAACCTATGCAATCAAATATATTCTGTTCTCATAAAACCAGCTGCAAAAATGTGGAATGGGTTGTTAATTATAACATGAAATAATATTATAGCCCAGTGGGGAAGTGACTATGCACAGCACTGCAGGAAAGCAATAAATCAGGCATTTGGTATTTGCCTATGCATGCTCAACTGTGTGTAGCATTCAGACGTCCCATTTCATCAGATGGTAGAGTAATAATAATAATTTTAATAATAATTTATTATTTATACTCTGCCCATCTGGCTGGCTTTCCCCAGCCACTCTGGACAGCTCCCAACAGAATATTAAAGACACAATAAAACATCTAACATAAAAAACTTCCCTAAACAGGGCTGCCTTCAGATGTCTTCTAAAAGTCAGATAGTTATTTATTTCCTTGACATCAGATGGGAAGGCATTCTACAGGGTGGGTGCCACTCCCAAGAAGGCCCTCTGCCTGGTTCCCTGTAACCTCACTTCTCGCAGTGAGGGAACTGCCAGAAGGCCCTCGGCGCTGGACCTCAGTGTCCGGGCTGAACGATGGAGGTGGAGACACTCCTTCAGGTATACTGGGCCGAGGCCGTTTAGGGCTTTAAAGGTCAGCACCAACACATTGAATTGTGCTCGGAAACGTACACTGGGAGCCGATGTAGGTCTTTCAGGACTGGTGTTATATGGTCTTGGTGGCCACTCCCAGTCACCAGTCTAGCTGCCGCATTCTGGATTAGTTGTAGTTTCCGGGTCACCTTCAAAGGTAGCCCCACGTAGAGTCAGGAACAGTGTGTCAAGTGCATGGCAAGGATGTTGAACTAGCTGGGCCTTTGGCGCCTGATCCAGGGAGGCTCATCTTATGGTCTTAAAAATGCCTTTGTTTTTGTTAGTATTAATATGTCGAAAAATCAGAAGGGAGCTTTCATTCTCATCTGCTCTTCCAATGACAAGTGCTTCTGCCGGGATCTAATATATAAGGCAGTTTGCATGCATACACACACTCTCAGATACTGTCTGGTCTCAGCCAAATGAAGGGAATCCTCTTCAATTTGTCAACCCACATAGTTTTAAAGCTCCTGCAGCAGGATGTAGGTGCTTCAGGGTGAAATCTGAAGTACGACTCTTAAACCCAAATGTCTGCGACATCAGTCCTTTTTATGTTCTCTGTAGCAACTTGCATTCTAATATGCAAACCACCTTGACCTGGAGTAAAATTAATTCTTTTTTTTAAAGTAGTAGACATAAGTAGCTGAAGATGGTTAGAAATGGGAGGATATGTCCATTTCATTTTATCCTTTTTCCAATTTTAAGTTTCGTTCTCCGCATTTCCACATCACTCTGCATTTTTTTAAAAAATCACAAAAATCCATGTGCATTTTAGTGCGAATTTCTCCTAATATACAGTGGTACCTCGGGGTACATATGCTTCAGGTTACATACGCTTCAGGTTACAGACTCCACTAACCCAGAAATAGTACCTCGGGTTAAGAACTTTGCTTCAGGATGAGAACAGAAATCGTGCTCCGGTGGCATGGTGGCAGCAGGAGGCCCCATTAGCTAAAGTGGTGCTTCAGGTTAAGAACAGTTTCAGGTTAAGAACGGACCTCTGGAATGAATTAAGTACGTAACCCGAGATACCACTGTACACACAATTTTTTTGCAAAGGAAAACATGTAGAAAATACTAATATAATGTATTTTCAACAATATGTGCAATTTTATGCACACCTTGCTCTGTGGGCCTATGCATTTTTAGATACATTACTTGGTTGCTTTGCAAAACTTCAGAGAAGAAGAGGTTCTGAAGGGTTTGTGTATTATTTTGCAAAGAGTGACTTTGGCATGCTCTCCTTCAATCGCGACCTGAATCAGATTTCTCTACTGTGTCTACTTAGGCTAGAGCAGTTCTGGTGCTGCTCAAACTCAGCAGAGGGCAGTAGTGCCCAGCCCATTGCAGATGCCTTACAGTGTTCTTATCTTTGACTGTAACCTGAAAACTAGAATGGGGAAGCTGCGGGGAACCTAAAGCAGCTGTTGGATTCCAATTCCTTCAACCAGCATGGAATGATATTCAGGGATGATGGGAGTTGGAGTCTGACAACATCCAGAAGTCTGCAGGGCCCCCCATGCTTACCTACAAGGCTTACTAGCCTCATCATTCAGAGTTTTCTTTTAACAAGAACAAATTCTATCATCTTTCCCAGTGGTCTCTTCCTCCGGCTTTCTTTAGGAAGGCTAAAGTTCAAGCATTAGATGGGACCACCCATTTTTATCATGGAAAAGCAGAAACGCTTTAGCCTTGTGACTTTAAAACATATTGCACTAACGAAACGAAACAAAATAAAGGGAAGGAAAAAAAGGATGTGGGAAACCAAATAACAGACTCACTTTGGACAATCATGAGAGAATGACTGTTTACTAAAAGCTGGAAGGCCGTAGGAAGCTGGCAAGGATCAGAAATGTTCTGTGCCAGAATTAGGAGCAGGGGAAAACAAACTGTTGCAATAGCTGAAAGCTCAGATCTGGGAGGAACTGAGGGAGTGTTTCTGAGTGGCTGCATTTCTGACTGGCAGAAAAATCAGGAGACTAAGATATCACAGTATGTTATAAACAGTAAAGGATTTATTCTAGTCAGGGTGGGTAGGAGGAAACACGTATGTCTAGGGTAGCCACTTATACATTACTCCCAAAAGGAAATGTATTATCAAAACAGAGGGCACATTAAATTTTCATATGCTAACATGCATATTGGTGCAAAGATAGAAACAGAGCCCCTCCAGACCACTGGCGTATTGTTGGTGCATTCTGCAACATATTCTTCGCACAATGCATTAGTACATTAGTGGTGGATTTCTTCTCCTTTATTTTTTTCTGCTGTGATACATCCCCAACGCCACCTCATTATTGCTGCCTATAGCAGAACAAAAGTGGAACAAAAGTGAACCAAAAGATTTATGGTATAAAACGTGGCAGGGTCTCAGCAGGAAGCTATGGGATATGCACAGACTGGAAACGAAGCAGTGTGACCTTCCCAAAATTTCTGCAGGTGCAAAGTATATGGAAAGCGGTATCTGGTATGACCACCCCAGTAGCACAAATCATCCAGAATGCATGATAACAATAGCATCCAGTCCATGATTTCTCTAATTTAGAAAGAAATGCAAAACATCTCACCACAGTGTGAGCAACTGAAACATGGCAGTAAACTGCTAGTTGTTTAGAGTATTATTATTGTGTATGTATATTTTTAACAGCCAGGGAAAAGGAGAGGTGTTGTGGAATTTTCAACCCCAGGTGCCAAATTAAGTTGGCTGGCTTTGGGTACTGTGCACCTTTACCGGAAACAAGACTACCGTTTGCAAACAGTCTTGGGCCAAGCCAGGAAACATACAGGCACAAACCTGCCAGCACATTTTATATTATAGTTAAAGCCCACATTTGCGAGCTCACGAAAGCATCAAGGTTATATAGCGTTGCCGAGGTTATATAGGGTTGGACATAGCTGGGATTTGGCCTTTGGAAGCAGGATTCAGCGGAAATTGATGCTATGTCCAGGAAAATCAGCGTTTTTTTGATATTTTGCAAAACAACAACAACTTTGCCCAAAAAAAGTTCAACAACTTTTGTGTCCAGATGTTCACTTTTTGAAATATGGCAACCCTAAAATAATTTTATAATTTTTACCCCGTAAGAAACAACAACAACCCAGTCTTGAGACAACCTAGCATGTAAGGAGGTGACCCCAGATGACCAAAACAGTGAGGCAAGTCCAATGCATCTATATCTATATGTACTGTGTTGTCAGCTGATTCTCCCATGCAAATATTCCCACCCACACACCCACATGGCTATTTTCCTCTCCATTGGGCTTGCTTCTGTTTTCTAAACCTCGCTGACAGGGACACAAGAAGCTGATTTTTAATGAATCAGATTATTGGTCCATCTAGTTCGCTATTGTTTATACCAGGGGTAGCTAACCTGTTGCTTTCCAGATGTCATTGAACCACAATCCCTATCGTCCCTAACCAATGGCCATACTGGCTGGGGGTGATGGGAACTGCAGTCCATCCATATCTGGAGGACACCATGTTGGCTCCCAGAGGTCTGGGAGGTGGCTCTCCAGCGTTTCAGACATAGGTCTCTCCCGGCCATACCTGGAAATGCCCAGGATTTAAATTAGGACCGTCTGCATGCAGAGCAAATGCTCTCCCACTGAGCTTCTACAGCAAGCATAGCCTTAATATGCATTTGGAGTGAATCTTTGTTCCAGAATGAGAACATCTCATGTGCATGGGGAGAAGAAAAGCGCTTTAGTGATGGCTGCAGAATGAAACTATGGTGGGACAGATGGAAGCAAATAGAAAGGACTGTTCTCCTTCTAACAGTGCCAGCTCACTTGGCAGCCATCTGAGACTATCAGCCAGTTTTAAGGGAGGCAGAAGAGACACGTGGCCTGATCTCTTCTGTTGACAAAAGCAGGAGTCGTCCACAAACAGGCACAGTCGCTCACAGAGGCACTCCGCCCTACGAGGACCCATAGGGAGCAAAAGGCAGTGAACGAGGCAAAGGAAAGGGGTGGAGGCAAAGGATACAGGGGCTGCTCCTCCTAGTCCTCCTCCTCCTCCTGAACAACAGCAGGACGCACACTCTCGGCAGGCTGGTTTCAAAACTGGTTGAGACCGGATTGCTCCAGTCCTGAGCAGCTCAGCTACTTTGAGTGCAGGAGGCTGCTGGAAAAGTCACTGCAGAAGCCTGCCAAATAGGCCGCCTCTGGCTGGTGGGACTGGAATAACCCACTCCTTTCTGCCAAAAGAAGACCAGAGCTCGTAAATAAAGCCAGCCTTGTAAACAATCCTGGCATAACAGGGCTCTTGTTTTGTCCCCCCACCCCTTCCTTTACATAAATATATTGTATGCACCCTGGCCTGCAGCAAACACATTTTCTTTGGTTGCAGCTTTCCCCAACCAGGTGCCCTCAAGTTGTTTAAAACTACAATACCCATCAGGGCCACTCATGCTTGGGAAGGCTGCTTTAGCAGAGAATAAAGAGGAGTGCAATTTACACCTGTGCTGCTCAGACTTTCTCTCTGCATTCCTATTCTCCAAAAAAACAAAGATCGTTTTCGCAGTACTTTGGGCATGGAACTCCCAGTCCAAAAGTAGCTCATTAAGAAACCTGCTTGCCTTTTTATTTTATGAAGTGTTTGGAAGACATGGCTGTGTAGAGTTGTTTTAGTATGCTTTTTTGGGCGCATGAGCTGTCTTATCTTGGTTTTATATTAATTTTATTAGTGATTTGTTAGCCTGGTTTATACATAGCACTAAGCCAGGGTTTCCCAATCTTGGGTCTCCAGCTGTTTTTGGACTACTGTTCCCATCATCCCTGACCACTGGTCCCACTAGATAGGGATGATGGGAGTTGTAGTTTTTAAAAAACAAGTGGAGACCCAAGTTTAGGAAACCCTGCGCTAAACCCAACTTCCACCAGCATCAACCAATATGGCTAATGGTCAAGGATGGTTGGAGTTGTGGTCAAGCAACATCTGGAGGAGCACAGGCTCTACATCCCTGGTTTAAGCTATTCCTCCACTTGTACCCAACCTCTATATTTGTAAACATTACAAAATTCTAATAAGCCTCCAGTGACCTCCTTCCACGGGAACCAAACTCAGGGTAAGTGCTGTTTGACCCTGAAACTATTCAGTATTTGGTGATAGGGAGGGGGTGGAATTTGGTTCACCTTGCCTTTAAAGGTGATTGCACTAAAGTTGCACTAAAACAGTAAGCAAATCAAAACACAGCCACACTTCACGAATCACACTTTCACGAATTTTGCAATGCAGTTCTGCAACTAAGAATTGCGTACCAAAAAGCATGTATTGGGGTGGTGTGCATATAAATGCATATATTGGTAAAAATAATGTACAAAAATGCATTTATATTAGGGGAAGTTGTTTGCAAAATGTGCATATTTGTTAAAACTAAACACAAAAGAAAACCTTATTGCGAGGAACTTGCACTACAATGCTGATGAATTTCCATAAGGATTTTTTTTAAAAGCAAACATAGAAATTCTGCAGAAATATGTGGAACTGAATTTACGATTGGGGAAATCAGAAACTGAAATAACAGAAAATTGAACAGTCCTCCTTGTAGAAGTGGGCTGAGTGTCACAATATGTTACATATTGAGAGCTGAGGATGCTCACAGCAGCTAAACTGCTTTCTTTGGCATCTCTCGTGGTGACCGCGGTGTGCGTTCCAGCTGTTAGTAAGAACAGTGCCGGAGTTCAAGCATGTTAAGGGTTTGTTAAACTGAAGCAGCTGTTCATGAATTTGGTCCAGTTCACAAGAATATTGGGCTGAAGACCCTAGCATGACACAGCTATGGTGAGGGAGCAGTGCTTAAATGATACAGCGGCCAAGGTGGTGCGTGGCCCCCTCAGCTACTGTTTTCAATAAAGTTGCATGGGGTGTGGAGTTAGTGGGTTTCATTTAGTGTTCCCTACCTATCTCCCAAAAGGGACACGGGTGGTGCTGTGGGTTAAACCACAGAGCCTAGGACTTGCCGATCAGAAGGTCGGCGGTTCGAATCCCCGCGACGGGGTGAGCTCCCGTTGCTCGGTCCCTGCTCCTGCCAACCTAGCAGTTCGAAAGCATGTCAAAGTGCAAGTAGATAAATAGGTACTGCTCCGGCAGGAAGGTAAACGGCGTTTCCGTGCGCTGCTCTGGTTCGCCAGAAGCGGCTTAGTCATGCTGGCCACATGACCCGGAAGCTGTATGCCGGCTCCCTTGGCCAATAAAGCGAGATGAGCACCGCAACCCCAAAGTTGTCCGTGACCGGACCTAATGGTTAGGGGTCCCTTTACCTTTACCTTATCTATCTCCCCCTATAACTCAAGCACTGTAATGGAGAGCTGAAAGCAGATTAAAGAAGAATGGATAAGAAGTCCCCACTAGACCTTGGAGCCCTAAGATCAGAGGTGAGCTAAACACTGATTTAAAATTTCCTTTAGCCTATATACTTGTGCTCGTCTTTTGTTGAACAGTCCCCAGTTCCCACTTATGGAAGCTGGGTAGATTAGCCATGTGCCATACTTCACAGAGGAAAAGCCCTCTATTTGAAAGGATGTTGGGTCCAGCCTAGACATAAAAAACTTTAAGAAGAGAGAGTAAGTTGCCTATCAACATTTAACACCTGGAGAGCAAGCAGCCAACCTGAACTAATAATAATAATAATAATAATAATAATAATAATAATTTATTTCTACCCCGCCCATTTGTCTGGGTTTCCCCAGCCACTCTGGGCGGCTTTCAACAGAAGGTTAAAAATACATTAAACTAGGATGAGATATTGCTCTTTTAATTACAGAAATTATTTATAAAGTTGCACTTAAACATCCGTATTAGCACATATCTTATGCAGATCTGTCTCCTTTTTTTTTTTTATATTATGGTAAGGAAGGGGCCACCCTCAATGCCATCTGGGCAGAATCTTACCATTCCACTTGCACAATTGAACTTCTCCCCTCTTTCCCCCCTGTGGCCACCCCAGGCACTCCCCAGATCTGCTCCAGATGGTTGATGGAATCTAGAGCACATTTAGGGGCACACAGGGAATGGAGAGGGGGAGAACGTTGTGCAAGCAGAAATCCTTGCAGTGACAAAACTTTCTCATTAGAACTACACTGCATTCCTCCCAATGTCTTTTGTTTGGTAACCAGCATCAGAGGCTGAAAGCTTGCAAATGGCATGTTCTACTCTGCCTCCACTCCTAAGCTATCAGGTTCCTTTCTGGTTCTGTCCCAGACCAACCAGGTTCTTCCAGCCTCTACCCAGAACCTACCAAATCTTGCCTTGTCTCCAGTGTTCCACCTATCCCGGCCTTATCCATTGGGTTTCCCCAAAGGACCAGTATTTTGAAAACAAAAAAAATGGAAATCATTCAGCCCAATGACCAACACAGGCTTCCTACCAGCTTCACAGATGAAATAACAGACACACACATCAGCAAATCAAATGCTGATTCAGCCATCAGTTTTGCCAACTCACTCACTTTGGAGAGGTAGCTTTTAGATATCACAGCTGCCAACCAATCGACATCATCTATAGCTGACTTCTGATGCAAATATGTGGAGCTGGCTTTTTCAGAGCTTGACCTTACCTTTCAGAGGAAAGGTATTTCAAGTGGGGACACTTCCAAAAGACCTGCCATGTGATAAAAATCGAGCATCTTTCCCCCCACCCATAAACACATTTACTTGGAAGTAAGCCACACACTTCAATAGAGCTTGCTTCTGAGTACATGGTGCATAGGATCACAGCCTTAGGATCAGAGAAGTACATTGTTTTCTTTCATGTCCTTCATGAAGCTCTTGTGTATGGTTGTCAGGAAAAATAGATTGCTTTCTAGGCACACGTCCTGGTGGTTTTCCACTTGCCCAACTCCTTTCCAAGGGGAAACTTGCTCTTTAGCAATAGATCAGAACAAATGGCAATCTAAGGGAAACTGGAATTGCCTTTTGCTCAAACTGAGCGCTAAAGAGCAGTTTCCCCCCAGGGAAAGCAGGGAAAGTGTAGATAAGCCCATATTTAGCATTCTGTTCAATGCATGCTACTTTCTTTGGTCTAATAGTGGTGCCTTTCTTTTTCTTTTTAAATTAAAGATAGTAAGAAACAACACTAAACTTTTCAACATTCCCGTTTTGAAACTAAGCTGGTTGCTGTGTATTCATGGCCTGCTTTGATGATTGAATATTTAATATATTTCACTTTACTGTTCTGCTGCTGCTGCTGAGTTTATCTCCCCTATTAATTTATGTGCTTATGGTTTTATGTAAGCCGCCACAGCCATCAAATGATAAGGTATATATGTATAAAATAAATACAGAACTGCTCATTAATTTCCAGTCTAAACTTGAAATACTCTCATAAATTGATTACAATTTATAACCATCTTGGTTCCGTTCCCATTCAGCTTGTAGAGAAGCCATCCCCTTTTCAAAAATAGCTCTGATTACTTTTACATTTAGCAGGTATTCAGGCACTTTAGTGCATTAGCTGCTGGTAGTTTGTGAAATAGTATATGTTTAGCTCGTTTTACCGACACCTACATTGTTGCCAAGAATCTCACTAAAGCCTTTGAGCTGAAAGCACAACTTGCCTAAACCTGTAGCGACACAGACAATAGGGTTTATTTTAGAGATGGTAATTAAACTTATCGCAAGGTAAAGACTATTATTACTTCTCATTCATGTGTGACTACACTATTGATTACATCATATATTGTAACCTTATATTGTAAGGGACATTTAGGGTTGCTAGACCAAAACGTCAAAAATATGGCACGATTGGAATACAATGCAACTGAAATAAAGGACATTTATTGGGTTCGGAAGCTTGGTGCTGCTTTGAAATTCTTCAACCTGGGGTACCCAAGCCTTCTTCAACCTGGGGTACCCTAGATGTTGTCGCACTACAATTCCCATCATCCCTAGCCATCAAATCCAAAAGTTAGGGGTGATGGCAGTTGTAGTCCAGCAACATTTGGCAAAGGTGAAGGTTGAAGAGCAACTATGACATTATTTTTAAAGCATACTTTAAAAATTTGATGCTAAAGAATTTAGATCCTTCAGCATGAAAACCCTAATAATTAATATAGAAAGGGATATGCTGCGATATATGATGAAATTTGCAGTATATTCACACTTGGCAGGCAACGAACACTGTCAACTGAAATGCTTAATGAAGTGTTTGGGAGAACAGGTCGTCTTCTAACGATTGGAGATATTTTTGGATGCTGCATCAGAACATCATCATTTAATCAGAGACGCTCTGGCAGCACCAACTGGGCCACTAGATCACAGAGTTCATGCCAGACATGAAACAGGGAAGACTCTGACATCTACAGGATCACTAGGACTTTAACTTTGACCTTGCATTGCAGCTTATCATGTCATGCTGAGAGATCTCAAATATATACTATAACGAGGTACCATAAGTCTAGAAAAAGTTGGCACCATACAATTGGTCCCAAGCGTCATCAAACAATTAGGGAGCCAAAATATTCTATCATTGCACAAATCACAGTGAGCTTCATAGCCAAGAGAAATTTAAAGCTGGGTGTCACTGTGTCTAGTCTGAGACCCTACCTCCTGCACTATACTGGTTTTCAACTTAGTGCAACTGGGCTATTCTTCCTTATCTGTGAACCCCATTGGGTATCTTTGGGCTAACCTAAACTACTTCACAGAGTTGTTGTGGATATCCAACCTATGCTGTTCTAAACACCTTGGAAGAGAAGGAAAAGACATATTTAGCAGTACAATCATAAATGGGCACATGTGCTGCAAAATATCTAGGACATTTTAGAAGACATCTTTTAGAAGACATCTGAAGGCAGCCCTGTTTAGGGAAGCTTTTAATGTTTGATGCATTACTGTATTTTAATATTCTGTTGGAAGCCGCCCAGAGCGGCTGGGGAAACCCAACCAGATGGGCGGGGCATAAATAAATAATAATAATAATAATAATAATAATAATAATAATAATTATTATTATTATTTATTATTATTTAATAGAAGTTGGTGCTTGGCAATGATGAAAGAACAGATTAACATTTGAAGAGGCAGATGAATCTTCTGAGCAAATGTCAATTTCCCTGACATAGCAAAATGGATTGAGGGGTTCATAGAAAATGGGCAATGCCAATCCATAAAGTGTTTAAACGAAGAAGAGCTGAAGAAAAAGAGTACCGTATATCCATCCTCTTTAAATTTCCATTGTTAAGCACTTTCCACATAGATAACTGTATTTCTGGCTGTTAAAAACAGACTCTACTAATCTCATCATCCTAATTAGAAGGTAATCAGAAGAATGTCAAGTTTCAATTTTTAAGGCATCTAGTTCTCGTTGTTGTTGAAAAGGTTGCAATCGTGCAGGTGGTGACTCAAAACCATAAACCTATTGGCACTTTAGAGGTTCCCAACGGTTCCATTTTATTCCTTGTCCACTGATCAAGTTTTTTTATTTTAAAAAAAAATCACTTTCACTGAAAAAATAATACAAGAAGCAAGACAAATCATGCAAATGCATGTGTAGTTTATTCTAGAACCAAAGAGGTGCAGCAGGTGGAGATGAGCTGGAATGTGAAAGGTCAAGCGTCAAAACCCCACTCAGGCATAAAACTGATTGAGTAGCCTTGGGCAAGCCATAATACGCAAACCATGATCTTTAGAGTATTCCTATTGCACCAGATCATGCTGCTTTAGATGCCTGTGGCTTGTGGCAACTTATTACTGGTCCATCTAGCACAGTATTATTTGTATTGACCGACAGTAGATTTCATGGGTTTCCGAAGTTTTCCCTTCCCTTTCTGGAGATGCTGGCAATTGAAACTGGGTACCATATGTTTTGCTCTATAAGACTCACTTTTTCCCTCCTAAAAAGTAAGGGGAAATGTGTGTGCATCTTATGGAGCGAATGCAGGCTGCGCAGCTATCACAGAAGCCAGAACAGCAAGAGGGATTGCTGCTTTCACTGCGCAGCGATCCCTCTTGCTGTTCTGGCTTCTGAGATTCAGAATATATTTTTTCTTGTTTTCCTCCTCCAAAAACTAGGTGTGTCTTGTGGTCTGGTGCGTCTTATAGAGCGAAAAATACTGTACTTCTTGTGTGCACAGTTTGTGCTCAGTTACTGAAATACAACCTTTTCAGTGGAAAGATGATTGATATAATTTATAGATAAATAAAGCAAGCTTTCTCTCAAAGTAACTTGAGGACTGAAAGTCAGGGTTGCCCTGTTGGATAAATGAAATTGCAACAGTAAAGTATACAGGGCTAAGTTAGTCAACATGAAACACTTTTAAATCCTATTGATTTCAATGGAAGAGTTAAGCATGGACTCCAGTCAGGAAGAAACCATCACCCTCAATGCAACGAGAGCACAGCATACTCTTCTAATCTGAGTTAAAGTGCACAGGATTTCACCCTAAATCACTGGAATAAATGGGTTCTAAAAATGTTTAACTTTGGCTTTGCGGTGTAGGCAAGCATAACCATAATCCAAATAGCGTTCATGTTAGTATATGTAATCTCCATAGTTTATTACGAGTACAAGGTATGATATTTATTTCTGCACAATCTGATTGTGACGGTCATCATTGAAGGTATTTGCCTTGTGAAAGCACACAAGGCTTGAGCTGCAAATAGGGGGGGGAGTCATTTTAAACAAATGAAAAAATAAAATGCTTACCTTCATCTTTGTGTTTACTGTTGTCCAGCGTGTGGAACATGTACACTTTCGTTGTGGCGTCAGCTGCTTGGTTCATGGTCCATGTGTCACTGGGATCTCTTCTTTTGATGAAATGAGACAATTGAGACCTGGGCTCCGTGCAGGAAGCACCTATTCCAGCACACAAGTCATTTACCCTACTTGCAGGAATTTGCTGATTCCTCATCACTGAAGTCCATAGAGCTTTGCAAATGCAGCTGACAGAACACTGAAAAGATAAGACTTATTTTCTCGCCCTCTAAAAGTGGTGGCTGCAGCTTCCCAAGTAAGTAGCTGGCCAGATGTAACTTTGTGCAGTCGTCAGTGATGCTGCAACCTTCTCCAGAATCCCGAAGCAGCTTCTTGCAATTGAACGTTTAAAAAATAATAAAGCAACTTTAAAGGGCTGGGAGAGTGTCGCAGTTCATAGGAGAGCAAGCTGCTCGGTCAGCAAGGTCTGCGCTTGCTGTTTCTGACAGCTCAGACTAGAGTACTTAAGAGAGAGGCAGAACTCTGGGAGGGGATATGTAAAGCCACGAAGATTAACATAAAGAGGGTGGGCCAGTAGGGAGACTTAGATTTCCTCTGCCCGGGATTTACCAGTGGTGAAGTGGGAGATCAGCTTTCCTGCTCTCTCAGCTGCAGATTTGATAGAGGAACGCCTTTGAAATTAATAGGGTTTCCTCGTTCCTTGCTTGTTGGAATTACTATAGTAAAATAATTGTGCATTCTGAAAAGGGAGGGCTTGGGCAAAGCTAATAACGTACAGGAACATCTGAAAACAAAATACGGTACACACCCTCCAACCTTTTTCAGATATAATAGGAATATACACTCAGAACTCACCTAAGTGTACCATGTTTACAGATTGCTAACAGTTCTTCTTCATCTATGGGCTGTTCCAGACTTTGTTCTTGCACCATGCCTAGAAAGCGCAGTTTCCCACTTATCCTGCACTTTCTGGACACAGGTCCAAGCAGTTTTACCTTTGCCGCAACACTTTCCCCCAGAAAACTCATGATAAATCACAGCAGACGTCAATCCACAGAAAACCCAATTGACATTTGCTCCAATTCAACTGGAGGGTTGTGTTTGGGGAAACTCCCTTGAAGGCATGAATAGCTCTTGTGTCTGATCTGGATTCGGAGCAACTGAATATTTCAGTCGCAAGTGATGCAGCTGAGCAGACCACTGTAGCGGTTCAGGGAGGAAAAGATTCCTCTCTTCTTCCATGGCCAACTTATCGTGAGTTTTCTGGGGGAAAGTGGAATGGAAGAGGCAGGAGGGGCCTGGGAAAGGGGTGTGGCCTGGGATCAGTACCCGGGGTTTAGAGGCCAGGTGTTCCCCATACCTGGAAGGTGTCAGAACAGGAAGATGCAAGGGCATTGGCAATGAAGTAGGTTTGAACATCGCCCATTTCAATTTATTCCTCCAGGAGCAAAGGAAAGCTCTGTCTCTTTGAGCAGTATTATTATTGTTTTATTTAAGCCCCAGCCACTCTGTACGCTTTACTAAATGGCAGGGTGATTATCTAGAAGAGGCCAGCCAAGCATCTGATTTTCAACACCTCATTTATTGCTTCCAAATCTGACCCAGTGATATTTACGTGCACACAAGCGAGGGGTACTCCAGTTACTGAGGTTGCTCAGTTTAACGTGAGAGTGTTTTGAAAAACAGCACGGATGCCTCAGCTAAAAGGAAGCCAAGGAAAAGCTAGGCTGAGTCTTGACAGGAAAAGTAGTCAACATTCCTGTTGTTTTACATGTTTTTAAATATGCTATTTTATATTTAATTGCATTGTTTTATCGCTTTCATGTTTGCCATCCTGGGCTCCTTTGCGAGAAAGGGCATGTGGCGTTCGTACAAAGCCCCCGGTCGTTTCACAGACTAGTGACCTGTACACCACTATTTTATTCTTCCGCTGCCGCCAATTTTGTGGGGGGGAAACCCAGGGCTACCAAGTGAAGTACTGAGTCTCAGTCAGGTAGAGTTAACAATGAAGATTAAACTTTATTTCAAACACAAACAATTTTAAAAATATATTTGAAACGCTGTCACTCTATTCCCTCTCAGTCTTGTCCCTGTCTCTAACTCACTCTGACTCCTCTATCTCCCCTCCCAAAAGAACCAACCAAACTAACTGTCAAAACCTCTGGGCTGAGCCTCAAAATCAGGTAGGCTCCGCCTCTGGGCTTTCTTATTGGTCAACCTATTAACCCTTTCTCTCCCCCAATACAAACGTATCCCCAAATAATGGGCAAACGCCACAGGGCAAGATATAGATATTTGTTATTATGGGTTGCCTCCAACTAACTTATAGCTCCACTGAAAATTAAAGGGCTTTAATCATGTCCATTCATTTCAGTAGGTCTGCTCTGAGTAGGACTTACCCATGGGATACAATCCTATGGGTACAAAATGCATGTTACAATTTAGCAATTGACCTAGGCAAGAAAGTTGGTGGAAGAAGGGAAACATAGCTTCAAACCTACTTATTTTATTGTATTTCTACCTTTCTCCAAAAGGAACCCAAGCAATCAGAATCCAGGAAGATGCCAAATAATCATCACTATAAATATGGGAGAGACTGACTAATTCGGCGGTCAACAAAAACAGGGCTGGGATATTGTTAAGGGCTGGCACAGGCAAGAGCAAGCGCATCCCGCTTCACTGATTGAGGTGAAATGGGAAGTGCCGCCTTGCCCTGCCACTGCCACCACTGTACCTCAGGCTGCTGCTTGAGGCTGCTGCTTTGGGGACTTCAGCCACCTCAGTCCACCTAATGGCTGAGCCATGTCTGTGCGTAGGACACCTAAGTCTCGGGTCTTTTGCACTGAGCCCAAGATCTCCTGCCCCTTTCCCCCTTTTAATACTTTTTAAAAAAATGCTTACAGGACAGGTGGACAAACTGCAACATGCAACACCAGTGAGACCCCACCCACCCACATTCTTAACTTTGGGGCCCAGAAAATCCTGTTGGCTCAGAGGAAGCCCTGACAATTTGCCCCCCACCCCCGGAACGTTGGCCTAAATGTGCACCTATGCATATAAAACCAGCACATGCAACCTTTATGCAAATTTGTGTCATGGGCTTGTGCACCCTAAGTCAGTTAAAGACCTAATAACACCTCTGAATGTGATGATATAATAATAATAATAATAATAATAATAATAATAATAATAATAATAATAATAATTCCACCCAAGCATCTCCAGTTGCTAGCTAGAGGCTCATCCTCACAGGACCCCTTCTGTTTCTATTTAAGCTACGAGGTGAAAGTTAGGAGGTGCATTGCTGGTTGGCAATGGGCCAAGTAATCCTGGAATGATCTTTGGTTCAGCAAGTTCAGCAACATCTGTCAGACTGTTGATAGGTGTACCAGGATCAGATTCTGGAGATACATCCAAGTTGGTGGGACTTAACTGTATGAAAATTTTTCACTGGTGGTACGCTATCTCCCACTTCTAGCACCTGTGCAACTGAGAGCTCAGTAAATGCCGTAGGACAAAGCTTTCCCAACTTTTCATGTTGGTGACATGCTTTTTAGACATGCATCATTTCGTGAAACAGTGGTTCAGTTTTCCTAGCAAGCCAGAGGTTAAACTAACCCCTTTCCAGCCCCAGGAGGAGAGCAGGGAGCGTTTGCGCGACACACCTGCACACTGCAACCGAAACGCTAACGTGCCGCGACACACAGTTTGGAAAGCTCTGCTGTAGGAGTTGCAAAAAGCAAAGCAAAACAAAAAACAGCTCCCAATTCCCTGTCTATGTTCAAGCCTATTATATTTTTCTGCATAGCCAGAGATTTACAGTACAATACCCAGCTGCAGTCCAATGTGATACGGTCTAGGAAAGGTATAGTCACATTATATTGCTGCGCATTTGAAGTGGTGTGGTTGTTTCTTCTGCGAGTTTCAGGTGTAAATGGCTGGTAATATCCAAATCAATCTTGATGTAGGAGAACAGAAAGCATAGAGTAAGTATGGGGAGTCTGTAGACCTCTGTATGTTGCTGGACTGCAAGTCCCATCACCCATGACCAGTGGCTATGCTAGCTGGAGCTGATGGGACCTGAAGTCCAACAACACCTTGAGGGCAATAGGCTCCACACTCATGGCATAGGGATGACAGGTTTCCCCACAGAATTACAGTGGTACCTTGGGTTACAGATGCTTCAGGTTACAGACGCTTCAGTTTACAGACTCTGCTAAGCCAGAAATAGTACCTCGGGTTGAGAACTTTGCTTCAGGGTGAGAACAGAAATTGTGCGGCGGCGGCATGGCGGCAGTGGGAGACCCCATTGGCTAAAGTAGTACCTCAGGTTAAGAACAGTTTCAGGTTAAGAACGGGCCTCCAGAACTAATTAAGTTCTTAACCCGAGGTACCACTGTACAGAGAGAATTAAGAAAGGGAAGAAAGGATACGAAGTGGGGAGGTGTTGTGCAGACTAGACTGGGGTGGGAGAATGTATGCATGTTTACTTACATATGGAGCCCCTAAAGACATTTCAGAAAGTCGTTTAGATTAAAGCAAGGCGTTTTTGTAGGCAAGGTATCAATATTATCTGCTCAACACAATAGAAGCAACACAATGGCAGGCCCTGACAAAGAGAGCTGCTCCTTCTCAGCAAATATTTGGCTGCCGTGAGACAGCTTGTAGCCTTATAAACTAAGGGATTTATGGTAGTCATTGGGGACTGATGTGGAGTTGAACAGAAAGGGAAAGAAATGTATACGTTTTTCAGTTTTTCATATAACCAGCTTTCCATGGCCACAAGATATATGCTATTATCTGTATCAGAACTGTCTTTTGCTACTGGGCCTAAAACAATTTGTTGACCTTGGTCTATAAAGTCCTAAGGTTCAAATATCTGAAGGACTGCCTCTTGTCTTACCTGTGAGCCTATGTCTTAAGAACTGTGGGAGAGATCTGCTCATAGTTCCACCAATATGCACAGTTCACAGAGCAGTGCCTTCTTCACTGTGGCACCCCAGCTGTGTAATTCACAAAGTTTCAGTTGTTCCCAACGTTCATTTTCTCAGGCATATAGAACTGGTTGATAACTGGGTTACTGCTGGATCGTCTGCAGTGTTGGTAATTCCCCACCCCCCATTTTATATTGTTGGTTTTGTGAGTGGGTGTGCATATCTGGTCTATTGTTATGTACTGCCCTAGGAATTCTTGAGTAAAAAGCCAGGATCCAAATTCAGTAATAAATAAATAATATGTTAATCTAACTTCTATTATCATATCTGCCCACACACATTTACCTAACTGTTGCAAACATTTATTTCTCCTGAAATGCAAACCTAATGCATGTTTACTCAAAAGAGAAGTCTAGATGTTTGCTATGATTACCAGGTGGAATTGGGTTGTGTGGATGTCACAAGGTCGTAACACATTTCTTATTTTATTTATTTTTCTAAAGCATTTTTATACTGCCTTTCATCATATCAGATTTTAGGGCAGGGAACAAAAAATAAAACATGAGAAAACTGTAGATAAAATTTTATAACAGACCAAAACCTTTTTTCCTTTCCCCCTTTCTTCAAAAGCAGAGGGCATGCACATTGCTTCTGAAGTAATTAAAAGTCACACTTCCCTTTCATTTCCAATCTCTATATTTACCTAATATCTATCTACATACAGTAAAAATGAAAGAATGTCACCATGTTCAAAAATTGGTGTTAAAATCTGTAGGAAGTTCTGCAGCAGAACCCAAAACACATCCTCATCAAGCAAAGTGTTCCTTATATTTCTGGGAATTTTAAGATCCTTAGTTATTACTGTTGCTTGAAGCGCTTTTTTAGTAAACTTTCAAAGGAGATCGCCACTCCACTCCAATGTGTTTTATTACAGAGCTTCAGTGTCACTATTTTATTCTGTGCATTTTTTTCTTCTTGCTCCTTCTTGAAGCCTGTGGTGACAACATGAGTAGCTTTTACATATTTGATAACTTCTTTAGCTCTTCTATAAATCCTTTGAAGGGTGTCCAGTTACATGAAGTCACTAAGAAGTAAGTTTAGTCTATGAGATGCACATCCTATTGCAGTAATATGTGGGTACTTGTCCATTGTGATTTCCCATGCAGCTTTCATATTACCTGCTTTGTCAGTTAGCAAAGCAAATACTTTACTACAGTGGTGCCCCGCAAGACGAACGCCTCGCAAGACGAAAAACCAGCTAGACGAAAGGGTTTTCCGTTTTAGAGGCGCTCATAAGCGAATTCCCTATGGGCTTGCTTCGCAAGACGAAAGCCCATAGGAAATCTCCGGTCCGCGAAGCCTGGGCGCGCTGATCTCAGCGCGCGCAGGCTCGGCATGCCGGCAACTCTCCGCGAGCAGCGGCAGCGCTGCCGCTGCTCGCGGAGAGGTCCGCGAGCCTGGGCGCGCTGATCTCAGCGCGCGCAGGCTCGGCATGCCGGCAACTCTCCGCGAGCAGCGGCAGCGCTGCCGCTGCTCGCGGAGAGGTCCGCGAAGCCTGGGCGCGCTGATCTCAGCGCGCGCAGGCTTCGGCATGCCGGCAACTCTCCGCGAGCAGCGGCAGCGCTGCCGCTGCTCGCGGAGAGGTCCGCGAGCCTGGGCGCGCTGATCTCAGCGCGCGCAGGCTTCGGCATGCCGGCAACTCTCCGCGAGCAGCGGCAGCGCTGCCGCTGCTCGCGGAGAGGTCCGCGAAGCCTGGGCGCGCTGATGTCAGCGCGCGCAGGCTCCGGCATGCCGGCAACTCTCCGCGAGCAGCGGCAGCGCTGCCGCTGCTTGCGGAGAGGTCCGCGAAGCCTGGGCGCGCTGATCTCAGCGCGCGCAGGCTTCGGCATGCCGGCAACTCTCCGCAAGCAGCGGCAGTGCTGCCGCTGCTTGCGGAGAGGTCCGCGACGCCGTGGCTGGACAGCTTTTGAAGGCAGGTGGGGGACAAAGACTTTCGCCCCGCCAACCTTCAGAAGAGGTCCAGGACCTCTTCTGAAGGCTGGCGGGGGCAAAAGTCTTTGTCCCCCTGCCTGCCTTCCCAGGGGCTTTAAATTGCCCGGACAGCGGAGAAGTCCTCCGCTGTCCCGGGCAATTTTAAATGCCGCCCGCCAGCATTTTAAGATCGCCCGGACAGCGGAGAAGCCCTCCGCTGTCCCGGGGTTTTTAAAATGCTGGGGGTGGAAGAAAAGCCCTTGTCCCCCCAGCCTTCAGAAGAGGTCGGGGGACAGACTGTCCCCGGACCTGGTCTGAAGTCGGTTTCCCTAGGAACGCATTAATTGATTTTCAATGCATTCCTATGGGAAACCGTGCATCGCAAGACGAAAAACTCGCAAGAAGAAAAAACTTGCGGAACGAATTAATTTCGTCTTGCGAGGCACCACTGTACTCTCAATTTTCTTCTAAAACTGTACATATTTCACTGCTGATATACTCTGCAGTATGCCTGTTCTCGCCAGTTTCAATGCTTCTATAATAGACTGGTTGAGGTGTTGTTATCACAAAGTTGATGATTCCTTCTCCCCAAACATTTGTCCACCCATCTGTAAGTACTGCTAGACATAGTGTTTCACTGATTTTTTCCTTGCACAGATTCCATCACACGCTCATGTTCTGACTCCAAAAGGGGTTTGATCAATGTAATGGTTCTAGGGGTTGCTCGTGCGTAAGCCGGTGCAAACACCTGGCTGGGTTGCCTGAGTGAACCTTTCCTGTCCGGACAGCCACTCACCCGTGGCTGTCTCAATCGCTGGCAGAATCCGTCAGTGGGCGTTTCTTAAACTTCTTCCAGCAAAGAAGCTCTTTGACGCCTAGTCTCCTCCTACTCTCTCTGCGTGAAAGCCTTCTGCGCAAGGAGGGCGTGGGCAGCGGAGGACCCCTACTCTCCCCGCTGGTCCCAGGCAAGGAGTCATGGGACCGCCTCGCCGCTTCCCCCATCTGCCCCCCTTCTCCACTGGTGCTGCACTGATTCTCTTCCCCAGAAGATGGGCTGCCTCTCCCAATCCCGGGACGCTCTCCGGAATCCCTCTGGATTTTGCTCTCTCCCTCCGGCACTGATGGCAGTCCCCTGACAATCAAGGAATGTCTGCTTGGCAAATGATATGATGGTCTTAATAATTTAAAAACTTCCTGCCAAAATGCATTTTCAGTTATTGACAATGCTGATCCAGAAGGATATATTGCTCTTGCAAGGGCACAATCAATTTTCTACTGATTTTCAGGTGTCATTTTATCTTTAAATGAAGATATGGTGTGTTTTTGTGAGGCAGATGGTTTGCAACACTTCTTTACGTGAAGAAACAGCAGCAGAAATAGTATTTCTGGAATTAGAACTCTGGAAGGAAAAGCTACTTGTACTTTCATTCTGGTCATCATCATTTAATTCCATAAAGTATTTTTTAATGTCTTTAGGGCACCTCTGGCGTGCAAGAATGTGTTTTGTCATTCTTGTAGCATTGGAAAAGAATATGTGCAAATTGCATCTTTGCTCTCAGCAGAAACTGCCTTGTGGAAATGTTTCCAAACTCTAGATGTTGGTCTCACCATTTTACTGAGGAGAAAAACCAATTTACTGACCAGACTATAGATAAACATTCTGCTGTGATGGTGGAGAACATTAATAGGAATCATTTAAGGGCTACAAAAAAGAAACTAATTTGTCAGACAAATTTACCCTCTTACCTGTCAGTTAAGGCCTGAGAGGAGGACAGAAAGTATCACCACCTGTATACCAACAATTACTCAACTGTAGGAGGTTCGAAGTACACGAGGAAACTAAACTGGAGGCTTTTCCATGCAGAGCCCCCTAGTGCCACAAATGCATATTTCTCCTGTTTGAGAACTGCATATAGAAGTACTGTACACTGTTACTTGAATTCTATTCCAGCATTTGCTTGTCTCCAGCTGAGAGAACTTGCAATAATGTAAGACTTTACAAAAAAGTCTCAGAAATATTTCATTAAGGTCTTCATGTTATACAGTTTGAATACCATGTCATAGATATATTGTTTATCATTGAGGAACTGTTGGTTGAAAAGACTTGTGTACACTTTATAAATGAAAAGAAGGCTAAAAGCAAATCTCTTAATTGGAGTGGTTGAAAATATAATGGAATTTTAGATTTATTTATTTTTTTAAAAAAAATGAGTATATTTCAGGAATATGGTTAATTTCTACTTTCCCCTCTTTCAAAGATTCTAAGCTGCAGTGAGGTTTTGCAGTGATTCTGAGGTCATGCAGAGATTCTAAAGCATTTGAGGTCATGCTGGATACTCTTCGGAAACACGCTGTTCCTACATCGGTGACAGTTCAGCTCCTGTCCTGAACATTTCAACCATCATAAAAACAACACCCCCCACCTCCAGTTAGTTCTGATGCTAGCAAACCCCAGCTAAGTTTACAAAGTGAACCGGGCATTACAAGCAAATGTAATTCAGGCAGGCTGACTGAGACGCTACCAGTGCCCATTCTTAATGTGAAGAGACCTTTCAGACAGCCAGTATTTTGTGGGAGGGATTCAAGCACACATGTAAACTTTAGGTTTGTGCAGTTTAAGTGGATTAAAGTACTCTGCTGCTATTTGCACAAGAGAGTCACTTTTTAAAAAAAGAGAAGAAAAGAAAACTTTTTAAAGGAACTTTTTTCAGTCAGAGTGCTGTATTCTTTCCTGGGCAGCCTGCCAAGAGCCACATGCAGTGGTGGGAGGGGCCAAAGGCAAAAAGTGGGTGGAGCTGTGAATGCAAATGTTCGCTTTGTGCAATAGCTAGTTTCTATACACACTTGTGCACAACTTTCCATCCTCCAAGCAAAAAGCATTATCAGATTTCAAGGGTATATTCAAGGTAGACAAAAATGCTCTGGGTGCAAAGCAGGGACACTGAGAGGTGTGGTCTAGGGAGAGGGGGCACAGCCTGGATGGGGGGCTCAAAGGGATGGACAGAATGCGGCAGCTAGACAGGTGACTTGGAGTGGCCGTCGAGACAATATAACACCGGTCCTGAGAGACCTGCATTGGCTCCCAGTACGTTTCCGAGCACAATTTAAAGTGTTGGCGCTGAACTTTAAAGCCCTAAACAGCCTCGGCCCAGTATACCTGAAGGAGTGTCTCCACCCCCATCGTTCTGAGGTCCAGTGCCGAGGGCCTTCTGGCGGTTCCCTCACTGCGAGAAGTGAGGTTACAGGGAACCAGGCAGAGGGCCTTCTTGGTGGTGGCGCCCGCCCTGTGGAATGCCCTCCCATCAAGGCAATATGTAACTTGTGTTTAATCATTTAGTCGTGTCCAACTCTTCGTGACCCCATGGACCAGAGCACGCCAGGCACTCCTGTCTTCCACTGCCTCCCGCAGTTTGGTCAAACTCATGCTGGTAGCTTCGAGAACACTGTCCAACCATCTCGTCCTCTGTCGTCCCCTTCTTGTGCCCTCAATCTTTCCCAACATCAGGGTCTTTTCCAGGGAGTCTTCTCTTCTCATGAGGTGGCCAAAGTATTGGAGCCTCCGCTTCACGATCTGTCCTTCCAGTGAGCACTCAGGGCTGATTTCCTTCAAGAGTCTCCTCCAGCACCATAATTCAAAAGCATCAATTCTTCGGCGATCAGCCTTCTTTATGGTCCAGCTCTCACTTCCATGCATCACTGCTGGGAAAACCATAGCTTTAACTATACGGACCTTTGTCGGCAAGGTGATGTCTCTGCTTTTTAAGATGCTGTCTAGGTTTGTCATTGCTTTTAAAAGACATCTGAAGGCAGCCTGTTTAGGGAAGTTTTTAATATTTATTGCTGTGTTGTGTTTTTAATATTCACCTGAGAGCTGCCCAGAGTGGCTGGGAAATTATTATTATTATTACTACTACTACTACTACTACTACTACTACAGAGGGGCCCAGATGCATCTATACATATATGTATAGCAGATATGTAAATTTTATGCAATTCTGTGCAATAGGACTGTGCCCCAAAGGCCTTCAAGCGCCAAACACTCCTGAGATATTTCAAAATGCTCAAGTCTCAAGTTCCCCACACGTCCCAAGAAGGTACGCAGATGATGAGCCCCTGATGTCTAGGGCAGAGAAAGAGCAGAGCTCTATTAAATAGGAACCCCCAGTTTTGGGATTCTCATTTGGTACCATTTAGTACTGCAAGCCTTATGTTTCGTGGAGCCCCCCAAGCTGAGTAACTGAAACATCAAACCGGGGTTTGCAGTTAACACCCCCAAATCCAACATTGTCTGATTCACTCCAAACTGGTGCCAAAATTTTGCACTCGTTTTGTGCTGCGAACACTGTCTTTTGCACTGCCCCCCAAACTGAGTAATTGATACACAAACAGGGGGTCACAGGTACCCGCCCCAAACCCAGCATTGTCCGATTTGTTTCTATCTAATAATGCTGAAGAGGAGCTTGGAAGCCAGTCTCTGCCTGCCTCTTGTTTCTCCAATTACTGCTTGAGCGTACAAGGAGAGTCCTTGTCGCTGACGATGGACTCATTCGGCAGCCTGAGGTTTTGTAAACACAAACCAGCTCCCTGACATGGGTGAAGTCACGTAGAAGAGGGACACTTTCCTGAACCTTGGGTCATGCCCAGGGCTCTCTCCAGAGGAAGCCTGTTGAAACCAGAGGGAACAGCACACAGCGTACAGAGGCAGGAACCTGAGCCAGTGGCAGTGAGGAAAGAGCGGCTTCAGTCTGTTCCCTGAGAGCCCAGGACAAACACACAAAAGGAGCAAGAAACAAGACTGTGTGCTTGTAACATATTTAGCTGCATCATTGACACATGTGATCGATGCACGGCTAGAATTTGAACCCATTGGACTTTCCCTTCCAAAAGGCAAGTTCAGGGGAGCGATGGCAAGGCCACT